TTTGTTTGTCTGTTTGTTTTTGGAGTTCTGTGAACTTCTGTCAAGTTTTCAAGAGGGATTGACAGCCCCTGCAGGTTCAACCTGTACATCACTCTATCAACTGGACCTTCTTTTTCTCTTTTTTATTCGACCAGTTTTTTTTATTTGTATTTCTTTATTTTTAATCTAGTAGATTCCTCTGGAGTTTACAAGGCTGGTTGCTGAAGGTTTAGACCACTACACTCCACATCCTCCTGAGCTGTACTCATATTGGAGGTCTGAGGCTGGCACAAAGCTTCAACAGTTAATGGAAGTCTTTAACACTAGAAGGACCAGCTTTTGCTGTTCCTACCTATAAAGACCAGAGGGCAGCCAAATGGCTTGGTGGGTTTTAGCCAGTACTAAATCGCCTGTGAACACTCAGTTTGTTATGCAAACGAGGCGATCGTTGGTGCACCACAGGAGGGGATATGCTGAGTTACTTCAAGAAAACTTGTGTTGTTGGGAGAGGGAGTGGGGAGGGGGAGGGGAGTTTCCAACCTGAGAACAACTGTAGACAGAAACTGCTTCAGCCATAGCCACTGCACAGACAGTTTGGGCCTCTGTTTGTTTTGTTTGGTTCTACTTCTACTGATGTCCCTGCACCTCAGCAGATGGAGAACCAACGGCTAAGGCCAGGAGGTCCATCTTGACTCGTCTTCAGAGCTTCCTGTGTTTCATCACACTGGACATGCTTGGTTCTATTCAAGACTGTACTGTTCAACATGCAAAGCAAACAGAGTATGTTGATTTAGGCTGTATTGGCTGAGCGAGATCGTGTTGGTTCGTTCCACTTCAGTGGGGCAACATAAACTGTGATTCATAAAAAAGCTCTATTGATAGTAAGTACTAAAAAAAAATTTCTACTCATGCCATCCAGTTGATTTTTAGTAATCAGTGTTTCGGTGTCAAACTATTTCCCTTCTGCGGCGTAGTGATACTTGCACATGCGCAATCGAATATGCAGGGGGTGAAGCGATTTTTGTCACGTGGACCAATAGGAGCCGAGTCTCGTTGCCACAGTATCAGAAATACACAAACATGGCGACGACAGCATCTCGCAGCGAAACAAGCGAAGAGGAAGAAAAGAACAGGAAAAAAAGAAAACAGCGTTCAAAAGTGCATAAAAATTGAATGAAACGATGCTATATGCATCTGTCATCTGTCCAGAGTGAGGACGTTCTCGACTTTACAAGGACATGATGGGAAACTTACAGAACTAGTATTGGAAAGTGGCTTTCTCTACAGGGTGAGACAAAAGACCTTGCAGAAACTTAAACATTGCGTTGATATATTTCAGTTATTTCACACTTTTTTCTTAAGCACACGATTCCACATGTGTTCATTCATAGTTTTGATGCCTTCACTGAGAATCTACAATTAAAATAGTAATAAGAATAAAGAAAATGCGTTGAATGAGAAGGTGTGTCCAAACCTTTGGACTGTACTGAATACTAAAACTATCTGTCTGACTTTTGTCACCAGCCAGAAATGTACAAATATGTGAGTAACACAAAAAACAATTATATGTCACTGCTGTTTTTGCTTGTAGAAACTGCTATGTTGATTCTGGCAAGACAAAATCTTTCTCAAATGTCATAAATACATCTACCTAACATCTGAAACAGTTATTGGTGCCTTAGTATACGCATAAGTGAATTCAGATTATGAAATGTAGCAAATTTCTTGAAGAAAACGTCTCAACTCAAGTGATTTGCACCCAGCACAATGAAATATATACAGTACATTTAGCTAAAAGCTTATGTTTCATACATAAAAATTACACAACCTACTGTGTAATAGAAGCAATAAAATGTTAACAGCACATCAGGCAGGATTTGTGAAGAAAGTGTGAAGGGGCACACATTTTACAAGTCACTTATGCGTGTACTAAGGCACCAATAACTGTTTTAGATGTTTGGTAGATGTATTTATGACATTTGAGAAAGATTTTGTCTTGCCAGAATCAACATAGCAGTTTCTACAAGCAAAAACAGCACCATATAATTGTTTTTGGGTTACTCACATATATGTACATTTCTGACTGGTGACAAAAGTCGGACAGATAGTCTGAGTAGATATTTTAACCCAAAGTCCAGAATGGTATTGTCAATGCAAAAATGCATTCAACAAGTAGCATGATATGGCAGCATTGAATGCACATGTGCTGTGTCAAGCCCTGTATTGTCCCTTCCCACTGCATACACCACTTAGTCCAGTCCCCTCCTGTGGTACACCAACGATCGCCTCGTTTGCATAACAAAATGAGTGCTCACAGGTGATTTAGGATATTAGCCAAAAGCCTTCCAGCCGATCGGCTGCCCCGTGGACCTTGAGGGGGGTAAAGCCAAATGGCTGCTCTGTGGTCCTTCTAGTGTTAAAAGAATGTAAGTGAAACAATTTGGTATTGGCCGTCTTCATTGGTGTAGTTTACGTGATGCGTAGGTATTGTTATTCTGCACCAGATGCACCCGTTAGTTCCACACCCAGATCCTAATTCACCGAGCTGACAGCGAGCTTTTTCTTTGTCTTTTACACACAGAGATGCATAGTCGAGTGCTCACTCATGATAAAGTGTCTGTATTTTGCTCATACAGTAATATTAAGTTCTTTGGTCAGAGGGCGCTTCATAAGCTCAGACCTGCTTATTTCCAAAGTTGCAGCCTTAGATGTCACCAAGCTTTTCACACATCCAGGCTGTACATGAAAACATGGTCAGATATTCTAGTTACTATGCACCATACGCCGGAGACCCCGAGGTTTAGTTGGCGAAAAAAAGCCTTATATTGTGCGTATGGTGGTCAGTGGTGTGTGTGCGAGTGGGCGTTTTATAAGGGTGTGCAAAGAACTGTCTGCTGCTTGAGTGCATGTATTGGATTCAGTAGTTGTGAAAGTGCTCTCGTTTTAAACAATGTTAGCCTTGATAATGCAACATATGTGGGTGCAGTAGTTATAATTGCCTGTTGGCTATGAACCTTTTGTGGACATATTCATAAAATGGGAAAAAGAAAGTTCATAAATCGTTTAAACTTTAAAATCTACACAGAATGACTGAGAGGTTGGGAACCATAAAGCCCTAAATTTATTTACATTGTCAGTAGTAGAGCTGACTGATGTTTTCCATTTTACTACAAGAGATATGTATATGTTTGGCGAAGAATGGAAGAGTTAATGTGTCTTTATGGATGGATACAAATATTTATAGCTGATCTTGATTCATATTGTTGAGCAAAATAGCACTCTCTGCCTGGCTACCTGAGACCCAGGCAAGTTATGAAGGACAAAGAAATTAAAGGTGTGATGTCTCCCTCTTGTGATGCATATGGGGAAACACATCAACATTTTTTGAACAGACGAATATGAATAAAACGATACCTTTTGAAAGCACACACTCAAATACTCATCAAAGATCAAACCAATGGATATAAGACTATATGGATTATATTTTCATCAAAGAAAAAATATAATCAGGCCCTCACCTCTAGTCAGACAGTTGATCATTTCTTAGATGAATTGCAATCTGGGTGTTTTTTTGTTTGTTTTGATTTGGTTTTTTTATATAAGAAATTATAGAAGTTTGACATTAAGGAAACCTTCAAATAGTATGTGATAGAGTTTTATAATCCAGTAGCAACCGTTTGTCCAAACATTCCAGTGACAGTGTTAAAACCTAACCACTTGGCTTATAAATCAGGCTCTTCAAACATAAGGTAACTTGATTTCGACCATACGCCAATGTCCACAGATTATCAGATCTTTATTCGAGCCTGTTATTCTCTTTCAGGGCCCCTAAAACATTAGTTGTTAAACAGTTACAGTTGTTATGCAGTTGTTGCCCCCGCGTTTTTATACAGATAACTTCTTCTTTTTCTTCTTCTAAACTTCATCAGATATTTGTTTGATTTCAGTTATCGCTTTCCCTTCTGATATTGTAAGATGTTTCACCTCCCGGTTTGACTGAGAGTGTGTGTCTTTATTGAAATGTGACAACAGTGCTTCCCCTTTATATTGTATTTACAATAACCAACAGTCCTAAAAAATAAAAAGGCCCAGATTGAACCTGTAAAGATAAGCAATTCTTGTAGAGCAAATTCTTTTGTCAAGAAATGTGTTGACAGGTGTATTTCTATCTGAATCAAATTGCGTGTGTTCTGGGTTAATGTAAAGGAATGCTTAATGTAATGGGTTTGTCACTATGGTGATGTTGAAACTTATAAAAAATCGAGACAAGGTCAAGGTCTTTGCACAAACAGTAAATACTTTTATTAGAAACATTATTCTCTCATTACCATGATCTAAATTGTTATTGCACAGAATTTGTTTACCAAAACCCTAAAGAAACAAACATGAAGCAAAATTCTAGGGATACACACGTAATAACAGAAATAAACATAACTTTGAACAGTGAGTGAAGAAGTAGCAAGAAACTTTTCTGATAGTAGTTCAATGAGCAGCATAACAATAACATAAATATGACTGAGCGAGAGTTTGAGCAATGAGTAGGTTTTTGCAATAGTACTTCATTTAAAATTTTTACATCTGACAACTTCAATGACAATACAATCTCCTTAAAGAACTAAGAATAGCAATATTTGGGTCACCAGCAATTCTGGCAATGATAGGATTTCAAATAGAATCAGCTTTGCTTAGGCTGTGCAACTTAATTTTGATCTCTATTCTATTCTATTATAAGCATAAGTGAAAACATGTTTTGAATCCAGTTGTTCTACAGATAACTTATCAGGTGCTTGAAATTGGCAACAACATGAATGGGGTGTTGAGCTGGTATAGTGCAACAGTTCTGTAGGACATAAATTATCTTTGACACTTCTCATTCATTATTTCAGCTCAACCTAAGCGCTAAATTAATATCTAATAGTCCTATCAAATATATTTTGCAATTTCAATCCTCAAATCTTTTTTTTTTATTCCAGTAATCGTGTTCATTTAAGTATGGATTTAGATGGATACCAACACCAATTCTATTCTTGGTTCGACAGTAGCCATGACAGCAGCACAAGGAAGGATGCAGTGATCAGACTGAATTTGTGGCTCACCGCACCCGATATTTCTGTAAAAGAAGAAAAAAAGTGGAGAAGCCCATGCTTGAACATACACCTAGATAAAAGTATTTGTGTTGTATTGTATGTATCTATTTAGGTGTTTTCATATGCAACTTACGTATACCATCCACAATGATTGAGGTGGTGTCAATGTTGAAAGCTGTGATATTTGAAGCTGCTGCGACCAAAACATCTGCAATCTGAGTGCCACTTGGAACAGATGTACTTGCAAACCTAAGGTCTGCTTTGTTGACGATGGACCCATTACTGCATTATAGACACATAAAACATTCTGCTTTAGTTTACGTGCAAATTTATAGAAAACATCACTCCATTATATTCGCATAATGTTAAGAGTTTACCTGAATGATGTCACAGTAAAGGATTGGAATGACGAGAACGCTCTTTGGTAGTAAGGTTGAAGCTGTGGGGGTAAAAATATTTTTAAAAAATGGTACATTATTTTAACACATTTGTGACCAGTATGCTTTACTTCTTTTGCACTATAAATTACTATTTTGTGACCAACACATTTATTGTCATGGAAATAGTGGTGGAATGGTGCCTAGAGAAGAGGTGAAAGCTTTCCCACAACATCCTGCTTAATAATCCAGAAAAAAGTATGGACACATTTTAAGTGGGTGATATTCTATGTGGGTTTTTTTTTTAGTTTATATAATAGAACATGGTACATTCTGAAGAGTGAGACTCACCTCTGATGTGATCATTGCAGCTCGATTTTTAAATGCTGGAGATGAGTTGTTCTGCAAGTCATTTAAAAAAGTTTCTCCACGTGACGTGAACGTCAATTGTCGTGTCATGAGCTGTTCAGCTGTGGGGGCTGCTGTTGTAGTGGCTGAATTTGGCGCTGCACTTGGTGAACTTGTTGTATTTGCAGTTTCTGTAGAACTTGTTGTATTTGTAGTTTCTGTAAAATAGATTAAGAAAACCACATCACATTCTTAGCTCAAACTCTAAGCCAATTTGAAGCCCTGGCCATTTTCCTTGTCATTATAAAATCTCTTATCTCAATAAAAGCAGGTATAACATTTACACTTAAGCCTGATAATGCTCTGTGCATTGGAAAAGGAAAATTGATCTTCACTTACGAATAACTACAAGGCTGTTTGGATCAACAGTGACATTGAAAGTGTTGTTGGGGTTGTTAACAGCAGCCACAAAGGTTTGTGCAACAGCTTCATCCCCTGGGATTTGATCTCGTGGAGCTGAATTGTTGAACTCAACTTTTAAATCCGCTCGTGTGTTTTCCTCTCGAGTAGTTGCAGCAGGACTAAATAGAATTTTTAAAAACCATATGATTTTGGGTTTATGAAATGCTTTTTTTGTTTGTTTGTTTGTTAGCTTTGTAAAATGAAAAAGTATTCTGACAAAGGTTTTCAAAATAAGACTCTTACCTGAATCCTAAAACAACTGCACCAAAGAAAAGAGGACCAAATTTTTGTTTGAAAATAAAAACAAACTATAAAAAGAGAAAAATTAGGAAGAATTACTCAAATGGAACAAGACCATGAGCAAAATATGACAGATGAAAACTGAACGTTTTTCTGTTAAGCATATGAAAAGATAAACTTAACAGTGGTACTCACCAGTTCTAAAACTTGAGCTTCAAGTGCTTTGTATTGTGCACTGTTTGGATTATTTAATTCTGCCACAAAAGGTTGTTCCACATTTACTGCAAGAATAACAGCTGGTCGGGATGGAGTGGTAGCTTCACCACCTGATCCACCAGGGCTGGTTGTTAGTGCAGGTGTTGATCCATCAGGTAAAGAGCCTCCTGTTGTTGTTGTTGGCCCATGAGATGTAGACAATCCATTGATGTTTGTAAATGCACCAGAAGAAACCATTTGTTTTGTTGTAGTTGCACCACCTGATCCACCAGGGCTGGTTGTTAATTTGGGTGTTGATCCATCAGTAGAAGAACCACCAGTGTTTGACCCTCCTATTGCTGGTAAAACAATATTTGTTGTTGGTTATTTGCAACATTGCAATTAGCCTTCTGCAAAGACCTTTGAAGACCTGTTTCACATTGTGGGCTATTATGTGTTTGCTTTTTTAAAAATCAGACTCCATTGACAGTGTTATGTCCAAAAAGAGGAAAAAAACAACCTAGCATTTACAATTAAAGTGATACTTAAAGTTAACTATGGGATCATGTACAAAGCTTTTAGGCCAACAGTCAGGTCTCACACCACCTTTGCCCAAATGACATGACCTAGTCAATGTTTACGTTAAAAAAGTAAATATGTGATTGTTGAAATATATGTTTTTTTTAAAAAAAGGTTAAACCAACTTGAAAAAAAAAGAAGAAAAAAAAAGACATGAATTACACAAAACCCAACTCACTAGATGTTTGTCGTGTAGGACTTATTGTTGAACTACCAGCTGGCTTCAATGTCTCACTTGTTACACCATCAGATTGTGTTGAAGGAGAAGTTGTCAGTGTTGTTGTTTTTGGCCTACTCGTGGTTGAGCCACCAAGTGTTGAGTCTGTAGGCATTGTGTCAGGGATGACAAATGGTCAGCAAATGACAGTTTAACATAAACTTTGTCAAAGAACATTCAGATGTTCCACTGTTGTTGTGTAGTGATTATGTTCTCTTGTATTTTTCTTTTTGTGTGCTTAAAAAAAATTGTAGCAGTTTAAAATTTAATGGATCATAAAAAACAATGCCAATTTTTTAAGTTTCCTGAAGCTCTTGAGCTTACTTAGTTGCTAAAAAAAATGTCAATTTATCTATTTTTCTGTGCTCTATCACACATTTACATAGCCACAGATGAACAGCATACAGTCTAAAAGATGACATAGGTAATATTTGCTTTAACTTACTTATAAATACAATGCTGTTTGGATCAACAGTGACATTGAAGGTATTGTTGGAGTTGTTCAGAGCAGTCATTAAGGTTTGTTCAACAGTTTCTTCCTCTGGGATTTGATCTTGTGGAGCTGGGTTGTTGAACTCAAGTTTGAAATCCGCTTGAGTCTGACTCACTCGAGTGGTTACAACAGCAGGACTACACAGAAAAAAAAGTTATCAGTTATTTGGGGTTTCATGTTGTTGTTGTTGTTGTTGTTGAATTTTCGGTATCCAAAGCAGTCTTAAAATTAGAAACAAAACTAGAAATACACTCAAAAGTTATGTAAAATTGTATTCTGATGAATGCTTTCAGAGATAGACTCTTACCTGAATCCTAAAACAATTGCATGACTGAAAAGAGAACCAAACTTTTGACTGAAGATGAAATTGAGCTATAAAAGGAGAAAAAATATGAAAAATTACTTAAAAGGAACAAGACCATGAGCAAAATATGTCAGAAAGATTTTCATTTAAGCATGTAAAAAAGATGAGCTTAACAGTGGTACTAACCAGGTCTACAATTTGAGCTTCAAGTGCTTTGTATTGTGCACTGTTTGGATTATTTAATTCTGCCACAAAAGGTTGTTCCACATTTACTGAAAGAAAAAAAGCTGGTGCTGATGGAGTGGTAGCTTCACCACCTGATCCACCAGGGCTGGTTGTTAGTGCAGGTGTTGATCCATCAGGTAAAGAGCCTCCTGTTGTTGTTGTTGTTGTTGGCCCATGAGATGTAGACAATCCATTGATGTTTGTAAATGCACCAGACGAAACCATTTCTTTTGTTGTAGTTGCACCACCTGATCCACCAGGGCTGGTTGTTAGTGCAGGTGTTGATCCATCAGGTAAAGAGCCTCCTGTTGTTGTTGTTGGCCCATGAGATGTAGACAATCCATTGATGTTTGTAAATGCACCAGAAGAAACCATTTGTTTTGTTGTAGTTGCACCACCTGATCCACCAGGGCTGGTTGTTAATTTGGGTGTTGATCCATCAGTAGAAGAACCACCAGTGTTTGACCCTCCTATTGCTGGTAAAACAATATTTGTTGTTGGTTATTTGCAACATTGCAATTAGCCTTCTGCAAAGACCTTTGAAGACCTGTTTCACATTGTGGGCTATTATGTGTTTGCTTTTTTAAAAATCAGACTCCATTGACAGTGTTATGTCCAAAAAGAGGAAAAAAACAACCTAGCATTTACAATTAAAGTGATACTTAAAGTTAACTATGGGATCATGTACAAAGCTTTTAGGCCAACAGTCAGGTCTCACACCACCTTTGCCCAAATGACATGACCTAGTCAATGTTTACGTTAAAAAAGTAAATATGTGATTGTTGAAATATATGTTTTTTTAAAAAAAAGGTTAAACCAACTTGAAAAAAAAAGAAGAAAAAAAAAGACATGAATTACACAAAACCCAACTCACTAGATGTTTGTCGTGTAGGACTTATTGTTGAACTACCAGCTGGCTTCAATGTCTCACTTGTTACACCATCAGATTGTGTTGAAGGAGAAGTTGTCAGTGTTGTTGTTTTTGGCCTACTCGTGGTTGAGCCACCAAGTGTTGAGTCTGTAGGCATTGTGTCAGGGATGACAAATGGTCAGCAAATGACAGTTTAACATAAACTTTGTCAAAGAACATTCAGATGTTCCACTGTTGTTGTGTAGTGATTATGTTCTCTTGTATTTTTCTTTTTGTGTGCTTAAAAAAAAATTGTAGCAGTTTAAAATTTAATGGATCATAAAAAACAATGCCAATTTTTTAAGTTTCCTGAAGCTCTTGAGCTTACTTAGTTGCTAAAAAAAATGTCAATTTATCTATTTTTCTGTGCTCTATCACACATTTACATAGCCACAGATGAACAGCATACAGTCTAAAAGATGACATAGGTAATATTTGCTTTAACTTACTTATAAATACAATGCTGTTTGGATCAACAGTGACATTGAAGGTATTGTTGGAGTTGTTCAGAGCAGTCATTAAGGTTTGTTCAACAGTTTCTTCCTCTGGGATTTGATCTTGTGGAGCTGGGTTGTTGAACTCAAGTTTGAAATCCGCTTGAGTCTGACTCACTCGAGTGGTTACAACAGCAGGACTACACAGAAAAAAAAGTTATCAGTTATTTGGGGTTTCATGTTGTTGTTGTTGTTGTTGTTGAATTTTCGGTATCCAAAGCAGTCTTAAAATTAGAAACAAAACTAGAAATACACTCAAAAGTTATGTAAAATTGTATTCTGATGAATGCTTTCAGAGATAGACTCTTACCTGAATCCTAAAACAATTGCATGACTGAAAAGAGAACCAAACTTTTGACTGAAGATGAAATTGAGCTATAAAAGGAGAAAAAATATGAAAAATTACTTAAAAGGAACAAGACCATGAGCAAAATATGTCAGAAAGATTTTCATTTAAGCATGTAAAAAAGATGAGCTTAACAGTGGTACTAACCAGGTCTACAATTTGAGCTTCAAGTGCTTTGTATTGTGCACTGTTTGGATTATTTAATTCTGCCACAAAAGGTTGTTCCACATTTACTGAAAGAAAAAAAGCTGGTGCTGATGGAGTGGTAGCTTCACCACCTGATCCACCAGGGCTGGTTGTTAGTGCAGGTGTTGATCCATCAGGTAAAGAGCCTCCTGTTGTTGTTGTTGTTGTTGGCCCATTAGATGTAGACAATCCATTGATGTTTGTAAATGCACCAGACGAAACCATTTCTTTTGTTGTAGTTGCACCACCTGATCCATCAGGCCTGGTTGTTAGTGCAGGTGTTGATATATCAGGTAAAGAGCCTCCTGTTGTTGTTGGCCCATGAGATGTAGACAATCCATTGATGTTTGTAAATGCACCAGAAGAAACCATTTCTTTTGTTGTAGTTGCACCACCTGATCCACCAGGGCTGGTTGTTAGTGCAGGGGTTGATCCATCAGTTGAAGAATCACCAGTGTTTGACCCTCCTATTGCTAGCAAAACAATATTTGTTGTTGGTTATTTGCAAAATTGCAATTAGCCTTCTGCAAAGACCTGTTTCATATTGTGGGCTATTATGTCATTGCTTTTAAAAAAAATAACAGACTCCACAGACAGTGTTTTGTCCAAAAAGAGGAAAAGCAACCAAACATTCACAATTAAAGTGCGACTTAAAGTTAAAAATGTAAAGTATGGGATCATGTACAAAGCTTTAAGGCCAAAAGACGAGTCCCTTATAATCTTTGCTCGAAGTTAAACCTGATCAATGTTATGTTAAAAAAAATAGTGAAAAACAAAAGCTGAAAAATTAGAAGAATAGAAAAAAGGAAATAAGCAACCAAAAAAAGACTACAAAAATGTGAATAACAAAATATACCAACGCACCAGTGGTTTGAGGGGAGAAACTAATTGTTGAATCACCATCTGGTGATGATGTCTGGGTTGAGGTTGTTGACATAGGTCCAGTGGTGGTTAAGTCACCAAGTGTTGAACCTGCGGGCGTTGCGTGAGGGATGACAAAAAGTTAGCATGAGTAGGTGCTCTGTCCTCCAACAGACAGCCGCTGGGGCAAAAAGCGTAGATGCTTGTACGAAATGTTTCCTTACCAAGGACAGTGATGGACCCACGGACAAGGGATATGTTGAAGGTGCCGTTTTGCGCAGCCTCTTGTAAAGTCGCCACAACCTCATCTGCCGCTGGAAGCTCATCTTGTGCTGCCACGGAGCTGAATAGCAGGCTCAGCTCTGCCCTGACCTCGTTCTCCGGGCCGGGACTATGCATTGAAAAAAAACAAGAAAAAAACACATAGCTCAGTGGGATGAACAGGTTTTCCATTTGCAATGGTTTTGCTCCTTTTAAGAGTAGTTAACAAAGCATGGGCTCAGTCACGCAGACAAAAATAAACACTGGAATCCATCTGGCTGTGGCCCTAAAGATGGTTTACTGGTGACCAGGTGCTGTAGCCTATGTCTGAGACCGGGAAGCCTCCCAAGCTTACTTCAAAGCCAGGACAGTGGTCCGGACGAAAGTCTCTGCATACTCCCCAAGCAGAATGGTGTCGCACTGTGAGCGAGAACACACAAACGACCAAGGTTAGGCAGGAATATTGGCTCGAGAAGTAAAACACAGCAGAGGGCAAGATTACGTGGGAGGAGGGTCAAACGGTAGAAAAGAATTGAAGTTGTACGCACTTCCGTCTCGAGTTGTTCCGCGACATCTCTGTATAGCGCACTGCTGGGTTGCCTCAGTTCTTCCGTAAATGTCCGGTTCAGGGTCACTGATAGAAGCACAGCTGGTGCAGGAGCTGCAGTGGTGGTTAAGTCACCAAGTGTTGAACCTGCGGGCGTTGCGTGAGGGATGACAAAAAGTTAGCATGAGTAGGTGCTCTGTCCCCCAACAGACAGCCGCTGGGGCAAAAAGCGTAGATGCTTGTACGAAATGTTTCCTTACCAAGGACAGTGATGGACCCACGGACAAGGGATATGTTGAAGGTGCCATTTTGCGCAGCCTCTTGTAAAGTCGCCACAACCTCATCTGCCGCTGGAAGCTCATCTTGTGCTGCCACGGAGCTGAATAGCAGGCTCAGCTCTGCCCTGACCTCGTTCTCCGGGCCGGGACTATGCATTGAAAAAAAACAAGAAAAAAACACATAGCTCAGTGGGATGAACAGGTTTTCCATTTGCAATGGTTTTGCTCCTTTTAAGAGTAGTTAACAAAGCATGGGCTCAGTCACGCAGACAAAAATAAACACTGGAATCCATCTGGCTGTGGCCCTAAAGATGGTTTCCTGGTGACCAGGTGCTGTAGCCTATGTCTGAGACCGGGAAGCCTCCCAAGCTTACTTCAAAGCCAGGACAGTGGTCCTGACAAAAGTCTCTGCATACTCCGCAAGCAGAATGGTGTCGCACTGTGAGCGAGAACACACAAACGACCAAGGTTAGGCAGGAATATTGGCTCGAGAAGTAAAAACACAGCAGAGGGCAAGATTACGTGGGAGGAGGGTCAAACGGTAGAAAAGAATTGAAGTTGTACGCACTTCCGTCTCGAGTTGTTCCGCGACATCTCTGTATAGCGCACTGCTGGGTTGCCTCAGTTCTTCCGTAAATGTCCGGTTCAGGGTCACTGAAAGAAGCACAGCTGGTGCAGGAGCTGCAGTGGTGGTTAAGTCACCAAGTGTTGAACCTGCGGGCGTTGCGTGAGGGATGACAAAAAGTTAGCATGAGTAGGTGCTCTGTCCCCCAACAGACAGCCGCTGGGGCAAAAAGCGTAGATGCTTGTACGAAATGTTTCCTTACCAAGGACAGTGATGGACCCACGGACAAGGGATATGTTGAAGGTGCCGTTTTGCGCAGCCTCTTGTAAAGTCGCCACAACCTCATCTGCCGCTGGAAGCTCATCTTGTGCTGCCACGGAGCTGAATAGCAGGCTCAGCTCTGCCCTGACCTCGTTCTCCGGGCCGGGACTATGCATTGAAAAAAAACAAGAAAAAAACACAAAGCTCAGTGGGATGAACAGGTTTTCCATTTGCAATGGTTTTGCTCCTTTTAAGAGTAGTTAACAAAGCATGGGCTCAGTCACGCAGACAAAAATAAACACTGGAATCCATCTGGCTGTGGCCCTAAAGATGGTTTACTGGTGACCAGGTGCTGTAGCCTATGTCTGAGACCGGGAAGCCTCCCAAGCTTACTTCAAAGCCAGGACAGTGGTCCGGACGAAAGTCTCTGCATACTCCGCAAGCAGAATGGTGTCGCACTGTGAGCGAGAACACACAAACGACCAAGGTTAGGCAGGAATATTGGCTCGAGAAGTAAAACACAGCAGAGGGCAAGATTACGTGGGAGGAGGGTCAAACGGTAGAAAAGAATTGAAGTTGTACGCACTTCCGTCTCGAGTTGTTCCGCGACATCTCTGTATAGCGCACTGCTGGGTTGCCTCAGTTCTTCCGTAAATGTCCGGTTCAGGGTCACTGATAGAAGCACAGCTGGTGCAGGAGCTGCAGTGGTGGTTAAGTCACCAAGTGTTGAACCTGCGGGCGTTGCGTGAGGGATGACAAAAAGTTAGCATGAGTAGGTGCTCTGTCCCCCAACAGACAGCCGCTGGGGCAAAAAGCGTAGATGCTTGTACGAAATGTTTCCTTACCAAGGACAGTGATGGACCCACGGACAAGGGATATGTTGAAGGTGCCGTTTTGCGCAGCCTCTTGTAAAGTCGCCACAACCTCATCTGCCGCTGGAAGCTCATCTTGTGCTGCCACGGAGCTGAATAGCAGGCTCAGCTCTGCCCTGACCTCGTTCTCCGGGCCGGGACTATGCATTGAAAAAAAACAAGAAAAAAACACATAGCTCAGTGGGATGAACAGGTTTTCCATTTCCAATGGTTTTGCTCCTTTTAAGAGTAGTTAACAAAGCATGGGCTCAGTCACGCAGACAAAAATAAACACTGGAATCCATCTGGCTGTGGCCCTAAAGATGGTTTCCTGGTGACCAGGTGCTGTAGCCTATGTCTGAGACCGGGAAGCCTCCCAAGCTTACTTCAAAGCCAGGACAGTGGTCCGGACGAAAGTCTCTGCATACTCCCCAAGCAGAATGGTGTCGCACTGTGAGCGAGAACACACAAACGACCAAGGTTAGGCAGGAATATTGGCTCGAGAAGTAAAAACACAGCAGAGGGCAAGATTACGTGGGAGGAGGGTCAAACGGTAGAAAAGTATTGAAGCTGTACGCACTTCCGTCTCGAGTTGTTCCGCGACATCTCTGTATAGCGCACTGCTGGGTTGCCTCAGTTCTTCCGTAAATGTCCGGTTCAGGGTCACTGAAAGAAGCACAGCTGGTGCAGGAGCTGCAGTGGTGGTTAAGTCACCAAGTGTTGAACCTGCGGGCGTTGCGTGAGGGATGACAAAAAGTTAGCATGAGTAGGTGCTCTGTCCCCCAACAGACAGCCGCTGGGGCAAAAAGCGTAGATGCTTGTACGAAATGTTTCCTTACCAAGGACAGTGATGGACCCACGGACAAGGGATATGTTGAAGGTGCCGTTTTGCGCAGCCTCTTGTAAAGTCGCCACAACCTCATCTGCCGCTGGAAGCTCATCTTGTGCTGCCACGGAGCTGAATAGCAGGCTCAGCTCTGCCCTGACCTCGTTCTCCGGGCCGGGACTATGCATTGAAAAAAAACAAGAAAAAAACACATAGCTCAGTGGGATGAACAGGTTTTCCATTTCCAATGGTTTTGCTCCTTTTAAGAGTAGTTAACAAAGCATGGGCTCAGTCACGCAGACAAAAATAAACACTGGAATCCATCTGGCTGTGGCCCTAAAGATGGTTTCCTGGTGACCAGGTGCTGTAGCCTATGTCTGAGACCGGGAAGCCTCCCAAGCTTACTTCAAAGCCAGGACAGTGGTCCGGACGAAAGTCTCTGCATACTCCCCAAGCAGAATGGTGTCGCACTGTGAGCGAGAACACACAAACGACCAAGGTTAGGCAGGAATATTGGCTCGAGAAGTAAAAACACAGCAGAGGGCAAGATTACGTGGGAGGAGGGTCAAACGGTAGAAAAGTATTGAAGCTGTACGCACTTCCGTCTCGAGTTGTTCCGCGACATCTCTGTATAGCGCACTGCTGGGTTGCCTCAGTTCTTCCGTAAATGTCCGGTTCAGGGTCACTGAAAGAAGCACAGCTGGTGCAGGAGCTGCAGTGGTGGTTAAGTCACCAAGTGTTGAACCTGCGGGCGTTGCGTGAGGGATGACAAAAAGTTAGCATGAGTAGGTGCTCTGTCCCCCAACTGACAGCCGCTGGGGCAAAAAGCGTAGATGCTTGTACGAAATGTTTCCTTACCAAGGACAGTGATGGACCCACGGACAAGGGATATGTTGAAGGTGCCGTTTTGCGCAGCCTCTTGTAAAGTCGCCACAACCTCATCTGCCGCTGGAAGCTCATCTTGTGCTGCCACGGAGCTGAATAGCAGGCTCAGCTCTGCCCTGACCTCGTTCTCCGGGCCGGGACTATGCATTGAAAAAAAACAAGAAAAAAACACATAGCTCAGTGGGATGAACAGGTTTTCCATTTCCAATGGTTTTGCTCCTTTTAAGAGTAGTTAACAAAGCATGGGCTCAGTCACGCAGACAAAAATAAACACTGGAATCCATCTGGCTGTGGCCCTAAAGATGGTTTCCTGGTGACCAGGTGCTGTAGCCTATGTCTGAGACCGGGAAGCCTCCCAAGCTTACTTCAAAGCCAGGACAGTGGTCCGGACGAAAGTCTCTGCATACTCCCCAAGCAGAATGGTGTCGCACTGTGAGCGAGAACACACAAACGACCAAGGTTAGGCAGGAATATTGGCTCGAGAAGTAAAAACACAGCAGAGGGCAAGATTACGTGGGAGGAGGGTCAAACGGTAGAAAAGTATTGAAGCTGTACGCACTTCCGTCTCGAGTTGTTCCGCGACATCTCTGTATAGCGCACTGCTGGGTTGCCTCAGTTCTTCCGTAAATGTCCGGTTCAGGGTCACTGAAAGAAGCACAGCTGGTGCAGGAGCTGCAGTGGTGGTTAAGTCACCAAGTGTTGAACCTGCGGGCGTTGCGTGAGGGATGACAAAAAGTTAGCATGAGTAGGTGCTCTGTCCCCCAACTGACAGCCGCTGGGGCAAAAAGCGTAGATGCTTGTACGAAATGTTTCCTTACCAAGGACAGTGATGGACCCACGGACAAGGGATATGTTGAAGGTGCCGTTTTGCGCAGCCTCTTGTAAAGTCGCCACAACCTCATCTGCCGCTGGAAGCTCATCTTGTGCTGCCACGGAGCTGAATAGCAGGCTCAGCTCTGCCCTGACCTCGTTCTCCGGGCCGGGACTATGCATTGAAAAAAAACAAGAAAAAAACACATAGCTCAGTGGGATGAACAGGTTTTCCATTTGCAATGGTTTTGCTCCTTTTAAGAGTAGTTAACAAAGCATGGGCTCAGTCACGCAGACAAAAATAAACACTGGAATCCATCTGGCTGTGGCCCTAAAGATGGTTTACTGGTGACCAGGTGCTGTAGCCTATGTCTGAGAACGGGAAGCCTCCCAAGCTTACTTCAAAGCCAGGACAGTGGTCCGGACGAAAGTCTCTGCATACTCCGCAAGCAGAATGGTGTCGCACTGTGAGCGAGAACACACAAACGACCAAGGTTAGGCAGGAATATTGGCTCGAGAAGTAAAAACACAGCAGAGGGCAAGATTACGTGGGAGGAGGGTCAAACGGTAGAAAAGAATTGAAGTTGTACGCACTTCCGTCTCGAGTTGTTCCGCGACATCTCTGTATAGCGCACTGCTGGGTTGCCTCAGTTCTTCCGTAAATGTCCGGTTCAGGGTCACTGAAAGAAGCACAGCTGGTGCAGGAGCTGCAGTGGTGGTTAAGTCACCAAGTGTTGAACCTGCGGGCGTTGCGTGAGGGATGACAAAAAGTTAGCATGAGTAGGTGCTCTGTCCCCCAACAGACAGCCGCTGGGGCAAAAAGCGTAGATGCTTGTACGAAATGTTTCCTTACCAAGGACAGTGATGGACCCACGGACAAGGGATATGTTGAAGGTGCCGTTTTGCGCAGCCTCTTGTAAAGTCGCCACAACCTCATCTGCCGCTGGAAGCTCATCTTGTGCTGCCACGGAGCTGAATAGCAGGCTCAGCTCTGCCCTGACCTCGTTCTCCGGGCCGGGACTATGCATTGAAAAAAAACAAGAAAAAAACACAAAGCTCAGTGGGATGAACAGGTTTTCCATTTGCAATGGTTTTGCTCCTTTTAAGAGTAGTTAACAAAGCATGGGCTCAGTCACGCAGACAAAAATAAACACTGGAATCCATCTGGCTGTGGCCCTAAAGATGGTTTACTGGTGACCAGGTGCTGTAGCCTATGTCTGAGACCGGGAAGCCTCCCAAGCTTACTTCAAAGCCAGGACAGTGGTCCGGACGAAAGTCTCTGCATACTCCGCAAGCAGAATGGTGTCGCACTGTGAGCGAGAACACACAAACGACCAAGGTTAGGCAGGAATATTGGCTCGAGAAGTAAAACACAGCAGAGGGCAAGATTACGTGGGAGGAGGGTCAAACGGTAGAAAAGAATTGAAGTTGTACGCACTTCCGTCTCGAGTTGTTCCGCGACATCTCTGTATAGCGCACTGCTGGGTTGCCTCAGTTCTTCCGTAAATGTCCGGTTCAGGGTCACTGAAAGAAGCACAGCTGGTGCAGGAGCTGCAGTGGTGGTTAAGTCACCAAGTGTTGAACCTGCGGGCGTTGCGTGAGGGATGACAAAAAGTTAGCATGAGTAGGTGCTCTGTCCCCCAACAGACAGCCGCTGGGGCAAAAAGCGTAGATGCTTGTACGAAATGTTTCCTTACCAAGGACAGTGATGGACCCACGGACAAGGGATATGTTGAAGGTGCCGTTTTGCGCAGCCTCTTGTAAAGTCGCCACAACCTCATCTGCCGCTGGAAGCTCATCTTGTGCTGCCACGGAGCTGAATAGCAGGCTCAGCTCTGCCCTGACCTCGTTCTCCGGGCCGGGACTATGCATTGAAAAAAAACAAGAAAAAAACACATAGCTCAGTGGGATGAACAGGTTTTCCATTTGCAATGGTTTTGCTCCTTTTAAGAGTAGTTAACAAAGCATGGGCTCAGTCACGCAGACAAAAATAAACACTGGAATCCATCTGGCTGTGGCCCTAAAGATGGTTTACTGGTGACCAGGTGCTGTAGCCTATGTCTGAGACCGGGAAGCCTCCCAAGCTTACTTCAAAGCCAGGACAGTGGTCCGGACGAAAGTCTCTGCATACTCCCCAAGCAGAATGGTGTCGCACTGTGAGCGAGAACACACAAACGACCAAGGTTAGGCAGGAATATTGGCTCGAGAAGTAAAACACAGCAGAGGGCAAGATTACGTGGGAGGAGGGTCAAACGGTAGAAAAGAATTGAAGTTGTACGCACTTCCGTCTCGAGTTGTTCCGCGACATCTCTGTATAGCGCACTGCTGGGTTGCCTCAGTTCTTCCGTAAATGTCCGGTTCAGGGTCACTGATAGAAGCACAGCTGGTGCAGGAGCTGCAGTGGTGGTTAAGTCACCAAGTGTTGAACCTGCGGGCGTTGCGTGAGGGATGACAAAAAGTTAGCATGAGTAGGTGCTCTGTCCCCCAACAGACAGCCGCTGGGGCAAAAAGCGTAGATGCTTGTACGAAATGTTTCCTTACCAAGGACAGTGATGGACCCACGGACAAGGGATATGTTGAAGGTGCCGTTTTGCGCAGCCTCTTGTAAAGTCGCCACAACCTCATCTGCCGCTGGAAGCTCATCTTGTGCTGCCACGGAGCTGAATAGCAGGCTCAGCTCTGCCCTGACCTCGTTCTCCGGGCCGGGACTATGCATTGAAAAAAAACAAGAAAAAAACACATAGCTCAGTGGGATGAACAGGTTTTCCATTTGCAATGGTTTTGCTCCTTTTAAGAGTAGTTAACAAAGCATGGGCTCAGTCACGCAGACAAAAATAAACACTGGAATCCATCTGGCTGTGGCCCTAAAGATGGTTTACTGGTGACCAGGTGCTGTAGCCTATGTCTGAGACCGGGAAGCCTCCCAAGCTTACTTCAAAGCCAGGACAGTGGTCCGGACGAAAGTCTCTGCATACTCCCCAAGCAGAATGGTGTCGCACTGTGAGCGAGAACACACAAACGACCAAGGTTAGGCAGGAATATTGGCTCGAGAAGTAAAACACAGCAGAGGGCAAGATTACGTGGGAGGAGGGTCAAACGGTAGAAAAGAATTGAAGTTGTACGCACTTCCGTCTCGAGTTGTTCCGCGACATCTCTGTATAGCGCACTGCTGGGTTGCCTCAGTTCTTCCGTAAATGTCCGGTTCAGGGTCACTGATAGAAGCACAGCTGGTGCAGGAGCTGCAGTGGTGGTTAAGTCACCAAGTGTTGAACCTGCGGGCGTTGCGTGAGGGATGACAAAAAGTTAGCATGAGTAGGTGCTCTGTCCCCCAACAGACAGCCGCTGGGGCAAAAAGCGTAGATGCTTGTACGAAATGTTTCCTTACCAAGGACAGTGATGGACCCACGGACAAGGGATATGTTGAAGGTGCCGTTTTGCGCAGCCTCTTGTAAAGTCGCCACAACCTCATCTGCCGCTGGAAGCTCATCTTGTGCTGCCACGGAGCTGAATAGCAGGCTCAGCTCTGCCCTGACCTCGTTCTCCGGGCCGGGACTATGCATTGAAAAAAAACAAGAAAAAAACACATAGCTCAGTGGGATGAACAGGTTTTCCATTTCCAATGGTTTTGCTCCTTTTAAGAGTAGTTAACAAAGCATGGGCTCAGTCACGCAGACAAAAATAAACACTGGAATCCATCTGGCTGTGGCCCTAAAGATGGTTTCCTGGTGACCAGGTGCTGTAGCCTATGTCTGAGACCGGGAAGCCTCCCAAGCTTACTTCAAAGCCAGGACAGTGGTCCGGACGAAAGTCTCTGCATACTCCCCAAGCAGAATGGTGTCGCACTGTGAGCGAGAACACACAAACGACCAAGGTTAGGCAGGAATATTGGCTCGAGAAGTAAAAACACAGCAGAGGGCAAGATTACGTGGGAGGAGGGTCAAACGGTAGAAAAGTATTGAAGCTGTACGCACTTCCGTCTCGAGTTGTTCCGCGACATCTCTGTATAGCGCACTGCTGGGTTGCCTCAGTTCTTCCGTAAATGTCCGGTTCAGGGTCACTGAAAGAAGCACAGCTGGTGCAGGAGCTGCAGTGGTGGTTAAGTCACCAAGTGTTGAACCTGCGGGCGTTGCGTGAGGGATGACAAAAAGTTAGCATGAGTAGGTGCTCTGTCCCCCAACAGACAGCCGCTGGGGCAAAAAGCGTAGATGCTTGTACGAAATGTTTCCTTACCAAGGACAGTGATGGACCCACGGACAAGGGATATGTTGAAGGTGCCGTTTTGCGCAGCCTCTTGTAAAGTCGCCACAACCTCATCTGCCGCTGGAAGCTCATCTTGTGCTGCCACGGAGCTGAATAGCAGGCTCAGCTCTGCCCTGACCTCGTTCTCCGGGCCGGGACTATGCATTGAAAAAAAACAAGAAAAAAACACATAGCTCAGTGGGATGAACAGGTTTTCCATTTGCAATGGTTTTGCTCCTTTTAAGAGTAGTTAACAAAGCATGGGCTCAGTCACGCAGACAAAAATAAACACTGGAATCCATCTGGCTGTGGCCCTAAAGATGGTTTACTGGTGACCAGGTGCTGTAGCCTATGTCTGAGACCGGGAAGCCTCCCAAGCTTACTTCAAAGCCAGGACAGTGGTCCGGACGAAAGTCTCTGCATACTCCCCAAGCAGAATGGTGTCGCACTGTGAGCGAGAACACACAAACGACCAAGGTTAGGCAGGAATATTGGCTCGAGAAGTAAAAACACAGCAGAGGGCAAGATTACGTGGGAGGAGGGTCAAACGGTAGAAAAGAATTGAAGTTGTACGCACTTCCGTCTCGAGTTGTTCCGCGACATCTCTGTATAGCGCACTGCTGGGTTGCCTCAGTTCTTCCGTAAATGTCCGGTTCAGGGTCACTGATAGAAGCACAGCTGGTGCAGGAGCTGCAGTGGTGGTTAAGTCACCAAGTGTTGAACCTGCGGGCGTTGCGTGAGGGATGACAAAAAGTTAGCATGAGTAGGTGCTCTGTCCCCCAACAGACAGCCGCTGGGGCAAAAAGCGTAGATGCTTGTACGAAATGTTTCCTTACCAAGGACAGTGATGGACCCACGGACAAGGGATATGTTGAAGGTGCCGTTTTGCGCAGCCTCTTGTAAAGTCGCCACAACCTCATCTGCCGCTGGAAGCTCATCTTGTGCTGCCACGGAGCTGAATAGCAGGCTCAGCTCTGCCCTGACCTCGTTCTCCGGGCCGGGACTATGCATTGAAAAAAAACAAGAAAAAAACACATAGCTCAGTGGGATGAACAGGTTTTCCATTTGCAATGGTTTTGCTCCTTTTAAGAGTAGTTAACAAAGCATGGGCTCAGTCACGCAGACAAAAATAAACACTGGAATCCATCTGGCTGTGGCCCTAAAGATGGTTTACTGGTGACCAGGTGCTGTAGCCTATGTCTGAGACCGGGAAGCCTCCCAAGCTTACTTCAAAGCCAGGACAGTGGTCCGGACGAAAGTCTCTGCATACTCCGCAAGCAGAATGGTGTCGCACTGTGAGCGAGAACACACAAACGACCAAGGTTAGGCAGGAATATTGGCTCGAGAAGTAAAAACACAGCAGAGGGCAAGATTACGTGGGAGGAGGGTCAAACGGTAGAAAAGTATTGAAGCTGTACGCACTTCCGTCTCGAGTTGTTCCGCGACATCTCTGTATAGCGCACTGCTGGGTTGCCTCAGTTCTTCCGTAAATGTCCGGTTCAGGGTCACTGATAGAAGCACAGCTGGTGCAGGAGCTGCAGTGGTGGTTAAGTCACCAAGTGTTGAACCTGCGGGCGTTGCGTGAGGGATGACAAAAAGTTAGCATGAGTAGGTGCTCTGTCCCCCAACAGACAGCCGCTGGGGCAAAAAGCGTAGATGCTTGTACGAAATGTTTCCTTACCAAGGACAGTGATGGACCCACGGACAAGGGATATGTTGAAGGTGCCGTTTTGCGCAGCCTCTTGTAAAGTCGCCACAACCTCATCTGCCGCTGGAAGCTCATCTTGTGCTGCCACGGAGCTGAATAGCAGGCTCAGCTCTGCCCTGACCTCGTTCTCCGGGCCGGGACTATGCATTGAAAAAAAACAAGAAAAAAACACATAGCTCAGTGGGATGAACAGGTTTTCCATTTCCAATGGTTTTGCTCCTTTTAAGAGTAGTTAACAAAGCATGGGCTCAGTCACGCAGACAAAAATAAACACTGGAATCCATCTGGCTGTGGCCCTAAAGATGGTTTCCTGGTGACCAGGTGCTGTAGCCTATGTCTGAGACCGGGAAGCCTCCCAAGCTTACTTCAAAGCCAGGACAGTGGTCCGGACGAAAGTCTCTGCATACTCCCCAAGCAGAATGGTGTCGCACTGTGAGCGAGAACACACAAACGACCAAGGTTAGGCAGGAATATTGGCTCGAGAAGTAAAAACACAGCAGAGGGCAAGATTACGTGGGAGGAGGGTCAAACGGTAGAAAAGTATTGAAGCTGTACGCACTTCCGTCTCGAGTTGTTCCGCGACATCTCTGTATAGCGCACTGCTGGGTTGCCTCAGTTCTTCCGTAAATGTCCGGTTCAGGGTCACTGAAAGAAGCACAGCTGGTGCAGGAGCTGCAGTGGTGGTTAAGTCACCAAGTGTTGAACCTGCGGGCGTTGCGTGAGGGATGACAAAAAGTTAGCATGAGTAGGTGCTCTGTCCCCCAACAGACAGCCGCTGGGGCAAAAAGCGTAGATGCTTGTACGAAATGTTTCCTTACCAAGGACAGTGATGGACCCACGGACAAGGGATATGTTGAAGGTGCCGTTTTGCGCAGCCTCTTGTAAAGTCGCCACAACCTCATCTGCCGCTGGAAGCTCATCTTGTGCTGCCACGGAGCTGAATAGCAGGCTCAGCTCTGCCCTGACCTCGTTCTCCGGGCCGGGACTATGCATTGAAAAAAAACAAGAAAAAAACACATAGCTCAGTGGGATGAACAGGTTTTCCATTTGCAATGGTTTTGCTCCTTTTAAGAGTAGTTAACAAAGCATGGGCTCAGTCATGCAGACAAAAATAAACACTGGAATCCATCTGGCTGTGGCCCTAAAGATGGTTTACTGGTGACCAGGTGCTGTAGCCTATGTCTGAGACCGGGAAGCCTCCCAAGCTTACTTCAAAGCCAGGACAGTGGTCCGGACGAAAGTCTCTGCATACTCCCCAAGCAGAATGGTGTCGCACTGTGAGCGAGAACACACAAACGACCAAGGTTAGGCAGGAATATTGGCTCGAGAAGTAAAAACACAGCAGAGGGCAAGATTACGTGGGAGGAGGGTCAAACGGTAGAAAAGAATTGAAGTTGTACGCACTTCCGTCTCGAGTTGTTCCGCGACATCTCTGTATAGCGCACTGCTGGGTTGCCTCAGTTCTTCCGTAAATGTCCGGTTCAGGGTCACTGATAGAAGCACAGCTGGTGCAGGAGCTGCAGTGGTGGTTAAGTCACCAAGTGTTGAACCTGCGGGCGTTGCGTGAGGGATGACAAAAAGTTAGCATGAGTAGGTGCTCTGTCCCCCAACAGACAGCCGCTGGGGCAAAAAGTGTAGATGCTTGTACGAAATGTTTCCTTACCAAGGACAGTGATGGACCCACGGACAAGGGATATGTTGAAGGTGCCGTTTTGCGCAGCCTCTTGTAAAGTCGCCACAACCTCATCTGCCGCTGGAAGCTCATCTTGTGCTGCCACGGAGCTGAATAGCAGGCTCAGCTCTGCCCTGACCTCGTTCTCCGGGCCGGGACTATGCATTGAAAAAAAACAAGAAAAAAACACATAGCTCAGTGGGATTGAACAGGTTTTCCATTTCCAATGGTTTTGCTCCTTTTAAGAGTAGTTAACAAAGCATGGGCTCAGTCACGCAGACAAAAATAAACACTGGAATCCATCTGGCTGTGGCCCTAAAGATGGTTTACTGGTGACCAGGTGCTGTAGCCTATGTCTGAGACCGGGAAGCCTCCCAAGCTTACTTCAAAGCCAGGACAGTGGTCCGGACGAAAGTCTCTGCATACTCCCCAAGCAGAATGGTGTCGCACTGTGAGCGAGAACACACAAACGACCAAGGTTAGGCAGGAATATTGGCTCGAGAAGTAAAAACACAGCAGAGGGCAAGATTACGTGGGAGGAGGGTCAAACGGTAGAAAAGAATTGAAGTTGTACGCACTTCCGTCTCGAGTTGTTCCGCGACATCTCTGTATAGCGCACTGCTGGGTTGCCTCAGTTCTTCCGTAAATGTCCGGTTCAGGGTCACTGAAAGAAGCACAGCTGGTGCAGGAGCTGCAGTGGTGGTTAAGTCACCAAGTGTTGAACCTGCGGGCGTTGCGTGAGGGATGACAAAAAGTTAGCATGAGTAGGTGCTCTGTCCCCCAACAGACAGCCGCTGGGGCAAAAAGCGTAGATGCTTGTACGAAATGTTTCCTTACCAAGGACAGTGATGGACCCACGGACAAGGGATATGTTGAAGGTGCCGTTTTGCGCAGCCTCTTGTAAAGTCGCCACAACCTCATCTGCCGCTGGAAGCTCATCTTGTGCTGCCACGGAGCTGAATAGCAGGCTCAGCTCTGCCCTGACCTCGTTCTCCGGGCCGGGACTATGCATTGAAAAAAAACAAGAAAAAAACACATAGCTCAGTGGGATGAACAGGTTTTCCATTTCCAATGGTTTTGCTCCTTTTAAGAGTAGTTAACAAAGCATGGGCTCAGTCACGCAGACAAAAATAAACACTGGAATCCATCTGGCTGTGGCCCTAAAGATGGTTTACTGGTGACCAGGTGCTGTAGCCTATGTCTGAGACCGGGAAGCCTCCCAAGCTTACTTCAAAGCCAGGACAGTGGTCCGGACGAAAGTCTCTGCATACTCCCCAAGCAGAATGGTGTCGCACTGTGAGCGAGAACACACAAACGACCAAGGTTAGGCAGGAATATTGGCTCGAGAAGTAAAAACACAGCAGAGGGCAAGATTACGTGGGAGGAGGGTCAAACGGTAGAAAAGAATTGAAGTTGTACGCACTTCCGTCTCGAGTTGTTCCGCGACATCTCTGTATAGCGCACTGCTGGGTTGCCTCAGTTCTTCCGTAAATGTCCGGTTCAGGGTCACTGATAGAAGCACAGCTGGTGCAGGAGCTGCAGTGGTGGTTAAGTCACCAAGTGTTGAACCTGCGGGCGTTGCGTGAGGGATGACAAAAAGTTAGCATGAGTAGGTGCTCTGTCCCCCAACAGACAGCCGCTGGGGCAAAAAGCGTAGATGCTTGTACGAAATGTTTCCTTACCAAGGACAGTGATGGACCCACGGACAAGGGATATGTTGAAGGTGCCGTTTTGCGCAGCCTCTTGTAAAGTCGCCACAACCTCATCTGCCGCTGGAAGCTCATCTTGTGCTGCCACGGAGCTGAATAGCAGGCTCAGCTCTGCCCTGACCTCGTTCTCCGGGCCGGGACTATGCATTGAAAAAAAACAAGAAAAAAACACATAGCTCAGTGGGATGAACAGGTTTTCCATTTCCAATGGTTTTGCTCCTTTTAAGAGTAGTTAACAAAGCATGGGCTCAGTCACGCAGACAAAAATAAACACTGGAATCCATCTGGCTGTGGCCCTAAAGATGGTTTACTGGTGACCAGGTGCTGTAGCCTATGTCTGAGAACGGGAAGCCTCCCAAGCTTACTTCAAAGCCAGGACAGTGGTCCGGACGAAAGTCTCTGCATACTCCGCAAGCAGAATGGTGTCGCACTGTGAGCGAGAACACACAAACGACCAAGGTTAGGCAGGAATATTGGCTCGAGAAGTAAAAACACAGCAGAGGGCAAGATTACGTGGGAGGAGGGTCAAACGGTAGAAAAGAATTGAAGTTGTACGCACTTCCATCTCGAGTTGTTCCGCGACATCTCTGTATAGCGCACTGCTGGGTTGCCTCAGTTCTTCCGTAAATGTCCGGTTCAGGGTCACTGAAAGAAGCACAGCTGGTGCAGGAGCTGCAGTGGTGGTTAAGTCACCAAGTGTTGAACCTGCGGGCGTTGCGTGAGGGATGACAAAAAGTTAGCATGAGTAGGTGCTCTGTCCCCCAACAGACAGCCGCTGGGGCAAAAAGCGTAGATGCTTGTGCGAAATGTTTCCTTACCAAGGACAGTGATGGACCCACGGACAAGGGATATGTTGAAGGTGCCGTTTTGCGCAGCCTCTTGTAAAGTCGCCACAACCTCATCTGCCGCTGGAAGCTCATCTTGTGCTGCCACGGAGCTGAATAGCAGGCTCAGCTCTGCCCTGACCTCGTTCTCCGGGCCGGGACTATGCATTGAAAAAAAACAAGAAAAAAACACATAGCTCAGTGGGATGAACAGGTTTTCCATTTGCAATGGTTTTGCTCCTTTTAAGAGTAGTTAACAAAGCATGGGCTCAGTCACGCAGACAAAAATAAACACTGGAATCCATCTGGCTGTGGCCCTAAAGATGGTTTACTGGTGACCAGGTGCTGTAGCCTATGTCTGAGACCGGGAAGCCTCCCAAGCTTACTTCAAAGCCAGGACAGTGGTCCGGACGAAAGTCTCTGCATACTCCCCAAGCAGAATGGTGTCGCACTGTGAGCGAGAACACACAAACGACCAAGGTTAGGCAGGAATATTGGCTCGAGAAGTAAAACACAGCAGAGGGCAAGATTACGTGGGAGGAGGGTCAAACGGTAGAAAAGAATTGAAGTTGTACGCACTTCCGTCTCGAGTTGTTCCGCGACATCTCTGTATAGCGCACTGCTGGGTTGCCTCAGTTCTTCCGTAAATGTCCGGTTCAGGGTCACTGATAGAAGCACAGCTGGTGCAGGAGCTGCAGTGGTGGTTAAGTCACCAAGTGTTGAACCTGCGGGCGTTGCGTGAGGGATGACAAAAAGTTAGCATGAGTAGGTGCTCTGTCCCCCAACAGACAGCCGCTGGGGCAAAAAGCGTAGATGCTTGTACGAAATGTTTCCTTACCAAGGACAGTGATGGACCCACGGACAAGGGATATGTTGAAGGTGCCGTTTTGCGCAGCCTCTTGTAAAGTCGCCACAACCTCATCTGCCGCTGGAAGCTCATCTTGTGCTGCCACGGAGCTGAATAGCAGGCTCAGCTCTGCCCTGACCTCGTTCTCCGGGCCGGGACTATGCATTGAAAAAAAACAAGAAAAAAACACATAGCTCAGTGGGATGAACAGGTTTTCCATTTGCAATGGTTTTGCTCCTTTTAAGAGTAGTTAACAAAGCATGGGCTCAGTCACGCAGACAAAAATAAACACTGGAATCCATCTGGCTGTGGCCCTAAAGATGGTTTCCTGGTGACCAGGTGCTGTAGCCTATGTCTGAGACCGGGAAGCCTCCCAAGCTTACTTCAAAGCCAGGACAGTGGTCCGGACGAAAGTCTCTGCATACTCCGCAAGCAGAATGGTGTCGCACTGTGAGCGAGAACACACAAACGACCAAGGTTAGGCAGGAATATTGGCTCGAGAAGTAAAAACACAGCAGAGGGCAAGATTACGTGGGAGGAGGGTCAAACGGTAGAAAAGAATTGAAGTTGTACGCACTTCCGTCTCGAGTTGTTCCGCGACATCTCTGTATAGCGCACTGCTGGGTTGCCTCAGTTCTTCCGTAAATGTCCGGTTCAGGGTCACTGAAAGAAGCACAGCTGGTGCAGGAGCTGCAGTGGTGGTTAAGTCACCAAGTGTTGAACCTGCGGGCGTTACGAAGGGATGACAAAAAGTTAGCATGAGTAGGTGCTCTGTCCCCCAACTGACAGCCGCTGGGGCAAAAAGCGTAGATGCTTGTACGAAATGTTTCCTTACCAAGGACAGTGATGGACCCACGGACAAGGGATATGTTGAAGGTGCCGTTTTGCGCAGCCTCTTGTAAAGTCGCCACAACCTCATCTGCCGCTGGAAGCTCATCTTGTGCTGCCACGGAGCTGAATAGCAGGCTCAGCTCTGCCCTGACCTCGTTCTCCGGGCCGGGACTATGCATTGAAAAAAAACAAGAAAAAAACACATAGCTCAGTGGGATGAACAGGTTTTCCATTTGCAATGGTTTTGCTCCTTTTAAGAGTAGTTAACAAAGCATGGGCTCAGTCACGCAGACAAAAATAAACACTGGAATCCATCTGGCTGTGGCCCTAAAGATGGTTTACTGGTGACCAGGTGCTGTAGCCTATGTCTGAGAACGGGAAGCCTCCCAAGCTTACTTCAAAGCCAGGACAGTGGTCCGGACGAAAGTCTCTGCATACTCCGCAAGCAGAATGGTGTCGCACTGTGAGCGAGAACACACAAACGACCAAGGTTAGGCAGGAATATTGGCTCGAGAAGTAAAAACACAGCAGAGGGCAAGATTACGTGGGAGGAGGGTCAAACGGTAGAAAAGAATTGAAGTTGTACGCACTTCCGTCTCGAGTTGTTCCGCGACATCTCTGTATAGCGCACTGCTGGGTTGCCTCAGTTCTTCCGTAAATGTCCGGTTCAGGGTCACTGAAAGAAGCACAGCTGGTGCAGGAGCTGCAGTGGTGGTTAAGTCACCAAGTGTTGAACCTGCGGGCGTTGCGTGAGGGATGACAAAAAGTTAGCATGAGTAGGTGCTCTGTCCCCCAACAGACAGCCGCTGGGGCAAAAAGCGTAGATGCTTGTACGAAATGTTTCCTTACCAAGGACAGTGATGGACCCACGGACAAGGGATATGTTGAAGGTGCCGTTTTGCGCAGCCTCTTGTAAAGTCGCCACAACCTCATCTGCCGCTGGAAGCTCATCTTGTGCTGCCACGGAGCTGAATAGCAGGCTCAACTCTGCCCTGACCTCGTTCTCCGGGCCGGGACTATGCATTGAAAAAAAACAAGAAAAAAACACATAGCTCAGTGGGATGAACAGGTTTTCCATTTGCAATGGTTTTGCTCCTTTTAAGAGTAGTTAACAAAGCATGGGCTCAGTCACGCAGACAAAAATAAACACTGGAATCCATCTGGCTGTGGCCCTAAAGATGGTTTCCTGGTGACCAGGTGCTGTAGCCTATGTCTGAGACCGGGAAGCCTCCCAAGCTTACTTCAAAGCCAGGACAGTGGTCCGGACGAAAGTCTCTGCATACTCCCCAAGCAGAATGGTGTCGCACTGTGAGCGAGAACACACAAACGACCAAGGTTAGGCAGGAATATTGGCTCGAGAAGTAAAACACAGCAGAGGGCAAGATTACGTGGGAGGAGGGTCAAACGGTAGAAAAGAATTGAAGTTGTACGCACTTCCGTCTCGAGTTGTTCCGCGACATCTCTGTATAGCGCACTGCTGGGTTGCCTCAGTTCTTCCGTAAATGTCCGGTTCAGGGTCACTGATAGAAGCACAGCTGGTGCAGGAGCTGCAGTGGTGGTTAAGTCACCAAGTGTTGAACCTGCGGGCGTTGCGTGAGGGATGACAAAAAGTTAGCATGAGTAGGTGCTCTGTCCCCCAACAGACAGCCGCTGGGGCAAAAAGCGTAGATGCTTGTACGAAATGTTTCCTTACCAAGGACAGTGATGGACCCACGGACAAGGGATATGTTGAAGGTGCCGTTTTGCGCAGCCTCTTGTAAAGTCGCCACAACCTCATCTGCCGCTGGAAGCTCATCTTGTGCTGCCACGGAGCTGAATAGCAGGCTCAGCTCTGCCCTGACCTCGTTCTCCGGGCCGGGACTATGCATTGAAAAAAAACAAGAAAAAAACACATAGCTCAGTGGGATGAACAGGTTTTCCATTTGCAATGGTTTTGCTCCTTTTAAGAGTAGTTAACAAAGCATGGGCTCAGTCACGCAGACAAAAATAAACACTGGAATCCATCTGGCTGTGGCCCTAAAGATGGTTTACTGGTGACCAGGTGCTGTAGCCTATGTCTGAGACCGGGAAGCCTCCCAAGCTTACTTCAAAGCCAGGACAGTGGTCCGGACGAAAGTCTCTGCATACTCCCCAAGCAGAATGGTGTCGCACTGTGAGCGAGAACACACAAACGACCAAGGTTAGGCAGGAATATTGGCTCGAGAAGTAAAAACACAGCAGAGGGCAAGATTACGTGGGAGGAGGGTCAAACGGTAGAAAAGAATTGAAGTTGTACGCACTTCCGTCTCGAGTTGTTCCGCGACATCTCTGTATAGCGCACTGCTGGGTTGCCTCAGTTCTTCCGTAAATGTCCGGTTCAGGGTCACTGAAAGAAGCACAGCTGGTGCAGGAGCTGCAGTGGTGGTTAAGTCACCAAGTGTTGAACCTGCGGGCGTTGCGTGAGGGATGACAAAAAGTTAGCATGAGTAGGTGCTCTGTCCCCCAACAGACAGCCGCTGGGGCAAAAAGCGTAGATGCTTGTACGAAATGTTTCCTTACCAAGGACAGTGATGGACCCACGGACAAGGGATATGTTGAAGGTGCCGTTTTGCGCAGCCTCTTGTAAAGTCGCCACAACCTCATCTGCCGCTGGAAGCTCATCTTGTGCTGCCACGGAGCTGAATAGCAGGCTCAGCTCTGCCCTGACCTCGTTCTCCGGGCCGGGACTATGCATTGAAAAAAAACAAGAAAAAAACACATAGCTCAGTGGGATGAACAGGTTTTCCATTTGCAATGGTTTTGCTCCTTTTAAGAGTAGTTAACAAAGCATGGGCTCAGTCACGCAGACAAAAATAAACACTGGAATCCATCTGGCTGTGGCCCTAAAGATGGTTTACTGGTGACCAGGTGCTGTAGCCTATGTCTGAGACGGGAAGCCTCCCAAGCTTACTTCAAAGCCAGGACAGTGGTCCGGACGAAAGTCTCTGCATACTCCGCAAGCAGAATGGTGTCGCACTGTGAGCGAGAACACACAAACGACCAAGGTTAGGCAGGAATATTGGCTCGAGAAGTAAAAACACAGCAGAGGGCAAGATTACGTGGGAGGAGGGTCAAACGGTAGAAAAGAATTGAAGTTGTACGCACTTCCGTCTCGAGTTGTTCCGCGACATCTCTGTATAGCGCACTGCTGGGTTGCCTCAGTTCTTCCGTAAATGTCCGGTTCAGGGTCACTGAAAGAAGCACAGCTGGTGCAGGAGCTGCAGTGGTGGTTAAGTCACCAAGTGTTGAACCTGCGGGCGTTGCGTGAGGGATGACAAAAAGTTAGCATGAGTAGGTGCTCTGTCCCCCAACAGACAGCCGCTGGGGCAAAAAGCGTAGATGCTTGTACGAAATGTTTCCTTACCAAGGACAGTGATGGACCCACGGACAAGGGATATGTTGAAGGTGCCGTTTTGCGCAGCCTCTTGTAAAGTCGCCACAACCTCATCTGCCGCTGGAAGCTCATCTTGTGCTGCCACGGAGCTGAATAGCAGGCTCAGCTCTGCCCTGACCTCGTTCTCCGGGCCGGGACTATGCATTGAAAAAAAACAAGAAAAAAACACATAGCTCAGTGGGATGAACAGGTTTTCCATTTGCAATGGTTTTGCTCCTTTTAAGAGTAGTTAACAAAGCATGGGCTCAGTCACGCAGACAAAAATAAACACTGGAATCCATCTGGCTGTGGCCCTAAAGATGGTTTACTGGTGACCAGGTGCTGTAGCCTATGTCTGAGACCGGGAAGCCTCCCAAGCTTACTTCAAAGCCAGGACAGTGGTCCGGACGAAAGTCTCTGCATACTCCCAAGCAGAATGGTGTCGCACTGTGAGCGAGAACACACAAACGACCAAGGTTAGGCAGGAATATTGGCTCGAGAAGTAAAAACACAGCAGAGGGCAAGATTACGTGGGAGGAGGGTCAAACGGTAGAAAAGAATTGAAGTTGTACGCACTTCCGTCTCGAGTTGTTCCGCGACATCTCTGTATAGCGCACTGCTGGGTTGCCTCAGTTCTTCCGTAAATGTCCGGTTCAGGGTCACTGATAGAAGCACAGCTGGTGCAGGAGCTGCAGTGGTGGTTAAGTCACCAAGTGTTGAACCTGCGGGCGTTGCGTGAGGGATGACAAAAAGTTAGCATGAGTAGGTGCTCTGTCCCCCAACAGACAGCCGCTGGGGCAAAAAGCGTAGATGCTTGTACGAAATGTTTCCTTACCAAGGACAGTGATGGACCCACGGACAAGGGATATGTTGAAGGTGCCGTTTTGCGCAGCCTCTTGTAAAGTCGCCACAACCTCATCTGCCGCTGGAAGCTCATCTTGTGCTGCCACGGAGCTGAATAGCAGGCTCAGCTCTGCCCTGACCTCGTTCTCCGGGCCGGGACTATGCATTGAAAAAAAACAAGAAAAAAACACATAGCTCAGTGGGATGAACAGGTTTTCCATTTGCAATGGTTTTGCTCCTTTTAAGAGTAGTTAACAAAGCATGGGCTCAGTCACGCAGACAAAAATAAACACTGGAATCCATCTGGCTGTGGCCCTAAAGATGGTTTCCTGGTGACCAGGTGCTGTAGCCTATGTCTGAGACCGGGAAGCCTCCCAAGCTTACTTCAAAGCCAGGACAGTGGTCCGGACGAAAGTCTCTGCATACTCCGCAAGCAGAATGGTGTCGCACTGTGAGCGAGAACACACAAACGACCAAGGTTAGGCAGGAATATTGGCTCGAGAAGTAAAAACACAGCAGAGGGCAAGATTACGTGGGAGGAGGGTCAAACGGTAGAAAAGAATTGAAGTTGTACGCACTTCCGTCTCGAGTTGTTCCGCGACATCTCTGTATAGCGCACTGCTGGGTTGCCTCAGTTCTTCCGTAAATGTCCGGTTCAGGGTCACTGAAAGAAGCACAGCTGGTGCAGGAGCTGCAGTGGTGGTTAAGTCACCAAGTGTTGAACCTGCGGGCGTTGCGTGAGGGATGACAAAAAGTTAGCATGAGTAGGTGCTCTGTCCCCCAACAGACAGCCGCTGGGGCAAAAAGCGTAGATGCTTGTACGAAATGTTTCCTTACCAAGGACAGTGATGGACCCACGGACAAGGGATATGTTGAAGGTGCCGTTTTGCGCAGCCTCTTGTAAAGTCGCCACAACCTCATCTGCCGCTGGAAGCTCATCTTGTGCTGCCACGGAGCTGAATAGCAGGCTCAGCTCTGCCCTGACCTCGTTCTCCGGGCCGGGACTATGCATTGAAAAAAAACAAGAAAAAAACACATAGCTCAGTGGGATGAACAGGTTTTCCATTTGCAATGGTTTTGCTCCTTTTAAGAGTAGTTAACAAAGCATGGGCTCAGTCACGCAGACAAAAATAAACACTGGAATCCATCTGGCTGTGGCCCTAAAGATGGTTTACTGGTGACCAGGTGCTGTAGCCTATGTCTGAGAACGGGAAGCCTCCCAAGCTTACTTCAAAGCCAGGACAGTGGTCCGGACGAAAGTCTCTGCATACTCCGCAAGCAGAATGGTGTCGCACTGTGAGCGAGAACACACAAACGACCAAGGTTAGGCAGGAATATTGGCTCGAGAAGTAAAAACACAGCAGAGGGCAAGATTACGTGGGAGGAGGGTCAAACGGTAGAAAAGAATTGAAGTTGTACGCACTTCCGTCTCGAGTTGTTCCGCGACATCTCTGTATAGCGCACTGCTGGGTTGCCTCAGTTCTTCCGTAAATGTCCGGTTCAGGGTCACTGAAAGAAGCACAGCTGGTGCAGGAGCTGCAGTGGTGGTTAAGTCACCAAGTGTTGAACCTGCGGGCGTTGCGTGAGGGATGACAAAAAGTTAGCATGAGTAGGTGCTCTGTCCCCCAACAGACAGCCGCTGGGGCAAAAAGCGTAGATGCTTGTACGAAATGTTTCCTTACCAAGGACAGTGATGGACCCACGGACAAGGGATATGTTGAAGGTGCCGTTTTGCGCAGCCTCTTGTAAAGTCGCCACAACCTCATCTGCCGCTGGAAGCTCATCTTGTGCTGCCACGGAGCTGAATAGCAGGCTCAGCTCTGCCCTGACCTCGTTCTCCGGGCCGGGACTATGCATTGAAAAAAAACAAGAAAAAAACACATAGCTCAGTGGGATGAACAGGTTTTCCATTTGCAATGGTTTTGCTCCTTTTAAGAGTAGTTAACAAAGCATGGGCTCAGTCACGCAGACAAAAATAAACACTGGAATCCATCTGGCTGTGGCCCTAAAGATGGTTTCCTGGTGACCAGGTGCTGTAGCCTATGTCTGAGACCGGGAAGCCTCCCAAGCTTACTTCAAAGCCAGGACAGTGGTCCGGACGAAAGTCTCTGCATACTCCCCAAGCAGAATGGTGTCGCACTGTGAGCGAGAACACACAAACGACCAAGGTTAGGCAGGAATATTGGCTCGAGAAGTAAAACACAGCAGAGGGCAAGATTACGTGGGAGGAGGGTCAAACGGTAGAAAAGAATTGAAGTTGTACGCACTTCCGTCTCGAGTTGTTCCGCGACATCTCTGTATAGCGCACTGCTGGGTTGCCTCAGTTCTTCCGTAAATGTCCGGTTCAGGGTCACTGATAGAAGCACAGCTGGTGCAGGAGCTGCAGTGGTGGTTAAGTCACCAAGTGTTGAACCTGCGGGCGTTGCGTGAGGGATGACAAAAAGTTAGCATGAGTAGGTGCTCTGTCCCCCAACAGACAGCCGCTGGGGCAAAAAGCGTAGATGCTTGTACGAAATGTTTCCTTACCAAGGACAGTGATGGACCCACGGACAAGGGATATGTTGAAGGTGCCGTTTTGCGCAGCCTCTTGTAAAGTCGCCACAACCTCATCTGCCGCTGGAAGCTCATCTTGTGCTGCCACGGAGCTGAATAGCAGGCTCAGCTCTGCCCTGACCTCGTTCTCCGGGCCGGGACTATGCATTGAAAAAAAACAAGAAAAAAACACATAGCTCAGTGGGATGAACAGGTTTTCCATTTGCAATGGTTTTGCTCCTTTTAAGAGTAGTTAACAAAGCATGGGCTCAGTCACGCAGACAAAAATAAACACTGGAATCCATCTGGCTGTGGCCCTAAAGATGGTTTACTGGTGACCAGGTGCTGTAGCCTATGTCTGAGACCGGGAAGCCTCCCAAGCTTACTTCAAAGCCAGGACAGTGGTCCGGACGAAAGTCTCTGCATACTCCCAAGCAGAATGGTGTCGCACTGTGAGCGAGAACACACAAACGACCAAGGTTAGGCAGGAATATTGGCTCGAGAAGTAAAACACAGCAGAGGGCAAGATTACGTGGGAGGAGGGTCAAACGGTAGAAAAGAATTGAAGTTGTACGCACTTCCGTCTCGAGTTGTTCCGCGACATCTCTGTATAGCGCACTGCTGGGTTGCCTCAGTTCTTCCGTAAATGTCCGGTTCAGGGTCACTGAAAGAAGCACAGCTGGTGCAGGAGCTGCAGTGGTGGTTAAGTCACCAAGTGTTGAACCTGCGGGCGTTGCGTGAGGGATGACAAAAAGTTAGCATGAGTAGGTGCTCTGTCCCCCAACAGACAGCCGCTGGGGCAAAAAGCGTAGATGCTTGTACGAAATGTTTCCTTACCAAGGACAGTGATGGACCCACGGACAAGGGATATGTTGAAGGTGCCGTTTTGCGCAGCCTCTTGTAAAGTCGCCACAACCTCATCTGCCGCTGGAAGCTCATCTTGTGCTGCCACGGAGCTGAATAGCAGGCTCAGCTCTGCCCTGACCTCGTTCTCCGGGCCGGGACTATGCATTGAAAAAAAACAAGAAAAAAACACATAGCTCAGTGGGATGAACAGGTTTTCCATTTGCAATGGTTTTGCTCCTTTTAAGAGTAGTTAACAAAGCATGGGCTCAGTCACGCAGACAAAAATAAACACTGGAATCCATCTGGCTGTGGCCCTAAAGATGGTTTCCTGGTGACCAGGTGCTGTAGCCTATGTCTGAGACCGGGAAGCCTCCCAAGCTTACTTCAAAGCCAGGACAGTGGTCCGGACGAAAGTCTCTGCATACTCCCCAAGCAGAATGGTGTCGCACTGTGAGCGAGAACACACAAACGACCAAGGTTAGGCAGGAATATTGGCTCGAGAAGTAAAAACACAGCAGAGGGCAAGATTACGTGGGAGGAGGGTCAAACGGTAGAAAAGAATTGAAGTTGTACGCACTTCCGTCTCGAGTTGTTCCGCGACATCTCTGTATAGCGCACTGCTGGGTTGCCTCAGTTCTTCCGTAAATGTCCGGTTCAGGGTCACTGAAAGAAGCACAGCTGGTGCAGGAGCTGCAGTGGTGGTTAAGTCACCAAGTGTTGAACCTGCGGGCGTTGCGTGAGGGATGACAAAAAGTTAGCATGAGTAGGTGCTCTGTCCCCCAACAGACAGCCGCTGGGGCAAAAAGCGTAGATGCTTGTACGAAATGTTTCCTTACCAAGGACAGTGATGGACCCACGGACAAGGGATATGTTGAAGGTGCCGTTTTGCGCAGCCTCTTGTAAAGTCGCCACAACCTCATCTGCCGCTGGAAGCTCATCTTGTGCTGCCACGGAGCTGAATAGCAGGCTCAGCTCTGCCCTGACCTCGTTCTCCGGGCCGGGACTATGCATTGAAAAAAAACAAGAAAAAAACACATAGCTCAGTGGGATGAACAGGTTTTCCATTTGCAATGGTTTTGCTCCTTTTAAGAGTAGTTAACAAAGCATGGGCTCAGTCACGCAGACAAAAATAAACACTGGAATCCATCTGGCTGTGGCCCTAAAGATGGTTTCCTGGTGACCAGGTGCTGTAGCCTATGTCTGAGACCGGGAAGCCTCCCAAGCTTACTTCAAAGCCAGGACAGTGGTCCGGACGAAAGTCTCTGCATACTCCCCAAGCAGAATGGTGTCGCACTGTGAGCGAGAACACACAAACGACCAAGGTTAGGCAGGAATATTGGCTCGAGAAGTAAAAACACAGCAGAGGGCAAGATTACGTGGGAGGAGGGTCAAACGGTAGAAAAGAATTGAAGTTGTACGCACTTCCGTCTCGAGTTGTTCCGCGACATCTCTGTATAGCGCACTGCTGGGTTGCCTCAGTTCTTCCGTAAATGTCCGGTTCAGGGTCACTGATAGAAGCACAGCTGGTGCAGGAGCTGCAGTGGTGGTTAAGTCACCAAGTGTTGAACCTGCGGGCGTTGCGTGAGGGATGACAAAAAGTTAGCATGAGTAGGTGCTCTGTCCCCCAACAGACAGCCGCTGGGGCAAAAAGCGTAGATGCTTGTACGAAATGTTTCCTTACCAAGGACAGTGATGGACCCACGGACAAGGGATATGTTGAAGGTGCCGTTTTGCGCAGCCTCTTGTAAAGTCGCCACAACCTCATCTGCCGCTGGAAGCTCATCTTGTGCTGCCACGGAGCTGAATAGCAGGCTCAGCTCTGCCCTGACCTCGTTCTCCGGGCCGGGACTATGCATTGAAAAAAAACAAGAAAAAAACACATAGCTCAGTGGGATGAACAGGTTTTCCATTTGCAATGGTTTTGCTCCTTTTAAGAGTAGTTAACAAAGCATGGGCTCAGTCACGCAGACAAAAATAAACACTGGAATCCATCTGGCTGTGGCCCTAAAGATGGTTTACTGGTGACCAGGTGCTGTAGCCTATGTCTGAGACCGGGAAGCCTCCCAAGCTTACTTCAAAGCCAGGACAGTGGTCCGGACGAAAGTCTCTGCATACTCCCCAAGCAGAATGGTGTCGCACTGTGAGCGAGAACACACAAACGACCAAGGTTAGGCAGGAATATTGGCTCGAGAAGTAAAACACAGCAGAGGGCAAGATTACGTGGGAGGAGGGTCAAACGGTAGAAAAGAATTGAAGTTGTACGCACTTCCGTCTCGAGTTGTTCCGCGACATCTCTGTATAGCGCACTGCTGGGTTGCCTCAGTTCTTCCGTAAATGTCCGGTTCAGGGTCACTGAAAGAAGCACAGCTGGTGCAGGAGCTGCAGTGGTGGTTAAGTCACCAAGTGTTGAACCTGCGGGCGTTGCGTGAGGGATGACAAAAAGTTAGCATGAGTAGGTGCTCTGTCCCCCAACAGACAGCCGCTGGGGCAAAAAGCGTAGATGCTTGTACGAAATGTTTCCTTACCAAGGACAGTGATGGACCCACGGACAAGGGATATGTTGAAGGTGCCGTTTTGCGCAGCCTCTTGTAAAGTCGCCACAACCTCATCTGCCGCTGGAAGCTCATCTTGTGCTGCCACGGAGCTGAATAGCAGGCTCAGCTCTGCCCTGACCTCGTTCTCCGGGCCGGGACTATGCATTGAAAAAAAACAAGAAAAAAACACATAGCTCAGTGGGATGAACAGGTTTTCCATTTGCAATGGTTTTGCTCCTTTTAAGAGTAGTTAACAAAGCATGGGCTCAGTCACGCAGACAAAAATAAACACTGGAATCCATCTGGCTGTGGCCCTAAAGATGGTTTACTGGTGACCAGGTGCTGTAGCCTATGTCTGAGACCGGGAAGCCTCCCAAGCTTACTTCAAAGCCAGGACAGTGGTCCGGACGAAAGTCTCTGCATACTCCGCAAGCAGAATGGTGTCGCACTGTGAGCGAGAACACACAAACGACCAAGGTTAGGCAGGAATATTGGCTCGAGAAGTAAAAACACAGCAGAGGGCAAGATTACGTGGGAGGAGGGTCAAACGGTAGAAAAGAATTGAAGTTGTACGCACTTCCGTCTCGAGTTGTTCCGCGACATCTCTGTATAGCGCACTGCTGGGTTGCCTCAGTTCTTCCGTAAATGTCCGGTTCAGGGTCACTGAAAGAAGCACAGCTGGTGCAGGAGCTGCAGTGGTGGTTAAGTCACCAAGTGTTGAACCTGCGGGCGTTGCGTGAGGGATGACAAAAAGTTAGCATGAGTAGGTGCTCTGTCCCCCAACAGACAGCCGCTGGGGCAAAAAGCGTAGATGCTTGTACGAAATGTTTCCTTACCAAGGACAGTGATGGACCCACGGACAAGGGATATGTTGAAGGTGCCGTTTTGCGCAGCCTCTTGTAAAGTCGCCACAACCTCATCTGCCGCTGGAAGCTCATCTTGTGCTGCCACGGAGCTGAATAGCAGGCTCAGCTCTGCCCTGACCTCGTTCTCCGGGCCGGGACTATGCATTGAAAAAAAACAAGAAAAAAACACATAGCTCAGTGGGATGAACAGGTTTTCCATTTGCAATGGTTTTGCTCCTTTTAAGAGTAGTTAACAAAGCATGGGCTCAGTCACGCAGACAAAAATAAACACTGGAATCCATCTGGCTGTGGCCCTAAAGATGGTTTCCTGGTGACCAGGTGCTGTAGCCTATGTCTGAGACCGGGAAGCCTCCCAAGCTTACTTCAAAGCCAGGACAGTGGTCCGGACGAAAGTCTCTGCATACTCCCCAAGCAGAATGGTGTCGCACTGTGAGCGAGAACACACAAACGACCAAGGTTAGGCAGGAATATTGGCTCGAGAAGTAAAAACACAGCAGAGGGCAAGATTACGTGGGAGGAGGGTCAAACGGTAGAAAAGAATTGAAGCTGTACGCACTTCCGTCTCGAGTTGTTCCGCGACATCTCTGTATAGCGCACTGCTGGGTTGCCTCAGTTCTTCCGTAAATGTCCGGTTCAGGGTCACTGAAAGAAGCACAGCTGGTGCAGGAGCTGCAGTGGTGGTTAAGTCACCAAGTGTTGAACCTGCGGGCGTTGCGTGAGGGATGACAAAAAGTTAGCATGAGTAGGTGCTCTGTCCCCCAACAGACAGCCGCTGGGGCAAAAAGCGTAGATGCTTGTACGAAATGTTTCCTTACCAAGGACAGTGATGGACCCACGGACAAGGGATATGTTGAAGGTGCCGTTTTGCGCAGCCTCTTGTAAAGTCGCCACAACCTCATCTGCCGCTGGAAGCTCATCTTGTGCTGCCACGGAGCTGAATAGCAGGCTCAGCTCTGCCCTGACCTCGTTCTCCGGGCCGGGACTATGCATTGAAAAAAAACAAGAAAAAAACACATAGCTCAGTGGGATGAACAGGTTTTCCATTTGCAATGGTTTTGCTCCTTTTAAGAGTAGTTAACAAAGCATGGGCTCAGTCACGCAGACAAAAATAAACACTGGAATCCATCTGGCTGTGGCCCTAAAGATGGTTTCCTGGTGACCAGGTGCTGTAGCCTATGTCTGAGACCGGGAAGCCTCCCAAGCTTACTTCAAAGCCAGGACAGTGGTCCGGACGAAAGTCTCTGCATACTCCCCAAGCAGAATGGTGTCGCACTGTGAGCGAGAACACACAAACGACCAAGGTTAGGCAGGAATATTGGCTCGAGAAGTAAAACACAGCAGAGGGCAAGATTACGTGGGAGGAGGGTCAAACGGTAGAAAAGAATTGAAGTTGTACGCACTTCCGTCTCGAGTTGTTCCGCGACATCTCTGTATAGCGCACTGCTGGGTTGCCTCAGTTCTTCCGTAAATGTCCGGTTCAGGGTCACTGAAAGAAGCACAGCTGGTGCAGGAGCTGCAGTGGTGGTTAAGTCACCAAGTGTTGAACCTGCGGGCGTTGCGTGAGGGATGACAAAAAGTTAGCATGAGTAGGTGCTCTGTCCCCCAACAGACAGCCGCTGGGGCAAAAAGCGTAGATGCTTGTACGAAATGTTTCCTTACCAAGGACAGTGATGGACCCACGGACAAGGGATATGTTGAAGGTGCCGTTTTGCGCAGCCTCTTGTAAAGTCGCCACAACCTCATCTGCCGCTGGAAGCTCATCTTGTGCTGCCACGGAGCTGAATAGCAGGCTCAGCTCTGCCCTGACCTCGTTCTCCGGGCCGGGACTATGCATTGAAAAAAAACAAGAAAAAAACACATAGCTCAGTGGGATGAACAGGTTTTCCATTTGCAATGGTTTTGCTCCTTTTAAGAGTAGTTAACAAAGCATGGGCTCAGTCACGCAGACAAAAATAAACACTGGAATCCATCTGGCTGTGGCCCTAAAGATGGTTTACTGGTGACCAGGTGCTGTAGCCTATGTCTGAGACCGGGAAGCCTCCCAAGCTTACTTCAAAGCCAGGACAGTGGTCCGGACGAAAGTCTCTGCATACTCCCCAAGCAGAATGGTGTCGCACTGTGAGCGAGAACACACAAACGACCAAGGTTAGGCAGGAATATTGGCTCGAGAAGTAAAAACACAGCAGAGGGCAAGATTACGTGGGAGGAGGGTCAAACGGTAGAAAAGAATTGAAGTTGTACGCACTTCCGTCTCGAGTTGTTCCGCGACATCTCTGTATAGCGCACTGCTGGGTTGCCTCAGTTCTTCCGTAAATGTCCGGTTCAGGGTCACTGAAAGAAGCACAGCTGGTGCAGGAGCTGCAGTGGTGGTTAAGTCACCAAGTGTTGAACCTGCGGGCGTTGCGTGAGGGATGACAAAAAGTTAGCATGAGTAGGTGCTCTGTCCCCCAACAGACAGCCGCTGGGGCAAAAAGCGTAGATGCTTGTACGAAATGTTTCCTTACCAAGGACAGTGATGGACCCACGGACAAGGGATATGTTGAAGGTGCCGTTTTGCGCAGCCTCTTGTAAAGTCGCCACAACCTCATCTGCCGCTGGAAGCTCATCTTGTGCTGCCACGGAGCTGAATAGCAGGCTCAGCTCTGCCCTGACCTCGTTCTCCGGGCCGGGACTATGCATTGAAAAAAAACAAGAAAAAAACACATAGCTCAGTGGGATGAACAGGTTTTCCATTTGCAATGGTTTTGCTCCTTTTAAGAGTAGTTAACAAAGCATGGGCTCAGTCACGCAGACAAAAATAAACACTGGAATCCATCTGGCTGTGGCCCTAAAGATGGTTTCCTGGTGACCAGGTGCTGTAGCCTATGTCTGAGACCGGGAAGCCTCCCAAGCTTACTTCAAAGCCAGGACAGTGGTCCGGACGAAAGTCTCTGCATACTCCGCAAGCAGAATGGTGTCGCACTGTGAGCGAGAACACACAAACGACCAAGGTTAGGCAGGAATATTGGCTCGAGAAGTAAAAACACAGCAGAGGGCAAGATTACGTGGGAGGAGGGTCAAACGGTAGAAAAGAATTGAAGTTGTACGCACTTCCATCTCGAGTTGTTCCGCGACATCTCTGTATAGCGCACTGCTGGGTTGCCTCAGTTCTTCCGTAAATGTCCGGTTCAGGGTCACTGAAAGAAGCACAGCTGGTGCAGGAGCTGCAGTGGTGGTTAAGTCACCAAGTGTTGAACCTGCGGGCGTTGCGTGAGGGATGACAAAAAGTTAGCATGAGTAGGTGCTCTGTCCCCCAACAGACAGCCGCTGGGGCAAAAAGCGTAGATGCTTGTACGAAATGTTTCCTTACCAAGGACAGTGATGGACCCACGGACAAGGGATATGTTGAAGGTGCCGTTTTGCGCAGCCTCTTGTAAAGTCGCCACAACCTCATCTGCCGCTGGAAGCTCATCTTGTGCTGCCACGGAGCTGAATAGCAGGCTCAGCTCTGCCCTGACCTCGTTCTCCGGGCCGGGACTATGCATTGAAAAAAAACAAGAAAAAAACACATAGCTCAGTGGGATGAACAGGTTTTCCATTTGCAATGGTTTTGCTCCTTTTAAGAGTAGTTAACAAAGCATGGGCTCAGTCACGCAGACAAAAATAAACACTGGAATCCATCTGGCTGTGGCCCTAAAGATGGTTTACTGGTGACCAGGTGCTGTAGCCTATGTCTGAGACCGGGAAGCCTCCCAAGCTTACTTCAAAGCCAGGACAGTGGTCCGGACGAAAGTCTCTGCATACTCCCCAAGCAGAATGGTGTCGCACTGTGAGCGAGAACACACAAACGACCAAGGTTAGGCAGGAATATTGGCTCGAGAAGTAAAAACACAGCAGAGGGCAAGATTACGTGGGAGGAGGGTCAAACGGTAGAAAAGAATTGAAGTTGTACGCACTTCCATCTCGAGTTGTTCCGCGACATCTCTGTATAGCGCACTGCTGGGTTGCCTCAGTTCTTCCGTAAATGTCCGGTTCAGGGTCACTGATAGAAGCACAGCTGGTGCAGGAGCTGCAGTGGTGGTTAAGTCACCAAGTGTTGAACCTGCGGGCGTTGCGTGAGGGATGACAAAAAGTTAGCATGAGTAGGTGCTCTGTCCCCCAACAGACAGCCGCTGGGGCAAAAAGCGTAGATGCTTGTACGAAATGTTTCCTTACCAAGGACAGTGATGGACCCACGGACAAGGGATATGTTGAAGGTGCCGTTTTGCGCAGCCTCTTGTAAAGTCGCCACAACCTCATCTGCCGCTGGAAGCTCATCTTGTGCTGCCACGGAGCTGAATAGCAGGCTCAGCTCTGCCCTGACCTCGTTCTCCGGGCCGGGACTATGCATTGAAAAAAAACAAGAAAAAAACACATAGCTCAGTGGGATGAACAGGTTTTCCATTTGCAATGGTTTTGCTCCTTTTAAGAGTAGTTAACAAAGCATGGGCTCAGTCACGCAGACAAAAATAAACACTGGAATCCATCTGGCTGTGGCCCTAAAGATGGTTTCCTGGTGACCAGGTGCTGTAGCCTATGTCTGAGACCGGGAAGCCTCCCAAGCTTACTTCAAAGCCAGGACAGTGGTCCGGACGAAAGTCTCTGCATACTCCCCAAGCAGAATGGTGTCGCACTGTGAGCGAGAACACACAAACGACCAAGGTTAGGCAGGAATATTGGCTCGAGAAGTAAAACACAGCAGAGGGCAAGATTACGTGGGAGGAGGGTCAAACGGTAGAAAAGAATTGAAGTTGTACGCACTTCCGTCTCGAGTTGTTCCGCGACATCTCTGTATAGCGCACTGCTGGGTTGCCTCAGTTCTTCCGTAAATGTCCGGTTCAGGGTCACTGAAAGAAGCACAGCTGGTGCAGGAGCTGCAGTGGTGGTTAAGTCACCAAGTGTTGAACCTGCGGGCGTTGCGTGAGGGATGACAAAAAGTTAGCATGAGTAGGTGCTCTGTCCCCCAACAGACAGCCGCTGGGGCAAAAAGCGTAGATGCTTGTACGAAATGTTTCCTTACCAAGGACAGTGATGGACCCACGGACAAGGGATATGTTGAAGGTGCCGTTTTGCGCAGCCTCTTGTAAAGTCGCCACAACCTCATCTGCCGCTGGAAGCTCATCTTGTGCTGCCACGGAGCTGAATAGCAGGCTCAGCTCTGCCCTGACCTCGTTCTCCGGGCCGGGACTATGCATTGAAAAAAAACAAGAAAAAAACACATAGCTCAGTGGGATGAACAGGTTTTCCATTTGCAATGGTTTTGCTCCTTTTAAGAGTAGTTAACAAAGCATGGGCTCAGTCACGCAGACAAAAATAAACACTGGAATCCATCTGGCTGTGGCCCTAAAGATGGTTTCCTGGTGACCAGGTGCTGTAGCCTATGTCTGAGACCGGGAAGCCTCCCAAGCTTACTTCAAAGCCAGGACAGTGGTCCGGACGAAAGTCTCTGCATACTCCGCAAGCAGAATGGTGTCGCACTGTGAGCGAGAACACACAAACGACCAAGGTTAGGCAGGAATATTGGCTCGAGAAGTAAAAACACAGCAGAGGGCAAGATTACGTGGGAGGAGGGTCAAACGGTAGAAAAGAATTGAAGTTGTACGCACTTCCGTCTCGAGTTGTTCCGCGACATCTCTGTATAGCGCACTGCTGGGTTGCCTCAGTTCTTCCGTAAATGTCCGGTTCAGGGTCACTGAAAGAAGCACAGCTGGTGCAGGAGCTGCAGTGGTGGTTAAGTCACCAAGTGTTGAACCTGCGGGCGTTACGAAGGGATGACAAAAAGTTAGCATGAGTAGGTGCTCTGTCCCCCAACTGACAGCCGCTGGGGCAAAAAGCGTAGATGCTTGTACGAAATGTTTCCTTACCAAGGACAGTGATGGACCCACGGACAAGGGATATGTTGAAGGTGCCGTTTTGCGCAGCCTCTTGTAAAGTCGCCACAACCTCATCTGCCGCTGGAAGCTCATCTTGTGCTGCCACGGAGCTGAATAGCAGGCTCAGCTCTGCCCTGACCTCGTTCTCCGGGCCGGGACTATGCATTGAAAAAAAACAAGAAAAAAACACATAGCTCAGTGGGATGAACAGGTTTTCCATTTGCAATGGTTTTGCTCCTTTTAAGAGTAGTTAACAAAGCATGGGCTCAGTCACGCAGACAAAAATAAACACTGGAATCCATCTGGCTGTGGCCCTAAAGATGGTTTACTGGTGACCAGATGCTGTAGCCTATGTCTGAGAACGGGAAGCCTCCCAAGCTTACTTCAAAGCCAGGACAGTGGTCCGGACGAAAGTCTCTGCATACTCCGCAAGCAGAATGGTGTCGCACTGTGAGCGAGAACACACAAACGACCAAGGTTAGGCAGGAATATTGGCTCGAGAAGTAAAAACACAGCAGAGGGCAAGATTACGTGGGAGGAGGGTCAAACGGTAGAAAAGAATTGAAGTTGTACGCACTTCCATCTCGAGTTGTTCCGCGACATCTCTGTATAGCGCACTGCTGGGTTGCCTCAGTTCTTCCGTAAATGTCCGGTTCAGGGTCACTGATAGAAGCACAGCTGGTGCAGGAGCTGCAGTGGTGGTTAAGTCACCAAGTGTTGAACCTGCGGGCGTTGCGTGAGGGATGACAAAAAGTTAGCATGAGTAGGTGCTCTGTCCCCCAACAGACAGCCGCTGGGGCAAAAAGCGTAGATGCTTGTACGAAATGTTTCCTTACCAAGGACAGTGATGGACCCACGGACAAGGGATATGTTGAAGGTGCCGTTTTGCGCAGCCTCTTGTAAAGTCGCCACAACCTCATCTGCCGCTGGAAGCTCATCTTGTGCTGCCACGGAGCTGAATAGCAGGCTCAACTCTGCCCTGACCTCGTTCTCCGGGCCGGGACTATGCATTGAAAAAAAACAAGAAAAAAACACATAGCTCAGTGGGATGAACAGGTTTTCCATTTGCAATGGTTTTGCTCCTTTTAAGAGTAGTTAACAAAGCATGGGCTCAGTCACGCAGACAAAAATAAACACTGGAATCCATCTGGCTGTGGCCCTAAAGATGGTTTCCTGGTGACCAGGTGCTGTAGCCTATGTCTGAGACCGGGAAGCCTCCCAAGCTTACTTCAAAGCCAGGACAGTGGTCCGGACGAAAGTCTCTGCATACTCCCCAAGCAGAATGGTGTCGCACTGTGAGCGAGAACACACAAACGACCAAGGTTAGGCAGGAATATTGGCTCGAGAAGTAAAACACAGCAGAGGGCAAGATTACGTGGGAGGAGGGTCAAACGGTAGAAAAGAATTGAAGTTGTACGCACTTCCGTCTCGAGTTGTTCCGCGACATCTCTGTATAGCGCACTGCTGGGTTGCCTCAGTTCTTCCGTAAATGTCCGGTTCAGGGTCACTGATAGAAGCACAGCTGGTGCAGGAGCTGCAGTGGTGGTTAAGTCACCAAGTGTTGAACCTGCGGGCGTTGCGTGAGGGATGACAAAAAGTTAGCATGAGTAGGTGCTCTGTCCCCCAACAGACAGCCGCTGGGGCAAAAAGCGTAGATGCTTGTACGAAATGTTTCCTTACCAAGGACAGTGATGGACCCACGGACAAGGGATATGTTGAAGGTGCCGTTTTGCGCAGCCTCTTGTAAAGTCGCCACAACCTCATCTGCCGCTGGAAGCTCATCTTGTGCTGCCACGGAGCTGAATAGCAGGCTCAGCTCTGCCCTGACCTCGTTCTCCGGGCCGGGACTATGCATTGAAAAAAAAACAAGAAAAAAACACATAGCTCAGTGGGATGAACAGGTTTTCCATTTGCAATGGTTTTGCTCCTTTTAAGAGTAGTTAACAAAGCATGGGCTCAGTCACGCAGACAAAAATAAACACTGGAATCCATCTGGCTGTGGCCCTAAAGATGGTTTCCTGGTGACCAGGTGCTGTAGCCTATGTCTGAGACCGGGAAGCCTCCCAAGCTTACTTCAAAGCCAGGACAGTGGTCCGGACGAAAGTCTCTGCATACTCCCCAAGCAGAATGGTGTCGCACTGTGAGCGAGAACACACAAACGACCAAGGTTAGGCAGGAATATTGGCTCGAGAAGTAAAAACACAGCAGAGGGCAAGATTACGTGGGAGGAGGGTCAAACGGTAGAAAAGTATTGAAGCTGTACGCACTTCCGTCTCGAGTTGTTCCGCGACATCTCTGTATAGCGCACTGCTGGGTTGCCTCAGTTCTTCCGTAAATGTCCGGTTCAGGGTCACTGATAGAAGCACAGCTGGTGCAGGAGCTGCAGTGGTGGTTAAGTCACCAAGTGTTGAACCTGCGGGCGTTGCGTGAGGGATGACAAAAAGTTAGCATGAGTAGGTGCTCTGTCCCCCAACAGACAGCCGCTGGGGCAAAAAGCGTAGATGCTTGTACGAAATGTTTCCTTACCAAGGACAGTGATGGACCCACGGACAAGGGATATGTTGAAGGTGCCGTTTTGCGCAGCCTCTTGTAAAGTCGCCACAACCTCATCTGCCGCTGGAAGCTCATCTTGTGCTGCCACGGAGCTGAATAGCAGGCTCAGCTCTGCCCTGACCTCGTTCTCCGGGCCGGGACTATGCATTGAAAAAAAACAAGAAAAAAACACATAGCTCAGTGGGATGAACAGGTTTTCCATTTGCAATGGTTTTGCTCCTTTTAAGAGTAGTTAACAAAGCATGGGCTCAGTCACGCAGACAAAAATAAACACTGGAATCCATCTGGCTGTGGCCCTAAAGATGGTTTCCTGGTGACCAGGTGCTGTAGCCTATGTCTGAGACCGGGAAGCCTCCCAAGCTTACTTCAAAGCCAGGACAGTGGTCCGGACGAAAGTCTCTGCATACTCCCCAAGCAGAATGGTGTCGCACTGTGAGCGAGAACACACAAACGACCAAGGTTAGGCAGGAATATTGGCTCGAGAAGTAAAAACACAGCAGAGGGCAAGATTACGTGGGAGGAGGGTCAAACGGTAGAAAAGTATTGAAGCTGTACGCACTTCCGTCTCGAGTTGTTCCGCGACATCTCTGTATAGCGCACTGCTGGGTTGCCTCAGTTCTTCCGTAAATGTCCGGTTCAGGGTCACTGATAGAAGCACAGCTGGTGCAGGAGCTGCAGTGGTGGTTAAGTCACCAAGTGTTGAACCTGCGGGCGTTGCGTGAGGGATGACAAAAAGTTAGCATGAGTAGGTGCTCTGTCCCCCAACAGACAGCCGCTGGGGCAAAAAGCGTAGATGCTTGTACGAAATGTTTCCTTACCAAGGACAGTGATGGACCCACGGACAAGGGATATGTTGAAGGTGCCGTTTTGCGCAGCCTCTTGTAAAGTCGCCACAACCTCATCTGCCGCTGGAAGCTCATCTTGTGCTGCCACGGAGCTGAATAGCAGGCTCAGCTCTGCCCTGACCTCGTTCTCCGGGCCGGGACTATGCATTGAAAAAAAACAAGAAAAAAACACATAGCTCAGTGGGATGAACAGGTTTTCCATTTGCAATGGTTTTGCTCCTTTTAAGAGTAGTTAACAAAGCATGGGCTCAGTCACGCAGACAAAAATAAACACTGGAATCCATCTGGCTGTGGCCCTAAAGATGGTTTCCTGGTGACCAGGTGCTGTAGCCTATGTCTGAGACCGGGAAGCCTCCCAAGCTTACTTCAAAGCCAGGACAGTGGTCCGGACGAAAGTCTCTGCATACTCCCCAAGCAGAATGGTGTCGCACTGTGAGCGAGAACACACAAACGACCAAGGTTAGGCAGGAATATTGGCTCGAGAAGTAAAAACACAGCAGAGGGCAAGATTACGTGGGAGGAGGGTCAAACGGTAGAAAAGAATTGAAGTTGTACGCACTTCCATCTCGAGTTGTTCCGCGACATCTCTGTATAGCGCACTGCTGGGTTGCCTCAGTTCTTCCGTAAATGTCCGGTTCAGGGTCACTGAAAGAAGCACAGCTGGTGCAGGAGCTGCAGTGGTGGTTAAGTCACCAAGTGTTGAACCTGCGGGCGTTGCGTGAGGGATGACAAAAAGTTAGCATGAGTAGGTGCTCTGTCCCCCAACAGACAGCCGCTGGGGCAAAAAGCGTAGATGCTTGTACGAAATGTTTCCTTACCAAGGACAGTGATGGACCCACGGACAAGGGATATGTTGAAGGTGCCGTTTTGCACAGCCTCTTGTAAAGTCGCCACAACCTCATCTGCCGCTGGAAGCTCATCTTGTGCTGCCACGGAGCTGAATAGCAGGCTCAGCTCTGCCCTGACCTCGTTCTCCGGGCCGGGACTATGCATTGAAAAAAAACAAGAAAAAAACACATAGCTCAGTGGGATGAACAGGTTTTCCATTTGCAATGGTTTTGCTCCTTTTAAGAGTAGTTAACAAAGCATGGGCTCAGTCACGCAGACAAAAATAAACACTGGAATCCATCTGGCTGTGGCCCTAAAGATGGTTTCCTGGTGACCAGGTGCTGTAGCCTATGTCTGAGACCGGGAAGCCTCCCAAGCTTACTTCAAAGCCAGGACAGTGGTCCGGACGAAAGTCTCTGCATACTCCGCAAGCAGAATGGTGTCGCACTGTGAGCGAGAACACACAAACGACCAAGGTTAGGCAGGAATATTGGCTCGAGAAGTAAAAACACAGCAGAGGGCAAGATTACGTGGGAGGAGGGTCAAACGGTAGAAAAGAATTGAAGTTGTACGCACTTCCATCTCGAGTTGTTCCGCGACATCTCTGTATAGCGCACTGCTGGGTTGCCTCAGTTCTTCCGTAAATGTCCGGTTCAGGGTCACTGAAAGAAGCACAGCTGGTGCAGGAGCTGCAGTGGTGGTTAAGTCACCAAGTGTTGAACCTGCGGGCGTTGCGTGAGGGATGACAAAAAGTTAGCATGAGTAGGTGCTCTGTCCCCCAACAGACAGCCGCTGGGGCAAAAAGCGTAGATGCTTGTACGAAATGTTTCCTTACCAAGGACAGTGATGGACCCACGGACAAGGGATATGTTGAAGGTGCCGTTTTGCGCAGCCTCTTGTAAAGTCGCCACAACCTCATCTGCCGCTGGAAGCTCATCTTGTGCTGCCACGGAGCTGAATAGCAGGCTCAGCTCTGCCCTGACCTCGTTCTCCGGGCCGGGACTATGCATTGAAAAAAAACAAGAAAAAAACACATAGCTCAGTGGGATGAACAGGTTTTCCATTTGCAATGGTTTTGCTCCTTTTAAGAGTAGTTAACAAAGCATGGGCTCAGTCACGCAGACAAAAATAAACACTGGAATCCATCTGGCTGTGGCCCTAAAGATGGTTTCCTGGTGACCAGGTGCTGTAGCCTATGTCTGAGACCGGGAAGCCTCCCAAGCTTACTTCAAAGCCAGGACAGTGGTCCGGACGAAAGTCTCTGCATACTCCGCAAGCAGAATGGTGTCGCACTGTGAGCGAGAACACACAAACGACCAAGGTTAGGCAGGAATATTGGCTCGAGAAGTAAAAACACAGCAGAGGGCAAGATTACGTGGGAGGAGGGTCAAACGGTAGAAAAGAATTGAAGTTGTACGCACTTCCGTCTCGAGTTGTTCCGCGACATCTCTGTATAGCGCACTGCTGGGTTGCCTCAGTTCTTCCGTAAATGTCCGGTTCAGGGTCACTGAAAGAAGCACAGCTGGTGCAGGAGCTGCAGTGGTGGTTAAGTCACCAAGTGTTGAACCTGCGGGCGTTACGAAGGGATGACAAAAAGTTAGCATGAGTAGGTGCTCTGTCCCCCAACTGACAGCCGCTGGGGCAAAAAGCGTAGATGCTTGTACGAAATGTTTCCTTACCAAGGACAGTGATGGACCCACGGACAAGGGATATGTTGAAGGTGCCGTTTTGCGCAGCCTCTTGTAAAGTCGCCACAACCTCATCTGCCGCTGGAAGCTCATCTTGTGCTGCCACGGAGCTGAATAGCAGGCTCAGCTCTGCCCTGACCTCGTTCTCCGGGCCGGGACTATGCATTGAAAAAAAACAAGAAAAAAACACATAGCTCAGTGGGATGAACAGGTTTTCCATTTCCAATGGTTTTGCTCCTTTTAAGAGTAGTTAACAAAGCATGGGCTCAGTCACGCAGACAAAAATAAACACTGGAATCCATCTGGCTGTGGCCCTAAAGATGGTTTACTGGTGACCAGGTGCTGTAGCCTATGTCTGAGAACGGGAAGCCTCCCAAGCTTACTTCAAAGCCAGGACAGTGGTCCGGACGAAAGTCTCTGCATACTCCGCAAGCAGAATGGTGTCGCACTGTGAGCGAGAACACACAAACGACCAAGGTTAGGCAGGAATATTGGCTCGAGAAGTAAAAACACAGCAGAGGGCAAGATTACGTGGGAGGAGGGTCAAACGGTAGAAAAGAATTGAAGTTGTACGCACTTCCGTCTCGAGTTGTTCCGCGACATCTCTGTATAGCGCACTGCTGGGTTGCCTCAGTTCTTCCGTAAATGTCCGGTTCAGGGTCACTGATAGAAGCACAGCTGGTGCAGGAGCTGCAGTGGTGGTTAAGTCACCAAGTGTTGAACCTGCGGGCGTTGCGTGAGGGATGACAAAAAGTTAGCATGAGTAGGTGCTCTGTCCCCCAACAGACAGCCGCTGGGGCAAAAAGCGTAGATGCTTGTACGAAATGTTTCCTTACCAAGGACAGTGATGGACCCACGGACAAGGGATATGTTGAAGGTGCCGTTTTGCGCAGCCTCTTGTAAAGTCGCCACAACCTCATCTGCCGCTGGAAGCTCATCTTGTGCTGCCACGGAGCTGAATAGCAGGCTCAGCTCTGCCCTGACCTCGTTCTCCGGGCCGGGACTATGCATTGAAAAAAAACAAGAAAAAAACACATAGCTCAGTGGGATGAACAGGTTTTCCATTTGCAATGGTTTTGCTCCTTTTAAGAGTAGTTAACAAAGCATGGGCTCAGTCACGCAGACAAAAATAAACACTGGAATCCATCTGGCTGTGGCCCTAAAGATGGTTTCCTGGTGACCAGGTGCTGTAGCCTATGTCTGAGACCGGGAAGCCTCCCAAGCTTACTTCAAAGCCAGGACAGTGGTCCGGACGAAAGTCTCTGCATACTCCCCAAGCAGAATGGTGTCGCACTGTGAGCGAGAACACACAAACGACCAAGGTTAGGCAGGAATATTGGCTCGAGAAGTAAAACACAGCAGAGGGCAAGATTACGTGGGAGGAGGGTCAAACGGTAGAAAAGAATTGAAGTTGTACGCACTTCCGTCTCGAGTTGTTCCGCGACATCTCTGTATAGCGCACTGCTGGGTTGCCTCAGTTCTTCCGTAAATGTCCGGTTCAGGGTCACTGATAGAAGCACAGCTGGTGCAGGAGCTGCAGTGGTGGTTAAGTCACCAAGTGTTGAACCTGCGGGCGTTGCGTGAGGGATGACAAAAAGTTAGCATGAGTAGGTGCTCTGTCCCCCAACAGACAGCCGCTGGGGCAAAAAGCGTAGATGCTTGTACGAAATGTTTCCTTACCAAGGACAGTGATGGACCCACGGACAAGGGATATGTTGAAGGTGCCGTTTTGCGCAGCCTCTTGTAAAGTCGCCACAACCTCATCTGCCGCTGGAAGCTCATCTTGTGCTGCCACGGAGCTGAATAGCAGGCTCAGCTCTGCCCTGACCTCGTTCTCCGGGCCGGGACTATGCATTGAAAAAAAACAAGAAAAAAACACATAGCTCAGTGGGATGAACAGGTTTTCCATTTGCAATGGTTTTGCTCCTTTTAAGAGTAGTTAACAAAGCATGGGCTCAGTCATGCAGACAAAAATAAACACTGGAATCCATCTGGCTGTGGCCCTAAAGATGGTTTCCTGGTGACCAGGTGCTGTAGCCTATGTCTGAGACCGGGAAGCCTCCCAAGCTTACTTCAAAGCCAGGACAGTGGTCCGGACGAAAGTCTCTGCATACTCCCCAAGCAGAATGGTGTCGCACTGTGAGCGAGAACACACAAACGACCAAGGTTAGGCAGGAATATTGGCTCGAGAAGTAAAACACAGCAGAGGGCAAGATTACGTGGGAGGAGGGTCAAACGGTAGAAAAGAATTGAAGTTGTACGCACTTCCGTCTCGAGTTGTTCCGCGACATCTCTGTATAGCGCACTGCTGGGTTGCCTCAGTTCTTCCGTAAATGTCCGGTTCAGGGTCACTGATAGAAGCACAGCTGGTGCAGGAGCTGCAGTGGTGGTTAAGTCACCAAGTGTTGAACCTGCGGGCGTTGCGTGAGGGATGACAAAAAGTTAGCATGAGTAGGTGCTCTGTCCCCCAACAGACAGCCGCTGGGGCAAAAAGCGTAGATGCTTGTACGAAATGTTTCCTTACCAAGGACAGTGATGGACCCACGGACAAGGGATATGTTGAAGGTGCCGTTTTGCGCAGCCTCTTGTAAAGTCGCCACAACCTCATCTGCCGCTGGAAGCTCATCTTGTGCTGCCACGGAGCTGAATAGCAGGCTCAGCTCTGCCCTGACCTCGTTCTCCGGGCCGGGACTATGCATTGAAAAAAAACAAGAAAAAAACACATAGCTCAGTGGGATGAACAGGTTTTCCATTTGCAATGGTTTTGCTCCTTTTAAGAGTAGTTAACAAAGCATGGGCTCAGTCACGCAGACAAAAATAAACACTGGAATCCATCTGGCTGTGGCCCTAAAGATGGTTTCCTGGTGACCAGGTGCTGTAGCCTATGTCTGAGACCGGGAAGCCTCCCAAGCTTACTTCAAAGCCAGGACAGTGGTCCGGACGAAAGTCTCTGCATACTCCGCAAGCAGAATGGTGTCGCACTGTGAGCGAGAACACACAAACGACCAAGGTTAGGCAGGAATATTGGCTCGAGAAGTAAAAACACAGCAGAGGGCAAGATTACGTGGGAGGAGGGTCAAACGGTAGAAAAGTATTGAAGTTGTACGCACTTCCGTCTCGAGTTGTTCCGCGACATCTCTGTATAGCGCACTGCTGGGTTGCCTCAGTTCTTCCGTAAATGTCCGGTTCAGGGTCACTGAAAGAAGCACAGCTGGTGCAGGAGCTGCAGTGGTGGTTAAGTCACCAAGTGTTGAACCTGCGGGCGTTACGTGAGGGATGACAAAAAGTTAGCATGAGTAGGTGCTCTGTCCCCCAACTGACAGCCGCTGGGGCAAAAAGCGTAGATGCTTGTACGAAATGTTTCCTTACCAAGGACAGTGATGGACCCACGGACAAGGGATATGTTGAAGGTGCCGTTTTGCGCAGCCTCTTGTAAAGTCGCCACAACCTCATCTGCCGCTGGAAGCTCATCTTGTGCTGCCACGGAGCTGAATAGCAGGCTCAGCTCTGCCCTGACCTCGTTCTCCGGGCCGGGACTATGCATTGAAAAAAAACAAGAAAAAAACACATAGCTCAGTGGGATGAACAGGTTTTCCATTTCCAATGGTTTTGCTCCTTTTAAGAGTAGTTAACAAAGCATGGGCTCAGTCACGCAGACAAAAATAAACACTGGAATCCATCTGGCTGTGGCCCTAAAGATGGTTTCCTGGTGACCAGGTGCTGTAGCCTATGTCTGAGACCGGGAAGCCTCCCAAGCTTACTTCAAAGCCAGGACAGTGGTCCGGACGAAAGTCTCTGCATACTCCGCAAGCAGAATGGTGTCGCACTGTGAGCGAGAACACACAAACGACCAAGGTTAGGCAGGAATATTGGCTCGAGAAGTAAAAACACAGCAGAGGGCAAGATTACGTGGGAGGAGGGTCAAACGGTAGAAAAGAATTGAAGTTGTACGCACTTCCGTCTCGAGTTGTTCCGCGACATCTCTGTATAGCGCACTGCTGGGTTGCCTCAGTTCTTCCGTAAATGTCCGGTTCAGGGTCACTGAAAGAAGCACAGCTGGTGCAGGAGCTGCAGTGGTGGTTAAGTCACCAAGTGTTGAACCTGCGGGCGTTACGAAGGGATGACAAAAAGTTAGCATGAGTAGGTGCTCTGTCCCCCAACTGACAGCCGCTGGGGCAAAAAGCGTAGATGCTTGTACGAAATGTTTCCTTACCAAGGACAGTGATGGACCCACGGACAAGGGATATGTTGAAGGTGCCGTTTTGCGCAGCCTCTTGTAAAGTCGCCACAACCTCATCTGCCGCTGGAAGCTCATCTTGTGCTGCCACGGAGCTGAATAGCAGGCTCAGCTCTGCCCTGACCTCGTTCTCCGGGCCGGGACTATGCATTGAAAAAAAACAAGAAAAAAACACATAGCTCAGTGGGATGAACAGGTTTTCCATTTCCAATGGTTTTGCTCCTTTTAAGAGTAGTTAACAAAGCATGGGCTCAGTCACGCAGACAAAAATAAACACTGGAATCCATCTGGCTGTGGCCCTAAAGATGGTTTACTGGTGACCAGGTGCTGTAGCCTATGTCTGAGAACGGGAAGCCTCCCAAGCTTACTTCAAAGCCAGGACAGTGGTCCGGACGAAAGTCTCTGCATACTCCGCAAGCAGAATGGTGTCGCACTGTGAGCGAGAACACACAAACGACCAAGGTTAGGCAGGAATATTGGCTCGAGAAGTAAAACACAGCAGAGGGCAAGATTACGTGGGAGGAGGGTCAAACGGTAGAAAAGAATTGAAGTTGTACGCACTTCCGTCTCGAGTTGTTCCGCGACATCTCTGTATAGCGCACTGCTGGGTTGCCTCAGTTCTTCCGTAAATGTCCGGTTCAGGGTCACTGATAGAAGCACAGCTGGTGCAGGAGCTGCAGTGGTGGTTAAGTCACCAAGTGTTGAACCTGCGGGCGTTGCGTGAGGGATGACAAAAAGTTAGCATGAGTAGGTGCTCTGTCCCCCAACAGACAGCCGCTGGGGCAAAAAGCGTAGATGCTTGTACGAAATGTTTCCTTACCAAGGACAGTGATGGACCCACGGACAAGGGATATGTTGAAGGTGCCGTTTTGCGCAGCCTCTTGTAAAGTCGCCACAACCTCATCTGCCGCTGGAAGCTCATCTTGTGCTGCCACGGAGCTGAATAGCAGGCTCAGCTCTGCCCTGACCTCGTTCTCCGGGCCGGGACTATGCATTGAAAAAAAACAAGAAAAAAAAAAACACATAGCTCAGTGGGATGAACAGGTTTTCCATTTGCAATGGTTTTGCTCCTTTTAAGAGTAGTTAACAAAGCATGGGCTCAGTCATGCAGACAAAAATAAACACTGGAATCCATCTGGCTGTGGCCCTAAAGATGGTTTCCTGGTGACCAGGTGCTGTAGCCTATGTCTGAGACCGGGAAGCCTCCCAAGCTTACTTCAAAGCCAGGACAGTGGTCCGGACGAAAGTCTCTGCATACTCCGCAAGCAGAATGGTGTCGCACTGTGAGCGAGAACACACAAACGACCAAGGTTAGGCAGGAATATTGGCTCGAGAAGTAAAAACACAGCAGAGGGCAAGATTACGTGGGAGGAGGGTCAAACGGTAGAAAAGTATTGAAGCTGTACGCACTTCCGTCTCGAGTTGTTCCGCGACATCTCTGTATAGCGCACTGCTGGGTTGCCTCAGTTCTTCCGTAAATGTCCGGTTCAGGGTCACTGATAGAAGCACAGCTGGTGCAGGAGCTGCAGTGGTGGTTAAGTCACCAAGTGTTGAACCTGCGGGCGTTGCGTGAGGGATGACAAAAAGTTAGCATGAGTAGGTGCTCTGTCCCCCAACAGACAGCCGCTGGGGCAAAAAGCGTAGATGCTTGTACGAAATGTTTCCTTACCAAGGACAGTGATGGACCCACGGACAAGGGATATGTTGAAGGTGCCGTTTTGCGCAGCCTCTTGTAAAGTCGCCACAACCTCATCTGCCGCTGGAAGCTCATCTTGTGCTGCCACGGAGCTGAATAGCAGGCTCAGCTCTGCCCTGACCTCGTTCTCCGGGCCGGGACTATGCATTGAAAAAAAACAAGAAAAAAACACATAGCTCAGTGGGATGAACAGGTTTTCCATTTGCAATGGTTTTGCTCCTTTTAAGAGTAGTTAACAAAGCATGGGCTCAGTCACGCAGACAAAAATAAACACTGGAATCCATCTGGCTGTGGCCCTAAAGATGGTTTCCTGGTGACCAGGTGCTGTAGCCTATGTCTGAGACCGGGAAGCCTCCCAAGCTTACTTCAAAGCCAGGACAGTGGTCCGGACGAAAGTCTCTGCATACTCCGCAAGCAGAATGGTGTCGCACTGTGAGCGAGAACACACAAACGACCAAGGTTAGGCAGGAATATTGGCTCGAGAAGTAAAAACACAGCAGAGGGCAAGATTACGTGGGAGGAGGGTCAAACGGTAGAAAAGAATTGAAGTTGTACGCACTTCCATCTCGAGTTGTTCCGCGACATCTCTGTATAGCGCACTGCTGGGTTGCCTCAGTTCTTCCGTAAATGTCCGGTTCAGGGTCACTGAAGAAGCACAGCTGGTGCAGGAGCTGCAGTGGTGGTTAAGTCACCAAGTGTTGAACCTGCGGGCGTTGCGTGAGGGATGACAAAAAGTTAGCATGAGTAGGTGCTCTGTCCCCCAACAGACAGCCGCTGGGGCAAAAAGCGTAGATGCTTGTACGAAATGTTTCCTTACCAAGGACAGTGATGGACCCACGGACAAGGGATATGTTGAAAGTGCCGTTTTGCGCAGCCTCTTGTAAAGTCGCCACAACCTCATCTGCCGCTGGAAGCTCATCTTGTGCTGCCACGGAGCTGAATAGCAGGCTCAGCTCTGCCCTGACCTCGTTCTCCGGGCCGGGACTATGCATTGAAAAAAAACAAGAAAAAAACACATAGCTCAGTGGGATGAACAGGTTTTCCATTTGCAATGGTTTTGCTCCTTTTAAGAGTAGTTAACAAAGCATGGGCTCAGTCACGCAGACAAAAATAAACACTGGAATCCATCTGGCTGTGGCCCTAAAGATGGTTTACTGGTGACCAGGTGCTGTAGCCTATGTCTGAGACCGGGAAGCCTCCCAAGCTTACTTCAAAGCCAGGACAGTGGTCCGGACGAAAGTCTCTGCATACTCCCCAAGCAGAATGGTGTCGCACTGTGAGCGAGAACACACAAACGACCAAGGTTAGGCAGGAATATTGGCTCGAGAAGTAAAACACAGCAGAGGGCAAGATTACGTGGGAGGAGGGTCAAACGGTAGAAAAGAATTGAAGTTGCACGCACTTCCGTCTCGAGTTGTTCCGCGACATCTCTGTATAGCGCACTGCTGGGTTGCCTCAGTTCTTCCGTAAATGTCCGGTTCAGGGTCACTGATAGAAGCACAGCTGGTGCAGGAGCTGCAGTGGTGGTTAAGTCACCAAGTGTTGAACCTGCGGGCGTTGCGTGAGGGATGACAAAAAGTTAGCATGAGTAGGTGCTCTGTCCCCCAACAGACAGCCGCTGGGGCAAAAAGCGTAGATGCTTGTACGAAATGTTTCCTTACCAAGGACAGTGATGGACCCACGGACAAGGGATATGTTGAAGGTGCCGTTTTGCGCAGCCTCTTGTAAAGTCGCCACAACCTCATCTGCCGCTGGAAGCTCATCTTGTGCTGCCACGGAGCTGAATAGCAGGCTCAGCTCTGCCCTGACCTCGTTCTCCGGGCCGGGACTATGCATTGAAAAAAAACAAGAAAAAAACACATAGCTCAGTGGGATGAACAGGTTTTCCATTTCCAATGGTTTTGCTCCTTTTAAGAGTAGTTAACAAAGCATGGGCTCAGTCACGCAGACAAAAATAAACACTGGAATCCATCTGGCTGTGGCCCTAAAGATGGTTTCCTGGTGACCAGGTGCTGTAGCCTATGTCTGAGAACGGGAAGCCTCCCAAGCTTACTTCAAAGCCAGGACAGTGGTCCGGACGAAAGTCTCTGCATACTCCGCAAGCAGAATGGTGTCGCACTGTGAGCGAGAACACACAAACGACCAAGGTTAGGCAGGAATATTGGCTCGAGAAGTAAAAACACAGCAGAGGGCAAGATTACGTGGGAGGAGGGTCAAACGGTAGAAAAGAATTGAAGTTGTACGCACTTCCGTCTCGAGTTGTTCCGCGACATCTCTGTATAGCGCACTGCTGGGTTGCCTCAGTTCTTCCGTAAATGTCCGGTTCAGGGTCACTGATAGAAGCACAGCTGGTGCAGGAGCTGCAGTGGTGGTTAAGTCACCAAGTGTTGAACCTGCGGGCGTTGCGTGAGGGATGACAAAAAGTTAGCATGAGTAGGTGCTCTGTCCCCCAACAGACAGCCGCTGGGGCAAAAAGCGTAGATGCTTGTACGAAATGTTTCCTTACCAAGGACAGTGATGGACCCACGGACAAGGGATATGTTGAAGGTGCCGTTTTGCGCAGCCTCTTGTAAAGTCGCCACAACCTCATCTGCCGCTGGAAGCTCATCTTGTGCTGCCACGGAGCTGAATAGCAGGCTCAGCTCTGCCCTGACCTCGTTCTCCGGGCCGGGACTATGCATTGAAAAAAAACAAGAAAAAAACACATAGCTCAGTGGGATGAACAGGTTTTCCATTTCCAATGGTTTTGCTCCTTTTAAGAGTAGTTAACAAAGCATGGGCTCAGTCACGCAGACAAAAATAAACACTGGAATCCATCTGGCTGTGGCCCTAAAGATGGTTTCCTGGTGACCAGGTGCTGTAGCCTATGTCTGAGAACGGGAAGCCTCCCAAGCTTACTTCAAAGCCAGGACAGTGGTCCGGACGAAAGTCTCTGCATACTCCGCAAGCAGAATGGTGTCGCACTGTGAGCGAGAACACACAAACGACCAAGGTTAGGCAGGAATATTGGCTCGAGAAGTAAAAACACAGCAGAGGGCAAGATTACGTGGGAGGAGGGTCAAACGGTAGAAAAGAATTGAAGTTGTACGCACTTCCGTCTCGAGTTGTTCCGCGACATCTCTGTATAGCGCACTGCTGGGTTGCCTCAGTTCTTCCGTAAATGTCCGGTTCAGGGTCACTGATAGAAGCACAGCTGGTGCAGGAGCTGCAGTGGTGGTTAAGTCACCAAGTGTTGAACCTGCGGGCGTTGCGTGAGGGATGACAAAAAGTTAGCATGAGTAGGTGCTCTGTCCCCCAACAGACAGCCGCTGGGGCAAAAAGCGTAGATGCTTGTACGAAATGTTTCCTTACCAAGGACAGTGATGGACCCACGGACAAGGGATATGTTGAAGGTGCCGTTTTGCGCAGCCTCTTGTAAAGTCGCCACAACCTCATCTGCCGCTGGAAGCTCATCTTGTGCTGCCACGGAGCTGAATAGCAGGCTCAGCTCTGCCCTGACCTCGTTCTCCGGGCCGGGACTATGCATTGAAAAAAAACAAGAAAAAAACACATAGCTCAGTGGGATGAACAGGTTTTCCATTTGCAATGGTTTTGCTCCTTTTAAGAGTAGTTAACAAAGCATGGGCTCAGTCACGCAGACAAAAATAAACACTGGAATCCATCTGGCTGTGGCCCTAAAGATGGTTTCCTGGTGACCAGGTGCTGTAGCCTATGTCTGAGACCGGGAAGCCTCCCAAGCTTACTTCAAAGCCAGGACAGTGGTCCGGACGAAAGTCTCTGCATACATCGCAAGCAGAATGGTGTCGCACTGTGAGCGAGAACACACAAACGACCAAGGTTAGGCAGGAATATTGGCTCGAGAAGTAAAAACACAGCAGAGGGCAAGATTACGTGGGAGGAGGGTCAAACGGTAGAAAAGAATTGAAGTTGTACGCACTTCCGTCTCGAGTTGTTCCGCGACATCTCTGTATAGCGCACTGCTGGGTTGCCTCAGTTCTTCCGTAAATGTCCGGTTCAGGGTCACTGATAGAAGCACAGCTGGTGCAGGAGCTGCAGTGGTGGTTAAGTCACCAAGTGTTGAACCTGCGGGCGTTGCGTGAGGGATGACAAAAAGTTAGCATGAGTAGGTGCTCTGTCCCCCAACAGACAGCCGCTGGGGCAAAAAGCGTAGATGCTTGTACGAAATGTTTCCTTACCAAGGACAGTGATGGACCCACGGACAAGGGATATGTTGAAGGTGCCGTTTTGCGCAGCCTCTTGTAAAGTCGCCACAACCTCATCTGCCGCTGGAAGCTCATCTTGTGCTGCCACGGAGCTGAATAGCAGGCTCAGCTCTGCCCTGACCTCGTTCTCCGGGCCGGGACTATGCATTGAAAAAAAACAAGAAAAAAACACATAGCTCAGTGGGATGAACAGGTTTTCCATTTGCAATGGTTTTGCTCCTTTTAAGAGTAGTTAACAAAGCATGGGCTCAGTCACGCAGACAAAAATAAACACTGGAATCCATCTGGCTGTGGCCCTAAAGATGGTTTCCTGGTGACCAGGTGCTGTAGCCTATGTCTGAGACCGGGAAGCCTCCCAAGCTTACTTCAAAGCCAGGACAGTGGTCCGGACGAAAGTCTCTGCATACTCCCCAAGCAGAATGGTGTCGCACTGTGAGCGAGAACACACAAACGACCAAGGTTAGGCAGGAATATTGGCTCGAGAAGTAAAACACAGCAGAGGGCAAGATTACGTGGGAGGAGGGTCAAACGGTAGAAAAGAATTGAAGTTGTACGCACTTCCGTCTCGAGTTGTTCCGCGACATCTCTGTATAGCGCACTGCTGGGTTGCCTCAGTTCTTCCGTAAATGTCCGGTTCAGGGTCACTGAAAGAAGCACAGCTGGTGCAGGAGCTGCAGTGGTGGTTAAGTCACCAAGTGTTGAACCTGCGGGCGTTGCGTGAGGGATGACAAAAAGTTAGCATGAGTAGGTGCTCTGTCCCCCAACAGACAGCCGCTGGGGCAAAAAGCGTAGATGCTTGTACGAAATGTTTCCTTACCAAGGACAGTGATGGACCCACGGACAAGGGATATGTTGAAGGTGCCGTTTTGCGCAGCCTCTTGTAAAGTCGCCACAACCTCATCTGCCGCTGGAAGCTCATCTTGTGCTGCCACGGAGCTGAATAGCAGGCTCAGCTCTGCCCTGACCTCGTTCTCCGGGCCGGGACTATGCATTGAAAAAAAACAAGAAAAAAACACATAGCTCAGTGGGATGAACAGGTTTTCCATTTGCAATGGTTTTGCTCCTTTTAAGAGTAGTTAACAAAGCATGGGCTCAGTCACGCAGACAAAAATAAACACTGGAATCCATCTGGCTGTGGCCCTAAAGATGGTTTCCTGGTGACCAGGTGCTGTAGCCTATGTCTGAGACCGGGAAGCCTCCCAAGCTTACTTCAAAGCCAGGACAGTGGTCCGGACGAAAGTCTCTGCATACTCCGCAAGCAGAATGGTGTCGCACTGTGAGCGAGAACACACAAACGACCAAGGTTAGGCAGGAATATTGGCTCGAGAAGTAAAAACACAGCAGAGGGCAAGATTACGTGGGAGGAGGGTCAAACGGTAGAAAAGAATTGAAGTTGTACGCACTTCCGTCTCGAGTTGTTCCGCGACATCTCTGTATAGCGCACTGCTGGGTTGCCTCAGTTCTTCCGTAAATGTCCGGTTCAGGGTCACTGAAAGAAGCACAGCTGGTGCAGGAGCTGCAGTGGTGTCATTTGATGATGGTGCAGTTGTTCTTGTCTCTTGAGGCACTTTTTTTTCATAAACAAATGGTTTGGTATTAGTTTTGGCTTTTCTTGGAACCGATTTCTGAGGGAGAAAATTTTATTTTCAAGCACAAAATTTATTCTCACCTCGAACTTCAATGTTTTCTTTGTCAATACTGATGTTGAAGTTGGTGCTGCTGTTGTCTGCAGCTTCTACTAGGATGTTAACAACAGCATCAGGCTGTGGAATCTCATCTGATGTTGCTGTTTCGTTGAAATTTAGTTCCACCTCTGCTCTGACTTTTCCGTCTTCTGATCGTCTACAAAAAGGATCCAAATTTAATTTTCAATGTTCATCTTTATTTCATAGAACTTGCAACTAATTTGTATTTCCTTTATGTAAGTACATGAATGATTTTGTTGTAATGATAGTGTTTAAAGATTACCCAATGTTGATGAGTAAGGCGAAGGTCAAAACCGACCCCAAGCTCTTTTTTAAAACACCGTCACACTGTCAGAAAATCAAAATCAAAACAAAAAACAAATAAGTTTTTTTCTTTTTTAAATTTAACTTCTACAATAACCTGTAAAAAACATGACGTATTTTTTCCCCCTTTTTGTCATTTACTTTTCCATACAATTTTAATGAAGTTGGGACATTTAGTATGACATAATAAATAAAAACAGAATTCCGTGGTTTGCAAATCCTTTTTGACCTTTATTCAAGTGAATATTCTGTGTTCAAGATATTTTCTGTTCAAACTGATAAACTTGAATGTTTTTACTGTCATCAGTTTCTAAACCTTTATTCAGTGCCGTTAAATGGAAAGGTGATGTGTCACAGTGGTCAATAGCCCCTGCCCCAGCATTTTTGGAAAATGTTGCAGGCATCAAATATTCAAAAGTTCACTTCAAGGAGAACGGATAGCTATCACACCAGGATTTAGGAGAAATATTTACATTGCAACTGTTACACTCTCACAGATACACTTTTGTGCAGAAAAGTGTGAGAAATGAGATTTGAGCAATAGCCGGTTGACAAATCAGAATCCGGACAGAGATTTCAGTCATGTAGTATCCTAGCAAAATGACAAATCTGCATACAGTATATGGTGACATATCAAACATGATGGATAACTTGAAATTTTACTTACCATATTTCCAAGTTTTGCTTCCATGTTTTTGAATTCTGTACTGTTGGGATTGTTGAGTTCTTCCAGAAATTTGTCTTTTAAGGTGACTGCAATTACCAGTCTGACTTGGTTTGTGTTTGTCCCTTGACGTGTTGATTTGCCGGGTGTTGATTTTACAGGTGTTGACATATTGGTTGTTGTCAGCCCAACATTTTCAGTGGACTGTGATATGGCAAGCTTTTGAGCCCCTTTTCGGAAATAATGAAACAAATGGTTAAAAAAATACTTTTCACTTTAAGAATACTGCCATTGATACACTTAATTATCAAATCTTACCAATAAATATCAGTAAAACTGATAAGACAGGCCCAAGTGTCATCTTGTCAGCCACTGAATCTGTAAAATAAGTCAGAACTGAAAGATATTGAAGGACAAAATTTATTAATAACCTGTATTGTGACTAAACTTTATGTGATAATAATCTGGCTTTTGAAATTTTCACCAGTCCCATCCTTGGTGGCATTTATGTGCAGTGACCAGCACTGCTGCACCCCAAGCAAAGTGTTCTAGGTTCACTACAGATATAGCAGGTGTGGGGATTAAGATGATACTTCAAATCTGTACGTGATACATCAAAATAAAAATATTAACTTGCCAGCCCTTTTGATATAATAAAAAGAAGAAAAAAAAAAACATCTGTAAAGTTTTGGTATCTGTCCTCTTGTTTGAAGTTCAACTCTATCACTAACCTGCCGAGATGCATACTCAACCCATTTTGAAAGATTGATCTCAAAATCCAACAGTTGCAAACAATCTCTACAAAACGCATTAAAAAATAACCAGAAAATTTGAACAGCTTATTTAGTCTTGCCCCTTTCTTACAACATCAGTTCATGTAAGTCAATTTTTTTCAAGTTTTAGTAATAATGGTTATAATAATACACACACATACACAGACACACACACACACACACACACACACACACACACACACACACACACACACACATATATATATATATATATATATATATATATATATATATACATGTTAAATCAATAAATTAACGCAAAAAGTTAAATATATAAATTTAAAACTTCACTTACCCTAATGTGTAGCAGATACAGATAAAATAAATGAAAGTCCACTCTTCAAATAAGGGCTAATCTGTTTTGGTTGTGCGATACTTCAGCAGATATTTTGTCAATCCATCTTTTGTTTGCGACACTGCGAACGTTTACCAGTTGTGGTGGTTCTTACACTAACCTTGTTGGATTTTATATAGGGTAGTGGTTTCACCAGCAAATTGCATGACTCATTGAGGATATGCCTTTCAGTTGTGACACAGAGGGAGAAAAAAAACAAAATCAAAACACCAATCATAAGGTGCCTCTTGTTAAGCTGTCATTCTTGGCTCTGTCTTAGAGTATACTCCCTTGTCTTTGTGCTACAATTGAAATGTCACACGGCTGCATTCCACTTTTGTAAATTATAAAGGGAGTTCCAGCAATGTGCCACTAAATTATGTCAAACAATTAATAACTTTCAATGTAGTGAGGTGAAATGGAGCCTTCTAAATTTTCACTGCGTTCTTGTTTCATTTAATCAAGTTTATATGCTGGAAGCTTTAAAAGAACAATTGGGTATATGTTTTGAATAAAACAGAGGAAACAATTTCTACAGGGAAGAGCCAAACCCAGAGCCAAAGTTGAAGGGTAAGAGCCAGATTGAGAATCGGAGTAAGAAGGAGAGGACCAAGAGGTCTCTTGAGTACAAGAGTGCATCATGCCTGGGTGCTGCTTATTCAGTGAATGACCCCTTGCTAGGACACACCCCCTGCAACACAGACACAGAAAGCAGAGGCAAGGCACCGACACAAAAAGAACTGCTGGCAGGGTCGTCACACAATTGAAAGACAAAAGTTGATGCCATTTTTCATGGCAGCACAATGGGCCAGACTGTTGTCAAATCATCCTCAAGTGTTTGTTTCTCAAAAAGCACACGCCTGGCAAGTATCTGCAGCTTGTGCCAATCTTTTTGAACTCTAAATCTTATTTAATCTTTTCCAATTAGCTTAGGTAAGTGCACAGCATACTTTCAGTTGTACTCATTCATCACATCGATCAATTTTAAATAAGTCTTTGCATTACTTCTTGAAAACAGTAATTTAACAGCTAATAAAAGTAACCACAGAAAAAAAGTGACACAATATGTAATGAACATATGCAAAGTTATTTGCCTATGTTTATCTTTTTGCAACATGATTAGAAAGGGGCGTTAAATTTCTGTAAAATGGGGGCATTAATGCACTGAGAAACAATCATGGCACTTTGCATTGGAATATATGGTTTGGGCCTCTAAAGACCAAATGGTACATCTTGGTTGATATACTGCCTTGTACATACAGTAGTGTTCAATTCGCAGCATACAAGATTATAACAACTGTTCACAGACACTTTGCAAAAACACCAACAGAGTTCATACTGACAAAAATAATGGAAAATTGAATGAAAATGACCTTGAGATGATGGCTTAACTTCTTTTTATTGCTGTTTTGGCACCCAATAATAGGGAGAAAATGGAATGTGAGGTCTGAAATAAGGTACACCATCAAATATGTTGACAGGGGTCTATTAAGGAAAATAAATGGAATTTATTACTATTTCTAAATTACTAACTGTTCAGCTTGTAGTGGCTCTGGCTGGCTGTGTTATCAAGGAATTACAGCTGGTTCAAAGAGCAATTTAGCCAGGCTGTGTCAATGTTGAGGCACCACCAGTTTCCGGTCCTCATTGCAGGTGAACTTTTGTGTGCCCATTTTTGCTGCATATTGTTTATGTTGAGTGGTTATAAGCCATTGCAACCAGAAACAGCCTACATATGACTTTATCTTCAATTTCAATGCTGAAATACAGTCTAATCACATACCATATGAGACATATGCACTTGTTTGCGTCCAGTAGTGCAGCAGCCACAAACAACAGCCCAGTGATAACATGATCAGTATTTCATGAAAATGGTAATTATTTGTTCAACTTACTAGTAAGTCTATTGCCAAAAAGCAAACTGACATTAAATTAATTCTGTAGAATGCCTCATGTCTATCATGAAAATCAAAACATTATCCTCCATCCTCTATTATTTCCACTTCTGCTTCTCTCAAAGTCGTTTGTTTAACATTCTGAATTACTTAAGAAATCAGTATCAGCAACACAGGGGATGATGGTTGTGTGACATTTGTTTATAAATGATGCTAGAGAGCCAGAGTGTCTTTGACTTGATCTGATCAAAGAATACAATAACACAAAAGGTTTTATACAAAGGAAGGGAATTAGTAGCATCTTTATTTGTAAAGCCAGTTTTCTGAAAGCTGCAGATGCTTTAGTTTGTATATGTCCAGCAATTGTCCAAGAGACACCAGGCTTGTTTCATGTACCAAAGTACTTTTGGGTGAAGCATTGTTACTTCAGCTAAGTTTTAACGCTGTGGTGCTTACAGAATAAAAACATTTTATAGTGAAAATATATAAAGAGTATATCGAGAAATAGTGGAACAGAATCCAATTTAATGTATAAAACAACTTTAATAGAACCAATTTCAAAATAAATCAACAGTACACCTTCTTATCTGCTTTAAATGTGTGAAAACAAGTTTGATATGAGATAAATAATATTTTTATTTTTTAGTTCTATAGCTTGATTATCATGAAAATCAAGAATGTTACACAGAAAAACATAAAAAGGTACAATTACATAATATAAGCATAAAGATAGCCATGATTATGTAAACGCATAAAAATAAATACAGCAACTGTTCATATATTTTAAACATGATTGTGGCTGTGGAACAATTAGTAGAAAAATTAGCATTGACAAAAGGCTTTTTTTTCTCCAAAATTGGCACAATTTTCTGAGTAGCCCCTTACATATAGTAAAACTGATTTTATTTTATACTTAAGTTTTACTAAATAATTAGTTTTAGGAAATATTGCAACACAAATCTAGACCATCAAAGGAAGAGTGGATGATGTACCAATCTTTGTTACCACTATTCATCACCCAGCATTCTTACTTATCATTCAGCTGTGTTGGTTACTTGATTCAAAAGATGACTAAAGAATCCTGATGGTTAAACTTTACCATATATAAAAACTAAAACTTTAATCTAAATTAAACCTGCAAGCAAGCTGATAAGAATGATGTTTTCACCAACTGTGGAATCTGAGAGGATATCTTTTTGGTGGTAAAAATATATATATATTTTTGTAATAAAATCATTTCTATATCAATTATTAGTGTTAACTTGTGTTTTGATCTGTAGTTGTTAGCATTTTGGATGAACAAGAGCCCTTTGTGTCAGGGTTTTGTCTCTATCTCGGGGCTGTAGTTCACAAAACTATTGGCTCACAATATATTACCCCCTCTATGTTATAATTTTGACTTTGACTTTACTTTGTGGAAATCCTTTCGGAGCTATAGTGCAGTTGAAGGTTGTTGTTTTTTTTTTCAATGGAGGCCCAGTCTTTTTCATATCATTGAAAACAGTCGCTTTCTAATGAGTTGTCACTGCACTGACATTACTGCAGGCTTGCCAGCAGCCATGACAGCAACACAAAGAAGGATGCAGTAAGTAGACTGATATTGTGGCTGACTCCGCTTGAAACCACTGTGAATGTTAAGAAAAGGAAACAAAGTGTTACTCCACGAATAGATTTGTGATCATGGACGTTTCTGAGAAAGTACAAGTTCTGGTTGAGTATTACTCACGAGTGCCGTTCACTGTGATGGAAGTGGTGTCAATGTTAAAGACTGTGATGTTGGCAGATGCACTGATCAATGTGTTGGCAATCTGAGTGTCATTAGGTACAGATGCTGATGCAAATCCAACGTTTGCATTGGTGATGATTGATCCATTACTGTAATGACAAAAATAACCATTCTTTTTAAAGTAAGTTTATGACCCTTACTTTTTTTTTTTCTTTTCATCATAACAACAAAAGTGTTACCTGAATGAAGTCACCGTCAAAAAGCGGAATGATTCAAATGCTGCTCGGTAAAAAGGTTCAAGCTGTGAAGACATAAGAAAAACATTTTAAAGGCAGTGCAAGGAATTAATTGTAACCAGAAAAAAAAGACAGTAACTCTAGTTTGAATCCATGCTGAATCATCTTGTTGATTTTCTAGGATTATCCTGTGGTTTGAGGTGTGCTGAGAGAGATTTTCCTTCCTTAAATTTGTGTGAAAGAGGTTCAGAAGCACAGCGACTTGTAACTGTAACTATGAAACGTTTAATATTAACAGATAGTTATACTGTTGTGTGGGGGGAACTCCAAGGGATCATGGAGCAAAAATAATAGCTGATTGGGAAGCAGGCTTACAGAATAACACACAACAAACTTTGCCATGGTAAGGACAGTAAACAGGAAGCATTTACTATGGAAAGTGGAATGAAATGGAGAGCCTGCTTCTTGATTTGTGTCAAGAACAAGAGTGATTGATGATGTGTTTGGTAAAACATCTACAGTCAAACTGACACGTGAAAAGGTGAACAATAAGCAACCAGGGAGGCTGTTTATTCATTTGCTTTCTAAAGCATTCATTTGACACGTTTCACTGGAAAACTATTAGTACAGTTAGAGAGGTCATGATAGCTCAGTTAAAAATAGGGAAGAAATATCATGCAAACATGCTGCTAAATTTTAGTCAAGACTTACAGTAGACTTGGTCAGCGCAGCTCGAGTGATAAATGCTGGTGATGATGAGTTTGACAGGTCAATGGTAAATGTCTCTGCAGTTCTGAAAGTCAGTGTCCTGATAGTTGTTGGCTCAACAGTAGTTGTTGCAACTGTTGTAGTGGTTGTTGTTGTTGTTGTTGGTGGTGCTGCAGTTGTGGCAGTTACTCTTGCAGTTGTAGCTCTGGCAGTGGAGGCAGACTGAATGGTTGTAATTGAAGCTACTGCAGTTGTATTTGCAGCCGTAGCAGCAGCCTGAGTGGTTGCATTTGCAGCTACTGCTGTTGTATTTGCAGCCAGGGTAGCAGATTGAGTGGTTGCATTTGCAGCTACTGCTGTTGTATTTGCAGCCAGGGTAGCAGACTGAGTGGTTGAAATTGAAGCTACTGCTGTTGTATTTGCGGCTGGGGTAGCAGATTGAGTGGTTGCATTTGCAGCTACTGCTGTTGTATTTACAGCTGTAGCAGCAGACTGAGTGGTTGTATTTGCAGCTCCTAAAGTTGTATTTGCAGCAGTAGGAGTTGGAATGGCAGTTGTTGAAGTTGAGACTCTTTCTATCAAAAAAAAAAAAGGAAGAATGAGATTTGAAGTTCCATTTTTTTACATTCTGGAGCATGTTACTTTTCACTTTGATTTAACATTAAAATATTTTGAAAACTATGACTTATAAAAACATTTGGAGCACACAAGACTCACAAAGCCACAGAGGTACTCATTACAAGATAGATATCATTGCAAATAACTACACCAACCAGAGTTAAATGATAGAAAAATGTAAACTTACCTATAACCCTTATGGACCCTGGGTTAACAGTGAGATTGAAGGTATTGTTGGGGTTTGACACTGCCGCTGTTAAGGTATCTGCAACAGCATTAGCCTGTGGAATTTCCTCTGTTGAGTTTGAGGTACTATTGAACTCAACACCTACCTCTGCTTCAGTATTGGACATGCGTGATGATACTGAAGCAGGTCTGTGTCAGTGTAGAAATATTTGAATCAATATTATCAGCGATAACATGCAAATCATTTAATTTTAATATCAAAGTATACATCACAATGTTGATAACCACATACAAAGAATTAAAGTAGAGTTGGTCTAAGTCTGAAATATCAGAGATGTTACCTGAAAGCTATGACAAAGGTGCGGACGAATAGAATGCCGTATCTCAATCTGAAGATCACATCATACTGTGAAAGAAAAGCATTCCAAAATTAAAGAGGACTTTCTTGTTGAGTGTTAACTGCTTAAAGCAACAAAAAACTTTGTTCTCACCACTGCGACAACTTCTGCTTCAAGAGCCTTGAATTCTTCAGATTCTCTGTTCTCGAGTTGTTGTACAAATGGTTGTACAATGACTGCTGCAATAAACACAACTGGTAAGGGTGCCACTGTAGTGGTGGTTGTTGTCATGATTGCTGCTGTTGTGGTGGTTGTTGTTGGTGCTGCAGTTGTGGCCGTTACTCTTGCAGTTGTAGCTCTGGCAGTGGAGGCAGACTGAGTGGTTGTATTTGCAGCTTCTGCAGTTGTGCTTGCAGCCGTTGCAACAGACCGAGTGGTTGTAATTGAAGCTACTGCAGTTGTATTTGAAGCTGTAGCAGCAGACTGAGTGGTTGCATCCGTCACCACTGCTGTTGTATTTGAAGCTGTAGCAGCAGACTGAGTGGTTGCATCCGTCACCACTGCTGTTGTATTTGCAGCTGTAGCAGCAGACTGAGTGGTTGCATCCGTCACCACTGCTGTTGTATTTGAAGCTGTAGCAGCAGACTGAGTGGTTGCATCCGTCACCTCTGCTGTTGTATTTGAAGCTGTAGCAGCAGACTGAGTGGTTGCATCCGTCACCACTGCTGTTGTATTTGAAGCTGTAGCAGCAGACTGAGTGGTTGCATCCGTCACCACTGCTGTTGTATTTGAAGCTGTAGCAGCAGATTGAGTGGTTGCATTTGCAGCTACTGCTGTTGTATTTGCAGCCAGGGTAGCAGACTGAGTGGTTGCAGTTGTAGCTACTACAGTTGTATTTGCAGCAGTAGGAGTTGGGGTGGCAGTTGTTGAAGTTGAGACTCTTACTATCAAAAAAAATAAGAGAGAGAGAGGAAGAATGAGATTTGAAATAGTATTTTTTACATTCTGGAGAATGTTACATTTTTTACTTTGATTTAACATTAAAAATATTTTGAAAACTATGACTTGTAAAAACATTTGGAGCACACAAGACTCACAAAGCCACAGAGGTACTCATTACAAGATAGATATCATTGCAAATAACAACACCACCCAGAGTTAAATGATAGAAAAATGTTAACTTACCTATAACCGTTATGGACTCAGGGTTAAAAGTGAGATTGAAGGTATTGTTGGGGTTTGACACTGCCACTGATAAGGTTTCTGCGACAGCATTAGCCTGTGGAATTTCCTCTGTTGAGTTTGAGGTACTATTGAACTCAACACCTACCTCTGCTTCAGTATTGGACATGCGTGATGATACTGAAGCAGGTCTGTGTCAGTGTAGAAATATTTGAATCAATATTATCAGCGATAACATGCAAATCATTTAATTTTAATATCCAAGTATACATCACAATGTTGATAACCACATACAAAGAATTAAAGTAGAGTTGGTCTAAGTCTGAAATATCAGAGATGTTACCTGAAAGCTATGACAAAGGTGCGGACGAATAGAATGCCGTATCTCAATCTGAAGATCACATCATACTGTGAAAGAAAAGCATTCCAAAATTAAAGAGGACTTTCTTGTTGAGTGTTAACTGCTTAAAGCAACAAAAAACTCTGTTCTTACCACTGCAACAACTTCTGCTTCAAGAGCCTTGAATTCTTCAGATTCTCTGTTCTCGAGTTGTTGTACAAATGGTTGTACAATGACTGCTGCAATAAACACAACTGGTAAGGGTGCCACTGTAGTGGTGGTTGTTGTCATGATTGCTGCTGTTGTGGTGGTTGTTGTTGTTGTTGTTGTTGTTGTTGTTGTTGTTGTTGGTGCTGCAGTTGTGGCCGTTACTCTTGCAGTTGTAGTTGTGGTAGTGGAGATAGACTGAGTGGTTGAAATTGAAGCTACTGCTGTTGTATTTGCAGCTGGGGTAGCTGATTGAGTGGTTGCATTTGCAGCAACTGCGGTTGTATTTGCAGCTGTAGCAGCAGACTGAGTGGTTGCATCCGTCACCACTGCTGTTGTATTTGCAGCTGTAGCAGCAGACTGAGTGGTTGCATCCGTCACCACTGTTGTTGTATTTGCAGCTGTAGCAGCAGACTGAGTGGTTGCATCCGTCACCACTGCTGTTGTATTTGCAGCTGTAGCAGCAGACTGAGTGGTTGTAATTGAACCTTCTGCTGTTGTATTTGCAGCTGTAGCAGCGGACTGAGTGGTTGCAATTGAAGCTACAGCAGTTGTATTTGCAGCTGTAGCAGCAGACTGAGTGGTTGCATCCGTCACCACTGCTGTTGTATTTGCAGCTGTAGCAGCAGACTGAGTGGTTGCATCCGTCACCACTGCTGTTGTATTTGCAGCTGTAGCAGCAGACTGAGTGGTTGCATCCGTCACCACTGCTGTTGTATTTGCAGCTGTAGCAGCAAACTGAGTGGTTGCATCCGTCACCACTGTTGTTGTATTTGCAGCTGTAGCAGCAGACTGAGTGGTTGTAATTGAACCTTCTGCTGTTGTATTTGCAGCTGTAGCAGCGGACTGAGTGGTTGCAATTGAAGCTACAGCAGTTGTATTTGAAGCTGTAGCAGCAGACTGAGTGGTTGCATCCGTCACCACTGCTGTTGTATTTGCAGCTGTAGCAGCAGACTGAGTGGTTGCATCCGTCACCACTGTTGTTGTATTTGCAGCTGTAGCAGCAGACTGAGTGGTTGCATCCGTCACCACTGCTGTTGTATTTGCAGCTGTAGCAGCAGACTGAGTGGTTGAAATTGAACCTTCTGCTGTTGTATTTGCAGCTGTAGCAGCGGACTGAGTGGTTGCAATTGTAGCTACTACAGTTGTATTTGCAGCAGTAGGAGTTGGGGTGGCAGTTGTTGAAGTTGAGACTCTTTCTATCAAAGAAATAAGAGAGAGAGAGGAAGAATGATATTTGAAGTTGTATTTTTACATTCTGGAGAATGTTACATTTTTTACTTTGATTTAACATTAAAAATATTTTGAAAACTATGACTTATAAAAACATATGGAGGAACACAACACTCACAAAGCCACAGAGGTACTCATTACAAGATAGATATCATTGCAAATAACTACACCAACCAGAGTTAAATGATAGAAAAATGTAAACTTACCTATAACCTTTATGGACTCAGGGTTAAAAGTGAGATTGAAGGTATTGTTGGGGTTTGACACTGCCACTGATAAGGTATCTGCAACAGCATCAGCCTGTGGAATTTCCTCTGTCAAGTTTGAGGTACTATTGAACTCAACACCTACCTCTGCTTCAGTAGTGGAAGTGCGTGATGATACTGAAGCAGGTCTGTGTCAGTGTAGAAATATTTGAATCAATATTATCAGTGATAACATGCAAATCATTTAATTTTAATATCAAAGTATACATCACAGTGTTGGTAACCACATCCAAAGAATTAAAGTAGAGTTGGTCTAAGTCTGAAGATGTTACCTGAAAGCTATGACAAAGGTGCGGACGAATAGAATGCCGTATCTCGACCTGAAGATCACATCATACTGTGAAAGAAAAGCATTCAAAAATTAAAGAGGACTTTCTTGTTGAGTGTTAACTGCTTAAAGCAACAAAAAACTCTGTTCTCACCACTGCAACAACTTCTGCTTCAAGAGCCTTGAATTCTTCAGATTCTTTGTCCTCAAGTTGTGGTACAAATGGTTGTACAATGACTGCTGCAATTAACACAACTGGTAAGGGTGCCACTGTAGTGGTGGTTGTTGTCATGATTGCTGCTGTTGTGGTGGTTGTTGTTGGTGCTGCAGTTGACTGTCTCGCTGTTGTTGCACCACCGGTTTCTGTTGTTGAGGATGTTTCAGTGCCAGTTAAACCTCCAGGTGATGTGGATGCCCCTGTTACTGCCGTTGCTGTTGCACTAGTCATAGCAGAACCTCTATTGGTTGTCTGTGCAGTAGTTGATGCTCCACCAGTTGCTGTAGATGAGGAAGTTTCAGTTCCAGTTGTCCCACCAGATGATGTGAATGCCCCTGTTACTGCTGTTGCTGTTGCACTAGTCATAGGAGAACCTCCTGTTGTAGTCTGTCCAACTGTTGTTGCTCCACCAGTGGTTGCTGTTGATGAGGAAGTTTCAGTGCCAGTTAAACCTCCAGGTGATGTGGATGCCCCTGTTACTGCTGTTACTGTTTCACTTGTCATAGAAGATCCTCCTGTTGAAGTTTGTTCAGTAGATGTTGCTTCACCAGTTGCTGTCAATGAGGAAGTTTCAGCACCAGTTGTACTCCCGGATGATGTGGATGCCCCAAGTACTGTTGTTGCACTTGTCATAGCAGAACCTACTGTTGTAGTTTGTCCAGTAGTTGTTGCTTGTCCAGTGGTTGCTGTTGACGAGGAAGTTTCAGTGCCTGTTGTACCCCCAGACGATGTGGATGTCCCTGTTAATGCTATTACTGTTGCACTGGTCATAGCAGAACCTCCTGTGGTTGTTTGATCAGTAGTTGTTGCTTGTCCAGGAGTTGCTATTGACGAGGAGGTTTCAGTGCTAGTTGTACCCCCAGATGATGTGGATCCCCCAGGTACAGTTGATGCTGGTGCACTAGTCATAGGGGAACTTCCTGTTGTAGTCTGTCCAGTAGTTGTTAGTCCATCAGTTGCTATTGACAAGGAAGTTTCAGTGCCTGTTGTACCTCCAGATGATGTGGATCCCCCAGGTACAGTTGTTGCTGGTGCACTAGTCATAGAGGAACCTCCTATTGTAGTCTGTCCAGTAGTTGTTAGTCCATCAGTTGCTGCTGATGAGGAAGTTTCAGTGCCTGTTGTACCCCCAGATGATGTGGACTCCCCTGTCACTGTTGCACTTGTTGTAGCAGAACCTTCTGTTGTAGTTTGATCAGTAGTTGTTGTTCCACCAGTGATTGCTGATGATGAGGAAGTTTCAGTCCCTGTTGTACCCCCAGATGATGTGGATTCCCCTGTTACTGTTGTGACTGTTGCACTTGTTGTGGCAGAACCTCCTGTTGAAGTTTGTTCAGTAGATGTTGCTCCACCAGTTGCTGTTGATGATGAAGTTTCAATCCTTGTTGTACCCCCAGTTGACATGGGTGCCGCACTTACTGTTGTTGCACTTGTCATAGCAGAACCTCCTGTTGTTGTTTGATCAGTAGTTGTTGCTTGTCCAGTGGTTGCTGTTGACGAGGAAGTTTCAGTGCCTGTTGTACCTCCAGATGATGTGGATCCCCCAGGTACAGTTGTTGCTGGTGCACTAGTCATAGAGGAACCTCCTGTTGTAGTCTGTCCAGTAGTTGTTAGTCCATCAGTTGCTGCTGATGAGGAAGTTTCAGTGCCTGTTGTACCCCCAGATGATGTGGATTCCCCTGTTACTGTTGTTACTGTTGCACTTGTTGTAGCAGAACCTTCTGTTGTAGTTTGATCATTAGTTGTTGTTCCACCAGTGATTGCTGCTGATGAGGAAGTTTCAGTGCCTGTTGTACCCCCAGATGATGTGGATTCCCCTGTTACTGTTGTGACTGTTGCACTTGTAGCAGAACCTACTGTTGTAGTTTGCTCAGTAGATGTTGCTCCATCAGTTGCTGTCAATGAGGAAGTTTCAGTGCCTGTTGTACCCCCAGATGATGTGGATGTCCCTGTTAATGCTATTACTATTGCACTGGTTGTAGCAGAACCTCTTGTGGTTGTTTGATCAATTGTTGTTGCTCCACCACTGGTTGCTATTGATGAGGAAGTTTCAGTGCTAGTTGTACCTCCAGACGATGTGGATCCCCCAGGTTCAGTTGTTGCTGGTGCACTAGTCATAAAGGAACCTCCTGTTGAAGTTTGTTCAGTAGATGTTGCTCCACCAGTTGCTGTTGATGATGAAGTTTCAATCCTTGTTGTACCCCCAGTTGACATGGGTGCCCCACTTACTGTTGTTGCACTTGTCATGGCAGAATCTCCTGTTGTAGTTTGTCCAGTAGTTGTTGCTTGTCCAGTAGTTGCTGTTGACGAGGAAGTTTCAATTCCAGTTGTCCCTCCAGATGATGTGGATTCCCCTGTTACTGTTGTTACTGTTGCACTTGTTGTAGCAGAACCTTCTGTTGTAGTTTGATCAGTTGTTGTTGCTCCACCAGTGGTTGCTATTGACGAGGAAGTTTCAGTGCTAGTTGCACCTCCAGACGATGTGGATCCCCCAGGTTCAGTTGTTGCTGGTGCACTAGTCGTAGAGGGATCTCCTGTAGCTGAAGTTGCTTTCACTGAAGAAAAATTGACAGGACTGGGTGAAATCTATCCAAATAACATTACCATAAGCATTTAAGGACTTAAAATCTAGCTACCACTTACCTGTCAGAATGAAAAACATCACCAAATATAGTTTGGTGACACCCATTTTTCTCTTGAACCTGTAAAGGGATTGACAGTCTCATTACTATTATTGACGCTTTTTGTTCTAAAACATACAGAACATTTTAAAGGCTGTGTTACTTTTTTCATAATCATTGTGTTCCTTTTTCTTTAAGCTCTAGTTTTGTACAAACAGAGATTCATTGTACAAAACGGGATTATGTTTAACTTAAAAAGCCCACATGCTGTTCTTGTAGATCTTTCTGGGTCATCTTCTAAGTTACCGCCATCTTTTTTAACAAAAATTTTACCTGTGATTTCTAATTGAAAAATCCTTATGCTGAAAATAACATGTTACCCAAATTAAAGCAATGCTATCATTGTTGGTTTACAGTATATCCCTCTTGTGCCATGATAAACTAGTGACAGGAAAGCAATCAAAACATGTGCACCAACAAAATTGATATCTATAAGCAGTGATTTGGAATTGAAGTATTAAATCTAGATGTGTTTGATCTCATTTCAGAAATTCAAATCTCTTTAACTTCCTCAGAAACATATTCAGCAGAGCTGTTGCAAAAATGCTTCATTTCAGATTAATTGCATTCTTAACCCTTTTGAATAGAACTGAGAAACAGTGTTTCACTGAATGATGCTGTATTTAGTATGATGCTACTCATGGTATCTCACTATTTTCAGTTTGTTTCAACCAGGAACCTATAAATCTTTTAAGATGTGGAGAAATTATAAAGGTTTCCAAAAACCTAATAAGCAAGATTCCTTTAAAAACATGCCACAATTACACAGCAATCTCAAGCCAATTAATGTTTAGCTAAATGTACAATTTAAAAAAATGTTTCTTTATGTATACTAGCATTAAATTGTACTCACCTTATTTTTTGAAAACAAGTCTCAGTGAGTGTTTAAAAAGTCTTCGAGTCTGTATTGCATTCAAACTTATTCCGTGTGGTTACAGTGGTGAAGCACATCCCCTTTGAAGCCACTTGACTAAACAGGTCTTTTATACATTACACCATTGTCATGAAAAGAAAAAAAAAACACAACACACTGTGACGGTTGATGACAAAAAGATAAAGACAACAAATAGTTGGAAGGCTCAGTCACTAGGCAATCCTTTGCACAATCGTATTTGCGTTCCATACAAGTGGACAAACCAGATGACCTTATCTTATCTTTTAACAGGTTGCACTGTGAGAAACCTGTAAGATAAAATATGTACACTGACTTACCTGTGTGATGATAATAACCCTATTTTAGACTAAATGTCTGGCATCAAACAATTTTGACATTCATTTTGACCAATTGAACGTAATTAGAGAAAATAGTTTTTGCAGCATGTTTTTTTGTTGTCTGCTACAGCTTTTTGAAATCCCATCTGTGATGCAGGTAAAGTTTGAATTTTGTGAGTTCCAACATACTTTTTTTATGACACAACAGAAGTAGGACACTTGAAAGAGGAGATACCATGACCGAGAAAATAATGGGGTTGATTAGATTCTTATTATCTTCCAGAAGTTCTGAACTAGGAACTATAATGGTCTCTGAAGTATATGGTCAAGAAAAGGGACTTTTATTGGATGAGAATGGAGACTCTGGTATGCTCAGATTGCAACGGGATCAATTAACAATGTATGCTCAAGTGAATTGATTTCATGAAACCCTTACCAAGAGCCTTTAAAGGAAATCATGTACTCAAATCCTGTGAAAACCCCTATCATACCTCAGACTTGTATTGCACAATTTTCTCTTTCATGCCAGAAACACGAGGAAGGAACCTGATAGGCTTTCTTAGTATGTTTTTTCTGTCTGTATCCTGGCTTTACCCTTCACCTGTTTTTTGTCTCGTTTGAAGTTCAGTAAAAGTGAAGACTCCAACAATTTGATTTCCAATATTTCTGGAACTACATCTTTTCATTGTTTACTTAAACCTCTATTAAACCATCAAAACAAGCATGACAATTTTTTTTACCCTGATAAGCAAGTTTTCCATCAAGCTGACATAGTTGTGATTCTACACCAAAAACATAAGACAGGACACAGAGCAAAAGTGATGGTCTGCAGACAAAAGGCCAAATTCGCATTATTTTAGCACCAGGATAACACCCTATATCTCAAGATTAATCTGTTGACTTGAGAATAGGGAAATCGAAGAAAATACGCAGCTCTTAGTTCTTTGGGGTTTACATTCAGAACCTGCTCTATGCTCTTATCATAATGGCACCATCACAACGACAGCAAAGTTTCTTTTCAAAATTAGGGACTCAAATGCCATCCTAGAACCACATTTTAACCAAACTCACCCATAGAGTACAATAAAACTGCAATATGAAAGAACTGTTGCAGACCCGAGCACCCAGATAGGAATTAAAAGAAGGATTTTGAACATTTATAGTTGATCAATTTCCTTGATTTGTATGTGCATATTTTTCTCCCTTTGTTTGCTCATGAAACATTGCATCGAGAAACTTGAGAACTTAGACTTTCTACCAGTGGCTGCTGTACGGAAATAGTTGTTCAAATGACATTTGAGACCTGTGACTGTACAGTTCCTGCAGGTGGACTTATCTTCTTGCACAATCATAGGCTATCATGGCAACCGTGTGATATTCACAAAGATAGATGAATTTTTCTTTATTTCATGTATAAGCCTAGCTATTAAGGGATAATTTTGAGTGTATTTTTTGTGTTTTTCTGCAAAGTTCCTATCATTGGCTCTTGTTTTGGCATTTCTATCAATAAGGATGAGTATAATGAGCAGACAACATAAACGTTTATTTTAAAACACAAATGTCATACACAGTCGCACCTATGTCCCCTGAGTACATTGTTCCCTGGCTGAAAGGGTTATGAAAACAGTGACAGAAAACAAAGGCAACAACGTCATGTCCTAAAGCGTAGCAAAGAATCTAATTTTAGCATTGACCCACCCTGTCTGACTGATACGAACAGATAAGTACATTCTTTTACCCTTTAGAGTGACTGCTGCTGTATGCACACAGTTCACATAGTTCTTACTAAACTCCCTAAACTAAGCATGTTTTTATAGTTGGATGTCTCTGGAATATGCCAGATGTCACAAAATGCAGAGCAAAACCCCCAAAGATGTGCAAGTGAACCCTCAGCAGAACAACACTTGTCATATTTAGATGATGCCCATAGAAAGAGGGCTAAACCACCACAAATATGTAGAGACATTTGACAGCAAACATCCAGAGCCTAACTCACTTTAACATTCCTTGTTTCAAGCATCCATGCCATTGGTAGATGAGTAATATTTCTATTTGTGGACGCAGACTGTCCGCATCCGCTGCATGACTTAGACAACAGATTTAAGTAAGACACTTTTTAGTGCAAAAATCTAAGACCTGGTTGTGACACCACTTTACAGTTAAACAATCGATGAAAAACAAACACTGGAACATTTCACTTTTGTACTTCCAATATTTTTATTGTCATATTTTCATGGTTGGGTTTTGCTTTGGAGAAACCCTGTGTCTTCTTGTTTCACATAATGTTAATGATAAATGATAAATTTGACTGTTAAAAGAAAGCAAGATGGGACTTCTTTTATTGGAAAACATAACCTTCACAAGCCCAAGACAAAAAAGAGGTATCTCTTTGTTCACAGAGGGTGCCACAATTGTCACAAAGTTGTGCACAGTTTTAAGTACTTAGAGAAATCCAACTTGCTGGGTTTATACAGGGTTTTACTGAAGGCGGGTTTGTTAGCTTGTCCAAAATCCAAGAATACTATAGCTTCTGTGTCACAAAACTGCAATTCCTATGAAGTAAAATGACAATTAATTTACTACATAAAACATATAAACACAATTAAAAACATTAACCGATGTAAGGCAATCAAAAGGTCAGAAAATAATGCTGTATTTTTTAATCATTAGCCATGCTTTTGTCTCACTTTCTGCACACTAGTTAAGCACCCCTACTGCTTCAATGCTTGAAAAATACTTAACAATACAGCACAATACATTTGACTGTTAAACTAATTATACTCTTTGTATCACCAAAGTACTTAAAGTTGGAGCTACCACCTATAAGCGAAGCATACAAGCGCAGCTTAACAGACTGATGTCAGTGAGAAACTGCATCACAAATCCCAGCAGTTCACTATTTTAGAGTTTGTGAATTGCTGCTTGTGTCATCAGGTTGGTGTGCTGTGACCAGTCGTGCAATACTGTTACAGGAAGCAATACGGTATATCAGGTATACAGAGAAAGCAACACAAGTGAAGTTCCTGAAACGTTTAAATTGTTTCGCATGAACTGCAGATCGTTAAATGTCAGTGAGTCATCAAAATGATCCTGGAATGAGCCTGGCTGTCGAGGTAAGTGTCAAAACCAAGTGTAAATGTCCCAACAGTAAAAGAATAAGATTGAGGAAAGCAAGATAAAAAGGTATTTAGATATTTAATAAACAGAGCAGAATTTGTATCTACAGCATTATTGCAGTGTTACTGTGACTCACTGATCTCCCTTAAGGCTGCCAGAAAAAGCATTTTTTATTCTTTACATAACTTTATATAACCATATCTTACTTTTCAAACTACTTGTTTACTATTTCCTGAGCTACCTACTTTCCTGTTCTTTCCTAAATACACAGAAAGGCCCAAAAATATAATTAAAAAGAAAAATTACGCACATAGTTAAAAATTATTGGCCTTTTTTACATGCACTTCTGCATATATGGTAATGTGTAACAGTAACACTTTATAAATGAGAATGGTGTATCAGTGCAACATTTATTCGAATGATAGATTTAAAAGTCAAGATCCTGAGTTGCATCTCACCACATCCTTTTGTTTTCAAAACCAAGACACTGGAAGGGTTTGTATTTTTGATGTTTTCCCTGCTTCCACTCTCTTTGATTTACATTTTTTTTAATAAACAGATTGCCCACTTGTTCCACGTATAACTTTGGTTGTAATCTTAAACTCAGAACACCAGGGTAGTGTTTACACATCTACCACAAAAACATTGGACTATCAAGAGTAAGTACATTTTGGGCTACGGGTAGGTCTAGCGAGAGCTGCTAGTCAAGAGAGGCAACAGAATGATGCCTGAAAAAAGATAAGGTTGATCTTTTTTCTCTTTTTTCCTCTTTTAGGGACACAGAGAATGATGAATAAAGAATGTTATGACAGAGAGTGCAGTACTTGGGTGTAGCCAGTAGCCATGGGGCTAAAAAGATGCAAGACAGCGTTTCTGACTTAGTCAGCGTTCAATATGTTGACTAGGGTGGGGTGAGCCACAGTATGTCGTAGGCTAACAAGGTACTTTGAAGATGCCCTACTTAGCTTGCCAAGTAATTTAATGAAATGAAACTGGTGACCACACCCAGCCTCTGTGTGAGACAGGCAGGAATAAACACCTGTAAGAGTAGGGCCTAGCTTGTCAAACTTATACAGGGGAATCAGGGTGTTTCATATGTTACCGAACTATTTCTCAACTACTTTGTATGTACCTCATGGTATGTCCTCGTTTGACTGCTCTGCATTGAAGCCATCTGAAAAAATAAATGTAGTCCGCATCACAATTGGGTAATCAAAGGAAATAGGCCTAACAGTCACAGTTTTTGGACTGTGTTGGAAAAAGACAGTTTTTCCTCGAAGCAAGGAAACAGATGTCACATCAAACTGGTCCTGTGTTGTGTTGGCTTTGGCAGAATTTGTGGTTGATGTACTCTTGGAAAAAGGAGGTGGTAGAGAACTTGAATCTGTCACACTTTTTGCCTTCCCTGTCACAGGTGGAGTGGTAGAATTTGAGGAGTAAGGTGATGTGGTCTTGAGAGTAAATCCAGGTGGTGCTGAGGAGCTGAATGGTGCAGTTGATGGGGCAGGAGATGACTTGTCTGTTAGCATATCTGTGAAAGAGCTGTTTTCTTCATCAGTAATAGATTCTGGTCTTGGAGTAGTTGGCATACCAGTTGATACAGGTGTGGTGGTTGTTTCCACTTCTGTGGTCTTGCTGGTCTGTGGTGGTGTTGTAGATGAATGTGCATTCTCAAATGTCAATGTTGATACTTTGGAAAATACTAATGATTGCCCACTAGTTTTAGCTCCAGTAGATGTTGGCAAAGTTCCTGCAAGGCCATTTACTAATGTAGTGGTAGTGGTTCCGGAAAATGCTGAGTTTGAGGATGCTGCCGTTGGCTGCTTAGTCATCTCTCTAGGTGTTGTAGATTGCTCTGGTGCAGATACAAGTGTTGCTGTTGAATGGAGGGCCCTGTTCTCTGAAGTTGCTTTAGAAGGCAAACTTTGATGCGTAGATGTGTTTGGATCTGTTCGTAAAGATGTTGCAGTTTGTTTCAGGGCTGGTGTCATTGTTGGTGCCAGAGTTGTTCCTGGTGTGATAATAGTTGAGGATGATGTTCTTTGTGATTCCACAGTAGGTACAGGTGGCTCTGTTAGTGCTGCTGTGGGATTTGGTTCCAGAGATCCTCTGACTTGTGTTGTTGATGCTTCTCCTGACAGTGTAGTAACTGATCCACTGATCGTTGGTGTCAAACTCTGAACTGTTGCAGGATGTGGTTTTGAGGCCGTTGGCATTTCTGTTGTTGATGAAGCTGAGGCAGGTGTTGTTAAATCTGACATGAATAATGTTTTTTGTGTATTTGCTGTTGCTAATTCTGTAATTGATGATATGGACAAGGTTGGTTCAACTGTTCCCCTCGTAGTTGACTTAGTATCTATGATTTGTTGCTGTGTTGTGACGATTGGTGTCTTTTGCGTTGATCTTGTAACAGTTTCTGTCACTGAGAGTGTTGATACAGCAAATGTATTTTTTGTTGATGTTGTTGCTGAATCTGATGTTGCAGAAGATTGTGGTAGAATGATTGCTCCTCCCACTGCTGTTTCCAAATCTGTAGTTTGTTGCTTGGTTGTAAACAATGGTGTATTTAACGTTGATGATGTTGCTGATTCTGAAATAGACTGTGTTCCTCTGACTGTTGCCTCAATGTTAGGGGTTTGTTGCAATTTTGATACAGATTGTGTGTTTGATATTGTTGTTGCTGCTAAATCCATAGATTGTGTTGGTAACATTGTTTCTTGTACTGTTGATTGCTCATCCATATTGTGTTGAAGAATTGTGACAGGTGGTTTATTTTGTGTTGATGCCATCGATGATTCACTTGCTGCTTGGAAAGATTGCTTTGTTGCTGCTGTCACAATAGGTGTTGTTTGAAAAACTGTAGTTTGCTGCTGTGATGAGACAGATGGTTTATTTTCAGATGTAGATGTTCCTGATTCTCCTTTGGCTTCGATATCATTGGTTTGTAGCTGTGTTGGAACAGAGGGTGTATCTTGTGATGATGTTGTTGCTGGTTGTTTGATTGGTGGGTTTGGTGGTGTCGGAACCTCCGTGCTTGACATTGCTATTGTGATAGCAGTAGTTTTTTGCAGTGTTGGGACAGATTGTGTTCTCTGGGTCGATATTGTTGTCAGCATTTGCAAAGTTGTTGATTTGGTTGTAAGAGAACGTGCAGTCTCCTCTGTCGTTTTCAGTTCTGCTTTTGAAGTTGAACGTTCTTGTTGTACTGAAACCAAGGAAAGGGTGGTTTGTGTTGGTGAATTCAATGAGTCTGTGGCACCTGGCATTAACTTAGTTTGTGGCATTGTGGGCACTGTTTCCATTAATCCTCCAGTTTGTGTTTTGTATGCTGTTGCCACAGATGTTGTTGTTTGTGTTAATTTAGTCATTGAATCACTGTGGTTTGGTGGTGTACTGTAAACTGTTGTTGTGTCTGCTGCAGTTATTGAAACTGTTGATGGTGCCGATGAGAGTGATTCTGTTCTAACATAAGCTGTACTTTGTGGTGATTTTGTTGTCAAAACTGTCATGTGCTCTGCTGTTGTTGTTTGATGCAGTATTGTAACAAACGGAGTACTTTGTTTTGAAGTTACTTGAAATGGGGTTGTAGTCAACTCTGCTGCCTCTGAAGTCTCAGAGTCTAATCCAGTTGACTGAGTGATGGGTGCTACTGCCTCTGTCGTGGTTACATCTGTTTGTGATGATGTAGGAAAATAGGATGTTGGTAATTGGGTATTTGTTGATTCTCCCCTCGGTGCCTCTCCTGTTAGAGAAGATGCAGAGAGATGTTGCTTTGTTGATTGCTGCTGATTTGTTGCTAATGTGCTATACTGGGTTGGTTTAACAGTTGCAGAAGCATTGAGTTGATTATGTATCATTTTGGATGATACTGTGATGGATTTTGGGACCTGTGTCAAAAGACTCGTTGACTCTCCTCCAGATGGTATGCTGGTGAGTTTCTGTGCTGTTGATTGTGGAGTTTGGATGGTAGTTTGTCTTTCCATTGGTGTACCAAGAGAGTTTTTAAGCAAGGTTTCTGCAGATATAGTCATTTTTGTTGATATCAGTTTTAATGTGGCTGGACTAGACTGGGTTTGGGTTGTCGTGGTCACCAATAACATTGCTTGTGTTGGCGTTGATGGTGCTTTTGCCGTGAGTGGAATATTTTTCACTGGTGTAGTTGTGGACTTAGTCTTGACAGATTCTGTGGTTAGTGTTGTAAATGTTGTTGATGGTTTAGCCTGCAATGATGTTGCCAGTGGTCCACTGTGTGTCGATATCGTGCTATGAACTGGTTTTGAGACAGATGGTGTGGGACTTTCTGTTAATGATGTTTGTGATGTAGCTGATTCCACCAATGGAGTGTTTTGTAAGGTTTGTGTTGCTGCTCCTGCATCTTTTGTTGATCTTCCTGTTGTTTGATCAGGAATGTTTTGTGGTTGTGTCGTTATGGATGACGTAAGAGTTGGTGTGATATGTGTTGGTGTTGTGTGTTTTTTTGTCATTGTTGTGGTAGAAACTGGTGAGGCTGATTCACTACTTTTTGAAAAAGTTGTGGACTTAGTAGGTGTCGCACTGTCTGATGGCACAGGTGTTACATTAATAGATGCTGTTATAGGTTGTTTTACACTAGATAGCAATTCAGCTAATGTATTAGTAATAATTTCAGACAACTTGTTTTCTACTGATGTTGTTTGTGTTGTTGATAAATGAGCTGTTGAAGATTGTTCTGGGGTAGATGTTGACTTTTGCAGTGCAGCTGTGTCTACAGTTGTGATCTTACTGGTTTTTGGTGCTGTTGTTGTTTTACCAGCGGATGGTGTAGTTGTTGTTGGTGAAGTCACTGATTCTGATGAAAGAGGGTTATTGTTGTTTGTTTCCTGAATTGGAGAAATTAATGTTTGTGTTTCTACTTTGGTTGTGGATGTATTGGGTCCTGTTGACACTTTACTTGTGACTTGTATTTCACTGTGAAATCTTGTTGTTGTCAAGTTGTGACTTGCTGTTGTTGGCGCTGTGGTTACAGATGCTGGTGTATGCATGGATGAAGTAGTCAATGCTGATGTAGCAGATGTTGAAGTTGGCCGTGGAGTTGATTGCATTTGTATGGCTGTGGATACTGTTAACAATGCTTTTGTCTGTGTTGATGTTCCAGGGAGAGTTATAGCTAGAGTTGTGGTTGATGTTGGGTCTGGGTCATTAATTGAAGAGACTACATGTTGTTTGGTCGTTGACATGAACTCTTTAGCTGCAGCTGTTGCTGTAGATTTAGAGTCTAAAGTCACATTGTTTGGCAAGTTTGGCAAACCGGTTTCTTTTGTTTTAGCTGTAGGGCGTGTTGGAGTTGTGTTACTTGATTGTGGTGAAGTTGTGGTAGATACCATGATCTGTTGCTGTTCAGGTGATGTGATAACAGGTTTTTCTACAGTCAGTGTTGTTTGCGTTGTCTGGGATTTTGAGCCCACAGTTGTCAGGTTGTCAGGCTCAGGTTCGGGGGATGTAGTCTCTGTTGCTGTTGTAGTTGATGATATTGAAGTTACAGTTGTTTTGAAGGGAGTGCCTTGCTTTGGAGATGAGATTAAATCAGTTGTGGATAAAATAGTTTTTGTAATTTCAGGAGTGGAGTCTGAAGCTGCAAATGGTGAAAGCTGTGTTGGGAAAAAGTCTGTAGTTTGCTTCGTGGTTTGAATGTACCCTGAATTTTGCCCTTGAGTGGCATTGATTCCAACTGCACCAGAAGGCATGTTTTGTGAGACTGATTGGCTGTTTGTTGCTAAGGACAATGATGTCTTTTGCTCTGGGGAACTTGTTGGTCGTGATGTTTTGAGATTTGTGGTAGACATTGTTTGAAGGTTAGCTGTAGTTGTTTCTACCTTTGGAGTGGTGGTCATCTCTGTGACTCCTGCAATTGGTACACCCAGTGAAGTCATCGCAGTTGAACCATCAAGAGATGAATAGTTTGTGTTTGAAGATACATCACTGGATCTTTTGGAGGTTAACTTTGGCTGTGTTTTTGTTATTTCTTGCGATGTGCTTACTGATAAAGCATCAGTTTGTAAGGTATCTGCAATGTTGGTTGTTGTTGAGTGATCTGTGATGAGTGAGGACTTGGGTGTGGTTGCATTCACAGATATGTTTGTGGGTAAGTCTCCAGTGTGTGTACTTTCCAGTGTTAATAATGTGCGCATTTCTTGAGCTGACGTTAAAGGAGATACCACTGTTTCCATCACAGTTGAATTTGGTAAAGGTGAGCCAGACTCTTGCGTTGTCAATTGTTGGCTTGACTGAGGTAAGATTGACGTTGACGGCCTTTGTGTTGAGTCAAAGGGAATTTGTGTTTCTGCTGAAGAGTTCGTCATTCCTGAAATATTGAGCACTAGTGTAAAAGTGCCCATAAAAGATAGATTTCCATCACTGAGTATTGGAGGAATGTCCTGGTTTGCCTCTAGTAGGTCTGACTCTGGTCTTGTGGACATGTCAAGTGATGAACTGGTTTGAACAGATTTTTTGGTTCCAGTCATATGGCCACCTTGAGAAGTGGTGCTAATTTCTGTTGTGGTGATCAAAGTTTGATTTTCACTTTTCTGGGTTGACCTGGGATTCAGTTCTTCACCTGACGTTGATGTTGCTCCATTGACTTGAGTTTCATTTGGCACTGAAGCACCCCTGGTTTCATCTTCGCTCGTTGAGGTAGATGCCACCTCCCCAGTTGAAGACAACACATTTGACATTGTTGCCGTCATCTGTGTTGCTGATGTAGCAGTTGATTGGTTATTGATTGGCTGAGCTGTTGAAAAGTTACTCATTTCTGGTGCTGTAAAGGTCAAAGTATTTGTGGCGCTGTTTTGGGGGGCCACAGTAGAAGCTGTGACCCTGAGGTGAGGAAGACAGACAGCTGGACGAGGAGGAAAAGAAGAAATTTTGACAGTTATGCACCACAAGAAGAAGCAAAGTGTCTTCTGCTCATGATTTAACATTTGTAGCTGAAGATAAAAGGAAACATTACAGCTAGCAGGAAGCCATGCTAACATTAACAACTGATTGTGGTGGCCCTCACAATTACTGCATTTACTCTACAGTACATTTACACAAAAGTTATCTTTAGGCCATAAAAATCTGTGCCTCAAATTTTAACATGTAACATTTATTAAATGTGGGCAAAGCAAAACGATGTTGTTGTTGTAGCAGTATGCCTGTATTTGACATCACGTACAAAGCCCATGAAAAAAAGTTAAGTCTAAAGGTTGTTACACACCGAGACTGACGCAAATACACAGCGCAATATATTTGGAGGCGAATTTTGACGCGCCTGACTATACACATCAAGTCCGATGCAATTTTGCGACTTTCCGGGGGGAAAAAAAGACGCATCCCGGGTGGAAGCGAGAAGACTGACACAACACCAGACGGCCTGTTTTTCAGTCTGATTAGAAGCTAGTGTTGAGATGTCTGTCTGTCATGATAGCATGTACTGAGTTGGGGCCAGTACCAGATAAGCACATTAAACTATAATCCATAAATGTAAGGTAACAACCATAGACTGTATATAGAATGGACAGAGTCTGCCTCCTCTCTGAGTGAAGCCACTCAGAACAGCACCCTCTGTTGACAGGCTGCAGTATAGGTCATAAATCCCGCCTCCGCCAGCAATCCCTATGGCACTGTGGACAAACTTTAGAAATTTATTATACAGAACATAAATTTTTCTCCCCCCTGCTTGCAGTGTTGTCATATAGTTGCAGTAAGACTGGTTTGTGCTCAAGTTCTCTTTCTTCTGTGAAGCTCAATTTTTAAAAGTTATTAGGGGGTTCACGTTATCTATGATTGACACCTGATGCAGCCTATTGGCATTTAGGGATTGCGTAGCTCTCCCGGGGGATACGCTGTTTGAGCTAAGCGACTCTCAGTGATTCTCAGCAACTGCACGCCCGAATGCGTGAATCACTACTGCACAGCGCTGGTTTCGGGAAATGAAGAAATACCAAGAGCTATTTGGCTTCAAATCCATATACAGGCGATAGGCAGAACCAAGTTGTCCATAGTGTATACAGTCTACGGTAACAATCAAGACTTAATGTTGCTGTGACAGCAACGCGATTGAGTTTGAGACAGTGAAAATACATATGGTATGTTGTATCTGAACAGGTTAGCTTACGAGCTAAAGTTACTTAGCACAGATGAAAGTTAAAACAAAGACATTTAGCAAACTGTTAAAGCACAAAAAGCATTGTCATATGAGAGACCCGACGCTATGACTCTCCACACGTTGTCCTTCAGGTCATTATCTTTGTAATGTTTGTCTTTTATCAAAAAGCACTCTGTTTTCCGACACGTAAACAATCAGCCGGTCGGCCATGTTGGATATACCGGTGAATCTGACGTCACAACAACACACAATCTGATTGGTCAGAAGTGGAGACACAGTATGTAAAACTTAAGAAAAATTGACCGTGATCCGAAAAAATAAATGCCGCAATATCACAGGACGGGAAAACATTGCTGATGTGAATGCTTGTATTGACAGGATACAGGTTCGAAAAAAAATATTGACGTCCGAAATAATTGCACATAAAACATGGTCCCGGTGTGAAAGGACTGCAAGGCAGCACCCTTGGTGACCACATTTATCATTTAAGCCATGATCCAGCTACTACCAACAAAATCATCCGAAGAGTCTGTAATGTTTTTCAAAAAAAAAATGTTTAAACTCTTTTTGACTACAGGTTGCAAGATGGAAGGATATTTTTGATGGGAGTCTGAAGCAGTTTTAGATTAATATCTGGAGTTTTTTGAAGAGGTCAACATGTCTGATGGTGGTTGGGCTATACATACAAAGTGACATCACTGAACAATGATGCAGTGCAACTTTACTCACCTGCCAGTAAGCCTAAGAAAAGTCCAGGGCTCATGGTGACAAGTGATTGCTATTCATGAGTAGACAGCGTATCTGATAAGAAATGACAGACAAAAAGCAACAAATTCAAGGCATTTGTTTCTCCATTTGTTTCAGACAAAATCTTCTACGTAATAGCATTCTCACATGTCTTGCATATTATCTTTCATGCGATTCATCTGTGTACTCTTTTACGCTGGAAAAAATCTAAGAACTGATTTGTTGTAGATAACATTCCTCCTCCACCCACTCTTACATATCTCGGGACCTAGTAGCTTCAAACTTCAAATGTTAAAAAGTGTGAGGAAGATGTTTCAACACAGAGGTAAAGTAGTCTCCATAGTTTGACTGTAACAATTACGAAAAAAAAATGTTTGGGTACCTTGATGGAGCGGATAAGATAGTGAATACAGCAAAAAAAAAAAAAAAAAAAAAGACAAAAAAAAGGAGCAAGAGCGAGGACTGACTTGTGGGAAAGGAGGCTCCGACTTAAATCAAACCCGGGCTGCTCACTTGAGTCATAACCTCCACATATGTTGCTGCCTGCGTGAGGCATAACCCCCATATACAGGTCAAGTTCAGAATCAGAATCAGAAGGGGTTTTATTGCCATCGTCGATGAACAGGATTTACAGACTAGGAATTTGTTTTGGCATGATGGTGCAACAATAAACAGAGAGAAATATAAAATACTAGAACAAAAACTAACAACAGCATGCAAGAAATATATAAAGTATAAAAGTATAAAAATATAAAAGTATAAAAGGTTATGTATAATGCTATGTGCAATAAGTATAAGAGGCTATGTACAACTAAACAATCTGGAACTACAGTGCAGTGGGAGGAGTGCAATTAAAAAATCCAAAGTACGTTAAACTAAAGTGACCAGTGATAAAGTGACGGAGTTAAAGTGACAGACTGGCAAGAATTCACAAGTATGACACAGCAGGTCACTTGAATACTCACCTACCCGGTAATGCTTTGCATCTCTTTGAATTTTACCAGAGAGGAGCATACCAGCCAAAAACAAGTGGTGTACAAACGCAAATGATACTCGTCACAAGTTAGCATGTTAGCCAAGCCTTTATGACTCATATGGAAAATCACAGGAATATGTGATTGATTAAAGCTCTACTTAGTTTTTTTTACCTTTATGAAACTGACTGAAATTCATATTGTTTCTTTTTTTTAAGTTATACATAAGCAAACAAGACCATTAGTTACAACATTGGTGATTTTTGTACTGCAATTTAAACACTTGAAATTGGTGTGAGGGGGTAGGTGTCAGCTGAGCAGCCATTACATTTTCCACACAAGCTAACCAAAACACATGATGCTGTCTAAAGTTAACAGGCTAAGATTTCTTTTTGTGAAAAAGGAAGCATTAGGAGGACAGGATGAGCAATGACTGCTTAGATGACGGGAATAAATTTGTCGTCAGGTTGTTTTTTGTTAAACAGACATATAACCACTCAGCTAAAAAAACATGTTACCAGCACAGGCATGTTGACATCAACCTGCAAAGAGGACTGTAAGCTCGTGGTGCTAGCACTAGTAAGGTTAGGTATTCCAGCAAACCAGTTTCAAATTGTCTTAATTAACAGGCTCTTTGTTAATTACATTGTACTCAATTTTACAATTTCTGTGTGTTTTCTGACATTTACAACAGTTGAAAAGTGAAAAAATAAATTTCTGGTTAAAAGAAATTAGTCTCTTTGGAACATACCGGGTATGTAGTATTTTGGATGCACACTGCAAAAGCTCAAATTTTACGGGTTATGTGTTTGTCTACATTTTAATTACAATGTCCTTACATGCAAAGGAAGATGAGAAGAAAAGATAAGATAGATAAGAACTTCATTTTTCCCCCATGAGATTACTAATTGTTAGTTATGGCTTAACTGTAATGACTAAAAATGGTTGATAATGCAGCACGCAAAAATGCAGAGGTGATTCTTGTTTAAAACCCTTTTTTCAAATCTTAATGAACTTTCATCCACTTTTAACTAATAACAACCCATCAAGCTCTTATTTCTGCCCAGTTATATTTTTAATAAGATTTCTGAAAGTGTTTTTTGTGATGTAGTACATCAGCATTTGGTTAATGACACAGCCTTTGCAATACCTGATCATAAACCATGTTTTTGTCTTGGCATATTTTTAACATGCATCGGGTGCACCTGTCAGCACTCAGTGCACCTGGTGGAAAGGTAGGTTCCCACAAATGTCTGTGGGTGCGGCATGATTACGTAACATTATAGACACAAAAATATCAAACCACCATGATGTTAATGTTTTTCTGTGTGTTTACTGTGAAACCTGAAGTCCTTGAATAGTCTAATTTTATCAACTTTATCGGTAAACTTTGTAGTGTGATACTTCCTGTACTTTGTGCAGTCTGCTCCCACTCAGTCAGTTTTTTTGACATTTATCACAATTACTATCAAGTTTTAGTCAACTGAAAACAGAATTTTGTTTCAAGAGGGGTTTTACAATGCAGAAACAAAAGTGAATGGGCACACTCTAAAAGGCATTCTTATTTTAACTTAGGTAAACAGCTTTTTACACTAACCCACAGTTCACACAGTGAATGAAAGGCTTTCCGAGGCTCACAATGATGAAACCTGTCAGCGGAGCTTTTTTTTGAATATGCTTGACCAACCACGAGAGTTCAAAAGAGAAAAGAATCCAAAGAATGTGAACTATAAAATCTGTAAGTCACACTCACCTTTAAAAAGCTTTGACCGGGTATCTTTAGTGAATCATCTTTATACTGATAAGCGTAGACAAAACGAAAACAGTGGAGCCATCTTTAGCTGCCTTGCGTAACCGGTTCTACCTGCTGGATTAACACCTGTCAATCAACCTCATAGCTGTGATGAACTCAGCTATAGGTATAGACTTAATATGTACATAATGATTTAAAGTTTTGTCATATTTTAGCGAATGCAAATTTTGTACTCTTTTAATCAAAGCTGGATGTACAACTAAATCCTTATTTCTTCAAATGTCAGAGCAGACATCACGGGTCTTCTCATTTTTTTAAGCATAAGAAAACAAACAGAAGCAAGGAAGCTGAGTTTTTTTTTTCTAGACACATGTTGCTCACCGTGGTGAGCAAAAACAGCCGACAACCATCCTGTTGAGCAACAGTCTTCTCAAAGTTTATATTGGTAGATTGTCACCATTGGACAGGATATGTAATCCTTGCTGTATAACCTGTTTATCAGCCTCATTTGAGCTGATTCATAGCTTGAGGAATTTATTTGTTAAGGTGGTAAATGTTTTTAGGAGGAATTTCGTTGTTAAGGAGCTTGTTCTCATAAAAATGTTTTCACAGGTGTGGGAAAGCTCATGAATCTAAAAAAAGGATGTTGATGGCTGTGTTTTTCAGATGCACTTCATTTTTCTCAGGTGTCAATCATGTCTACCATATCTCCCTCAGGGACTGAATTTTGGTGTTAAGTGCAGTTTGATCTTTAAATCCTAAGCAGCACTGTTGTGACAGATTCATATAAGAGGGATAGTTTTTTTTATTGTGGGTTTGTATAAGGTACCCGTTGTAATGCCATGGGGCAATAAGAGCAGCCTGAAATATGTTAAGAGCTTGTTGAACTGTAAATCTTGTTAGGCTGTTAAGAAGCTGCCAGAGGACCAATACAAAGACAAATATAAGCATAAATCTGCCTCTTTAAAGCTCCCTTGATGACTTTTTTAATGTTTAGAAAACAGACTAAAACTCATATTGAAGTCTTTTCATAATATCTAAAAAACAATCAAGACCATCAGCAACAAGATTGTTGGCTTGATTGTTTTATTTTCAACACCTGAAACTGACCTTAGAGGGAAGGTGTCAGCCAAGCAGCTGAAAAAACAGAACAGTTTTACAATTTTCACATTTCCAATCAAAAGCCATTACTCAAGCATGCAGACATGAATTAAGCAAGACTGCCTTGTCTCACAAACCCCAAAATGTTGTGTTGTGGCTGTCTTGTGGGACTGGTGGAGTGAAAAAACCTACATGAATTCCCTACATGAATAACTTTGAAAGAGGAGATTTTGTGACTGCATCATGACTTATTCCTGTCATTCATTTACTGATTTATTTTCCTGATAAACGGGTTCAGTGGTGATCTGAGACAATAGTATATGCTGTTGGTTCTGCGTAATCCTCCCCTGAAAAAATAACCTTTGACAACAGCACTGCATGTGATATTTGCATTCACTGCAGCTATCTGGTGATATCAATGGCCATTATTAGTAAGTAGAACTTTGTGTTGCCTGTTGAGCAACTCAAACAATTTGAATGTCTGTCACCTACTGCATTGCACTGCATCAAGCAAGAATGGGAAAACATTGTATTTGTAACATTTAACAGGTGTCTTGCAGAAATACATTAAGGATGATGGACAGACTTTCTACAACTCTAAGACAATAAATCTGAAATTCTTAAGCTGCAAAATCATTGATATTCTGTTCCGGTCTATTTGATGTGAAGGTTGTTTGAGTGTTTTTCCTTGTGATGGTGAATCACCTGCCAAGTCGAGCGCTAGGATGCGACAGATAACGTGATGTTTGAGTGACAGTTTACATTTCCGTGAACACGAGTGCCAATGACAACACTCACAGTTATGGTTGGGTTTAAGGGTGTTTACTGTGTGACTCTTACTTGCTCTTCCTGGGAAATCAAAACCAATCACAGGGTGCTTGTGTAAAACAAAAGTTATCACTCTTCTACACAATTACATTAACCCTCCCCACAAAGTGAAAGACAAGAATCGTTTTGACTACCTTGTGCCACAAAATCCAAAATGTTGTTACATGTGCATACAGTGTATAATTATGTTATATCACCTTACAATTACATCAGCTTGCCTATGATGTTGCATTATGTTGGTTCTAAAACAAATGCAAGGCTGACATGACGCTCCCCTTGATAGGTTAAGTACCTACTTAGTTTCCCTGACAATAATGACTCCCACTATTATAGTATTTGGAAAAATAGTCACTTTGTTGCATGTGTGAAATGCACTTCCAAATGAATAAAAAATCATGATAACTGCTCTAGAAATAAAATGACATTTAAATGCATCATCCTTTAAGTCATCTTTTACAAGTGTGTTTAGAAGATTTAGAATTTGGTATTGTGCAGGGCTGCCTGTCTGTCTAGCATTGTTGTACGCATGTACTTTCACACATGAAATCTGGATTAATTACTTTACTTCGCGCCCAAGTTTCACCGAGGAACACTGGCTGACTATCTTTTAAGGAGTGTTCAAACCCGACAATCAAGAACTGTTGGGTATTTTTGGCTGGTTGGCAGGTTACAATGAACAGTATGTCCAATAGTAAAAAGGCAGCTGGGTGGCACAGCCCTTCATGCAGCACCCAAGCACGAAGAACGAGCGGTATTTTCCCAAGACTCAGATCTCTTGGAAACCACACCCATGCCAGTCAAAGTCATTCAAGTAATGAGGACTTCTCTCACAGTTTGTTATTCTGATTGCACAGCCACACCTGTGTTTATTAGTGGTAGATGTTTCAAATCACTATTTTGCCAATGAGACCAATTAATTTAAACTGATTTTAATTGCTCTCATCCTCTGGCTATGCTTTCCTCTCTGTAAGCCTGCATAACTGCACCAGGTTATTGAGACATTTTTATTATCAGGTGTTTTAAACAGTGTTCTGTTTACTCAGAGTTGTTTTCTCATGAACACTCACATGTTCTCACAAATTAAACTCAAGTTTTCTTATTACTGTGGTAGCACTGGTTTCTACTCTCGTCAAGGAGATCAACTCCAATACAGCAGAAACTGTTGACTGTTTTTAATCATTTATCTAGTGGTTCTCAACTGGTGGGTCCCGACCCTAAAGTGGGTCGCGGACACGTTCTGGATGGGCCACGACCAGCTGGTCAAAAAAGTGAATACTTAATGCGAATCTGATGTTTGACCATAGACTGTATATACTATGGACAACTTGGTTCTGTCTCCTGCCTGTATACGGATTTGAAGCCAAAAAGCTCTTGGTATTTACGGGATTTTTCTTCATTTCCCGAAACCAGCGCTGCGCAGTAGTGTTGTGCGCATTCAGCGGGAGAGTCGCCGAGAGTCGCTGTGATGACGCAGTGTACAGTGCACTCCCCAGGTGAGCTACGCAATCCCTGAACACCAATAGGCTGTATCAGGTGTCAATCAAAGAAAACATAAACCCTCTAATAACTTTTAAAAACGGAGCTGTACAGAAAAAAAAAGGACTTGAGCACAAACCAGTCTTAGTGTAATTAAATGTCAACATCGCAAGCAGGGGGGAGAAAAATGTTCTGTGTAATAAATTTCTAAAGTTTGTCCACAGCTCCATAAGCTTTGCTGGTGGAGGTTGGATTTATGACCTATACTGCAGCCTGTCACCAGAGGATGCTGTTCTTAGAGTGGCTTCACCCAGCGAGGAGGCAAAGAGGTCTTTATTTTGTGCAATTTGATATTTTTTCACTTTTGTCCATGCTGCTGCTTGGTCCTCCTCAAGTTCTTCTGAATATGCTCTGAATGCAGAGATGCATATAAGTCAAATTTTTCATTTTGCTGGTCTCCATTTCGTGCAATTTATTTGATATTTAGCAGATAACTTTAGTAGTTGTCGTCCACAGTTCATGTACTCTAAAATGCACTTTATTTAATAAAATATGTGTATTTATGTAAAAGATTTGAGTCTTTAAAGGTTTTTTAAGAACTATTTGCTTGTTTTAATTTTATAAAAGTGGGTCATGACTTAAGGACCATGGGAAAATGTGGGTCCCAGAGTGAGACCAATTGAGAACCAGTGATTTAGTCCATCTATTTTAAAATACTTTTCAACTACATTTCCCACAATTCAACAGTATGGTAAGTCGTGAGGCCAAACTTAATGTTTTCGCCTAATCGCGCAAGCTGCTGCCGCTCTTAAAGGAGACGCATCCCTACCAGGCCTTTTCACTGCCGGGGCAACATAAGGTTTGCTATAGCTTTAAGAAGTAAATAATTGTAAATGTTCGTTATTTTTTTATTTGTTATTTTCAATTACGCTTTTACTTATATACCACTTCACAAAACAACTGCATGGGGACTAAAACTAATAGTAAGCCAAGAAAACTTGGTCTCACGGAGGCCTCTACATTTCGTTGGCCCTAAATGTTCAATATTATGATAACTAACTGGTCACAAAGGTATATCCGGGCTGCTGCAGGTGTATAAGAGCATTAAGAGACTCTTTTGAGGACGAGGATATAGGTATTCGTGCAGGTGAAAACAAAGGGGAGATTCGATGGAGGCCGCTGATACATCCCCAGAATCGACTGAATCACCCAGCCGAAGAAGGGGAAGCAAACGCCGTGTCAAACCCGCAGCAACCCTCCCAGACTCCGCGGGCTCTTGCATTGGTGCTGTGCGAGTCTTGCGAGCCAGAGGAGCTGCAGCTCACAAAAGTAATGATTTAAAGAATGCCTCCTGTGAGAAACAGACGCCAAGTCTGCACGGTGGACGAAGGAAACCTGCTGGGTCAAGCTGCAAAAATACACTTGTCATGAAGTAAGTACGTGATCAGAGGCGCGTCAACTACTTCATCGTATTTTTCCATTGAAAGAGCATAGCAACATCACTTTTAAGAGGCTTGTTTGATGCATCCAACTGAGCCTGAACTACAAGGAGGCTCGTGTCTTTAGTTATTTGAGTGTGTAAGTTCAGTGAGGTTTCTTAAAGCTATAGGCTTTCCAGATATTGAAACCAAAACAAATCAATTGAATGCATTTTCTTTTCTGATGTGTTACCCTCTCACTATCAATGGCCAGTAGATTAAAGACATTTTGCATTTTGTATGATGAACTGTTGCTTTATTCCAACGTGCATTTTGCTGTCAGTTACTATGTACCATTTCTCCTTTAGACCCAAGATGAAGAAGTTGACTGCCAAAAAAGGTAACAAGACACACTTATGTCACATTCAGGATTTTAATTGTTGTAATAAAGGACAGCAGTCAGTAAGATGTGCGCAACCTTTCATTTTCAGCGTCTAAAAACAGTCTGGGAACAAAGTTGTCCAAATCGAAAAAGGGCAAAAGGAGACTTTCAGTCCAAGCCTCCCACACCTCGCCTGCAACATGCAAGCCAAGAGCAAAGACTGAGGATTCATTATGTGGTAAAACAAAGACAAACTTCACCAGTGTTTCAAATATTCACTGTGGGCTCCATTTTATGTAAATGACTTGGCTCTTCAGATGAAGAAAGCTAATTTTGTTGTTTTTATTACACTGGCAGGGGTCTGATCTGTGAAATAAGTTCAATACAGATAAGTAAAAGAAAAACACAAACCATGCCAAAGGATGAAATGTATAAGAAGAAGCACTGGCAGAGTTTTGGTTCAGCTGATTTGGAATACACTGAGACATATGTATGAAAGATGTAACACCTCGTGATCTTGAAGCCAAAGAGCTTTTGTTACATAATTTTGGCTGTACTTAAGCTTATAAAAGCACCAAAGTGGCAACACATCCTGACATTTTTCCCCAAAACCAAACATGCATGATGTGATTGAAGGTGCAAGGGCCTGCTGAGTGCTGCTTGAGTACTTTGATAATATCTTGTAACTCGGGAAGTAATTTAGCTACTTTTTGGTCGTAGTAGCTAATATGTGCTTTGAGTGGAAAGAAAGACCAACAGTTCCTTCAATCATTTGTTGGCATGTGTAATGATGAACTGAAGAAGTCCCAGTGAGCCATGGGGTGGTTCAGTGTGTACTAGAGAATACTGCCCCACTTTGATTTAACTAATTACATTTTGTCCGTAGTTGACCAAATACTGGTTACTAAGTGTATAATTTCACAGATGACACAATAATATAATCAGAACATTGTACAGGTGACATGAAAATAAGAGCAGAAACAGATTTAACATTGTCAAACTGAACTGGTTACACTGTTACTGTCTGCTTTTCAGGAGAGAAATCAGGCTCTTCAAAGCAAAGCAACAAGTGAGTTGTATTCAGCTTATGATCACTGGTAAAATTTGCACTTATATTTGATTTTATGTTGTGTTTTGTATGATTGTGATGTCTGTATCAGTGTTTCAGATCCAGATGATCCTTTCAAAGAGGACCCTCTATTCAGGGATGATCCAAATGATAAACCAGAGACTCAAACGTATGACATGCTCATTGCTTTTCCACCATCTGAATAAATCCTATGTCCATGTTGTAGATCTCCGTATGTAATGTTTTATTGCTCTGTCCGTCAGGGGGAAATCAAAGTGGCATGCAGCATCACAAAAGGAGATCAAGAAAGAGGAAGAAGACATCAAAAAGGAAGAATTAGCCAAGAGTGTTGTGCAAAATGAGGACAATGCAGAGGGTAAAGCTGAGCCACCACAGAGGTAAGTAAAATATGGATGGAGGATTATGAATGCACAACAGCTGTGAACACTGGTGAAACTGTCTCTGGGCATTTTAGATGTTCTCCATGGCCTGAAGCAACAAACGTGTTTATGTATACACAGAAAGTGTTATGAAATATGTTTTTTATGTCCACCATAACAGAAGTAAACAAAATAAGTTTGTTCCAAATTCTGCTTATCATTACAAAAAGAGTTTAATTTAACATGGACATATTAAGAACAAGACCCACTTGTCAACACGTTTCATGTTTCTGTGATGGAAAAAAAAAACAGGCTGGGCAAACCTCTTTCGGTATTTAATCTTGTCATGCAAAAACAACAGGTGTTCGACTGAAGTCATGCACAAAATCCAAACAAGCGGTGCCACCCATAACCTGAGTCAAAGAATTAATCAACGCTGACGCCAAAGTAAACCTCCAGGCAATCTTTATACCTAAATGACGTTTATTGATTGAAAACAACAGTGAAAACATTCAGATCTGTGGACTGAGTCACCACCTCTCCATTCTTATACTGTGATTATGCAATCTTTGTCTATTTAAATCCCTGTTGTGAAAACAAGTCACAATTATATGTGCAATAAATCATGGCAATCATAACCACAAGAAGCAACCTTAATTAATCAAAAATGGAACTGTGCCATACCGAAGGGCGGAGACTCCTTATGTGACTAATTGATTTTTAAAGTCAAGAGTTACGGATTTTGTTTGTAAACTGGATTTTAAGATCAGATTGAGCATTTTATTTTCATTACAGGAAGTCCAGACAACAAAAAGATGATAAAGCAACTCGGCTACCAAAGCAAAGGTAACAGCTGTGGTTGTGTTAACTGGAGCTTCAACCGGATGAATGATTACTTTAATTTTTCTCTGTTAACTTTGTAGGAAAAAGCCCCCTGTGCAGTATGTCCGATGTGAAATAGAAGGCTGTGGCACTGTCTTGGCTCACCCACGCTACTTACAGGTTTGCTATCCTGTCAACTCGACAACCTCATTTATTCCTCTTAACCCATTGACACCCACATTAATGAACATAATCATGTTAAATGAGTCTCACATGAACATGTTTTGCATCTAGTTTACCTGGTGAGTTGCTGAATGAATTGTAGCATTTTTGTGCCACAGAATTATTGCCGATAGACGCTTTTGATGGTAAAATCTTTACAAATGGAGGATTAGATTTAATATGCATCATAGGCGCGACTTGTCCTTAACACCGTGGGTCACCACAGCGTCACTGGTTGGAGGAATGAACAAGGAAATGTATCGGTGTAGAATCCAACTGTGAAATAATGCCACACATTCCTACTTCTACACGCTGTACCTTTAAAATGGACAAGATATGAGCTCTTTGTCTCACTGAAATATCAGCTCAGTCAAGAATGCAAATATTATAATGTTAGGATGATAAACACTGCTCTGTCTCTCATCTCTTTATTTCAGCATCATATAAAATACCAGCACATGCTGAAAAAAAAGTACATTTGTGATCATCCTACGTGCGGACGCTTGTTCCGTCTGCAGAAGCAGCTGTTGCGCCACGCCAAACATCACACAGGTGAAGATAGGGGCATACTTTTTTATTTACAGCCCTCAGACAGACTCACTGCTTTGTGTATTTTCATTCAACTGTGAAATGACCCCATTTCTGAGGAACTTGAAATGTCTGCGCCTAGTTGTAGATAACGAGTCATAAGATGGCCATCAAAGCTTGATTTCCTGTTTCTGTCCTGATTTGTGGTTTGTTTGTTTCCCCCCGTTGTGTGTCTGACAGACCAGAGGGACTATATATGCGAGTACTGTGCCCGAGCCTTTAAGAGTTCTCATAACCTGGCTGTGCACAGGATGATCCACACAGGAGAGAAGCCGATACAGTGAGTAAGACGGAAATTTTGTACCATCATGCCCTGTCATGTGGTGTGGACAAGGAAGTATTTAAAAATAGACAAGTGAGACAAAAGCGCATTTACTGTTATGAAGAGGAGTGGCATCAGATAACAAAGTCGGCATTTGAAATATTTTTTTTTACTGATGTGAAAAAAATCCTTTCAATAATGTCGACTCATTTTAAGTTTGAGAGTTTTCAGGACAGTTTACCGAGTCCAGGTTTGTGTGATTCATGAAAAACACAGAAAAATGACAAATGAGCACATCTTTAAATTCATTAACCTACAAAAGCTTTTTCCAGCATTTAACTTTTTAATTTGACTAAGTGGAGCTCTTAATTGGAGTCTTTGTTGTTCACCGAAGTAAAAGCACAACAGACGCAGAGAACCCCTAATTATCCAGTTCTGATTGACACAAGGAGCAATTAACACTCCTTAATTACCATTTCATTATTTCTATTACTAAGTGTTAGTAGGTTAGTTCATAATGTGCAGTATTACGTAAATTTAGAGCACCAGGTGTGAGCGATCTGGTTTGCCTGTTCTACTTATAGGGCCGAAACTGGCTGGCCTGAATCCCTCACTTTAGTGAATGCTTTTAGCGCTGACTGGCTGAGGATCGATTTCTTTCCAATGAAATCTAAAACTTCCTGAGAGAGTTTTTCTTTTGTTTGTCCTACACCCGGACCTGTGCATTTCTGTTAACTTCTACTGTTACTTCACTCGAACTGAAAAGAAAACAACAACTTTTCAATGACCCTTTAAGCCATAATGCATCACCAAACACCAAATTAAACCAAAAAGTAGTATAAAGACTAGAAACGGCTCGGACACGACTATCTAATACATTCAAATCCTCTATCATTCATGTTGGATATATAACATTTTACCTGATTATTTATCTGCTTCTACACTTTGCCAATAACAAATCTGTGCTTTTACTTCCCTAAGATTTTGAATACAGGGACCTATACTTAAAACTGCGCACTAAGTAAACGCTTGTAAAATTCAAGGTAATGGATCAAATAAAGCCGGAGTGCGGCTGCCGTTCTGCTCATCTCCTCTGCTTTGTCTCCCCCATGTGGCAGGTGTGAGATCTGCGGCTTCACCTGCCGTCAGAAGGCCTCCTTAAACTGGCACATGAAGAAGCATGATGCCGAAGCCTCCTTCCAGTTCTCTTGCAATATTTGCAACAAAAAATTTGAGAAAAAGGACTCTGTTGTTGCACACAAAGCCAAGAGCCACCCTGAGGTGCTTATCGCTGAAGCTTTGGCAGCTAATGGGGGCGCTGTAATAAGCACACCCATCCCAGTCCCAGAATCTGTCCCGGAAACTGCTGCAGAAACTGTCCCTGAAACTGTCCCTGTGCTCACCCAGCCTGAAACTCCCTCTGTTAGCCAGGAGAGCCATGAGGCAGAGAGTGGTTCGCTGACCCCCCTTGAGCAGGTGGTGCTCCCATTTCCTCCACAGACTCAAGTAGACGTCCCTCAAAGCCAGTTCCTCCAGCTCCCCTCACACCATGTGGTGCAGGTGGCACATCAGCAGCAAGCCCCCACCTTGCTGCACCTCACCACTGCTACTCCCACTCACCTCTCCAGCACCCAGCTCATCCAGCTCTCCACCTTCCCTGTCATGCCCATGTCTACGGCGGACCACCACAGCACACTCGTCACCCTGAGCCCCGTCACAACAGCCACATTGGTGCCTCACCAGCAGGCTGTACAGTGGGACAGGGAGGCTGAGGAAGAGCCACATGTGCCAGGGGAGGGCAAGCTGTGGGAGAGGGTGGTGGTGGGTGACAGGGAAATGGAGTGGGAGGGCAGCTAAGGGGGCACAAAGAAGGATGAAGGGATTGTTTGGGAGAGGGGAGGAGAGAGGTATTTGGACATATGAGGGGGAAAAGAAAAAAGGAAGAAAGAAAATTTAATTTACAAAATAAAGCAACTGAAGGATCTTAAACTATTATTTAGCAAACACTATGAATACTAAAGAAATAGGCTTTATCTCTATGAAGTGTGTAGCAGTAGAGTACATAGCTGCACAGAATACTGTGCATCAGGGAATATGTGTATATAATAATAATAATGATAATAATATTACAGATTCAGTTTAGGTGTTTTATTAAATGGTGCTTCTTTTGTTGTAAATGTTTTTTCTAGAGATTAAACTGAAATATAGATGCACATGTCGTGTAACATTGACTTTATCAGCTTTACTCTGGTAGTTTTAACAAGTGAATAGACACAGAAAAAAAACCTGCTGAAAGGAGAAAATCCATACCAAATGTGGTAAAAAAATAAAATAAGGCAGCTGATTTCTTATAAAAATGTTTTACGTTAACAATCTTGGATAAAAACATTTACCACTGCACACCTTCAAAACAACTTAAATGAGCTTTTATACTGTTAAGACTAATTTGAACAGAAAAATTGATTAAATGACGACAGTTAAAAAACATTCAGAAGCCTTTGATTATTGTTCCTGGTGTATCTTGGAAATATTGCAGTACTACTTTAGTTCATGTTTGTATGCCATCACAGAATGCTTCCTTCAAGTTTTTATATATATATATATATATATATACTGTGTATATTTCATATTCTGTGAAAAGACTATTTTCTGCAATTTGTGGACAGGTTTACACCAAAATATAAAAGGTCCTATCAAAAAATGAGAAAGTAATAAACTGCTAAAGTATCAGCTGTACCTGAGAAGTAGTTAAATGCTTAGCGAACAGATGCATCCAAGTTTATACAGTATTTCCATTAACAGAGTTCAAACTTTTCTTGTAAAGTGAAGATTTTACTTTTCCGTCCAATTAGTAAATATGCATAAATAAATACCTCAGGAATAATATAGTAATGTATAGTTTATAAGCAGTAGACCGATAGAAGAGGTAAAATACAGAGGAAACTGCAGGAAAAGCAAAAGGGGAGGAACCGTAGACTGCATATACTATGGACAACTTGGTTCTGCCTTCCACCAGTATATGGATTTGGGCCAAAAAAGCTCTCAGTAATTCTGCGTTTTCTCACCATTTCCTGAAACCAACATTGCGCAGTAGCATTGTACGCACTCCACCACTTGTGCAGTAGCATTGTGCGCATTCGGCGGGAGAGTCGCTGTGATGACGCTCGGCTCAAACAGCATATCCCCCGGGCGAGGTACACAATGCTTTTACGCCCATAGGCTGTATCAAGTGTCAATCATAGAAAACACGAACCCCCTAATAACTTTAAAAAATTGAGGTGTAAAGAAAAAAGAGGACTTGAGCACAAACCAGTCTTACAACAACTACATTTCAACATCGCAAGCAGGGGGGAAAATAATTTATGTTCTGTGTAATAAATTTCTAAAGTTTGTCCACAGCTCCATAGGGATTGCTTGAGGAGGCAGGATTTATGACCTATACTGCAGCCCGTCACCAGAGGGTGCTGTTCTTGCGGTGGCTTTACCCAGCGAGGAGGCAGATGCTGTCCATTTTATATACAGTCTATGGGAGGAACCTACCTTATTAGTTGAATGTCGTGACTATGTATTTTAAAGTAAAACTACATTACTGTAAATATGCGAACAGACAATAAAAATCAGAATATAATAGTCTGGATTTTAAGACTTTCTGACCCGAAAAAAAAAAAAAAAAGTATAGTTACCTTGTAGTTATGTCATAGACTGTATATAGCGTAGACAGCGTCTGCCTCCTCGCTGGGTGAAGCCACTCCGAGAACAGCACCCTCTGTTGGCGGGCTGCAGTATAGGTTATAAACCCTGCCTCCTCCAGCAATCCCTATGGAGCTGTGGACAAACTTAAGACATTTATTACACAGAATATAAATTTTTCTCCCTCCTTTTTGCGATATTGACTTGTAGTTACAGTAAGACTGGTTTGTGCTCAAGTCCTCTTTTTCCTGTACAGCTCAATTTTTAAATGTTATTAGGGGGTTCATGTTTTCTTTGATTGACACTTGATACAGCCTGTTGACTCTCCTGCCGAATGTGCACAATGCTACTGCGCAATGCTGGTTTCAGGAAATAAAGAAAATCCCAGAATTACCGAGAGCTTTTTTGCTTCAAATCCGTATACAGGCTGGAGGCGGCACCAAGTTGTCCATAGTATATACAGTCTATGAGTTATGCCCAATATATTCTGAAAAAGGGTGAGACAAGATCGAAAAGGATCAAATATCACCGGGAGACCCTGACTTTTTATATGCCAGCTTTGCGTTTTATATATATATATATATATAGTGCTTTTTGTCATTTACTAGTCATTTCTTTATTTACAGTACTAAAAGTCCTGAAATAGAAAAAAAAGACTTTTCTTTAATGTTATTATTACACGGATTTTTAAGATATTACTCAAAAATATCTCCCCAGTTCTGCGTTTGTGGGGTAGCACATTAACTGGATGCATCGTTCAACTTTCCAAATCAGCCCACAGTGTCTGGAAAATCCTCCCAAATGTATTTAGTGTGGACAGATGGGTGGGCCACATCCGTGACGTTTTTTGGGAGAAAAAAGGTCCTCCTGTGCGTCCCCCTAAAAACGCCCCTGTGGCTTGCGGAACCAATTAAATCCCCTGCTTTTGCGTTCCTGCCAACATGAGCACCGACGTGAACCCGCTTCATTGATACCCGCTGCGAGGATCTCCGGTTCCTGTCCCAGCCGCGAAGGTATCCCGAAAGTCTCCGCGGGTAAATAAGTTTATTTTTTTTCGGTGCCATCATTCACGACGCTGGGGGGAAGAGGAGGGGAGGACTGGATTGTCAGCTCGTAGCTAACACACCTCTACAAACAGGGCTGGAGAGCAAATGGCAGAGCAGGAGGAGCAGAAGCAGATTACCGAGCTGGACAAGCCGGTGCCTGGTGTGTCCGAGACGGGGAACGCGGTGGCTCTAGCCCGGCTACTGCACCACGAATGTGGCCGTCTGCTCCAGCTTTATGTGAGTTCTGGTTTTACATGGTTTTTTTTTTCTTCTTCTGCCTGCCTTATACTCCCGGACACACTCCCCTCTCCCGTTACTTGTGGCTCGCTTCAATGCCAGCATGTTTTTCTGCTGAGGCAGCTAGCAACCTGTCGTGTTTGAATTGCATGTTGACTTATTCAGCTCGCAGGCTAACATTCATCATTTTGCACTTGTGATCCTTAAAGCCATGCTGTGGTGCAGAGTAATTACATTAAAAGACCCCCTCCCCCTCCTCCATTTTCCCTAGAATACCTAATGGATGGAGTGTATTGGATTTTCTCCTCTGCTGTCCCTCTGGGTCTTGTCTGCCTTTTAGAGCACCTTTTAATTCATCAATAAAATCAATACAGCAGTCACTTAGAATTTCATTTGTAATTGATCCAAAGTAAAATTAAAGGCGCAAGTGCAAGGGCAGCAGCACCTTGTAAATGCGCGCTGATCTCTAACTCTTGTTTGTGCGCTTTCAGAAAGAGAAGGAGACCTTGTTGGACCACACCCCAGATGGCGGGCGCATCGTGTCCCTCGCCTCAGAGGGGGCTGATACCCAGCAGCAGGTGCAGATGCTGCACTCAGCTCTGCGGCAGTGCCTGGGACTCCTCCACTGTGTCATCCTGAAGGAAGTGGAGGAATGGGGCGAGCTTGAGGGGGACTACGAGACTTTGAGGAAAAATGTGCGGTCTCGACTGGAGTTCTTACTCATCACCACGAAAAGTTTGGCTGAGACTGAGGATACGACCCTTGAAGTCACTCCAGACCACAAGTGTAATGAGGTATGGTATTGTTATAATGAGCTTCCATCTCCATATGGTTCAGCTTAACATGGGCTTTAAATTGTTATGCTACTGATGACAAAAACACAAGAACAGCATTCATATGACGTGCGTTACATTCAGAAAACATACTGCTCTCCCATACACAAAGAACACCAATGAACAATAAAATAGAAACTGATAAAAGGCCTTTCCTTATGTCACCAGTGGATTTCTTCAAGTGGCTCCATTTTTACCCATAAAGGTGACTGTGAAAGTCAGTTTTTCTCCTCCAAAATCGAGTGTTTTGATGCTGCTTGCACAAAATATTTCTAAATGATATCATGAAATGGAAAACTGAAGGCTCTGCAAGGGTATGACTAAACCCTGTATTATATGAATAATACCTCTGTGTAAAGGTGACTAATGCAAGGAAGAGAGATTCAAAACATTGACTTGATCACCTGGATATCCAAGACAACTTTTTCATTGAGGTAAAAGCTTTCTAAATATTTGTATAAGAGAAGTAGATTATATGCGTGGGTTTGAGTTTGGTTTAAGGAGGGTTTTTTTCACATCTTTCGGTTCATTGTTTGACTCTCAGGCCTGCGACTTAATTGTTATTTTGTTGGGTTCATTCTCACCACTGCTGGCTGGAAAATTTTCTGAAGAAGAAGCTGTGGTAAAGCCACTGCACATCAAGCTGAAGTCAAAATTAGCAAGTTGGAGAGAAAGATGGATGCTTTGGTAGCCAGAGACAAACATGACTATGCGGGGGAGGTGGTGGAAACCAAAAGAGGAGCAAAAAGATTAAGTATTACAGGACATAGACTCCCAAGAAGGGCACACTTAAAACTGCAAAGACTGATTACTAAGCACTCTTTTTCTGATTGATTTTAAATAATAATCTAGCTTGTTCAGCGTGTGAAACTACTGTAAAATTTGAGGTAGAAGACTCATTTTAAATACCATTTTTATAGAGACACCTGACATAATTCAGAGAGGTATTTTATTGTGAAGGTAGGAAGGCCCTCCAAACAAGACACCATTTTGCCTTGTTTCCAGGTGCAACTTGTATTACAGATATTATGGTAATTACTGACAACAGCAGTTTTAGTTTGGGGAATCCTTTATTCTATGCAAGATTTTAACCCAAGAAACATATTTTAATGTTTAGAAATTTACATACAGCCCCTCAGATTGTCTCTGAACTCCTTTTTTTCTTCTTGCTTTGAACATCAAGGGTTTTGTCACCCACTTTTTTGTCCTCCTCTCTAACGCTTCTAAACGGTGTGACTGTCGGTGTATAACTCTGTGCAGGAAACTGATGGCGCTGGTGGAGCTTTCGGCATCAAAATGTGGACCTATCGAGTGCTGCTGGAGCTCGTCCACTGGGCTGACCATGCTGCGCAGACTCTTCATGTCTTCCACACAGAGAGGGGAGGAACAGAAGAAATCTGATTTATCTCTGTTTCAATTCAAAGTCAATGAAAGAACTCACTCGACACTAACAGCCAGCTTTCTCTTCGATGTATCCCAGATTGAATATGAAACAGCAGGGAGTATACTCTGTGTGCACTAGAGAGTAAAAAATGTTCTGCTTAACTAAAATCACAACTAAGCTCCTCTTAACAAAAGGCCTGCAGACAGCTTCCCCCAGACGTTGGTATTTCCACAGCAAGTGCTAAAATGACCTCCACTTTGCCACAGTTGCATTTTCTTTTGACAAAGACATGAGTGCAGACTTTTAACTGTATAAAGTTTGGTTTGCTTTGTGAAGTGGCAGAGTTAGACTGTTTGAAAATGCCTTTTTTTGTATAGCGTGTATATTTATTTTATTTAAGTACTCTTGATGACTTATATCTGCTGTTCCTAACACTCCAAAACTCTAACTGCTAGAATGTAGCCAAAAAGTCATGACTGATAAACTGTGATTGACGTGCAGCTGAACACATAACCATTAGTTATTGAAGTAGGGCACTTAGTAATAAATGTAACACCTTATTAACATATGTAATCCAAATAATTCCAAATATCAGTTTTTATGTAGAGACTCAGTGCTTGTATTGTTTATGGTTTGGCACAGTCTGTGATAATCTAAGTGTCATGTCTGCTGCTCTGATCACCAAGTTCTCTCCCAATGTTATACTTGAATGTGCTGCTATACTGTTAACTTTTCTGAACTTCAACCTCAGTGGTTCTCAGATCTTTTTTTCTGCTTTTTTGGAAGCGGTAAAAAAAACTAACCGAGTACCACTGCAAATGAGCTGTGACTTTCTTAATCTCTAGTGAAGTGAATTTCCTAATGCCATGGTTTTATTTTATCTCTGTGATGAGTAACTGGATGTGCATTTAAGATTAAAACCAGTCCTAACCAGTGTTTTCATCCTTAAATTATGTCATGTCTGGTGTGAATCAGTATTTTTCACTCTTCCCTTTTCTTTTTCCTGCACATTATTTGACACGTTGAAAATTTCCTTGACAACACATGAAAACAGCTCTTTAGGTTGATGTATATTACAAGAAAAACAATCTTTTGACAGCTTAAAGCAATGGATTTTAAAGTTAGGAGTTTCAATACCTTCTAAAAATGTTCATATTTTTTACAAATATAAACCGATAAAATTAGCAGAAACCATGCAGACACACAACAGTCCTATCACTGTAGTAGCTTTAACAGATTGATAATGTGGTGCTTCTTGCCTTCTTTAAATTACTATACAAAATACTGCAGTTTGTTTCATTTTTTCTTGCTTTGTTGGGACTAGAGCTTGCCCTTGGCCATGAACAACATATTCTTCAACACTCCTTGGCACTAATTACCCCTTTAGTTTGCATTGAGCCAGCTATAATGCAGCATATAATGGTAAAGTTCGATACATTAAAGCTTCTGCAAGGAACTCTCAGCTTGCATCTATTTTGGCGCACCCTGTCGACAAAGCAATCTTCCTATTTCGGCCGACAAGCCTCAATGGTATCTTCTGATCAAAGAAAATCTCATTCTGCTGGATTTTGACCATAAAAGCTTGTTTATGGTGTATGCTTTAAGTGTTAAGTGCGAAAAACGGTTGCTTCTGCAGCTGCTTTGAAGACACCTATTTCAAGCATTAAAAATGACAAAATCAAACTGCCAATCTTGGCTGAGTTGGTCTCTCCTGTTTTTGAATACCATAATACCATAGACTGTATATACTATGGACAACTTGGTTCCGCCAGTATATAGATTCGAAGCTGAAAAGCTCTTGGTAATTCTGCGTCTCCACTTCCTGAAACCAACATTGCACGATAGCATTGTACGTACTCCACCGCCTGCGCAGTAGCATTGTACGCATTCGGTGGGAGAGTCGCTGAGAGTCGCTGTGATGCACTCACTCAAACAGGGTATCCCCCGGGTGAGCTACGCTATCTTCGTACGCCCATAGGCTGTTTTAAGTGTCAATCATAGAGAACATGAACCCCCAATAACTTTTAAAAATGGATCTGTACAGAAAAAAAAGGACTTGAGCACAAACCAGTCTTACAATAACTACATGTCAATATTGCAACCAGGGGGAAGAAACATTTATATTCTGTGCAATAAATTTCTAAAGTTTGTCCACAGCTCCATAGAGATTGCTGGAGAAGGCGTGATTTATGACCTATACTGCAGTCCATCAACAGAGGGTGCTGTTCTTGGAGTGGCTTCACCCAGTGGGGAGGCAGACGCTGTTGATTCATGTACAGTCTTTGCATAATACCATCATTGTATTTCATCTACGTCAAAAAAATAAAAAAAATCTCCTGGTAGGAGCTTTAATGTATTTTTTTAATCAAAATAAATGTTTTGTTAGAAGTGAGCAGCTATTGTGGGATAAGTAGGGCAGTTAGATTGGATAGTTGTTAGCCACTGAATAGCATTGGGTTATGCTATTCATGTTTTAAAGCACACACCGTTGGGCACAAATGTTTTTTTTTATTTTTATCATAGACCTACCACAATGGCATCTATAATAGCCATATTGTGCTAGATAATGCATTTGTGCACGCTAGTATGTCGAAAAATAATGCACCAGTTGTGCTGATAATACAATGAAGTATGGTAAAGATGGACTCTTAAATTAGTGCACATTGATGGAGGTGATAACACGCGTCTCTAAAACTGGTAAAATAACGTTAGGGCACGTGTGTTGCTGGCTTTAAAGAGGATAACTACATATAAAATCGTGAATTTAACTGCGCCTTGATGAAAAGCTTCAATATGCTTTCTGTCTTTCAATCACAGCACCGACTAAATGTACATGATAAGGTCGTGGGTCTTTCCTCCTCAGAGGTGAGCGCACCCCATTTTACCATTGGAACCCCAAAGGATGTTGTGCACATGCGCGTTGTGCAATCTACCGGAGCGCGAGAGGTAGGGAAGGGAGTCCTAATGGCGGAGACTGTACGGTCGCCTTTTGACTACCGGGAACCACCGACCCTCGACAGCGACGGTGATGGGAGCAAACCGCCGCCGCCACGGGGGTGAGTAATCTCAGCCAGCCGCCGGTTTTGTCGCCGCGCGGAGCTGTTTCCACCGGGGATTCGGGAGCAAAAAAAATGCGAGAGCTCGAGACGCACGCGCTGGGAGCGTGCGCGTGTGTTTAGTTAACGCTCAGAGCCTTTATTCGCGTGCGTGTATCCAGCGTTATATTGCAGAATATGAAGCAGAAAACGCGATTTCATTGAGGCTAGCGGTTGCAGCTGTTGTGCCCAAAGAGGCTGCGTCTTCTAAAATAAGCCTCATTTGTCGTTTGACCGTTTTTCTCTTAATTTTGATGTTTTGATTAGAGGGGAGCCTCAGCGTTAGCCGCTAACAAGCTAACCGTTAGCATGCATGTTAGCATGGACCCAGCAACAATCAGCAGCTTTAAACTAGCAGCTCTCCTGTTTTTATCACAATCATGTGGATTTCTTAAGATTTCACAGCCTGAATCTGTCTGTTGGTAAAATCATGCGAATATGTATCAATTTGCTCTGAAATTTTGGCTGCTTGGTGCAGATCATGACTCGTGGCTTGTTTGGCTTTGAGTAAACAAAGTTGCTGACTGCTGACAAAGTGCATCCTATCACAGGTGACAGCCACTGGTTTACTGAATAAATGACACAGTTGTGCTTATCATTGCTCTTTAAATACATCTATACAGGCTGACGTGTTTGGATATAGGGGTGGAGCTATATGGGGTAGGTTGATTAGAAAAATTATAATGATTTCATGCAAAAATAGTGTCCCCACGAGCTGAATTTTAACAAAATATATGTAAGTAAATCGTGGTCTAAATCTGAATATTAAATCAGTGATAGAGCTTTACTTGGATTGCTATATAGACCCATTGCTAACTAACAGTGGCGCATCCAGGGGGTCACTGGGGGTGGCCAGGGTCACCTCTGAAATCTGATTGGCCACCACGGTCAGTGCGTTTACATACACAACTTAGACGGACTAAGCTCATAATTCGTTTTTTTTTTTCACTCCTTGCCCACACATACATGCAGCTGAGGAAATTGAATTATTGACGTGAACGTGCCCTCCTCCCCAAAACTAAGGGGCGATATGAGTCTTTTCAGGATCAGAAGTGGCTACAACTGCTGCTGGGCATTTTCGTACAGCATTGTTTTTGTCGTCCATGATGTATATGCTACTTCCTTTGCATATTAGATGCACACTACTCCTTTTCTCTGATGTTTTTGTTCCGGGGTTATGGGGGCCTTGCGCACACACACACACATTGTCCGATCATACTCCGACTACACTGGTTACATGGTAGAGAAAATCGAATTCCAATCGCATTGTCTGGGTGTCTTAATCTGAGTTCTCTGACTCCAATCAGAGTTCTCAAATTCCGATTGTAGTTGGTCCTAACCAGACTAAGGTGTTTACATGCACTTAAATTGTCTGGTCTTAATCAGAGTAAGGCAACAATTTGGTTTTCTCGAATGTCATGTAAACGTACTGAGTGAGAGCTATGATAACAATATAAAAAGGTAGGCAATCTAAAACAACATAAATTGTGCCTTAACAAAGTTTGTACATTGAAATTTTGTCAACATGTGTGGACGGGTAAATATTGTCCTTAACTGATTGTTAAAGTTATAGCAGGTGCAGATGGTGTATTAAAAGGTTTTGCTTGCCTCACGTTTGTGGATGAAGCGAGGAACGCCTTTCAACTTAACGACCATCACCATCGCCTCTTTAATAACAAATATTAGGGGGTGGGAGAAAAAAATCCATTCACATAAATATCGCAATTTTTTGTTTTACAATTTTTAAATCAATGGTTTTGTTCAAAATCGTTTTTTTTTTGTTTTTTTTTAAATTTTAAGAATAAATCTTAAAAACTGACTTTCATGTAATGTGTATTTTTTGGGGAAATATGGTTCCTGGAATATTCAGTAGACAATCATAATTATTCAACTGTGTCACTGGCGTTTAAAATGCAGATTAAAAATTGAGAAAATCGACAATATCCTGGAATCACAATTTAAATCAAATAGGCATCCAAAAAATCTTAGAAGAATCGAATCTGGAGAAAAGCATATCGTCCCAGTCCTAATAAATACCAAGTTCAATAATCACGTGCCTGGCTGTGTCAATTAAAACAAAAACGTTAGAAGCCTTTTGATAGTAGATTTGATGTGAGGTCACAGGGTCATTTATCAGATGGTACAAATGAGGACTTTAACCTTTTTCTATATTTGTTGAGGCTGTAATTGGTATTAATAGCTGCACAAATCACATATCAGTCAGTTTCTGTTGATTTTATAAAAAGCTGACATATGGTTATATTTCAAGTCTGTTGCATTCAATTTCCAAGAATGTCTCTTTTGAATCAGTGGAAGACACTTGAGTGAAGGCCAACAAAAACACCATTATCAGATCTCTGCCATCACTCCTCGAGTAAGCACTTTAAAGGCTTTATGTTATTGTGGATGAGTCACTCACCTCAAAGAAATGTTATGTGAACAGGTTCAAAAGAGGCTTCTCCAAATGTAGAGCATGCCCTGCTTACCTGCCTCACCACCTCCTTGACATATCTCCATATAAAGACTCTTGAGCACCTTCTCTTTTCAATGTATCATTATCTTTTACAGCCGGGTGTGTGGGAGGAAAAGGAAGGGGACACCTGTGAAGGTGTGCGACCGAGCGTATGTAACAGAAGATGAGGAGGAGGAGAGCATGTCAGAACACAGCTACAGCCCTGGTATTTATAGAAACACAAGCACACACACACACCCCTTTTTGCCACCTGCTACTTGTGGTGTTTTCTTTGATATATCTGCATATAGAAAACAAGTGCATCATGGTAATTTAACACTGTTTTGTTGTAAGGGAGCCTTGTAATTTGTGATAAGACAGTTCAGATGTGCTTGATTCATACTCACCAATCTTGTTCAGGTGATAGCCAGTATCCAGAGGGTGCGGAGGACCGCCTCCCTCCGCCTGGCAGTCCCTATTACCTGTCTGATCCCACTCAGCTCTGGTAAGACCTTTCCTGTAACTACTGTGCTCTTTTTATTGAATAGGAGATCCTTGTTTCTGACACCAGTTACTGTTTACAGTGTACCAGAGCTGGGAGAGGAGGGGGCGAGTGGGGTCAGGGGGCCTGTGCTCTTTCATCCACCACCAAACTGTCGGATTCGGGAAGTCCACTGTGGGACCCAGGTGCGACTGGTTGTCATAGCAATCCGAGACATTGCCAAAGGGGAGGAGATCACAGTGGACTACAGCCTAACAGACTGGGGCGAGAATGCAATGGTGAGCTATCTACCAAATAGTCATTTCAATAAAGTCATTTTCAATAAACAACATCGGTCAACTAGTAGTTCTGACGTTAGCTAGTTGGCCATCAGATAAATATTTTAACTGAAAATGTCTTCTAATCTTGTCCGTGATTTTTGTTGTCATTTGCCTTTTTTGGGGGCACTCATGTAAATGTGTGAAAAAGCCCTGGAATGACCACAGTGTGTCAGATGATTGAGGTTGATACAACATTTGACCTTGAACACATCATGAATTAAAAGTGATAATATTTAAACTCCCAATTCTTAATATGACACCACAAGAAAGTACGATATTAGATAGATATTAGATTAGATATACATTGGTGAACAATGTTAAAAATCAGCATAGCAGAGTGATGTTGTGAAAAGCTAGACTCCAATTGAAAGCAGATAAAAGAATTTTCATTTTAGAAAAAGCAGCAAAAAGAAGAATCTTTAAACAAAAATAAGGACAGGTTTATTACGCAGTTGAGCTTTCAAAGTTTGTTTTAATTTGAAAATCTGTCTAACCAGGAAGAAGAGGCTGGCCCCCACCCCCTGTCCCTCTCTGTTTCGGATTACCTCACCCCCTCCTGGTCTCTGTCACCCTCCTCCTCCCCTCTCACCCACTCTGAGCCCAGTGATTCTGACCGGGAGGAGGACGAAGAAGAGGAAGATGATGATGATGACGACGACGATGAAGAGGAAGAGATAGAGGAGATAAGGGGTCGTATGCTTCGGCGCCGCAAGAAGCGCAAGATGCCCGCTGTGGTTAATTCAAAGAAAAAGAGTGCGCCAACTGCCTCAAGGGGACCTGGGCGTCCTTGCTCCTCCTTCTCCCGCCCAGCGCCTGTCACACCCCCTGCTAGATCCCAGTCCCAGCCTCCTGCCAGCTCTCTGGCAACTCCTACGACCAACATCAACAACAACATCAACATAAACATTGGTAGCTCCAGCAATGCCACAGTAAGCCGGCGGCAGCACTGCCCGTACTGCGGACGCCATTACCGCTCTCTGGCGCGCCACCTGGAGAAGCACCATGCCAACCAGCCAGAGGTCCGGACGGCTATGGAGCTGGCACACATGCACAGCACCTCAAACGGAAACGCCTCACACCCCCACCCATCTTCCTCCACCTCCTCTGCTTCTCACCCTCATTCCTTTGCTGTCCCCCAGACTTCTGCCCCCAACCCTTCTCCCCCCTCGCTCTTCGCAAGGGAGAGGGAGTCACCAGCCACGCGTTCAAGCACAGGCGGCGTCTCCTTCTCCCTCTCACTCTCACCCTCGTCTTCAAATCAGCCCGCAGCCTCCAAGAAGGCGCCCAGCCTATCTGCGCCACCGGCGAAACGGCCCACACCGACTCCGATGGTGTCACGGGTAAAAAGCCCCTCGCCGCCTCCCCCGCCCACTCCCAGAAGGGGTCGGAGGATGAAGAGAGAGAAGCAGGAGGAACCACAAAAGGTGGAGGTGGAGAGTGTGAGGAATCAAGAGGAACTGGCTCCGCCTCCTACTCCTGAGCCAGATGTGGATCCAGAGGAGGATCTGGAGCTGAGTGGGGAGGGGGAAGAAGAAGCACCAGAGGAGAAGAATGGAGAGATTGCAAGGTGTGGTTTAGAGTTATTTTTCCTTGAACGTTAGTACATGGATTGTAAAAGTACACACTCTTTACTCAGGTAGAACTATCAGGGGTGTTCCTCCAGACTTGTTAATGATTTTTTGGAGTTTGTGGTGATTTGTGTTTTTGTCTTTTTCTTTCCAACACCAACAGGCACCACATGTCCCCCCTGCTCTCCTCCCTCTCCTGTTTAGTCCTCTACCTCCGCCGCCAGCAGCACTCCTCTTTCCTGTCTTTAACCCGCTCTCCTCACTCCGCTGAGGCCTGGCGCCTGCTCTGCCATTCCAGCCTCTCCCTGCTCATCCTCTACAACCGCCACAGAGAATGTGAAGTAGCCAAACTGACCATCCAAGACTACCGTAACCGTACCACCCCTCAGTCCGGTTCAAGCAGCGGCCCCCCCTCTGGCACGGAAGCTCTTCTGTCTCCCTTTGAGCGCCACGTCCTCTGTCACCTCCCGCGGGCTGGCGTTCTGGGCAAACGTGGTCGCATCCAGCCGCTAATTCTCCCGCCACACTGTGAGTCCTGCCTTGACCTCCTTCTTCAAACCAGTCCTAATGTGGGCGTGGATCCCGAGAGCCCCTTTGTCTTTTCCCGGCCCTACCACTCTCCTGCCACACCACTTCGCGGCACGGACCTTCTGAGAAACCTGGCGCGTAGCAGTGGTGCCAAGAACCCAGGACCGCTGACAGCAACACGTGTGCGACGGCAGGTAGCAATACTTACTCAGCTGCTGTTATTAGAGGAGGGCGAAGGCCAGGGAGGAGCTACAAAGCGGCTGGAAGACTTCCTGGAAAGAGAGTACCATGTGACCCAGAACTGTTCCTCTATAGTTCGGGATCCAGCACTGATGGGCCGTGTGGGCCGTGTTGTCCTGTACGGAGAGAGGGAGGGTGTGCTTTTCAGAGGGATGAGCTTGCAGCACATCTGCCTTGAGTTGGATGGTAAGGAGTTACAACTGGAGGTATTTCAGGCATGCAGTGTTCAATTCAGTGTGTATGCTCTGCTTCTTATGAGCTTTTTCTCGAAAGATAAACCCTCAGCAACCGTTTAAAATGATTCAAAGTAAATACACAGTACATACTCTTCATTTGGAAGAACACATCATTGAAAAAATAAGGGCCTGTGTCCACTAACATCATTTTTTTTGTATTGTCAGCGCTTATTTTCTATACAAAACCAATACAGTTTAGCATTTTCATCATTGTCAATGTCAGTAGTGTCAACCCACATTTGTTTTTTTGGAGGCTGAATTTATAAAGCAGAGTTGCTTCTACTGCTACATGACAATTAAACTGTTGCAGTGGTTTCTTTGTAAGGCCACTTCAAAGTAAGGAAATATGAAGCTTGTAGAGCATTTTTAGACAGACTTTAAAAGAAATGATCAATATCAACAGCAGGGTTAGTGGCAGATGTCGTTTAACTTAGAGGGGTGTTGTTTTAGAGTGCAGTATTGTCAAACTAATCTGGGAAGCAGTGTTACGTGCGCAGCCATTCTTTGGCGTTAAACACTCATTTCCTAGAAACTGGTTACCGTTGTGGTTGCCAGGTTTGTTTGCTAATGGTGACTGCCTAAGACAAAGTCTGGCACATTGCTCATAACCCGACTATGACTGTGTGTACTTTATGAATGAACAAGACATGAAGAGCATTTCCAGTATAAACATAGAGGATAGCAGACTGGCCGCTGACTGTAGCGTTGCATTTAGCAGAAAAACAGGAGAGTGATGTTACTTTTCTCAGGCAGAATTTTTCCAACAAATGTAGACAGCTATGAGACACAACATGGCTTGGGATGTAACACATTTTTGAGGCCTGTTTTTTGGCTGCCGAACACAATGAGGGGTGTACTCAGTCATCTGTTTAATTAAATAAACTTATTTTTTGCAGCTCCCTTTGTGCAAAATAGATTGTACATGAGCTTTAGATTGTCAAAGAATATTTAACTCACAGATTTTTCTTCCGAGCACCAATTTACAAAGAAAACAACTGTAGTGGGGCCCTCTTCTATTTTTGGGTGAATGTGCTCTGTTTTGTCCGTCCTCCAGTTATGTCCGGAAACTCTGCAGAATCTTTCTCAGAAGATTCAGAGGCAGAGGAAGTAAAGGAGGAAGTCAAAGAGAAAGCTGAAGTAACTGTGAAGAAGAAAGGACCAGGACGACCGCCAAGGAAGAAGAGAGCACCCGCTCCTCCCCCAGTCAGCCCGGTGATCGCCAATGCACATAAGAGGAGGTGTATTCCACAAAAATCAGGTCTGTGTCTAATAATTTTAGTTTGGCTTGTAAAGATGCGGAAATATCTTCATAATTTTGAGCCTAATGCTTCTATTTCCATTTATTTACCATTTGTTCCAGGAAAGCGTGGTGTGCTAAAGCGCCCCTGGTCAGAGGCTGAGCGTGTAGCCGTGGAGACCCACCTAAAGCGAAACCTCATGGAGCTGCGGGTCCCAGCGAAGGCGGATTGCGAGCGCTGCCTCGAGCTCTGCCCAATGCTAGTAAGCAACCAGCGAGACTGGAGGGCGATCAAATTTTACGTCCACAACCGTATCCAGCTGCTAAAGAAGCAGGGGAGAAGGGAAAGCGCTGCGGGGAACTGTTAAGGGCCTAAAAAGAGACGTAGCACAGGACTCATACCATAATGTATAAACCACCAGCAATCATAAAGTAGAGAAAAGGTCTTTGCCATGGTGGAGTGGAGCTCCTCTCATTTTCTAAGATAAGCTAAGAAGTTGCTCCAGTTTAAAATCATCCATTCTCAGTGTTAATGCTCAGTGTCTGTTTCCAGGTGTATTTTTAAGTATTTTGACAAGGTGTACCTAAGTGTGAATATGAGTTCATACCCAGTGAATGCTTCTTTTTAAACTTAGTTTATATCGGAGTTGTTCCCATACCAATATCAGTGACGGTACTGACCTCTGGTACAGCCTCAAATGCAACGGTTAACATTGAGCAAGCTTGTTAATGTGCAGATGTTAGGAACGGGATTATCATTCCTTCTAAACCCAACTGCTTTTAGGAAAGTTCTCATGTCAAGATAGCTAACAACAAGGCTAGCAGAGAGTGCAATGAGAGTCAAAGCTAGCAAAAATTGCAAGCAGATTTACCTCTGGTAAAGAAAACCCACTTTGGTATTCCGCTCTATCTGACGGGCTTTAAGTATCTGAAGAAAAAACTGGTATAGGAACATCTCTTTTTTTATGTCATCTTATCAGAAAGTTGGCTGTGGACAGCAGGAGAAAAAAAAAAGTGATTTTGAAAATCAGTGTCTCGATGAAACAGTTATAGGGGGTCGCGGTGCACGCTTTAAACCTTGAGGACACCAAGGCAAATTGTCCTCGGTTTCGACTGCACCCCCTGAAAGCTAATGACCAAACATGAATGTGTAAAGCTCTGGAGGGAGGAACTAATGGTTGTGAATTTTTAGATAGACTTCCGTGTCTACATGATTGAGACATGTATGAACTTGTATAGTATGTGTTCGATTTACTCTGGCATTGTGCCCCCAACCAATGAGTGCATTGAGGAGTATCCTCAAGAGTCTTGGACCATGATGCACCTGTGAAGCGGTTCTGTCCTATCCCTCATACCATGATCATTGTCAGACTATTATGTATCAAGGCACGTCTACTTGAATTTATTGTGTATCAGAATTTTAAAAAATTTATTACATTTGGTCTTATTCACAATGTAAATACTTCCTAATCTATGAAAAGTATACAGTAGTGATGACAAAGTTAGTATTGTGTTATTGTGTATATACTGTAAATACTACCTGTACTTATTAAAGTGTATGACATTTTGCTGTGTTTCTGAAAATTGACTGTAAATGAAGTTTTACATCGTGGACACAGTGAGACAAAAAAAAAGAGAGAAATAAATACAGGATCCCATAACAACAGAGTCTATTCAATAGGCACACTTTATAAAGTACACACACTTAATCATAAATAATCAGGATACAATTGTTGTGTTGATAGTAAGACAATCTAAAATTACAGCTGCCACATTTCAGGTATAAACTTGCGGTTTTCTAACGCTTGTTGCCAAAACTAAACGTGCTAAAGTTTGTAAAGTTGAGAACTAACGTTGCATCAAGTAAAAATCCAGAAACCATACATCTTTAATATAGGTTGAAAAAGCACATTATTACCTGATTGTGTCTGTCCTTTTTCAAATGTTGTTTGAACAAAAGCAGGATTTTCACTTGAATTCATTTAGGCAGCGTTACATTTAAATTAGAACAAAAAGTCAAATCATTAACGGAAAACACTGAAGCACATGCAATAGTCATTTCATGAGACATGCGCTCTGTCCCCTACTGTAGGTCCAAGATTTTTTTTTTTTTTTAGTTTACAGTAGATATATAAATGTTTTTCAGAACAATAAACAATAAAAATGGGTTTACATTTGACATAACACAAATATATAGATAACTTCAGTTGATTATATTCATAAAAACCATAAAAACACAAAGATACCTGTATAAGGAGAGTTCATTCACAACAAATAAAGCATAATTTTTAAGTCACCAGCAGAGGTCGACATTCTTCATATTTTCCCTTTTTGCTTACTTCCACAAAAATCAAAAGAATTATACTACTATTAACCATAAACAGCCTAGCATAAAGACTAAAAACTGCCAAAGACTGCATGTTCAGATACAAACAACCGGATAGCTAAAAATATCTCATCTGATTGATCACAAACTACAATGGGAAAAATGATTGTTGAGAGCATTTACAGTTCGATTTGTACCATATTAACACTCCAAGGCGTCTCATCATTTGAGCTTTGTACACATGCAACATTTGGAGTTTTCATTTTAACAGTCACCATACTCTGCTGGGCTTCAAAAGGGAGCTTATAGTCACAAACTATACTTAAAGAAACGCACAAAACAAAAAACTAAAACACTATTAACATTCAGCACCATTCTTACGACGTACTATTCAGATCACTGAAATTAATTTATAAAACAATTTTTAAAACAACATAATCCTGATCGTAAAAAGTATAAAAGATCCAAAATGTTCAAAAGTATTTTTAGTTTTTACAATTTAAAGTATTTTCGGTGATTTTCCCAACAGATCAAAAATCTGTTCATACTGCTCTATTATGTAGTCCAACCGAACTTGATTATCAGATTTTTGGTTTAATCTGCTTCGTATTTCATTTTCAAATGTTTTTAAGACAACTTCATGTTACTGAAGGTGAATTTTGTCATTTAACCAAAGCTCAAACAAATAATAATAGAATGTACCTGACTGACTGATGGCATTGTGTTTCAACCTTATCACCACCACTGTTCTAGGGCTGGCTGCTGTTATTGGGCTGTGGTTGGGAATCTGGTATATCACCACATTGGCCATCTAAATCTCTTTGTAAAACATTCATAGGTGCTTTGTCCCCTTTGCCAGGATTAAAAAATGGAAAAACTTCACCTGTGAAATGGGCTTTCAAAGATCCAATGAGACTCTTATTTCCCACATCATAAAAGGAAAGTTCTCCATCATCATAATTCAAATACACACCAATAGTCTCTGGTCTGGAATGAACAGGAAGCAAAACCATTGGTTCCGTATTAAACCTAAAGTGCTTTGATTCTTTAGGGGAGGAAGACAGAAACAAGAAACCGTTTGCAGTAGTTGGTTTGGTGTCCTCAGAGAAAGCCGTTTCACTTGTAATCCCAACCCACCAGGACTCTTTGGTCCCAACCGTATCGTCCCGCAAAGAAACCTCCCAGTAGTGTTTTCCAGAGGTGAAGCCAGGTGTTCCTTTGATAGCTGTGAGACAGGTAACTTTTTCTCCATCAGGAAAACTGCTCACTGGAGCATCTCTCACTAAGTGATCAGCCTTGACCATGAGATATTTATTCTCAGTCTTATCAAGGGTCACGTTAACTGTTGGAAATGTAAAACATCATTAGGATTACATCAATAGGAGAAGTTTGAGAGACGCTGGAGTTGTGAATGTTATTTAAAACGCACTCTTAATTACCGTAATGGTCACTTGATAGATTTGGTGGCATGGCCTCTCCTGTAAAAATGGTAGAAGTTGGTAAAGCAGTATCAACATTATGATTCCTGTTATTTTTCACTCTATGGTGTGTTTTTGTCACGGGAAGAGTTTTTGCTTTAACTTCATGTACAGTGACAGAGTTGCTACTTACCTCGTGGTAAAAGTTTCTGGCCCTCTGAGGAGAGAATAAATCATCAGTTATCTTTTGCAAACACGAATATCTAATATTACACATTAGGTTTTTTTTCTAGTTATTAAATGTACTGTCATTCTTAGCCTGTGGAAATGGGCCAAGAGTTTAAAGATTATTAGTAGGAAGGATGCACAGTGAAAAGATAGTTTATCCTGTTTTATTTTCGATATAGATCTAGATAGATCTTTCTCATAGATCTATCACACTCATTTTCTGCATGATCAAAGGTTTGCATAATGTGTGTTTTTTACCTTCAAGATCACCATGTCCTGATCCTCCTGTAACAAAGAAAATTTCAGGATTTATTTAACGCAACTTTTCCTTATTTATAGTCCGGTGTCTTGGCCATGACTATCTTATCATATACGACAGTTTCTCAGTGGGAGTATTTTTGAATTTGAGTTTAGATGAGAGTGAAACAATTCAATCAATTGTTTAATCATATTGCATCATGAGACAAAGTAACTTCCACCGGTTTGAATCAATCACATGAAAGTTATGCTGTGTGGGCATGCAGTGATCACTCTTACCATCAAGCTCATCCTTTCCTGATCTTGATTTCTTCCCTGAAAAGATTTCTGAGGAAAGTAATTGAATTTAATTTTTGATCCATTTATGTAAAAGTGTAAATAAAAAAAACTACATTATTACAGATACTAATAAACTGGATTTAGCCATAACTTTTAGATCAAACCTTTGTGATCACCATAGGCAAATACGCCTCCTCAAGTGGAGTGTACTGCAGGTTTTATTTTTAGGTCCAATTTTATTATTTCATTATTTTATCATTATTATTAGTAATAGTAATTGTAGTAGTGTAATCCTGTGTTGCAACTGAATTCCTATTAAAGCCATCATTTTGATCGTATTTTTGATTGAAATTCATCACGAGAGCAGCTTAACTACAGGGAGAGTTTTCACAAGTAATCAACAATGTTTTCCACCATAAAGCTCTTTGAGTTTCTCAATTTTGATTCGGATCATTGTGGTCATTCATGTCAGTTTTATTCATCTTTCTTATAAATGCAAACTACAAATATAGACATTGATTACAAACATGCTTTTAAAAATCATTACCTCTCTTTTTGAAGTAAAGCACTGCTAGTGCAACTAATGCACCGATGAGGAGAAGTGCGAAAGCCACCCAGCCAGCAGGTGAGGATCCCGCCTCTGATTGAAAGAGAGGAAATGTTAACAATGGAGCAAAAAGAACAGCTGCACTCATGGACATAAATCTTTCTGCTGTTTACCACCTTTAGGCTCTCCAAGGCGTACTCTTGCCTCCTTTGTCTCTGCACCAGAGAGGCCAACTGAGCAGGACACCTGTTCAGAGCCAGAGACCACAACCCAGCTTTGGACTGATAGAAGACCAGAAGAGTCTTTGCTGAACTTTGTGTTTTTGGAGGGCAGAACTTGCTTTGAATCCGACCAGCGCAGACTGGGCTGAGGATACCAGCCTTCAGACACACAGCTCACATTCACTTTGTTGTCTTCTGTCCACACAGGTGATAGAAGAGGGGAAGTTCCTGTTTCTGTGGAGTCAGATGAAGGAGGATGAAAAACACTGGAGACAATATTTTTAAAGCATTCATTTTTTTTGTGTTTGGTTCATTAATACTCACGAGTCACGATGAGATTAACACTTGCGCTGTCATAACCCTGATCACTGCTGACATAACAGGTGTAAACCTCTGTATCCTCAATTGTCAAATTTTCCAGTTTTAGGCTTACATCACCCATCTTCAGACCACCTGATGCTGCATCCTTCAGACCAAATGACACTCGGCCTTTGTATGACTCAACCTGAGATGCATCCTCAAAGTTGTTGGATCGATACAAGAGGACCGGAGAGTCAAAGCTGCTGGGATGGTACCAACGTACCTCCAAAGCCTCCGCACTTTGTGCTGGATTGAGCCAGCATGGTAAGGTGGTTGTGTGGCCTCGGGGCGCAGAGACTGTAGGTGTTACATGAACTGTAAAGCCTTCTGAAACTGAAACACACAAAAAATAACGTAGGTTAAGCTGAAGCTTTTGTAGTTTTCTGTTTTAGAGGAGGGCAGACCGGGGCTTGTTGTCACATGGGTAAGTTGTCACATTGCAATTATCTTTGAAGTTTTGATATTGTTTTTACAGAAAAAAAAGAGTGGTTTAAAGGAGATTGCTTGTAACTCTGCACTGATATGAGATATGAAAATGACATGAATATGAAATATATACCTGAGACTTTGGTCTTTCATTTGGTACACATTTTGTTTATATATGATGTATTGATTTCAAGATATAAGAGTGTAAAAAGTGTGACAACAAGCCCTGGTCTCCCCTAAATATGAAACCAAAGATCAGTTTATACTGTTTTAGCCACGACTTAGTATGGATATGTGTAATTTTAAAGCATGTGAAAGTGATAATTAATCAAAGAAACAGGTACTCACCAGGTGCAGCACCACACAACAATAAACTGAGAGCAGTCATGACCCACACGTGCAAAATGAGCGCACCTGTAAAAATTGGGAAAACTCGAAGTTATGACCGGAGGCTATGAGTGTGGGACGTGCTAGAACTGGTTTGCCCTCTTTCCTTTGAAATAACAAAGCTTTGAAGGGATAAAAGGGGGTGAGCAACATTTCTTCAATATTAAATCATGCAGAATGAATCATCGGCCTACCCATCGTGCCGTTTTCTCCTGGGCGCGAAACCCCCAAATAGACAGGATCCTCTGAGACAGAAGTAACAGAAAAGATCTAATATGTCGATAACCTATCGAGGTTTTCTTGTCAACATAGGCCTACAGTGAATTGTTCGATGATAATCCGAGTTTAACGAAAAACTGGTTCGCCATAAACGCAGTGTCAAATTTACTTTCACTTTCACAGGGAAAGGCAACGTCTCCGGAAGAGCATGGGTGGGTGCGGTGAGGGGAGTGGGATAGGGAGAGGGTAATAAGTAATAAGAGAGCCTCATTCAATGTTTACAGTTTTTCATACATTAAATTATATAAAAAATGTGAAGTTTGAGCAGCAGATGAATTTCTCCACTTTATTCGAAACAAACTAAAAAAAATATACTCAAGCGAATAATATGATTCCTAACAAGATACAAGTACATATTCATCTTATTTGCAACTATAAATAAGATTTTTTTCTATATTCAGCCTTTATTTTTAAAAATATCTACGCCTATATATTTAAACTGTGCAAAAAAAATCAACTATTCTGTTTTACTGTATAAACTAAAATAATTATATGACACTAAAACATTTGAAGGCTGTTAAAAACAGGAGCACGAAAGAGTTTAAGTGGTTTGGAGACTCTCACGTGACAATGGTGGGCATCTACAATAAAATTAGCTACGGCCCGGATGTTATTGGGCATTATCTTCAAAATAAAGAAAAATTAAGAGGTGGAAGAAGTTTACTTATTTAATTCAAGTCTGATTAAAATTCTTATGAAGAATGTTTTATGTGTTGGTTAAATTATAGACAAGACGTTTAAGTCAGATGTAGATGTAAGCAAAATCTTGACTTAATTTCAATCTGACAAACTTTGTTTTGAAAGGTCTGACCGGATATATCGTTTTCACTTCTTGTATTTTGACAGGAGTAAACACTGTTTAGTATCACAGTCCAGTTTGTAAACTCCGAACGGCGTATTCTCGCTATTTATTTTGTCTTCAGTGAGGAAGTCTTCAAGATTTTTACCATGAGTGTGTTTATCTCGCTCGGCTGTTCTTATCGCACGAATATGCCGTAGTTTGACTCGCTAACGCTAGCTTTTAGCGCAGCTTTAGCCGTGGAGTTCACTGACCCTCGTCTGCATGGCGTCTTAGAAACAGAGTCCAAAGTCCGGGGAAACGTCAAAACTCTGCTGGGCAACTCTTTTTAGCAAAAATGTCTCAGTTTGTTGACTCTGATGACACCACTCCACTGCTGGGGGATGATGCATGCAGGTGAGTGTAGAGACCTTTTAGTTATTTAACTAAATAAATCTGCTGCTGTGACCTGGTCTGGGATCAGTATTCACTGGACAACCTTACAAAGCTATTTAACATTCAGTAGATTTGATCCTCCATAATTTATGATCCATGTTTTGGACAGAATGGTCGCACTAACAGTAGTGGAGAGTGGGGTAAGATGAGCCACTTTTCATATTTCAGATCACTTCATCAAGGCAATCATAGTTTTGTCTCAAACTAGTGTATCTGCATATATTTCAAGATGTTGTTCATCCCTGCAAACCAACAGAATGAGTGTAAACAGAACTGTCTTGATAATATAGCATGTCCAAAAAAAGTGGTCCCCTATGGTGAACTTGTGGGGTAAGTTGGGCCGTATTTCTTTGACCATTTCCAAGCAACAGGAGGTGGCTCAACTTACCTTTTGGCTTATGTACCCCACTCTCCCCTACTAACTGTACTTGTTTTATTTTGGAGGGGTCATGTTTTGTGTATGTGCCTATAGCCCTAATTCACCTGAGTTGTTTTGTCACCCTGCCTGTGACCAGTGATGACTCCCGGGATGAAGATTACAGGAGTCGATGGAGGTCCATCCGAGTCATGTACTTCACCATGTTTCTCAGCAGTGTGGGTGAGGACGCCCATAATTTATAGGCATATTATTTCTTTTTTAAATCGAGCCTTTAGCAGGAACTTTTCATGGTGTTTGGGAAGTTGGTTTATCTATTGCTAGGTTTTGAAAATAGTTCAGAAAACCATCTTTAGGCTGCCCTGTCTATGGATGGCAATATTTAGTTTGTGTCTCCATACAAACCACTGCACTAAGTCCATACATATCTGTGTATGTGCCCTTTAGGTTTTACGATTGTCATCACATCACTCTGGCCTTACTTGCAGAAGGTACGCATCACCTTTTTTGTCTAATGATGAAAAAATTACCTGTCGTATATCTGCACCTCTGAAATGCTATCATAATGTTGTGCCTCTCGTTCTTTTAACAGGACATGTTTCATTTTGTATCCCTCTTGGTCATGTGTCCTGCAGGTTGATGATACCGCCAACGCCAGCTTCCTGGGGTGGGTGGTGGCAGCTTACAGTCTCGGTCAAATGGTGGCCTCTCCCATTTTTGGCCTTTGGTCCAACCACCGGCCCAGGAGGGAGCCACTCGTGTGCTCGATCTTCATCAACCTGTCTGCTAACATCTATTACGCCTATGCTTACTTGCCCCCGAACAACAACAAATACCACATACTCATATCTAGAGCCTTTGTTGGCTTTGGAGCAGGTGATAAATTGCTTTCTTATAATTTTACAATTTGTATTTTGTTAATAAATGATCTGTGTTACATGATTTCTGACAGCTTTCATAAAATTCAGCATTTTCATCGCAGGTAATGTAGCTGTGGTGAGGTCCTACGTTGCTGGAGCTACGTCACTGAAGGAGAGAACTGGTGCCATGGCAAACATGAGTGCCTGTCAGGCCCTGGGTTTCATCCTGGGACCAGGTAACCTTTAATTCACATCATGCAAATCTGGTTTACATTGTTAGAAAAATCAAAAATGAAAGAGTTCTTTGCACATTAGCTTTGCAGGCATGCCTGTCGTTCGTTGGTGAGGATGGTGTTACTGTGAAGGTCATCGACTTGCAGCTCAACATGTACACAACTCCTGCTTTACTGGCTGTAGCCTTTGGTCTCATCAACATCCTGTTGGTTGTTTTCTTGCTGAGGTGAGGTTTCACCGAAATACAAATTGAATTAATTTCCCTTGTTTCCTGTAAGTTTTGGATTCTTTAGGCGTGAAAATAAGTTATTCGTCTTATTTAATATACAAACAATAATTTAGATCCTCTGAATTATCTCTGCCCTCCTTGGTTTGGGTTCAGCTTTAATTTTTTTTAAAGTTTTTTAAATTGCTAAAATATCTGTTGTGATTCTTCGTCAATAGGGAGCATCGTGTTGATGATCATGGCAAACACCTTCGAGCCATTAACTACTCACCAGAAGGTATTTACAGCCTGAACTTAAACTACTATATTTCTTGTTATGGCAGCTTTTTTTTCTGTTTTGTATTTGTTCAAGGGCCTGTGTCCACTAATAGCATTGTTTAGACTGGCACTACTTTTTTTGCATAAAATCCACGTAATTCAGGGTTTCAAACTATCAGCATATCAGGCACAAAAATGCCCTTATCATCAGATATTTTTTGTTTTATCGTTCAGCTAAACACTGGAAGGAATTTACAGCCCAGATTTATATTACGGCATTTGTTTTTATTGTGTTCTTGTTTAAGGGCCCGTGTCCACTAACAGCATTGTTTGGGCAGGCAGCACCGAATTTCTGCACAAAACCAATGTAATTGAGGGTTTTCACCACCAAGAATCCCTAATGCAAAATCAAGAGGGTGCAGGACTTAAGTCATTGATTTTGTTAGTGAAAATGGAGGAGGAGAAACAAAGTAACATTTTCTGAAATAGAAGATATGTAACATACACAGCAACAGAAAAAGTCAAGAGACAGCTTTGCAACCTAGCAGCTGTAAGCACTCACTAAGAATGCTGAAACTGCAAAATTAAGACCCGCTGTGCTGTCCGGACAAAGAGCTCCTTTAGTGGACACAGGCCCTTACGCCTCTTTTAATGTTCTCCTGCCACAGATGGTGAATATCTGAGCGAAGAATCAGAAGAGAGCATAGACCAGGTAGCGGTCCTGACTTCCAACATCCTCTTCTTCGTCGTCATGTTTATCTTCGCTGTCTTTGAGACGTATGTATATCCCTACTCTCTCTCTCTTCGCAAAATGAAAAAAAATATTTGCTTCTGCTTCTCTTCATTGGTGTATTTTTGTCACTTTTTCAGAATAGCCACCCCTTTGTCCATGGACATGTTTGCTTGGACGAGAAAAGAAGCAGTGTTGTACAATGGTATCATCATCTGCTGCATTGGCTTTGAATCCATTTTGGTGTTTTTAGTTGTGAAAGTGGCCTCTCAAAGGTGCGCTCGCATACATGCATGAACTGGATTTGAAATATATCACAACTTTAATGCACATGTTTGAGAAAACTGATTTTTGTCTTGCAGAGTCGGGGATCGTCCTGTTTTGCTTGCAGGTTTGGCCATTATATTCTGTGGCTTCTTTATTCTGCTTCCATGGGGGAATCACTACCCAAAAATCCAGTGGGCAGGTATGTTTAGTCACTATTCTGGTATCAGGCAGTCTACTGGGCCTACAAGAACCCATCTGCGCTGGATTCAAGTGTTTATATCCTGTTTTTCTTTTCCATATCCAGACATCAAAAACAACTCTTTGGTCAGTCACATATCTGCACCCACATTATTACCCAACAGCTCCATAGAGCCAACTGGATGTCCTATTGAACAGACCTGGTGTCAGTATACACCAGCCATCCACCTGGCCCAGTTCATCTCATCTGACGTCCTCATCGGGATCGGATACCCCGCCTGCAACGTCATGTCATACACACTGTATTCCAAGATCCTAGGACCTAAACCCCAGGTAAGAAGAGCTTTAATTGACAAAAGCAAATGTGTAGCTGCAGTGGAATTGCTTTCCAAGTTCATAGAACAAGTCCCACTGGTTTCTGCAGGGTGTGTACATGGGCTGGTTGACAGCCTCAGGCAGCGGGGCTCGGACACTGGGACCAGTCTTTGTCTCCCAAGTCTACACCATCCTCGGTCCCCGCTGGGCCTTCAGCCTCATCTGCGGCCTCATGGTGGGGTCAGTTATCCTCCTTGCTGCTCTTTATCACAGACTCATCGCCTTCTCTGTGCGCCACGGAAGGACTGTGGAATAGGGAGTGGAGCTTCCCACTGCAGAGACACTGATTGTTGTTTTCCTGTTTTGTACTCAAGCTAAATCCAGGCTCCGTTGAAGGCTCTTCATTCAAGTTACTTTTGATTGACGGTAACTAATAAGCTGCAAAAGTTTGAGACTCAGGGTTGATCTTTGAACTCTAAGGTGGAGAGATAAGGTCGGGTTTTCACTCAGACTTGACCAATGAAAGCGGCCTCTTGAGTTTAAAGGGAGCCAGCCGCAGCTGCACTTTGACTCACTTGTTGTGAAAGAACACAGGTACTGCATTGTTCCAGTGGGTCCATTTTATGAATCCGATTATTCTTTTAAATCAGAAAGTCTCTAATATTTGTTACTGAATGCGCAAGTTTGATGTAAACGTGAGAATATATTTTAATCGTAACATTTTTAATACACAGACTGTTTTAGCAAAGCCTTAAATTTGTGAATTTTCAAACCATACAGACTATGCGAAGGAACCACCATGACCAAATTAAGGATACTTGTTAACTAATGCTGTTATGTATTTGTATTAAGTTTTATGGACATGTACTGACTGCTTTCTGATTCACTGAATGTGGAATTCAATGCGCTCAAATGTACTGACTGAGTGACTGGTTATTATTTCTTTTACTGTATAATAAACGTTTTGTACAGAGAAAGGTAACTGGAAAAGAAGCAAACATATGAAAAGGTTATTTTCTGCTAGAAATGTTAAAAATTAACGTGTGAATGTGGATTCTGATGAATTTTTGAGTGAGATATTAAAGAAGTGGTGTGATCTATTATATTCAGTCCAACTTTTTGTTTTTAATTTCAAGGTGAAGTTAGCAATATGTAAGTCGGGCAGAAAGAGGCGCTATACATGACATTAAGGATGCGTGATATTGGATTTTAGCAGTCCTCAATCAGACACAATGTCAGAAACATTTCACCTGGGCTAAGGAGAAAAGAGCAGGAATATTGCTTATCCGTCCCAAATCTTCAAGATGAAACTAAGTTTGTTTTTTAAATTGCAAAACAAGGTTTTGGAGTCTTGAGGACAGAGGTACATAACCCAAGGTGTTTAAAAAATAAATAGACATCAACATACAATTTTACATCTTTTCAAGTTCAACAAAGTTTATTTAGTTCATTTCAACAAGATTATCCAGTATATCTTGTTCTTCATAGGTTTATTCCAGCACTGGTAAGTGTTCAGCCCCACTCACTAAATCTGGGGTGTAGCAGGACCATTTCTGCACCACCTGAACAATCAAAACCAGATACTGCTTCTGCTTCAATGTGACGTTCCAGAGCATCTAAACTGACAATAAAGTTATAGTTGAAATTCCTGGATTTAACTTCCTGTTTAAAAGAGTTAGTAGTAGGTTATGAGAACATGAGAAAAAACATTTCCATTAAACAATAAATATTAAAGGGATATTCCGGCGTAAAATTAATTTAGGGTGAACCACACTGTAACACCAAGTTAGACACCCCCTTAAGAGATTATTATTATTATTATTATTATTATTATTATTATTTATTTGGGTTAAAATCATCCGGCGATAGTGATGGTGTTACTAATTTTAGCGATAGTGTTCTCGGGTTAAATTATTATTATTTGTAAATTATAGCCGCACTCCAGTCCGGTAGGTGGCAGTAAAGCACCCCGAGCTCGTCGCCAACCACCAATCGAGTGACGCTGGAAAGCAGCCATGCGCGCGCAAACATCATGAACGCGCTAGAAGTTTGAGGCTCTCAGCAACAACCCAAAGTAAATGTGCGCTTATGTGTTGAACTCATTTATACAAGTATATGTCGTATTAGGAGGGTAGCTGCGACTAAACATGGATTCAGACGACGACGAGAGAGGTAGGCTAAATGCTAGTTTGGTCTTTTTGTCAAGTCGGGGGCTGATTTCTGCAACAACACGCTAACCGTAGCTCGCTCACCCATGTTGAACTTATTCCACACTCCGCCTCTTCTTATTTCATGTATTTAATTAAACATTACACATTGACATTGGTTTTGTCTTCCTTTTTTAGAGCCTGTGGACCATCGAGTATTCGTAAGTACGGCTTTTAAACCATTTTTGTCGATACCCATGCGAGGAGCTAAAGTCCAGGAACAGGACTCATGGGTGTGATAGTTGGACTTTATCTGAAATTTCAGATTTTGTGACCTTAAAAGTTGACTTATCTACCATGCTGTTAAAGTGTAGTCAAATAGAGTCTGTTTGTCGACTGTGTTGTGATGGCAAAAGTAGGTTTGTGTAGACCTTCTCATAGGCCTTATGTTTGGGCATGTTTCACTTACAGATTCATGTCCTAATATAAAACGATAGCATTTAACAATATTATTTTGATTTTCTCATATATTTTGATCAATGATAGTAGAACCATCATTGTGTTTTCTTCTTTCCAGTCAAAGGTTTTGAGTATGTTTGATGGAAACCCAGATTTTCAACAAATTTTAAGACTTGGCCTTCAGGGTAAGAAAACACAACGCCACTCACTTACTGCACACATATAGTCTGTTTCAGCTATTGTCTGTGAATTTGCTTTGATGTGACTGAATTAGCAGCCCCTCCAGGAGTTCACATGTCTTCTCCAGACTTCACAATTTTGCTGGAGGTTTTTGCAGGCAGTGTATTCTGTGTAACATGCTCATCTCCCACGATGACAATTTTGACACATCAAACATAGGAAGTGAAACTTAAAAGTAGGGCACAACCAATACGGACTTTTTGGGGCCGATTATTATTGAGGAAAATCCGGTTATCGATTAATCGGCCGATTTTTACATTTTTTTATGACGTTATAAAAAACACCTATATTTACTGTAGATATCTACAGTATACTATATAATGTAGATATACTGTAGGCTACTGCTCTTCACGCTGACAGGAAAACCGACTGATCAATCTCCGGGTGCCGATCGGTGCCTCCACGTCTTAACTCAAGTTACTCATTTCCGATCTGTTCTCATCTGGAGACATGCAGCTGCCTCAGTAAGAGAAGTAGCTCGATCACGTAATGTGTACTGTTGTTTACTCTACCGTTACTGGCACGGCTAACAGTGTAGCAAGGCTAATAGCAGATGGCTAACTCTAACTTTAGCTTGCATATTACATGGTGCTTCACTGTTAACTCGTACCGTTGAGGCGGACCACTGTCCTCCGTGCGTCCCTGAGCTGCCTGCGTCAGATCCGTCACTCTGCTGTGCTGTGAGGTAGTAAGTGGATCAAGACTGTCATGAGGTCGCTGCGCCATCTACAGGATAAGTCTGGGAACTTTTCAAATGGCAGTACATTTTGGAAGTGAAACCGAATCGTATTCTCCGCATTTTATTTCTGAAAATATCTGCGAAAATCTGTGAGTTTTGGACGATTACCGATTAGTCTCAAATGGGTTTAAATTGGCCGATTTAATCGGCTCGCCGATGAATCAGTCGAGCCCTAGTTTGAAGTAAAGGGTGTCATGAAGAAAGGACAGTACCACTCCATCCTCCAGCACCATGCTGTTCCATCTGGACTAAGACTTGTGAGTCATAAGTTTGTTTTGCTGCAAGACCCTAAGCATTCTGCCAGGTTACTCCTTCCACAATAATCATGTTTATTTTGATGCAAATTATATTATTGAAACTATGATCTTTTTTTGTACAAATCTGATCTTGCTTCCAAACTTTTGGCCTGTAGTGTACTGACTCATCAAGCCAAGTCGTAAAACTTCCTGGAGGAGCTGCTTTGAGCGTTCACATCATGAGTTTTAGGTGCTTCTTTTACAAATGCTCATCGTTATATTTATTTTTTTCATTTTTGTCATTGCCTCTGTAGCGGAGCTAGCGGGGAAAGAGGACGTTTATATGATACCACAGTGTTCAGAATTACCGATTGACCCCGAAGAGTGCTTTAAAGCATCTAACTGGACCAGTGATGGGAGATATATTGGGAACTTTACAAAGCCAGCCAATGCTGTCCCAGTGCCTTCATACCTTCATGCATATGCAAACCCTCATCGCTCAGACGTTTTGAACAACCTGGCCAAGGAGACTGTGAGTTCTTTTACAATTTGTCTATCCTGTTCAGTAGGATTGTGAGAATGAATTCAGCTGAGTCTATAGGGTTAAATCAATGAAATGTGTGTGTATCTCTTCTAGGATACAGAAAGAAAGGGTGAATTATTTCAAGACTCAAAAAAATACATAGGAAAGGCGGACAGGAAACGGCTTAAAAAACAGGTGAGACCTAAGATAAGATAAGATGTTCCTTTAATTGTCCCACAGTGGGAAATTCTAAATTCACAGCAGCATAGTACAGACACAGACAGAAAAATTAAAGGATATAGAAACTCCGAGGTAAGTTAAGAAAAAGACAACTTGCAGTCTTAATTGAGTTTTCTTATTTTAGACCAAATTCTGTCTTGAACCTGAGCTTAACAAAGTTGCAGCAAAGTCTGGTCTTTCTGAATTTTCTGTTATTTTTACTCTATTTTTTCATATTTTGTCAACTACTGTACCTTGATTGATCAAAAAACAAGAGTGGTGGGCGGCTCCTCTTTTTTTACTGTAGGACAGAAAGATTCAGAGGATCTTGCACCTACAGCTCATCACTGTTTCATTCTCCTATAAATAGTAGATGAGATGAGATTCCAGATAAATTAATTTCCCTTTAGGGATCAATTAAGTCCTTGTATTTTATTGCATTATTGTCTTGTAAATAATATAAATGAACTTGATTGTGTGTGTTTTCTTGTTCAACAGAGGCAGAAGGAGAAGAAACGCCTCGAGGAGATACAGAAGGAGAACCCGAACTCTGGGAAAAATGAAGATGTAATAATCAGTTGTGGGCCATAATTTAGAGTTCAACATATTAACAGCTTTTAACACAAATGAATCAACCTGCTTGTTTTTCTTTCCAACAGGAGGGTGATGATGCTCAGGCGTGTAAACCAGAGAAGAGTACAGCAGACAATAGTGATTCCAGCATCAGGCAGCAGGTGTGTGCAAAAGATACCGGGAGCAGTGACTGCAGTGGGGAGGAGTTCAGCGATGAAGATAGAGACACAGAGGAGGAAACTGATGACTTTGAGGTACTTAGTCTTTCGCTGAAAACAAAGCGTTGTGGTTATTTTTGTACTCATAGAAGACTGATACTGATTTAGCTTTTCTTAACTCTGATTTTTCTCCTTTAATCTTCTACTTTGTCATCTATTACCGCTTGAAAATGTGACTTACTGGGCCTCTGTCTCTGATTTCTGTCAGGAGCTGGATATGACGAGTACATTTGTGAGCAAAGCTGCGGATATAGCCAGGCGTAAACTGGAGCTGAAGCCTAAGCCAGACAAGAGGGAGAAGAAGAAAAGCCCGGCGAAAGAAGAACCTAAGAGCAGCGCTGACAAAACATATGAAAAAACAGTCACTGAATATAAGGTGAGTCTGATTTTGAAACAGAAATGATCAACAATTTAAATGTTGAATCTGATAATATCGGTTTTGGTTTTGCTCATCTCCTTTCTCTTTTTGGACAGGATACTGTTGCCTCAAGCAGCCTTAGTTTTGAAGAGAATGTTAAAATAAGTACCGATCTTGCAAGTAAGTTTCCTCCACTCATGCATGTTTAGAAATGTTTCAGATTGATCACCCTTGGATAAATATCTGTCATGTTTTTCTGCAGATACAGGAAATAGGTTCGCCAGCAATGGAGACTTTCATACAGCCGTGAAGTATTTTACCGATGCAATAAAGTTCAACCCTACTGAGTTTAAGTGAGAACAGGTTTTTCGCCTCATTTAATTCACTAATCTGTTGCATCACCTGTTTCAACGCAATGCTAAAGGCTGTTTTTCCCTGCCGCAGGTTGTTTGGAAATCGTTCCTTCTGTTTCGAGAAGATGCAGGAGTACGAGAAGGCGCTGGCTGATGCCGAGTTGTCTCTCAGTATGCATCCAGGCTGGGTTAAAGGTCTGTTCAGGAAGGGCAGAGCTCTGGCAGGTCTAAAGGTCAGTAGTCTTTTTGATGATATCTGCACCACCCATGAAGGCCCCTGTCACGGGCGCTTATGTAATGTAATGACAAAACCAGTGTTGGCTTTTTACGGAGAACAGAAACTGATACTCGGCATGTGAACTGTTGTGCAACATTGAGAACTAGCTTCCGGAGGGGACTTAGCTTAGTTTTGAAGCCTCCTGAACTCAGAGCTTCTATAATAAAAACTATGTTTTCTAGTCATCTGAAATAACCTAGAGAAATTATACACAATGTACCTTTACATAAGGTGGTTTAAACTGTGGGAAGGCACAGGTGTACCGCCAAACCATTGGTATCATTGGCTAATATTTGGCAAACACTGCTGATGGTATCAAATGTTAACTTTATTGTTTAAACACAATGCTGACAGGCTAGTTTGCCAGACTGCTTATTCACAAATGAGTCATAATTGGGTGGAGGAAGTCATACTGGTTTGTTTTCATAACGTCATATGAGAGAAGTTGAACGGCACATACCGTTTGAAAACTAACCACGCCAGCAAGTTGAGTACCCCCATTACTCTCATGTATTAGCTTTATGATCAGTTTTAACAAAGATATTAGGATAGGCGTCTTCTAATCTTTGCATGTTGCACTCAGGCGACATGTGTTGTCATGGAAACGTGTTCCAGTCCTCAAACCTTCATGAGCCCCTGCACTCACACACTGTACACCTAATTTGCTCTGTAACACCTCTGAATATGACCGATCCCATCTCTCACTAATTTGTGATTTACTTTCAAATGAGAGTCATCCTTCATCAGCGTCTCTGTTTTGTTAACCTTCACCCGTTCAGGTCGGTTTGACTCTGCGATCACTCTGTCCTCGTTGCATCAGATTGAATCAATTTCAAGTCCCATTGAGCCGCACGGGCGCACATCATTTACTCAGACTTGTTTTGGCTAGCTGTAACTGTAAACATTAATAACAGCCGATTGGCGCAGCAGCATGACAGTCACTGAGTCTTAACTTTGATGTAGTGCCGAGGCAGCAGCTCATTTACGGTGATCTCCTCTCTCCCTCTTTCTCCTGCAGAGGTACGATGAAGCGACTCAGGCTTTCAGGGAAGTTCTCAAACAGGACGGGTCATGTGCCGAAGCTGCGCAAGAGCTGATGCGGGTGCAGATAACACAACTTGTGGTATGTACAACAACAAAAAAAAGCTGCTCTCTTTTTAAGATTCAGTTTTTGTCGTCATACAGACAATAATCTTTAACTCAGAGTTTATAATGTGTGCTTTGTTTCAGGGATATGGTTACAGTCGAGAGCAGAGTTCAAATGCTCTAATTATTCACGGGACGGTAGAAAAGGCACGAGAGGTTCTGTCTAAATTAGAAGGTCAACCAGGTGACTGTCTTATTATTTCACTCTCATTGCTTGAAAAGTTAAAAGCCTCCTTACTCTGTTCTGTCTGACCTGTGTTGATGACATCCCCTTCAGACCCAGATAGGTCTTAATCTTCACATTCACATCTGAACCAATCTGATTTATCGTCTGTTTAGGACCCGTACTAAAAAGCGCCCTCCCACCTCCTCAAGTGGTGAACGTCAGCGGAGTCTCTCCAGTCCTTTCAGCCACAAACTTCGCTCCCCCTCATCCGCAGAACGCACCAAAACCCCCGAACAACCCTCTGGTCCCAGTCCAGAATATGCCAAATGTCCATGTGCAGCCAAAACCAGTTCCTCATCCCGCTCCAAGGACCAACAGTGTAGACCAACACCTTCCACAGTGAGTGATGTCCCTGTAGACCTTGATATTCTTCACTGTCAGCTGTCAAGTCTTCACTGACTGACCTGCTAAAGCAAAGATGATCTGTAGTACAAAGTTTAAGCTTTGTCTCTGTGTCCGTTGAGAGCGTCCACACGCAATTAATCAGTTCTTGTATCGGACAGACTTAATTAAGTACAGCCTGTATACTCACAGTTATCGATATTGCATCTTCCCTGATTGGACGTTTTATTCTAAGAGAGCAGGAAATCATTAAGTTCTTTCACGCGGCTCAAACTTCTTCATGAACCATAACAACCGCGATTCCCTGCTCAGGATTTGACGGTATCATCTGTTACTTTTAGTGTTTTTGAACAATCAATATATAAATAATCAATAGATTTTTTTTTTCTTCTCACAGGGAGCTGTTTCCAGTTTGGGTGGGGAACTTATTCCAGCCAGTCTCTGAGTCCGACATAAACCACCTGTTTAACAAGTAAGTATAATTCAGACACTTGGACAGACTTTCTGTGTTAGTTACTTCTTTTTTAAATGATTAATTTTAACAGTCAAACCTTTAAGTCAGATAATACTGTTATACTAGAGGTGGTAAATGACACGTTTTTGGTCTTTCAGGGTCGGTGAGGTCCATAGTGTGAAGCTACTGTCTTACAAACGCTGTGCCTTTGTGAACTTTACAAAACAAGAGTATTGTGATGAAGCGATCCGACGCCTTCACGTAAGCACACGCACAATAACGGCTTTAACTTACACTATTGTTTCACTCTCAGTTCTTAAGTCCAGTTTATTTTTTTCTATAATCATTGAGCTGTTAACCCTTTAAAAGGCATGACTAAAAATTGAAGTGTTTCATAAACATTAAAAAGGAAAATCCACCTTAAATGAACCCCCTAAAGTTTTGCACCTTGTTCTCGCCATTAGGGATTTGATTTGAACGGCGTCAAGATCGCAGTGAGATACCCCGACAGGATTCCTCAGGGCATGGGTATTTCCAGGTCTGCTCTCAAAGCTGATGACCTGCAGGATGAGAACGCGAGGTGAGGACAAAAAATGCTCCGAATCTATTTCAAAGGACTAGTTCAACATTTCAACAGAAGCCATATTTTGTTTGTTTGTTCTCTCTTAGCTTAAAGTGCAGTATTTGTTGAAATTGGTCAAAAAGTAACTCAAGCAGATTGAATTTTTGGACGTATTTTTGGATCTTGACCAGGTGTTTCTTGTGATCACACTTGGATCTACGTTTTGAAACTTCTGTTTCCTCACTGCTTGGTTGTTTAAACCACTCTTGACTTGCATCTCCATCTACCTTATATATAAATATGTGACCAGATTAATGTCTATTTAAATACAAATATAGATGTTTTATGTTTATATGAATAACTAAGATTATTTTCTACTCTGTCAATGCAAGTTTGAGGAAATGAAATGAATTTATCGGCACTCTGAGTTACCAGTTTGTTCTGATGTTGATGTTTTGTTTCTTTCAATCAGGCATGTGTACGGCTATGGGAGGAATGCAGTTGGAGGCAGAAGACCTTTCCACCCCCATGATCACGTCTACGACTACAGAGGAAACTACAAATACTGAGAGAAAAAGACATCCCTCAGAAAAAAAAGCATATCACTGATACTGCCCAAAACAGGTGATCAGTGCAGAGCTTTAACGCTTCCTTTTCAAAGATCAAGTGTTTTTAAGTGGAGGATGGATACAAGTATATAAGGGGATTCTTAAAAAAGGGCTTCGTCTGGATAAAAGAGTAAAGCTTTTGTTTTATACAAGATAACATTTTACATAATTAAAGCTTATTACTGCCAAAAGTATGAGAGATATAATGAAGGATCAAGACTGATCATTTTGGTTGTTTGGAATATTATAGATTATACATCATACTTTAAGTTTTACTTCAGGCCCCTTAATCTCATGTCCATAAATAATTTTTTTTTAGATTGTATCAACAATTAAATTTTACTTAATAACAAAAAGAACAGATCTTACAAGCATCGGTGGTTTAGTATTTTATTGTGTATTTAAACTTTGAAATACGATATTGTGAAAGGCCTTAAATATTATGTACTCACAAGAAAGTTTACTGTTCACCCTGCTCTTAATGGGTCGCTTGCCTTAAATCATACTTACCCTGAATACAACAGTCATTTTTGTGACGTGGATAAAGTGAGATGTCAGTTAAGTAATAGAAATCACAATTCTTAATCAGATCTTTATCGAAAGGAGGTAAAGTGTCGAATGTTTTACACTCTGATCTGTGTATTGAAACGTTTTCTTCTTCCTTCAACAATTAAAGTGGATCAGATTATCATCCCTGTCTCGTATTGATATGTGCTTTTACTAATAATAAGGTTATATTTGTTTGACCTTCAAATGGATATTCCGGCGTAAAATTAAAATTAAACACACTGTAACACAAAGTTAGACACCCCCTCGAGAGATGAATGTTGCCGACCGCTTGTTTCTCTGATTATACCAACTTTAGTAATGACCGCACGATAGAAATACACAGAGCCACACGCTCAACCAAAACGCCACTCTATAGCCACAAATAATGCTCAGAACAGCACCTAACTTCATCAACAGTACATATAGGGTCCCAGCTATAGCACTAGCCACCAAACATATTTTTAGCAAAGAGACTAAACACAACTCGCCTACTCTCTACCAGCATCCATCTCTATGATGATCTTTACTTCTTTGAAGTAATGATCATCATATTAATCATTTTGCGTCTCAGTCTGATTGCATTTTCATGAAGAAATGATCATTAATGTTCTTCCTTGAGCTGTGAAACTCCACTGCAATCAATGGACTCGCCCAAGATCTCACTACAAACAAACAGCTGCTAGAAGAGAGCAGGTGAGTCTCTTTGCTAAAGAAATCAGGCAAAACTAAAAAGATGTTTGGAGGCTAGAACTATGGCTGTGACCCTATATGTACTGTTGATGAAGTTAGGTGCTGTTCTGAGCATTATTTGTGGCTATAGAGTGGCGTTTTGGTTGAGTGCATGGCTCTCTGTATTGCTGTCCTGTGGCCATTACTTAAGTTGGTATATCTAGAGAAGCAAGTGGTCAGCAACATTCATCTCTCGTCGGGGTGTCTAACTCTGTGTTACAGTGTGTTTGACCCTTACTTAATTTTATGCCGGAATATCCCTTTAACGTGAGAGTAATAACAGGAGAGAGTTGGTGTCTTTCTCAGGTTTCTTCTGATTATAGTGGAATTACTGTGACCATGTAGACCTCTGGCCAATAGGTGGCAGCACAGGCTCAGTTTTGGATTAGGCTCGAACGTGCTTTGTGGAAATCCTTCTACATTTTAGTGCAAAAATACTAATTTTTACTCCTTTTATAGCTTGTCATAAACACACCAATAAATCATGGTGATGTAGTCTTTAAAATGAACACACTCTCCCTGAACAAAAACAACAAATATATAAAACAAATGTAGCACTGCTTACTACATCACCCTTTAATAACAAATTATCTCTGCACTTTCAAACAGCTGAAAAGCTACAAATGTGCCTCTATGCATATGTTTTTCATGGAGGCAAGGAGCTTTGATGTTTTTCTATGTTTTGACATCTTGAAATGTTATCTGATGATGCAACATGCGAGGCTATAAGGCAATCTGGATTAAGAATGGCGGTGCAGGAGAACGTAAAGAAGCCAGACTTGTGTGGTTGTTTTCTCCGCAAATAGATGGGATGAACTCAAAGATCCTGCGAGGAACTTTCAGATTGTGTCAAATTTGATGCCCCTTGTGGACAAAGCTGAGCATATCTTACTGCCAATTTTGCCTAACGCATATTTTCGACAAAAATAACTCATAAATCCACTTTGACCTGCAGTGAATCCTTCTAGCAGAAATGTAAATAAAGGCTGTTTATGTTGCCTGCTGTGAATCGCCTCGTTTGACGCCTACCCCCAATGGCGTTTATAGGCATTAAAAATAGCTATAAAGTAAGAATCAGTCTTCTGTCAGATGGTCTTTTTTGCTTTTGTAGGTCATGTAGAAGCATCAGTTTTAATTTCGGTTGGCTTAATTACCAGCTAAAACCGCCCATGGCAGCTTTAACAGACAAGCACATTGGGCTAAAATGAAGTAATTGGCATGAATGCAAATCTCCACTCAGCTAATACGCAGCATATCCAAAAAGACACATCCTCCTCTTATTGAAGTGCTTTTCACGATTGAAGCACAGAGAAAAAAAAACTGATTATTTTCATGGATGAAACCAGCATGTCATTCATCCGATTGACACCCGTGTTATTTTCATAACCATATGCACATAAAGGTATGAATCCAAAGCAGCCACCTTCCCCCCGAGGTGTTCAGCAGCTGTTACCTGTTGGAAACCAAATGAATGTTTCAGCATGATCAGAAATGCAAAAAAATGGAGAATCAGCCAGCAGCAAAAACATCCAAATCCCAAATGTGAACTGATTATTATGTTTTTGCTAGTCAACACCGCCTTTCACCTGTCATCCTTCATGCTTAATGTGGGGTTTGCGTTTGTCTGCGGGTGGAGGGGAGTGAGTTATTAGTTTGGAGAATTGGTGCCACTTTCTAGGAACCCCACGAGGAGACTTTGTGTTAATAAGCAGCTTTGTCATTGAAAATAAGGCCGTATTAGACTCAAGTTTGTCACTATCTGCTCAGTTCTTGTCAATCATATAAAATGATGGAGTGTAGAAATAGTATTTCAGATTCTGTAAATTGTCGAATCTCTCGCTTCTACCACGTGGTTTTAAAAAATGTGATTAGAATACAACAGCCGAAAGAAGCTGAAGCATCAGATCGGGAGTTTTGACAGCAACTTTGGGCTTAATTAGAGGCTGAAATCTTGCGTTGTTCACCCAGCCGTGTCTGTGCAGCAGCAGCAGCAGAAGCAGGCTGCAATAATATCTGCTCTTAACCCTGACTCTCACACTCTCTCTTCAGGCTGCTTCTCTTCAGCGTCTTTGACCGAGGAAAGTCTCCGAAATGTCCATGAGGTAAGAAAGTGGTGTGTCTAAGCTAATTGTATAGATTTTCATGAACAAAATGAACTCTGGGTGCCGAAATCATCACACACAAAAAGTTCCTCACAGTGGCTTTAAATTTTAACACTTGAATCCTTAAATCTGAACCGTCCCTTTCCTTTAAACCTCTCTAAATCTGACTGTGTTAACTCATTTAGGCTAAACCTGGTTTAACAAGTGCTTAGCTCAACTTTCTAAACGTTACATTCAGTCTTTTCAAATCTTGACTGAGTATTTTGACCTTAGTCTGGTTGGAAAATCATGTCATTATCAAGCAAATACAGAGAGTCTATATCTCTTTCCTTGCATGATTTAAAAGGCAAAAAAAACTCCTAGTTGCACAAAGAGAAAACTAGATGAGTGACTAATCCGCACTTAGGATGCGGTTGTATTTCTTACCAAAGTAGCGTCCCTCTGCAGCAGAGTGCTGATGGAGGACGGGGGAAGTGGGAGCCTTCGCACCCTGGCAGGCTCGCCAACACATGGCTGCCTGCCTCACTCTCAGCTGCAGAGCCAAGGTCAGCCAGCCTCTCGTGTCAAACTCCACAGTGGAGCCGTGCCTCAAAGAGAGAAGTTCAGTTCACTCAGATTTATTATGCAAGAATTTTCCAGTGGGTAATCTGATGAGAGTTTTCTTCATTTGGCCAACAGAGATGTATGAAAGCTGCATCAAATGTAAGAAGTCCTTACAAGAGATGAAAGGTTTTACTTAAAAACGGCTTGGTAATATTAATCATGGAGCTAATTATGAAATATATTAAAACGAAATAGTTTCCCTAACTTATTTTATCAGTTTGTAAAAGTAGAATATAAAAGTAGATTTACCTTCTTGCAGATGAGTCCCCTGAAGTTAACCTTTACTCTTAACATTCAAGACAACGTTTTGACCTGTTTTCTCTTTCTCCGCTTGATGCCAAGTACAACATGTGCCACATAAAAACATGTTTAATTCCAAATGAAACAGCTGTTGACAGAGTGGAAAAGAACTAAAAAATCTATTGAGATCATTAAAAAAAGTGTTTTCCAGGGGGGGAGATAAAACATGACAGATTTGTGCTTACTCTTTGAACCTTTAGTGATCACAGACAGGTCACAAAAGACTTTTTTTTTTTTTTACATGAAGGCACCCTTTTTACAGTTTTTCATCTATTCTTGCTGCATGTCGACTTTGCTGAACATAAGGTAGAAAAATAAAGGTGTGTCCTCTAAAAAAGTAGTGGAAGTGTTCCTGATTCCAGAGAGCTATTCTGCCCGCTGTTCATCAAACACTGTCAGCAGTACAGGAGTCCTGACCTCCAGCAGACCGCTGCAGGCAGCCGGCTCTGATGCTCCTGACCTGATCTGAGCTCAGACAGTGAAAAGTTGGAGCTCCACCTTCCGTCAAATGTACCAACAGAGAGAGGGGAGTTTTGATCTCAGCAGCTTCGGAGCAGATGTTAAAAGCTGTCCCCAGGTCAGCTCCAGAGGCAGATGTTGCTCATGGCCTGGCATGTGGAGCTGCTCTCCGCGGGGGAGAGGTAGATCTTACCGCTGGGGCAGACGCACACCTCATATACTTCCTGTTCCTGGGAGACCTGATGAGAGGACGTGGTGTAGACGCCCAGTGGGAGGCTGCCTAGCTGAATGATGTTGGCGTCCAGAAGTATCTAGGAAGAAATTTTTTAATTTACTTACACTTGTTAACCTCATGTACACAAATGGTCCGTCTAATAAAAGTGCAGTAAAAATGTCATCCATTAATTTTTTTTAGTGAAATATTTGTGATAACGATATAACAGCCTTGACCATGTCAATAATTGATAGAAATATTGATTTTAATTAGTCCCCGACCGATATGGATTTTTTGGGGCCGATGCCGATACCGATTATACGGGAGGCAAAAAATCAGATCACTGATTAATCCGCCGATTTTTAATTTTTTTTTATGGAGTTCGGTGCCTCTGCATCTTAACTCATGTTACTCATTTCTGGTCCGGTCTCATCTAGAGACATGCAGCTGCCTCAGTAAGAGAAGTAGCTTGATCACTAATGTGTACTGTTGTTTATTCTATTGTTACTGACATGGCTAACAGTGTAGCAAGGCTAATAGCAGGTGGCTAACTCTAACTTTAGCTTGCATATTACATGGTGCTTCACCGTTAACTCAGCGTGACTGAGACCAGCACAGCGGGGAACATCGTGAAGTGGGTTGAACTGAAACTTGTTGACTTATTGTGTATTTCACAAACTGGTTTATTTACCGTTGAGGTGGACCACTCTCCACTGTGCATCCCTGAGCTGCCTGCTTCAGGTTGCTGCGCCATCTACAGGATAAGTCAGGGAACTTTTCAAATGGCGGAACATTTTCGAAGTGAAACCAAATCGTATTCTTCGCATTTTATTTCTGAAAGTATTGGCGAAAATCGGCAAGTTTTGGCCGATTACCGATTAGTCTCAAACTGGCTAAAATCGACCGATTTAATTGGCTCGCCAATAAATTGGTCAGGCCCTAGTTTTTTTGTCTTTTGTCATGAGAACCCCTGATTTTTTCAATGGGAAAAACACAAAATATGCAGTATTTACAAAAATGAGGTGCATAGTGAAATATTTGTGATAAAGATATACCAGCCTTAACCATGTCAATAATTGATAAAATTATTGATTTTAATGCATTATTATTTTTGGCACAATGAGAGTTTTAAACTCCTCCTTCTCCTTTTAGTTCCCCGCGGTCACATTGCATTGTCCCTCTCTGTCTGGCAGGTATCCCTTCCCTGATCCTCCTGGCTCATGCACGTGCACCCATAGGACCCTTGGGGAAATCCAGGTCTTCACAGAAATTTCCCCCAAACTTTGTGTAATGGCCTGTGTTTTTTAAAGGGGGTCATTACACCTAAAACATAATTTCCCTGAATTTTGGAGGTAATAGCTTAGATCTATTAGGTATAAATAGAAAAGGCATTATAATATGTTAGGATTATAGCATATGACAAATATGTGGTTATAATGGGAGTCAATGGGGCAAATTTGGTCACGAGGATAACGAGTGTCAGTGTGATGCAATTCTCCCATTCTAAACACTTCCAATGGACAGGTTTTTGGAATTAAGAACATAAAAATGAAAGAAAATTAGTGCCAAAGTTTCATACAGCTAGCCTTTGAACTGACCGGTTCACTGAGAGACGAACAAAAAAAAAACAACCAAGATGGTGAGAAAAGACTCATATTAGCTGTAAGCATGTTGAGGACTCACATCTGATCTGGTCTTTCTAATTTGCAAGTTTCTAGTCTCTCCCCTCTGCCCTGTTACTGCAAGAGCTGCACTTATACTCTCTGCCCAAGCAAATCTGCAAGGAGGTCGAAACCTGTACACTGAACACAAGAAGCGATCCGCCGCAGTAAACACTCCAAACCAGCACAAAGTCAGCCGCTTGAATGAATTAGAATTATTAAAGAAAAGAAGTTTAGACATAAATAATGAATACGACAGCAGAAGAGGTTGTTTTCGTTTCCAGTGTAACTCGTAATCCCCCTCACCTCTCCCTCTGTAGACTCCAGCTGTAAGTCCTTTCGACCGCTGACCTTCAGCGGCCCCATGGCAGCACTCACTTCCACCCCTCGGGGGGCCTCCATAGTCAGGGTCCGTGTTGGAGACTCCAGTCTGAAGAGAACAGAAAACAAATCAGTGCAGACTCAGAGATTTAGAGCTGGAACTGCAATTATTTCCTTTATTCTTTCCTGATCTTTTCATTTCTGGGATTTAACAGCTGACTTATAGAAAATGCATCTGAGGTGAAATGGAGTGTGTTTTTGTCATGGTAGTTTAAGAAGTATTCCTGCTCCTTTAAAGATGATGATGGGCTTTAGTCGTATTAATGCTTACGTCTCAGATTTGACTGCTGCATTCACTGTATCCTGCTTGTTCGTTAAACCATTGACTCCTCCACCTGAGGAATATTAAAGCTGTTGTTCATGTTTAAGCATCTCTCCTCATTATTCTAATCCAGTGCAGCTCCTTAACAGCCCGTAATTGTATCAGCTGATTTTGACCTTCAGCAACACTGAGGCTAATGCGATTTGCATTTTCCTCCTGCGGGCTATTTGTTTACACAAGGAAAGATAAGTGCGAGAGCCAATCAATGTGGAATTTGTTTTCATAACTCATAACCGGTTCAAATTGATTTCCTTCCCCTCATCTTCCTCCAAATCTGTTTTCAATGAATTTTAAATGGAAGACTTTAAGGCAGCGTCTTGAAATCGCTTAAATCTCCGCTCCCCGCTGAAAGCGACACATATTTTGGATTATGTGCTATTTGAATTAGGGGGGAGAGAAAAAAAAGCAAATGAATTTCATCTGCATTTGAAAAGCCTCTTTGACTTTAAATCAGCTTTTCAGTAGATACAGTTTGGAGAGGAGCTGTGAAATGCGCCTTTGACCTGAGACTGTAGAAATGGAGGAGATAGATGCCTGCGCTTTTGTTTCCCTTTTTTATTTTCAGCTTTTTCCCTCCCTAAAAATCTTCGCTCTAATATCTGACTCCCTTTGGATCACTCAAGAGTAAATTTAACACATTCATAATGTCTTTTTACTTAAACTCCTGTTTAAATTCCTGCTTCTTACTCTGTATTTGATCCTTATTCTGATGACCCTAACCCTTACAAGTGATTCATTAACCAACTTCTTGTTCGGGTCAGCCTTAACAAATCTGTCAATTAACTATGGAAACATATTTTATTATATAAAAAAAAGAACACAATCTGCCTACAGTAACTAGGCAACCTATATCCTCTTAACTACAGCTGCTCATTAAGGAGCAAAAACAACTTGTTTAAGCTTCTGCCATTTCTCAGGCATCTACAGAGTGTTAACCATGATTTCACTCAGACACATCATTTTAAGAGTCATTTCAAGCCTCTATACTGCAGTGAGAAGTTTGCAAGATGCCATATTTTCACTCAAACTCAGTCATCATCCAATTTTCAAGAGTCTAAAAACAGCATTATTTGAATTAATTTGCAGGATTATTTAATTAAAAATGTCTTAACGGGTTTATTATTGTCTAAAGCTGCTTCTATTTTTGTGGACATGCACTTCGTAGACTTTGGAGGCCCAATTTTGACGTACCACAGACCTGAAAACAGTCAATTCAAAGTTAAAGCTCCTGTGAGGAACTTTTGATTTGTGTTAATTTTCGCTAATTTGCAGGTGTTGATGATAAAACGTGCAGCCTTGATTCATTTGAACACTAATTTTGGTCATTTGCATGAATAAGTGGAGGTTTTGTATGACCTAGTTAAAATGAGTTGAGCAAAAAATATAATAACAATTATTTTGAATAATGTTAACATCAGGAAAAAAATAAAAACAATTATTTGTGATCTAAAATTCGCGTCACAAGCTTTTAAACAAATTAAGACTTTTTAAAATCTCACAAACTCTAAATTTATTGACAAATTGTTAGAAGTAGTAGTACATTGTAGTAGTATTTTCAGAAGGATATGAGCTCTTTTACCGGTTATATTTTATCACAGGCAGCAAATTATTCAGTCTTTTCAACCTTTTTTTATACCATCCTCTATAGTGTCAAATCGTCTCTCACTTTTTTGCCCAGCAGCCATTCGCTTGTGCACACTTGTGATCACTACAGCCTCTCTCATCATGCTCATTCTGTCCCTTGGCTTTTCAGACATGCTAATACACACACCTGCCTCCTCCTGCTCCTCTCCTTGCTCTCCTCTCTCGACCTGATATTTTATACCGTTATTGCACATCATGTTGACGATATAGCGGTCCATCAATAATCTTTCTTGAGTTGTTTCACATTGACCTGAGCGGCTTATGATGAAGTTAGAGCAGTTTGAGGGGAGGCGCTGTGGAGTCATAATCGTAATGGAAATAGGAATTCAGATGTGTCTAGATCTGGCTTTAAGTTATTTATCAAATACTGTCAAATTGTAAAAATACCTTTCCCCTTTTTTTTATTTCACAATGTCATCTTAAGTGCGGCGTAGCGTCTTTGACAGATAATATTTCAAGTTTTCAGGTTTCATCCAGAGACCTCTCTGCAGATAACCTGTGTGGCATTTGCAGCAACATCAGCTGTTTATGACAGGCTCCCTGAGAAATCTGACCAGCTTTTCTCCCAGCATGTAGGATGACCTTTAGATCCACCAGAAAAGGTCTCTGTATCGCAGATCTGGACACTCTAAAATGTGCTGAAGGGTGGGGTTGAAGCTGCAGTGGACTAGGTTGCTTTAAATACTGCACATCTCTTCTGTTAGCTGAGGGGATTCCAGAGGTGAAAGTCAAGTTTATTTTTATACGATGGTATCATATACAATATGCTGCACTGGGCCTGTTTCCTCAATTCTCCAGCACAGAGATGTATAATGAACATAATGAGCCCCCAGGGGGTTTGCTCCTGAGCTACCTTATGTGCTGATTCACAGCTCTAACACATTACCCAAACAGTCAAATCTGCCACTTTTCTGACCATATGTCTTGTTTTTTTGTTTAAAATGTTTGTGTGAAATTTTGAGTTTGCTAATTATGAGCCTGTAAAATCTACAAATCCAGCTGTCAGACCATTACAGACTGTAGCATCTTTCCATACCCAGTGTAGATGCAGAATATGATTCCCTAAGTGGTTTTAATGTTTAAAAGTCTCATTTTATCCGTATTTAAAATATCTTTTTCAGCTTTAAACTGGTAGAACTCAATGTTGTTTTTTTTTACTTGCATTTGTGACATTAAGTTCTAGATATTCTTAAAACCCACTAGCTACCACATAATGACAGTATATCCCTCCATGAGTGACGGTCAACTTGACAGACATTATAGTTAAACCAGCAGTTAGCTAACAACACTTGCAGTCAAGGCTTTCTCTTTGCTCACGTCTCAGTTAACGTATAAAACACAAAGGTCGTTTTTTTTAATTAAGCTTGATGGTTAAATTATCAGGTTATTTCTAAATGGAGTCAGGATCTAATGAGGTTTATTGCGTTCCACCTGCTTTTGCTCTCCATGAAAGCTGTTTTTCCTGTCAGTACGTGATTGGCTAATTCTACTCTGGAAGTCTTTGAGATTGGCCTCAGCTTCAAAACTTTCATTGTTTATGTTTTTTATTTTGAGAGGCTGCCCTCTTCCTCTGGAGCAAGGCCCATAGAAACAGCAAGAACCACATCAAACTTGAACTGCCAGCTTCATTCAATGTAAAATATGAAACTTATTATAAACCCCACAAACCAAGGTCAGCAACTTATTTCAAGATGAAGACAAAATTTCAAGAAACTTCCACCCATCCATCCAAAAAATTGCCTGTTGCAGTTGTAGCCAGTTTTTACACATTTTAAGCGATTTCAGCCCGATTAGTTATGAGGCGAATTCGACTTATAGTAAGTATGATCAGATATTTTTGAAAGTGGTGCCTGGGACATCAAATTGCAGACTTTTTTTGTTGCTGTCACTTTTATTTAAAAGCAAACTCAAATGAATAAGAAGAACTTTAACATTTTGCTCACTTGTGATGCTTGTTTATTGATGAATGGTTGCAATCTTAACCCGGAGTTGTCTTGGTTTTATCCTGGAGACCAGAATATTGCTCGTTGTAAAATCTAACGTTTTGGGGCGGCAGTCGCTAAGGTAGAGGCGGTCGTCCAACAACTGAAAGGTTGGCGGTTCGATTCCCTCCTATCCCTAGTCTGCCTGTGGTGTCCTTGGGCCACCTTGCTCCCAGTGTGTGTCCTCTGCTTGTGTATGATTGTGAGTGTTGTGTGGTGGTGGTCGGAGGCGCAAACTGGCAGCCACGTTTCCATCAGTCTGCCCGAGGGCAGCTTTGACTTCTATGATAGTTTACCACCACCAGGGTGTGACTGTGTGAGCGAATTAATGATGTATCCATGTAAAGCGCTTTGAGGGTCTCTGATAAAGCACTATAAAATCTGATGCATTATTATTATTATTTAATATTGTTTCAATGAGCATCCTTCAGAAATTTTACAGACAACACTATGACTCAGTTCAAAGGGAAAGCCCAAAGATTGATCAATAATAACATAAAATATGATGCTGGTTGCATCGCAGATCCTACACCGGTGTTGGATTTTTGAACCTCGTGCTTTAACAGTATCTGTATCTAAAATTTCCTACTCTACACATCTCTCCAAAGGATAAATAAGACCATACAGTAACACAGCGCTGTATTTCTTAGCTGTAGTCAAACTGTAGGGGGAAAAGGATTCAGTCTTTCTGTGCTACATCTCAATCTCACCAAATTGGTGATAAAAAAAAGTCAGACTTCAGCTAAGTGGAACCAAGAAGAATTGTCCTGCCTTGCTTTTATCTTCTTAATGAAGCTGTCACTCCTGTGTGGACACAGTTACTGCAGAGACTGTCCCGAAAGAAGAGTACGTGGCTGACTGCACTGCAAACAGACTCGAGTTGCAGAAAGTTTGGAAGGAAAATAAAATGAAAAGCTCTTTTCTGCTCTCTGATGCCAAGCCTGGAAGTGTACCATGTGATGTCTGCAATGTAAGAAGGCAGAGTGTCTTCAAATCCTGTCTGGTCTGCCTTCACTTCTTAATGTCAGACTCGTCTTACTTCAGATTCCCACCTGCTTTTACCCAGACGTCTTATTTACAAAAAAGATGAAACTAAGGTTTGTTTCTGACACAATCGAGACTCTTTGTTGCGCAGATAAGACGTCAATCTACTATTTGTCCTCCAAACATGTCAGGAGAGTAGACTCAGACTCTCGGAGTGTAAACAAACTGGATGACAGATGTGTCGCAGTAAAAATTTCAGACAAACAACGCTGCAAACCAGCTTTACCAAGAGGAATATCACCCTGCCTCTTCAGATGGATTTGGGACATCAGGAATCAGAGCACCATCCACCAGAATGACACACAAGATGATCCTATTATGTAATTGACGGGAATATCTTCATATCCAGGCCTGTAATTTCTGGCAACGATTATCAAGCTGAGTGGGCAGCAAGCCGAGGAGTCAAAACATGAATCCTCCGAGCCAAATTTCCCGCAATTATCCATCTTGATTTCTGTCCTCAAACTTGGCGCCGGGAGTTGTTGTGAGAGTGAAGCAGAGGTAGGGAGGTCAGTGCCAGGTGAAGGAGCAGATCAGAGCGCCGACAAGAGGGATGACTGAAGGTAATGAAGCTGTAAGCTGAGAAAAGGACATGACAGACTGACAGGTCGCTCCTTCAGGACTATATCCACTTTATAACTGCGGCGCCCTTGTTTCCGAGCCTTCTAGACCAAGGTTTTTGTTCCTGATAGATCCACTACACCAGTCACAAGGAATAAACACATATCCGTTACTTTCAGAGCAGCTGACAGAAAAAAATGGACTCAAGCGCATGACCAAGTGCCACAAAAAGCCATAGTTATTTTTCATATTTCTTTAAAACAATTTTTGCTATTTGTTGCAGTATGTTTAAAGTTCATGGGTGATGATTCAAAACTGCTATTTGTTACTGATAAAACTTATCGATTAACCTGTTTTGTTTTATGCTTACACAAATTAATTGATTATTTAACCTCTATAATTAAACTATCTGGGACGAAATCTTCAAATGCAGCCCTGTGTTTCACACTTTTTATGTTTCTGATCAAAGACAGGAAAATGTACCAAACAATGCAGTTTTTTCCTGTAAGGCAGATGATATTTTGGAGATATATTTTTGTTAAGGACAAGATGAGCAAAGGCGGCTTTGTCCACAGGAGGCGCAAAAGTTGACACAAGCCAAAAGTTACACAAATGAGCTTTATGTGTAAAAGTATGAAAAGAAACAAAGTTTTTTGTCTTTGAAAAAATCTTGTACATATATACTCAAAGTGAAAAACCAAAGTCTATCAAAACTCTGCTTCTGGGTCATCTAAAGCTTTTCATGATATTCCGACTAATAGAGACAACGAAATCAACTTAAAGCTACAATAGGCAATGTTATTTGGTAACACTTTACAATAACCATAACTTAGAAATGGTAAATAGACAATTTATAAATGGTAAGCAGATAGTTTATAAATGTTTAATCATCATTTATAAATAGCATATAGACCATTAATAAATTGTAAATTTTACAATTTTAAAAACCTAACCCTAACCCTAACTTTACAATAGGCCCTTGAGGCCCACTGTCCTGCATGTTTTGGATGTTTCCCTGCTCCAACACACCTGATTCAAATGATCAGCTCGTTATTAAGCCATGACAGAGCTTGATAACGAGCTGATCATTTGAATCAGGTGTGTTGGAGCAGGGAAACATCCAAAACATGCAGGACAGGGGGCCTCGAGGACTGGGTTGAGAATCAGTGATCTAAGCAATGTTTATAGATGGTTTATAAACCACTTATTAATCATTTACAAAGTATTACAAACATCAGTTGCAACTTTACAATAACCATCTAAGTAATGTTTATAAACTATCTATTTGCCATTTATGATTGGTCTATATGCTGTTTTTAAATGATGATTAAACATTAATAAATTATCTATTTACCATTTATAAATTATGGTTATTGTAAAGTGTTACCTGTTACTTAGAATTTATGTTCAAAGACATTTTGATCATTACATTTAACTAGTAATATATAGGGAGATCTTGTATACTTCTGTGAGCTTTTCACTGTGTCAACCTGGAACACCTACAGAGCCTAGAAAAATCCTTACCTATCTTACACTGGCATCTGTAAAATCTTTCTACATCCTTCTGGTGTCACAAAGTCACAACTTTCCCGATCAAACTGACTCAACAAAATGCAGAACAGAGAAAAGACAAGTAGTGTTTTGGACTGTAATGGCCAGTCTTCGACAGAGCTGCGAGGCGGACTCTTTGGAAATTAGTCAACTGAATAAAAGAGCAAATATAAAATTCAGTGCATTTTTGATGATAACCTGGATTATGCAATTTGAAAACAAATTTTGAAACATGCCCTCAATGCCGAAAAGAGTTATTGTTCTCAGTGTATGAGAATGTTCAGAAGCATCATGGTGTTGGCGAAGACAGACTTCAGCGCGTCTGAACAAACACAGCACAAGAACAGGTGCTTCAAAAGGAGAGACGGATCTCAGGTGGCTTTCTTTGATTTGCTCTCTTCCTCTCTGAGATTATTGCTGGCTTGCAGAGAAATACAACACATCAAAAAGAGGGTGGTGTGTTTTTAAAAAGGACAAAAAAACAGCTACATGGACTCAAGCCAGGCTGTAAGTGTATTACCCGGAGAGCTTAACTAACAGGTGGTGAGTGGTTTGAAAAAGAAAAAGCTGAACTTGTGACACCTCCAGGATGGCGGAGAGGGTCCTAAACTTATGACTAAAAGAGTCCCAAAGCCACGGAAGCTTATAAACAATGCAAAAAAAAAGCAGCAGATGCCGAGCTGTATTCCCACGAAATGACAGAGAGTGCTGCGACAGGATCCTGCTCACCCTCTCAGGGTCCTAATTCACTAAAACAACCTATTCAGAAGGATTCAAATTAGCATTAGAAGAAATAAAAGTTAAAATAAAAACTTGACGTCCAAACATCAATTCTCTGATCAGTTCGTCTTTAAGATTGTCTTATCCAAAGTTTAAACAAACACCGGCCTCTTGGGACTGAAACAGGACTGGCTGCATTCGCGACACAGATAACTAGCTTGCTAACATGCCTCAGAATATGTGTTTAACTGAGTTAGAAGCGCATAAAAACACTCAACCTGACCCAAAGAAACCCACAAAATTTTGCGCACTAGTCCGCCCCGCGTACTAGTGTCCTCTATTTGGGGATTCGGAATATGGTCGCCCTAGTCAAAGCTTACCTTTGACCTTTTGAACAACACGTTACTCCAGTACTGAATCTGCAGGAAATACTGTGAAAAACAGCACATGAAATGTTCACCAAACATGTTATTCAAGATAAGAGTGACCTGATTTTGAACCTCCGTAATCCGATCATTTTATCCTCTAGTCCAAGTGAATGTTTATGCCAAATTAGGAGATAGTCCCTCGAGGCGTTTTGGAAATACTGTGCTAACAAGACTGTGATGCACAGATGGACGCCTGTACCCAATGACAGAGGACCCAAAATCCTATTGCCTCCAGCCACATTTATCTACAAGGCAGAGTTTCAGATGATTTGATGCTTTGGAGTGTTTAGCCAGCTGTGTTTAATACAATGAAATCAGAGGAAAAGATTAGATTTTTAGTGTGAGTACACCAGTTTTTCAGTAATTGAGTATGAAGCAAGAGTCAGTGTTTTTGGATCGGTCTGGCAGATTAGGACAGGAAAACTTTGGTGGAAGCGACTGGTCAAAGATTATTTTGACATGTCCTTTAAATGCCCTGAAAACCTTTAATTTTAGTCGTTTACAAAAGCAACAAAAAAGCAGAGAGCTGTGTGTACTTTTATATTTTTAATCTCCAGATCTCGAGTCAATATTACAGTTATGTTAAAGTAAACAAAAGGACAATCTCTTGAGATAATAGGAATGAAGTTAATTTGATTATATCTTCAGATTCATTGACGTTACAGTCAGAGGGGAGGAAAAGATTCAAGAGCAATGTTGTGTGTCAGTCTGTCATTAGACTTGGTGGGAGAGTTTTATCTGAAATCAGCTGGTACAGACGTCATGATGCTTTAAACACACATGCTGATACATTGAGCAGATGGACAGTTTTTCTGAATCATGTTTGTATATAGTTTCCTCTCATCATGGTGCCGTTTTAACCAGCATTTGTGCATACAGCACTTACCTGTGTTCACCTACAATGATTTTAAACCCATGCAGTGATTTCCAATGTAGAATCATGCCTGTATTTAGTGTAGTAAAGTTATCAGTTATCAACCTCTTCCCTTTTTGTACAAAAGTCTGAATCTTTAATTGAAATTCTGTGCTGTGTTGATAAATTCCTCAAGTTATTTTCATTTTTACGTTTGGAGATGCTGAACTATTTTCTCTCCCAGTATCTCATCGAGTGGTAAACCTCTTCCCATCCTCACTTTGGGACTTGGTCTCTCTTGAACGCCCTCCTCACACCTTGTCATATTATTAACCTGTTGCAAATTCATGTAATTAGTTTGCTCTCCAGGTTTATTCTTAGCTCTACATAACTAGTTTAGTGTTTCGTTGTTCCTACCTAACTTTTCTAAACATGTGGCTGACATCAAATTTAAAAATTTCATAAAACATTATCATTACCGACATCTGATCCGTTGTCTTTGCACTATTTTAAGTGAGATTTATATGATTGCAAAAGCATGAATATTGAATTTAATCAATAACTTACACAGAGTCCAATAATACACCCTAAATAACAGTCCTAGTGTCACACTCTTTAAAGAATATTAAGATTATTTCACACAATTTAAACAGCAAATAATGGTAAGTTGAATCAACACATCAGATATTTCCTCAATAGTTTGTACAAAAGATTAGATTTATCACTTTTTGGGTCCTAAGGTAAGGTAAGGTAAGGTAGACTTTATTGATCCCTCATGGGGGAAACTATTTCACCACCAGGACAAGACTCATACAGACAACAAACAGCATGGAGACATCAGAAAAACATAGACTAACACCAGATACACACTAAACACAGTAAAGGCCAATGAAATATGTTTAAAAGTGGTACGATAAAAGATAAAGACATGGTTAAATACAACAAAAGCCTGATAAAAATGAATAAATACTAAAATGATACTTCTACAAACTATGCAGCAGTGCCCTAACATACACTCAGGTATATATGAGGGGTATATAATTTAGTCAATTCTATCAAAAATATTGATATTTTAGTTACCAAAGGCTTTATAGCTCTAGTCTTTTGCCTCAACTTCTCCTTTCAATTTTAAAACTACGTTTATAAATGTGTGATATCTCCCCCTTAATCTTTCAGAGATGTGATCTTAATATTAAAAGAGTCTCCTGGGCTGTCTAAGTAAACATAATTTGGTGAAAACCTGTTGATTTCACTGAAATTTCATTCACAACATGATAATATTCAGCTCTTTTCTTTTGCTACATGAGATAAACAAGAAGTTTACAAGTGGGATGCCGAGGCAGAGAAAGAGTTTGTTAATTTTGTCTGAAGCCCAATCAGCCCAAAAACACACCAGAAGTATAAAAAAGAAACACACAAACAGCCCACATGATCCCGTTTTCACCGTTACTCTCTTTTTTTTTAATAGTATTTTAATTTGATCAGTATGAGAGCTGTTTGACTTTTTTTTGTATGTTTGGAAAATAAATTAGTTTGGGATTAAAGGGGCATTTATACCAAGTCCTGACAGTGCAGTTTGGAAATATTTCAGTCATTCTTCACTGAAGGAATTTCACATCAATTTTACACTTATTTTGAAGGAGCCTGAGGAGATAATGGCTTTTTGAACATGCACAGTGTTTTAATTAAACCGATCAAACAAATCCAATATGCTGTCAAGTAAACCTCACAAACAGAATCAAACTTCAACAATTTTTGGAAATTAAATCTTTTCATTTAATTTGCGTTGAAAGAACATTTGGATCTAATTGAAGCGAGCATCATGTTGGAAATTTGGTGTCTGAAACGTCTCCTGTTTTTCTCGTTAAGACGGCGCTCACTGCAGATGGTCACCTCTGAGCTGAGTCTGTGTGTACCAGTCATGCATGTGTGTGTGTGTGCGTGTGCGCGCGGACGTGTGCTTGCTTTAAAGCGAGCCTCATCAGTATTCCTCTCACTCTGGAGGAATTAGATGCCAGAACACCGCTTTTTCTGCCAACTTTGATCCCAGCGCTCCCTTCAGGACCAGCAAGGTGGACGACAAACCAAACTCGTTAGAGCTCGCTAATGGAGCGGCGCCGGGTTTCAGGGCCTCGGGGTACAGAGTGTTAGGGATCGCATTCACAAGAGTCTAATAAGCATCTCAACCTCACCCACTTTCTGCGTACTCTCTCTGTACTTTAATCAATTCCTGGCTGCTTTAGAGGATGACTAACAGATTAGCTCACCACTCAGCTGTGAAATTAATATAATGGTCATATCTAGTTTTAAATTTGTGCGATAACGAGCCAACTAGTAGATGCTTGAGTTTAAAACAGAGCGCTGGGTGATAATGACAGTGGTGAAAAATGGTCCTTCCCATGTGAAGTCTTCTTCTTCAGCTCAGGCAGTGACTTTGAAATGCCGCGGCTCATTTATTATCATCACTTAAATCATCTCCATTTTAATTGAACAGGATATGAACATGTGACATTAAGATTTAATGAAATCCCGTAAAGTCAACGAATATGAACTTACTTCAGGTCCTCAGAGTCCCTCGTCTGGATCAGGGGAGTCTCCACTGAGTGTCCAAACACGGCGCCTTCTGAGCCTGGAAAAAAAAAGTCCTTTTTTTTTTATTTTTAAAGTAAAGCCAAGAGAATGTTTACTAAACATAGATGCCTTTTTGGCATGGAAGCTATGTGTCTATAGCAAAATCTGTTCTACCTAATTAAAGGCTGTTGATAAAACCTGGAAACAGACCAAACATTCAAGACCATGATCGTCATCCTGCTTCCAAGTGGGCTCAGAACCAACCGCAGGATTTAAGACAGTCTTCGTTTAATTTTATATTAATCCAAAATCTTACACTTTTAAGACTATCACCCAAAGAGCCCAGTCAAGTCAAATTTGATTTATACAGCACTTTGACTTTCGAATGTTAGATCACAGTCCATGACAACACCCAGATTTAATGCTGGATCTGATCCAGGTGTGGCAGGTTTTAGTCCAAAACCAAGAATTTCTGTTTAGTCTTCGTTTAGTAGAAAACGTTACATGTCATCCATGGATTAATATCACTGAGACAATGAATGAGGGGATGAACTGGACTGAACTTATCAAGAGATAATGATGTGTAAACTTGTAAATCATCATCATAATTATGGTAATTAATTTTGTGCGTGTAAATACGTGTGAAAGTGGTACAAGAACTGAGCCTTGGGGAACACCATACATGACCTCCACTCACTGCCGGCCTTGTAGGTATGACCTTAATCAGTTTAAAACCAGATCAGACAAACCCACTAATTTTGTCGTCTCTGCAGTAATATGTCATGATTTACAGAGTCACTGAGATTAAGGAGTACAAACCAGGCTCACATTAATCTTCCTTCAAACAGAAATGCAGAGTTCAGAGTTTATATCATGTTATTGTCTGAGTATGTAACTTGATTTACATCACGGCAGTTCCCCATAGGAGACAAAATATAAGGATAAACACTTGAAAAAAGAAATTCAGAGGCGGTTAACCTACTGCTGGTCTGGGTCATATTCAGTTTTAGCTCCATATTCAAGTGCAACATGGTGCGGTGCCATTTTAAAGAAGATCGATTGTTGACCTGGGTTTGGACAGTTTAGGCTCCCATCATTAGCATCAAAAAATATCTCCTGGCTGTACAAAGACCACAGCGCACTTTCCTGCACAGTTATTGTTAATCTTGTCATATTAGAGAAGGATAGCATGAGTAGACAAACATTTCATCAAGCTTTCCTGATGAGCATAAAGCCTCTCTGGGACACTTAATTGGAGCAAAGCCATTTCTAAAGTTATGGGGTAAAAAAACACCTGCTGTCTGTCTTGGAATTTACTTCTCAGCCTGTGAGATTTTATTTATTACCTTTTTTATAAGTTAAAGCAAGACCTGAGTAACTAATTTTAGCCCAAATTTCTCTCACGTCTCCACTTGATACATCATGATCGTTGAATGTTTGAATCATGAACACTGACAGTTCCCATTGCTCACTCGAGAGATATAAACCATTGATCATAGAAAGTTGACGGCTTTTGCATTATCAAGGATATCAGTGAACCCAATAGGTTCAAAACACACCAAAACAGATTCCTCTTGGCTTTATCTAGACAGATTATCCTCACTGAGTTTTATTTCTGTAATGTTTGCGTGGTTAATGTGCGTCTACTCATAAAGAGGTTTTTGAGACAGACAAATATGGAGGTGTAGATCATGAATCAGCCCTTCTTTACACTGTAATCCGATTAAATTCGTTAAACACTAGAGGATTATAAAACGAGAGTACCTGTGACGGTGAACTTTTCAGCCGTCATAATGACCTCCTCTTCGTTTGCAGTGAACAGCAGTCTTTCCCCATCTTTACTCCGTACCTCTAGTCCCTGACACTGAGCCTCCACAGCCTCGGGTCCTGCAGAGAGACGAAATAGAAAAGAGTCCAGGTTAAAGCTGAAAAAGAAAAACCACAAAGCACTGTGCTTGAAATTCAATTAAAAGACACCGTGTAATGCGCATTTATTTACTTGTTTACTGACTTGCTTGGTAGTTGATGCACTGAAATTAAATTTTGGTTTGATAACTAAAAGCATTAACAGAAGAAATTTCCACATAATACCCTTTATCAGTTGTTGATGCTCATAATAATGCTCTTTGTGAAGATGATGCACTCAAATAAAACACTGCTTTGTGCGCTTCTGGTCTTGCAAATCAGCTTTTTCAAACGAAGCTTGGCGTATAAGGCTATTAGTACTCTGAAAAACTGTGCAGAGTGCTTCCTCTGCAAATGAAAGGCGTCGAACAAAGCTGGAATCGGCCGTGCTTTTACAACGGATGGAGACAAATCAGTAATCTGTTCCGCTGGTGAAGAATATTAATTCCCAGACTTTGGTGTTTTTCCAGATGTGCATGCAGAAACTTTTCGACGTCTGCCTTTCTCACACTCTCCTCCCCTCAGTTTCATTAATCCACGGGCTGCTGGGGAATTTAATTATTCTCGCCAAGTTTCATCTCATTTCAGACAAAAACGCACTTTCTACAAAAGCGGGCGCTAATTTTCCAAGGAAGGTCAAGCGCGACCAAAGCGTGTCATATCAGCAGTCTTGTCAAATCAGCATCAACTCTCAACTTATGTTGGCTAAGATCAATAGCTATTAATGTTAATAAGCAGGTCATTTTCCTTCCAGTGGTCATTAATCATGTAAATGACTTTGGTAATTTGGGCTGACTGATGGTTGAACTTGATGATAATAAGAAGAATCCATTGTCCTTTCAATAAGTGCAGCAAAGGTTAGTGTCTGGAAGAAACCACAGTCTGTTTATAAGGCACAAAGAGGTTTAAAGAGACTTTAAAGATGAAGCACTTACCCTGATTACAGTCATTATTAAACTGATCATGCCATTTACAATCAGGGAGAGCTTTAATATTCAATCATTTTTTAATATGTTGGACATAAAAAGAGAAATATGGGTAACCTCTGGGTCAAGAGACACCACCACCTCTGCAGTGCTTGCAGTTCTTTACATGGCCACTTGAGGCCTCGTTCAAAAGTAAGCCATTGATTTATCGGTATCTACATTAGCAAAGCTAGGGTCCCGTCCTTCGGTTCTCCTTGCAAGTCAACAGCCACATGCCTGTGCTGGTTCTATAAACATACTGTATATTTTATGATGTATTTACTTATTTTTTTGTTTCTGTTCGGAGAGGATATGACAGTGGACAGAGCAGGAAACAGGGAAAAAGAGGGGCAGGGGTAAGCAGGAGAGGAGCCACACGCTGTGAGATAACCCACAAGGTCATGTCCTAGTTAAAGCAAACACTGTCTAAAAACATCTTTGTCAACATTTTTCAGATAAATATACTGTCGGTGTGAAACCCTAACCCACCGTGCAGTAAGATGCCTCTCTCATCTGTGCTTGTTTAAATCTGGGTAGTAGAGCAATACGACATTATAGCAGTAGCCGTAGCAACAGCGCAAGCTAGAACACAGTGGTTTCCTAACAATTTGGGTGTACAATAATTTAAGAGGGAGCTTTTATGCTTGGAGGCGGAAACAAGATGGCTACATCTACAAAAGCTGTTTTAGCGCTTGCCTTGTTCAAATATAACAAGGACAAGGCAAGCACTAAAATAGTTTTCATTCATCTTGTTTCCGCCTCTGATTTAGCTTTTTTCTGACTTGGTAACTAAAATGCTGGGAACTCGAGTATGATGTCATTTTCAGCTCCGACATCTGACTTCCCAGGTAACTCAAATGCAGCATTAGCACATCTCACCATCTCATGAAGTAGGTGTGCTTGTGTAACTAAAGTTTAAAAAGAGAAAATCTTAGCTCCATGAAATGTTTCAGTCCTTCCCGATCTTTTTTGAATGCGTTTCAAAGCACACTTAAAAAACTTCCAGACAGACCCGACCTTCGTTTTTCTTTGTAAATAGTGAAGATGAGCAAGAGTGTTGAACTTGTTTTCCTCTTTTTTGAGCTGACAGAAACTTATTTTTTTGAAAATTTACAATAACCATCTTATTCTGGCACTAACAATTAGGGGTGATGATGTTTTTGGATTACGGATTGTTGGTTGTTGTTACTTGGTTTGCTTTGTTTTCCAGCTGTTTACTCTGGTTAGTTTATGCCTCATATTGAGTCTCATTATATTGAAAATTCTGTATTTAACCATCGAATTCACCTGGCTATAATGGCATTTATCAAGATTTGGTCGCCTCTTGTTCCAAAAAACCAAAATTCCAATGTCAAACTCTGCACTTCCCATAACCTGTAGAAAGCAAGTGAATAAAACCTTTTTATGTATGATGGCAAGAGAAAGAGTGAGACACTTACCGACTGTGAGCTGACCGGTCAGCTGTCCTTGTTCGTTTCTGACGTTCAGCGTTACGTTCTTCTCTGACTGAAAGACCAACATGCTGTCCTAAGAGAAGTATGAGTAGGGAGGGAGAGAGCCAAAGATAGGAATGAAGAAAGGAAGAAAAATATATGTGTTATATTTAGATCTTGACTCTTATTTTGGGATCCATTTAGTAAAAAAGGGGAACCCTGGCTCAGCTTATTCCCTTTTGTAATCATCGAGATCTGGCGACATCAGCGCCTCGAATAAATCACTTTTATATCAATACAAACTGTTCAAATGAGGAGGTGTGTTAAACCAAACTGATTCCTTGAATCCTCGTTCAAAGAGGCTGTTTGGAGGAAATTCCCCGGCGAATCTCCTCAATCAGCACAACTGCGTCAATGCTAAGCAGGTTGTAATGGATTGAAGAGGACCTTTCTGATCGCCATAAACCTCTAAATGAAACACATTAGACAACATTGGATCAAATCGAAACTGCATTACTCAAAAACGAGTGCTAAAGAGTTGGACAGGTATGGAAACTGAGGACGGCAGGGTAGTTGTGTGTGTTTTACATCAGTGACAGGTGTAGGTGTTTCCTTTTTTCCCTGTAGACAGGAGTTGTTCTGCTCGTGGCAGTTTTGCATTTCGAGGGTTTAAAGCTTTTTGACACTTGAATGATGGTATATGGTTTTGTCTCTGTTTGCGTGGCAACAAGGCTTACACTCCGTACAGGATTTAACCTCTGCTGTCAAAATATTCCACTTAAACCTCAGATAACAGAGAATAAAACTAAAGTACAAGTATTGTAAAGTTCAGCATAGAAGAGACATTTCTGGCTCCTTTTCGTTAGCTTTAATGTAGTGCTGTATGGTGGTGTGTGTATGCTGTACTCTGACAGCTTTTCTCAATGTAGGTCATGATGATGCATAAAAAAAAAAACAGCTAGTGAGAGTTTCAGTGGAAATACTACAAAAGAGGATTAGGGCCACACGAAGAGAGAAAAAATAATTACAGGATCAAGATTAAAGTCGAAATTTTGAGATTGAAGTTGAAATATCGAGAGTAAAGTCGACATGAATAAAGTCGAAATTTCGTAAATTAAGTCAAAAATTCAAGATTAAAGTCCAAATTTCGTAAATTAAGTCAAAATTTCAAGATTAAAGTCAAAAATTCAAGATTAAAGTCGAAATATCGAGAGTAAATGATACTGAATCAACAGCACTGTCCCTCGTCACTCGACAACATGTCCTCTAGAATAGTTTGTAAAGCTTTACTTTAGAATTGGATTCAGTAATAAGGAAAGTCTTGCTCTTTTAACACACAGTATGGTCATAAGTATTTGAACTCTGAAAAGACCAGGCCGAAGATTATGATCAAAACTGATCAAATTTATTGATCCTGAAGGCGTGGAGCACAGGGCCAACTTCATGTGGCCCTAATCCTCTTTCGTAAAATACTGCTCAATTCAAGAAAAACAGAAAAAAAAAAAGCAGGGGAGCTGGGTGGCGCATCTCCTAACACTCAGCTAACGTACAGGTAGCTAGCACAGTGACAAACTCAGCATACCAAGCTGCACAGCTGCACCAAAACTGCACATTGTGGACTTTGCAGAATTAAACTCATCCCACAAGGAGACATTTGAAACCTTCTCTCCTCTGAGACATCCCCGAAACATCGTTAAATTTTTTGATGGCAGTACGTTTCGGTTTGTCAGTTAGCTTTACATCACTTTATATTTTGCTTTATTATAATCAATGTCAATATTACAATAAACTTTTGATGGCACTAAAAGTTAGGCCGGAGCTCCTCTTTAAATCAGAAGAATCAGAATAATGGATGTGACAGTGGTCTCGCTCGGTCATACTTCACTTTGACACATTTAGTCTCGAGCTTTCTGATAAAAAGAAGTCAATATTTAATTTTCTTTGTATTTAACCAGCCATGTGGCTCCAAACCATTCTGCAGCTTTGTTTTTAAAGCCTAATGCCCTTGATTTCAGACTTTTGTGTCTCATTTTTAATCAAAGTTCAGCAATGTTTACGCCACCAGCAAAATAAACCAACGTGGCTGCTGACATGGACTTTAAATCTCACAATTTTCAGCTTTCTTTTTGTTGTGGCATTAGTTATATAAAGGGACATTTGTTGGCATTTAGTGATGAGCTATGGTCCCAAAAAGCCACTTTTGAAACTTTTCATTGTTTTTGCACCATTGTCTGCTGCTTAAAGTCCACTGAGTTGTTTGAATTACTTCGCGATGATTCTTAATGCAGGTTGGGTCATGAACGATGCACCTGATGGATCCTCCTGGGAAAAGACAGACACATTTGTAGATGCATGTGAAGGATCCTTAGATATCGAACTGCTGTGTTCTGCCTTTGTGGGGCCATGCATACCTCAAAATCCTGCTTTGGGATTCAACTTTAATGTTGCATTCAAGCCAATAATTAAAGTCTGCTGCAGTCTCAAATGTCTAATAAGCTTCATGCTCTTTTAAAAATGGCGTCAAACTGAAGTAAATTATCCGAAAATGTCCTCCTTTGTGTAAATTCGCAGAGGTTACTTAGTTCATTTTAATCCCCTGCTTTCTTTCTCGGGATATAAATGCGCACCATGAACCAAACTTCTCCAGGAAACCCCCGACAGGAAGACATTGTTCGTTTGTGATTTGAAGTATCCCTTTAAAGAGTTTATAGGTCTTGCGCTGTTTCCTCAGGGGCCGTGACTGAGACGCTGTTGCTCTCCTCAACACTTCTTTGGGATTGTATGAAAGGCTTTTTAGTCACTGCGCCTGTTGAGGAAGGTCAAGTGCAGATCAGAGCGAATGCACATAAATGGAGCCCGTTGTTGAAGGTGCAGCGGGCCCCGTCAGACTGAGAAATTACCATGGCTGCTGTACGGCAGAGTGTGCTTCCTTGCATACAATGAATAACATCAGAGGCGTACTCAGGAGCACGGCCCGCTGCTCCGATGAAATAGCTAAAAACAAAGCAGACTCGTGTGATTGTACTATCTTCCTGAGAGCCAAATAAAAAGCAGACCTTTAAGGGGGAGAAAAGGGGGTACTGCTTTGGGTTTTAACTGTAATCCCAAACACAGATTTGCATACATATATTTAAATTTTAATTATATTCGATTGTTCTGCCAGCAGCTTATTTCAACAGTGAGCTGAGCAGGAAATTATAATAAAGAAAACATGTCACAGGTTGAAATAGGTAAGCTCATTTCACCGTAATTTTCTCGTTTGAGTACCATGAGGGGTGCAGGTTGTTTGGGACATTTTTGTTGGCTTATTTTATATTTCTCATATTAAAAGCTCCTTTACTTCAGTTTAATATTGTTAGCTGAATGAAATTGGTTCGACAAAACTGGGTGTTCAGATCTCGGAGGCACCGCCGCGGCTCCCAAAAAAAGGCTTTAATTTAAAATTGTGCGAATGAAACAAGCGAGCGGTTGCATCAGCAGACAGGAATTCAGATCAGCGCTCACGCTCACAATCATCGTTGTCATGCGTCACCGATGCAAGTGGGTGAGACCAAGTGAGGGAGAAGTTTCACCCCAATAAAGATACACCTGCATCTGATGCTATTTATAGATCAGTCAGGGTCTTTGGGGACAAAAAGGAGAGCCAGGAGTCTGAACAGCCGAGATTTGATCAAAATAAAAACTATCTGGGCACTGTGTTGTCTCCTACAGCGATGTGCATCAGACTGAGTTTAATTGAAAGAAAAGACGCATTTCAACTTGATTACAAAGTGAACCATATAAAAAACATTTGTAAGATTATCACAGGGGGGGCCAAACCTGCTTTGCCAGAAGCGCCGTCGAACATTTAAGTAAGAAAAATGCTTATTCAAACCAATTCGGCTAAGCGTTTGTTTTTTTTTTTAAACTAAAGAAGATGTTTTTCTTTTAATGAAGCAACAAATCTTCCCTGTAAAGTTAAACCCTGTAGTGCTGTGAAGAGGAGTCCAGTCACCTTTATGTATAAATAGAGACCTACTTCAGCAGAAATCAAAGACTTGTCTTCTGACGCCTTTTAAGTCCTCCTCTTGTTTGCATCAGTGGGCTTTTAACCCCCGTGCTGTCAAATCACAGGCCAGGACTGCGGGCTAAACACGCTGGCTGATGTTTTGTTCTTCTCAGAACCAGTTCAAGCAGAGGACTAATCAGTGAAACCAGCTCCTGTAGATCTTCTCATGAATAAAGCACTTGTGTCTCTGTGCGCATTGAAAATAAGGATCATTTTACAAAATAGGAAAAACACCATTTAAATGGACTCTGCTAAAGATAAAAAAACACTGTCCGATGCTCATGGAATCTAATTTGTTGTTGTCATTAAAGCTTCAGTGAAAGGTTTTTACACCTGGTTGTGAAACAGACTGAAATTAATAGCGATGCCTCCTCGTGACTAACAAAACAAACAGAGCATTAAGTAAGAAGACTTGATTTCTATAATTAATGTTTTTAATGTTTGAAGCTGCTGCAGCATGTTGACATAATTAACAAACACAGCCTATTAAAGGTGGGGTAGGCAGGAATCCGTTAAAGAAGCATCATTTTCGGGGGGTAGATATACAAAAAAGCTTTAAATATCAGCCAATAGCTATTAGTCATTGATGACATTTGGTAATTTAACAATATCGCTGTGTTTTGTTATGTCTGTGTAGTCTACATTTTAAGGTTTTTGAGCGGCCCGCTCTTTCTAACTGTAAACAAAGCCATTCTCCACCTCCCCCAGTCTGATTGGTTGTGAGGCGGACACTGCTCTCCGTGTCGTTTAGAAGCCCAAACAAAGTTAGCGTGCAACAATATCGGACAGTAGAAACCAACCAGAAAAGTACGGAAAATTGAATGAATCCTCCTTTAGCCACGACTGCCAACACAAGCAAGAAAACAGAGTAAATATCGGAGACTGGCGGAATAACAGGCACTTAAAATTGAGGTAGACCAGACAAGAACTAAAAAGCTGGGTCAACATCATCTTACAGACCCTGTAACCTTTCTGCTGGACAGGTAAACCGTAGCTCCTGTTTGACAATAAGTGTCTCTTGTCAAATGGGACCTGCTACATGTTGTAGCGCCGCTAAACTGTTGACCTCGGGTCCTGGACTATGTCACTTTATCCTAGTTGTAGAAGTCCTGCAAACATTGTGTTTGCTGGTAGTCTGTTGGCATCTACAGTAGCACCAATGCTTTTTACTTTCTCGTTGACTGGGCCCCATTTGTAATCATATTAAGTATTTATCTGCATTATATCTGAATTTGATTGGAACGATACGAGGAAGCAGGAGCGTCTGTTTGTGGGCGGGGCATGTTGGAGCAGAGACGGAGGGGGGAGGAGGAGCTGAGGGGAAAACTGGTTGGGAAGGGTAGTGTTTACATTCAAGATTTCTCCCAAAAACTGGCACTTCCTCAGATCCTTCCTTCCCCACCTTTAACAAACCTTTCTTTTACATTTTCCACATGAAAGATTCTTGATTGGTCGTCTGTTTCAAAAAAGGATGAGAAGCTAAAAAGCACTTTCACGTGTAGACAAATCAGCAATGACCCAAAATGTTCAGCAGTCTTGCTACAGACTCCCAGACTACCTATTTGTCTTTGAACAGGTTTAATTTGATCTGCTCCGTTTGAAGTTCTGGTATGAGGAAAGTGAAAGGGATGGAAAATATATATGTCTGCTGAAACACTTGGTTTCACAAACATTTGCAATGTTACCTGCCAGAGGTGCTTTCATAATGTTAAGCCTAAAATAACACCGTTTCTTGCTGCTTTCCAATGAGCTTCTTTTCAAGTGTCAGACTAATTTCACATTCCTGAAATAACAGCACTATCGTGGCTTGAACAGGTGGAGGTGGAGGTGTTATGAGGCATCATATGCTTGAAATTTCCAGTGTGAAGTGGATTTTTAACATTTGATATTAAGGTCACCCCCTTTTCTGTATAAAAATGTAGGTGTGCGGATGCTCTGCCTCCTGTGTAAGCTGACAGGCACAGAGATGGATTCACAGATAGGCAGGCCTGCGCCTGGGAAGCCTGAGGGCTGAGGAGAAATAATACACAGAAAGTTCTATCAATCTATCCTCCTGTCAGGTTTGACGGACAGCTCGGCACAGCTTTGCTGCAGAGAGAGGCCTGCATCAGTAACACGTATTAAACCGATCACACTACTGTGTGTCTCTTTTACACTTGAACTTTCAAGCATGAGCAGCACAATGAATGCCCATAATTTCTGATGTGAGAGCAACAATGGCACTCAGATTTTAAAGTGTTTGAAATCATCGCTGCACTCGAGGTTTCACCTGTCAGAGGAAAAGTGATGCAGAATCAGACGTTTTGGAGAGGCAGCTGCGACCGTCCGGGTTTACACACAGCGGGTACGAAATGTGAAGCATCAACATTAAAGCACTGCAGCCTGCCCTTTGCCACTTTATGTAATTATACAACCCAGAGTGAATAGTCTCTTTAACTCATGATAGTCTCAACAAACACCAGCATGAAAATCCCAACAAATTCAAACACGGACAGCAGATCAGTATTTCCTCTTTTACTGATGGGAACAATCAAATCATCATTTCAGGGAGAACGTTTGTTGTGTTTTTACAATATTAGACTCAGAAAGTCAGCAGCACAAATTAATGTAACATTACATCAACCTCTACTTAGCCCTCTGGGAAGATTTCCTCAAGAATTTGGGGTAAACTGATGTGAGAACGCACTAGAGACGCACCGATCCAATCTGATAACGATACCTGGGCTGAGCGTATCGGCCGATATCCGATACCGATCCAATACTGCTGTTGAATGAATGAACTGTATACCTTGCCCTGTGAGTGAAGACATCAGGCTTGATATTAGCCATGTTAAAAAAAAGGTCACAAATTAACAGATATAAATTTACTTAATATTATTTATTGACAAATAACGAATTGCACGTTAGCACACAGCAAAAAGAATTGAGACTTCCATGTTAACATTTAGTGCAAAAGGATAGACACACATAGAATATAGAGTGAACAGAATCGCTGTGTTGCTGTGTATGTTATTAAATAAAAGAAAAAAAAGTGGATCGGAACGCTGGATTAGCGTCATTCATTAGATATCCGATCCAGTTAAGTTGTCAATATCTGAGCCGATATCCAATCCTAATTTCAGATCGGTGCATCTCTAGAACGCACCAAGACATCGATCATCCTCTTCCTTTGACATGAAAGACTGAGTGCTTTTCAAGGCAGTCGGATGTAAACAAGCAACTCTTTTAAATTCCTAGAAATGTACAAGTTCTTGGTGATTCCCAGAACTTTTCGGTCATGGCTGTGACTCGCTTTTGAACAGGACGTCTCCAAGGATCTTGTGCTGCCATTAACTCAGAGCCGGGCGATTAATCATTGAAGTTTGGTTTACGATTTTGGCTCGCCACGACCATAAAATATGATCGTCAGGACGGGACGATATTGTGCTACACTGACAGCCCCTAAAATAAGCTGTTGTTCCCGAAAATTACATCATATGTCCATGAAAGCCAATGGGGGGCAAGACTGTTGTGTGGAATAAAGGAATATAAAAACATCAAGCAACATTTACCAACATTCGGCTCTTTTTGTCGTCAGTTGGGAACAATATCTAACACTTAAAAGATGTAAAAGCAAATTGGAAAACATAAAAGTAAACGCACAAGGACGGCAATTGAGAAAAAGTTGAAAAAAAAATCCACATATTTGTACTTTGACCTGTCAAGTGTTCACAAATTCTACCAACTAATTCTGTGTCTTCTTTCATCTTGGCAGGAACCTTGATAAGTATAAACTGTATTTACAAACTTATCAACCCGCTCGCAACACGCTCCCGAGAGTCCTGATTTAAGGGGCTACTTTGACTGTAATTTACTGCCAACTACAACAGCTCCTGCCAAAAAAACACTGCGGGAGCTATTTCCACTTGGTATTCATGGATTACGGCTTCAGTCATTGATGAGGATTCAAAGCGCTGATTGATCCGGGGGAAAGTGAAACTAAAGCCACTGCGAGTCCCGTCCTGACGGCGGCGAGGACTTGGTGAACATATAAAAGAAAGAAATCATGCTATATTTAACTTTGAGGTTCCTGTAGTGCTCTGCTGAGGTCACTGCTGTTTGTGGTAATGGCTTATTGATCAATGGTGGTTATCTGACTGAAGAACAGCACTGTGCGCTGTGCTGTAAACTCATTGGATAACCATAATCCCCCTTGCTCTTGCGCTTCTTGACATATTTCTTCAGGTGAGAAATATCGAGTGACCTGCAGAGATTTTTGTCCTGCAAATATCTCTGGTGCTGGTAGATAAGAGGGCCGGTGCACAGCATGTCTGTAAAACAAGACAATAAAAATGTCTGCAGGTGGTATTGCACCAGAGGAATGAAATATTGGCTTTGTCCAGTGTTCGGCAATTGCCTTGGGGTGTTTTTTTTTTTCTATTGCTAAGCACACAGCTGTTCAATTTAAATTACCATTTAGCTCGGACCCCGACATCAAAGACGGAGAGAGGGCTATTCTGAGTTGTTTCACGATCCACTGTGGCAAATTGTGCCCGCCACTTCCTCTGTCGGTGTCCCTCAAAAATCAAATTTACATGGGAACCCGGCTTCCAGTGCTTGAAATTGCTTCCCCGCACCATGCCTAATCACTGAAAAAGGGGATGATCCAACCAGGCGTCTGCGTGTCGTGTGGGAGAGGGGGAAATTTGGATCAACTTTGCGCTGGAGCTGTGTTGGTTAATCTACTAAACATCAAAGAGGAGAGTGAGAAGGGGAGGAAGGGTGGAAGTGGGAGAGGGGAATTTATCGCGTGGGCTTGATTGGAAATCTGAGAGGGTGGACTGTGGTCCCCTCTGTAATCGCCTGTAATCTCCTGTAGACTTGTATGTGGCTCGAGAGGAGGCTAGAGGCAGCCTATTACCCATCTCCGGCCGATGGGAGGCCCTGATAGTGCGCTGTTGGAGGCTGGCAGGAAATGAGGTGGAGGGACAGGAGGGAAAGAGTGTCTATTTGAGCACAATGTAAGTTAACATCAAAGTATCATCAAGTCAGAGTTCAGGGGAAAGTTGTCCTTTGTTCTTAATGAATTGATCATAACTTCCGCAGATCAATAGCGGCTTGTCTGCGGCTTTGGAGGAATCTTCAGTCGATTGTTGTTGCCCTGAGTTCATCAGAGTATCGATCAACAGGCGAGTTGAAAGAAAAGCAAAGGGAGCAACTTACCTTTCTCGACTGAATCTCGCTCACGTACAGAGGAAGGACAAACTCGGAGATCCCCTCCAGGCGAATCCCGTCATGGTTCAGCTGCAGGTTCCCCATCCCGTCCTGAAAACACAATCAGAAGCGCTGCTGATACCCACGGGTTTGACTCAAAGGATTATCGCTTTTGGACGCATAAAAAATTGAACCCCGCTGTCACTGAACTGCATTAGCGGGAGCATTAGGAGGGTCGGTGGACGGGTGGCGGAGCTGAGTGACAGTGAAAAAGTAGGACATGACATCGAGGTGACAATGGCGCAGACTCTCCGGAGGTGTCGGGTGACGGGTGGCGTGCAGGGGTGGGAGGCAGATTGAGGAGAGGACAGCTAATGTGACAGCTGTGAGATGAATGTTGATGGCTGGAGACAGTATGGTTGAAGAGTTTTTATGGCACTGATGATGACACTGTTTTATTGATTATCGTGCCGTTTTACCCAGCTTCAGCCGTGCTTAAAAACTCTGAACTCATGCGTTGAAAGTTAAATAACACATCATGCATTGTTAAAACATTGTGTACATCAAAATTTGCTGACTGTTACAAAACACAAGCAGGAGTTTTTGATGTATTGTCACTGCCGGTCCAGACAGATATTGATTTTCATTTCTCGGAGGTACAAAAATCAATTAATGGTCACTTAAAACTTGTCTCCGTAACCTTATCTTTCAGCATAAGCGTCAAGTCTGTGATGACTTTCATTAAAGTTGAGCATTGATTTGAAAAGCCGCTGTAAATGACCTCGTAATTACAGTGCAGCTTTGACAGGAGTTGGGCAGACTTATGTTCACGGTACAGTAGTCCATAACTTTACGGTTTATTTAACGTCATACTGAATGAGCATTTATCTAACTGACTGCCTAGACAGTAGAGCAATCAAGTCTGAACTTCGAGAGCAAGGCATTATAAACTGCAATTTTAAAGTTCCCTCTGAGTGACGTTGAGTTTGTGTTGTTTTTGGCGCCCCCTGTGGACAAAGCAGTACCTCTTTTCTCTTTGATGATTTTGTCTTGTAAATGTAGGGTGACTACATGTCCTCTTTTACGCGGACATGTCCTCTTTTTTGGGGGACTGTCCAGGTTTGTCCGGCCTTGTCCGGGGAGGTTTAATAAATCCTTAAAATATCTGGTGTTTCGTATGTAAGTTTCGAGTTTGTGTCACATGGACTTACTGAGTTAGAAGCCTTGTGACTCCGCCCCTGCGTAGTCGTGTCCTCTTTTTGGGAAGTCAGAATATGGTCACCCTGGTAAATGTGGTTTTTTTATTGTTATCCTTGCTTTATTTTAACTGTTAAAAGTATCACTTACTTATAGGCATTGACAGTTAGTGTATAGATGTCATTATTTTGTTGCTGAAGTGAAGGTTAGCTTTTCTTGGACATAGAGAGGCATTTATATTAATTCTAGTCATTTTCATAACCAGCGAAAAATCCTCACAGGAGCTTAAAAGAGGCTGTTTTATGCTTGTTTTTGTGTTTGACCCTCTTTCGCTTTTTTAGCAGCTTTACATGGTTTATGGGTCAACAGAGTCTTATGCTTCGTTTAAGTTACCTCGGAAGTCAGATGTCCGAGCTGGGAATAATGTTGCACCAGAGTTACCAGCGTTTCAGTTACCAAGTCGGAAAAAGCAAAATCGGAGGCGGAAACAAGATGGCTACATCTAAGAAAGTTATTTTAGCGCTTGCCTTGTCCTTGATTTTGCTTTTTTCCGACGTCCGAGATAACTCGAATGCAACATTAACATATTTCAGCCCTGTCTCTTTAAGGCCCCACCAGCATTCCAGAACCCAGCATTCTAGAAGCCTCCTTCACCACTGCCATGCAACAACAATTTTTAGAAAATTTGCCCTTTTAAGGTGATGTCACGAATTGAGCAAATCTCCTGTTGATCTCGCTAAATTCTCGTGTGACTTTGTGAACAAGCGTTTAAGCGCCCCCTGTAGTCTCATTCGGGGATTTCTTCGACACACATTAACCTCGCAATCTGCAACTTTGCTCATGTGCAGTGCTGGCGTCTGACATTTTAACCTTTTAAATAAAGCAAAACACAGCTGTTGTGGATGACATTTGAAAAACTATGCTCTATTTTAGCGAGCCAGGTTATAGGTGCAACAAACTTGGCAGCAAAGCAGCGTACACTTCAGGGGATTGGCACCCTCGTTCGACTACCATTTCCTACCTCACATTTCTTTTACTCAGGACCGGATTTAAGGAGATAATTCAGCAGAAACTGAAAAAAGGTTATGCCGTAGCACACCTCAATAAGTAAAGTGAAGTCTGGGAGCAGCTTTTCAGAGGCTGTGTGTGAACAGATTGGTTGTGACGGATGTGTCGGATAGAGATAGTGAATTATAGAGGCAAAGTACAGAGAGGAGAGCTCCATCATACAGACTGAGGACAGACAGGAGGACAAAGTCAGAGGAGGTGGGTGGGGATGTGTGAAGCTCTTTGTGTGTCAGCAGCCAGACGTTAAAGTCACTCCAGTGCTGAAGCAGAGGTGATGTGGTGGGAGTGAAGGGTCTGTACGAGCTACAGTCACCCTGACGTTTGGGTGCGAGGCAGGACAAACAGGAGGGCGTGACGACAGATCAGTCGTGACAGGCTGAGGTTCCTGGATGAGCTCCCCGGCAAGAGTGAAAGAGAGAGACGGAGGAGACACGGGCAATGATTCAGAGATGGAAAAATGACAACAGAAAGATTTGGCTCTGTGAGGTTGTAAAGAAAAGAGCAAAGTCAAAGACATCACCCAAGGTCCTGCTGTCTTTAACGCGCAGACAAAAGTTTGTTTGAATGACGTGAATCCTCCCAGTCACAGTTACGCTTTACAGTTTCCCTTTGTTGCAGTTGACATTGGCGCAGATCCTGTTTTATACATCACTTAATCATTTCTTGTTAAAGGAAAAACTTGAAATGATACAGACTGTGTTCGTCTAGATCAATAAACCACAAGCTGATTTTTCTTTTTCTAGGAGGCCTTGCGAGAGAGTTCATTCCCCTTGAACCGGCCCATCTGCTGTAGTGGTGAACCAATTATCTGCCTTGGCCGATTATCAGGCCCAATATACGGCATTTGGCCGATTATCTGTATTGGCGTTTTAATTTACTGATCCCTGATAAAATCAACTAATTGAAAAGTGCGCTACACTGGCTCTGCTGCTGGTGTGTCTCCCTCTCGGTTTTCATTCAGCCCAAGCTGTCTCACCCAATATCCCGCTCACAACACTGTGCGGTTAGCTTGACGTCACGTAGCTGAACTGCTAACTCCTGTGTTTGACGTTAACGTAGATTATTTGGTAGATCCTAAATATCTCAGGTTACCTTACCCATCCATCAAACGTCTACTCTTTGACTTTCCTTGTTTGTGTTTTTGAAAATGAAAATGTAAATAAGGCTGAAAAGCTGTCAAACTTGGAAACTTTGTGCCCAAATTGTATGCCAAGTAATCTAGTAAGTACTCCTTTTTAGCAGCTCCTATCCAACTCAATCAAAATAAGTCATTTTACTAAATCAACTGTTTTAGTGTCAGCGTAGTTCCTTAAAATGTTGCTGCGTTTGGAGGTGTGTAAGCAGTCTTTAAACCAGCGGTCTGTAAACGTGTCTTTGGTTCTTTCCACCGAGTAGGAGGATGGTGGAGTCGACTCTGATTCACAAGGACGAAACAAACGTCAACTTTTTCCCCCCTCTGTTGCTCATAATTATGATTATTTGAACCATGCGCCAAGAATGAGGCAATTTACATGGCAGGGAGAGTGTAATAATAAGATTAAATGCAAGATGGGAAATGTAGGATCAAGCCTTTTTGGAGCTTGACCAGGAAACAATGCTCTTGTGCCAGTGGCCCCCACCAAAATGATAATGACACCAATACAACAGGGTGCAGTTTGGCATGTGTTTTCTTATTTAGCTGCCGCCGAGATGGAGAGCAGGGAAGTACATTTTCTGGAGCGACACCAACGGCACTGATAAGGTCTTTTGCTCGTGACACAGATTGATGGGAGGCAGAGGAGTGGAGGAGTGATAGCAGGGATCCGGGGACGCATTCGTCACAGAAGGAGGAGGGGACGGGGGGGTGCTGCCATACCGAGTTTGTTGACAAAATGCTAAATTGTGTGCATTGTCCCTGGAAATGTCAGAGGAGCTCGCAGCCGCCGCCTGTTTGTGTATTTCTTTTAAAGATTAACACATCCTGCGTCAGACATGCTGCTTCAAAGTCTCTCATGATTGGTTATCAAATCCAGATGCAACAAAGCGGACAGCATGACAGGGGGACGCTTGTGACAGGTTTCACTTTCTTCCACTGAGGCTTTCTTTTCAGGTCAGAGAGGGACAGAAACGGAGAAAAATCACTGACTACAGTACAGGAGCATTAATACAAGCTGATCTTTGAAGCATTTAAAGAAGCGAACTAGTTAATATTTAAAGACAGCTGTGGATTGAGGCGAAATGCTGCAATAGCTTCTGTAAACTTATTATATTAATCATTGTGTTTCTGCTCTCTACCACTTATTTTAACTACAAGACGATTAGTTCTCTCCTCTTAACCAGTCCAGTGATTTTAAACTATTAAATCTACTGAATAAAAGTAAATTTTCCAAATTGAGGAGTTCCTGTGAGGAGTTTTTTGTCTCTTTATGAACAACAAAAGCAAACAGGACCATCAGCAAGAACACTTCGTCTAAAAAGCTTATTTTTCAGAGCCTGGAACCACTGCTGTGGGGAAGGTGTCAAACCAGGTAATGAATCGCATGCTGCCAAAAAAAAAAAAAAAAAAAAGAATGCTTTTACATTTTTCACCGGCTAGATTCTCAAGAGGAGGAGAGATTAGTCATTTAAAAGGCATCAGGATGAGAGTTTTGTTAAAAAATTAACGATACCTGTGGGTAAGGAAAGATTTCCAAGTGAAAACTGCTTTGTCCAAGAGGGACGTCAAACTCAACACGAACCGAAAAAGAGGAGCTTTGATTTATGTGGCTATATCACGCTTTTTAGTGGTATTTTTCATGAGCCAAGAAAGAAAACTCTTTATAAAAAACTTCATAAATGCAGTTTTTTCATTGATGAAACATTCACTGTCATTAAGCCAAGGACTACAAGCGTTCGCTTTATCTCTCGTCTTGTTTGTAACCATGTCATTGTTTTATTTCTCAGAAGCCAAGGATGTTTTACTGAAGTTTTATTGTATTTTATTCCTTTATTCAAAATATTGGACCTTCTTATTGTGGCTTTACAGCAAACTTTCCTGTGTTTACTCCAGTTGTGAATTAAACTGTGGGTTTCTGTTTTAGTTTTTGGAGCTTTTCCTCCTTCATCCAAGCAAACTCTAACTTTTTTCTTCACCAAATTTGTTCTTTTATATTCATTTGGTGCTTTTTTTTCCTCATATGAAATAAAAAAATCAGAGCAAAAGTCAAAGCAATCTGAAGACATCACCTTGAGGTCTGGGAAATAAGATGCACGTTTCCCGTTTTTAGGGGTTTCATTTACAGAAGAGTTAATCAAATTACTGAAAGTTTACGGTGAATTAAGCAACAATGAAAACCATTATTCGTACCCCCCCATGAAACCGCCAGCAGAGGCTTATTTAATTTTGCATATTAATGACTTTCCTTTGGCAGAAAGCTTGAGAGGGACATAAAAAAAGTTCTTATTTGAAACAAGAATGAGTCTGAGCCCTGTGTGCCGGATGAGAACTCAACATTTTGGGTTTTTTTAGCCTTGAAAAAACAATCTTGTTTTCAAAAACATGGAAACATATGAGAAAATAAAAACTTAAGCATCTCTTCTGATTTAATGAGAACTTGTTTAGCCGCAAAACTTTGGATTTGCTTCCAAGAAAAACTGCAAATCTTTCATAAACCGGATACAGATTGTTGCACACAACAAACTGCTGCTTTTTCACACTGTTGCGTACCATTATGAAAATGTCTGATAGGATGCAGGCTGAACTCACCACTGAGAAATTCATGACTTTTATGATCCACACAGTGAGAGCCAGGTTCACGATCATAGTGACCAGCAGCAGCAGCAGGAAGAAGTAGAGGCCTCGTTTCCTCCAGCCGTACAGACCCACCGGGTACACGGCGCCACAGCCGGGCCGCTGGAGGTGCAGGGACTGCGACGCGAGGATAAACTGCTCCTGGGTAATCTGAAAAACAAACAAACATACACATGTGCTTTAATGTTCGCCTACGACACACACATCACAGGGAAAGTCACATTTTATCAGCTTTTACGCCCTAGAAATGACACTTAGCCGAGGTAAAGCTGTTTTACTCTACTTTCCTCTGAAGGGTGGTGCCGTTATGAGAGGCATAAAAGGTGGGAGCACTGCAGGAATGTGTTACTACAGCCAAACATGTTAATCAAGAGGAGTGAGAAGAGGATATTTCTATCTATAACACACTATGATGTGCTTTTACTCTGAGAGAAAGACTGTTTTTGTTGTTTGCAACTCCTACAAAGACATATCTGCGCGCCCCGGCCCTACATATTCCCAGAAATTGAACAAGTGGCAGAGCCATTCATCATGCTGTGTTTGTACAAGACAAGGTTATTTGGTTGAATTTATTTTGTTCAAAAAAAGATACCAAGTGTCCACTCGGAAAGGGAGAAAAAAGATGCTAAATTTGGTGTTTCCTCTGATGAAGAGGAGGGAGGACATTACTCAAAATTCAGCTTTGACAGGTAGCTATCAGCTGAGGGAATAATAGTCCCAGAATATCTGAAATATATGACTTTCACCAGACTTTGAAAGTCTACGTCCAAACGCTTTAATAAACTACAATAGTGAATGTGATTTACAGTCCTGGGAAACAAGGTCCTTGACTTTCCTGCTTACACACACTGAGAATTAATTTGTATGGATTAAATAACATGTCACAGCTTTGTTGGCAGTGCTAATTGCTTGTTGACATTCTGTCATACTGGATCCCAGTGTTCACACACACAGAGTCGCAGTGAGTGACAGCTTCCCGCAGGCCGACCTGTTTACCGCTCCCCTCTGGCTGAGATCTTTATAATGTTTCTGCCCATCAATATTTCACACACCACGAGCGCTAAGCAGCCTTTATAGAGCTATATTAAGCACGAGATATGAAAGTGATGCTACAGGGAGGCAGAAGCAGACCTAAATAAAGGTGCTGTGTACAGCACAAGTATCATGTGTGACTTTTCACACCAGCAGCTGGTTTTCACTTTGAATAAAAGAAAAGAGGCAGATTATGCGACAAAAGGATGTGCCAGAGTTTCTTAGTGTGCAGCCTCTGAAGAGAGCTGCTACACGCGAGCTATGATCTGAGATCAGAGAGGATGATGTCTGTCAGGCGGGTTCTTCCAGGCGAAGGCGAGCGGTGGCTGTTCTCCAGCCGATCGTGACTGTGGGCTGACAGAGTGAGACTCCCCATCACTGAGCTGCTCGGTTAGCTGCTGTTGAATTCACGCTGTGGAGGCCTGCCATCAGCTTCTGTTGCATAGATAAAACTTGTGCAAAGCAAGATAAAATGTGCAGCAGCACGTTTCATTCCTAAAGTTGCTCATACAGTCAAATGGCAACTAATTACGGTGGCCGAGAACACAGCCGCCACTGCTGCAAATGAAAAAGAATGCAAAAAAAAAAAGTGACCGATGCAAAAAAAAAGAAAAGAAACTTGCCTGCTGCAAATTAAAAAAAAGTAGTGCGGATAAAAAAACATCACAACAGAACTTACCGACGCAAAAAAAAACAACAGAAGTTATCGATGCAAAAAAAGAAAACCAAAGCCTGCTGCAAATAAAAAAAAGAACGCAAAAAAAGAAGCCACAACAGAAGTTACCAATGCAAAAAAATGAAAAGAAACTGGAGCCCGCTGCGAATAAAAAAAGAAATGGTGAAAAAAAAATACTGATGCAAAAAAAAAAAAAATAAATAATAAAATGGTGCAGAAAAAAAGAAACACACACAAAAAAAAGTGGTGATGCAAAAAAAACAAAACAAAACAAAAAGTTACTTACAGGGAAAATAAAAGGATGCAAATAAAAAAAGCCACAACAGAAGTGAGCTGCTGGGGACCAATAATGATGATGCACTGCAAAAAAAAAAAGAAAAACCAAATCCCGCTGCAAATAAAAAAAAAGAACGCAAAACAAAGAAGCCACAACAGAAGTTACCGATGAACAGAAACAACAACAAAACAACAACAAAACAACAACAAACGGTGCATTATCATTATTGGTCCCCAGCAGCTCACTTCTGTTGTGGCTTTTTTTTATTTACATCCTTTTATTTTCGCAGTAACTTTTTTTTTTCCATCGTCACTTTTTTTTTGCATCTTTAACTTCTGTTGTGGCTTTTTTTTTAAAAGTCTGCACTATTCCTTTTTTTTATTTGCAGCAGGCTTCAATTTCTTTTTTTTTTTTTTTGCATTGGTAACTTCCGTTGTGACTGGTTTTTTTTGCATTCTTTTTTTATTTGCAGCAGTGGCAGTTCTCGGCCACCGTAATTAATAGTTTATCCTCACTTTAATTGCACGATAAACATCTTTAATACACGCACCTGTGCACAGCTTTCCCCAGAGATCACTCAGGAGCGTAACAGATGCATAACTCAAGTCAGAATCCCTGATCTGCATGCTTTAATCACACTCAGCATGTCATTAGCATATGACACTGATGGCATATATCATTAGCTTGTATGTTTTCCTGACAGGCTATCATTAACCCAGCCAGAGCAAACTAAAGACATTTTTCCAAGAAGAACTCAATTACTTGACCGAGGCTGAAACTAGGTCTCATGCTCTCTCTCTCTCTCTCTCTCTCTCTCTCTCTCTCTCTCTCTCGGTGCAGATACAGCTGCAGAAACTTGCTGATAGAGGGAGTCTGAATCTCAGCTGCTGATGCTGATTATTGTTGTTATTGTTGCAATAAATCGAAATCTCTTACAAAACCTCAGCAGCTGATGAATTTTATTGATTAGAAAACTGCAGACTCTGTATCTGGCGGTGTAAAGATGTGCAACATTGTGCGTTAAGTAGAGTGTGGTTTATCAGCTGGTAAAAGCCTGGTAGTAGAAGCGAGCACCCTCCAGGCTGTGTGGGAATTCAAAGAAGCACCTGCGTTCTCAGTTACTTATTTTTCCATCTTTAAGTCTATTAAAAGCATCTTCAGTTTTTAGAACTACGAGATGTGGTATCACAAGTTCTGTTAGTCTTCTTGGCAGCTGGAAACTTAAGGCTAAAATATGAGTATTTCTATCCATGATGCCTGAGTTACCAGGGTTTATAATCTTGATGGAAAAACCTACAGACTTGTGTGCACAAACTTTGTTCATATGGGAGCAAGTGACTATCTTGCACACAACATTCTTAAGGTCCTTACACACTGGGACCATTTTTTCGTGCGATTATTTCGGACGTCAATATTTTTTTTCGAACCCGTATTCTGTCAATATAAGCGTTCACATCAGCAACGTTTTCCTGTCCTGCGATATTGCGCCATTTATTTTTTCGGCTCACGATCTAATTTTCCACTTCCACTGTCCACTTCTGACCAATCAGATTGCGTGTTGTTGCGACGTCAGATTCACCCGTATATCCAACATGGCCGACCGGCTGATTGTTTAAGTGTTGGAGAACAGAGTGCTTTTTGATAAAAGACACAAATATTACAAATATAACGACCTGAAGGACAACTTGTGGAGAGTCACAGTGTCGGATTTCTCATACACAATGGTTTGTGTGCTTTAACAGTTTGCTAAACGTCTTTGTTTTAACTTTCATCTGTGCTAAGTAACTTTAGCTCATAAGCTAACCTGTTCAGATACAACATACCATATGTATTTCTCTGTCTCAAACTCAATCGCGTTGCTGTCACAGCACCATCAGGTCTCGGTTGTTACCTTACGTTTATGGATTATAGTTTAATGTGCTTATCTGGTACTGGCTCCAACTCAGTACATGCTATCATGACAGACAGACACCTCAACACTAGTGTCTAATCAGAACTGAAAAACAGTCAGTCTGCTGTTGAGTCAGTCTTCTCGCTTCCACCCGGGACTCATCTCTTGTATCTGACATTTCTTATAATATTATGTCAATGAAAAAACAAAACACTTAAACATCTAATTGAAAAAATTACTGACTGACTCTGACTCTAGTAAAAATAAGAACCGTGTAAATGTTACAATTATACCATCAAGTTCTGTACTGGCCTATTTCAGGTATTATTAAGTTTGCCAACCCACTTCAGCCTTCAATAGGATGTTTTCGTCCTGACTCTCACACCGCTCCTTGAAAGTCCATGAATGAACAAACAGTCTATAAACCAAAACAGTAAAAACAAACACGGCACTGAGAGTCTCCTGCAGGCCACAGCTTCCCCCCCGCTCTTTAAGTGACTGTTTCCGTGGACCGACAGTTTGGGTCGTGTCTGCCAGCGATGGCAGATGTCTCACAAATGGGTGTTGCGACTTTGCAGCAAATACAAATGACCCATATCGCTGGCCTAGAAATGTCACTGCTTCCAATTTAACTGGCGATACAGCTGAGGGACGGGAGCATTATGAGAGGCGCTCACTCAATGGCTGAATATAAACTCTCCATGCAGTGTCACACAAGACTTTTTTTACAGTCTCAACTTCAGACACAGTTCAGTAAAAAAACACAGACTTAGATCAGCTCAGAGACACTTAAACACCTTTGCACTTTGAGACACTAAAAACTTCTAGCAACATCCAGATAACGCCAAGAGGAAGTGTTTTAATCTCATATTTTAGCCTCTGGCTATGCCCCTGCTGGACAGATTCAGTCTATTTTCAATCCACTGTTGCCATGGGAAACATCAGTACTTGGAACCCCAACTCTAGCAACCCGATGCTTGTGAACCTGTGATTCTTTTGCAGGAGTTTTAATGCATATATTACTCTGGTCGAGTCATGCCTCCTAAAGCCTGCTTCTTCACCGAGGAGTGCATAGAAGCGATCATCTTATCAGTGCCAAGACCACCAACTTTGGCAGAAATACAACTTTAGCTTTTACAGAAACCAGCTGTTGATTACTAAGTTCTCCGTTCACTCTCACACGCATATTGCTGAGTCATATTTATGTGTTTATGTCGGCTTCAGTAGGTCTGATGATTCACACTTTGTTTGAATCAGCGCTTATATCCAACAGAGGCAGGGAGTTATAAGTGTGCACAACGAAACATCACAATGAATAAATTTGTGCTTATTGACGGAACAAACAAACCTTTTCCCAGTATGTAAGCACAAAAGTATGTCTGCCTCCACTACACTAGGTGGCGACATGCCCCCTTTTCAGCTATTACTGTTTGGCTGATTCCCTGTTGACCTATTCACATACCAATACAATGGACAAACAAGTAAGCAAGAGGCTAACTGGCTATACCTGTGTACTTTTAAAACAAACAGCAGCTTTGTCATTCTTTTCTACTTCTGAAACATTGTGAATCCAAAACCTTTGGCGCCCCCGTCTGGTGACTGGCTGTATATAGGCGATTAAGCCCACCTCCTCCATTTTAACTAATGAAACATGGGTCAAGTCAAATACGTCTCATTGCGTGGTCATCTTGAAATTAATCATCTTGGATCCAAGATACACCACTAGGGCGATATATTTGCACCTTTCATGGTGACATTTTGGCTTCATTTTTTTGGACCGCGGGAGGAGATGAAAGCACGCCGTCCATGTTTATATTCAGCCAATACACCAGCAGCCCATGAGAAACACTTTTTAGTTAAAGGCTTGATTTGCATTTCTTTAGGTTTTTATTATAGTGTGTAAACTAAGATCTACAGTATAATGCTGTTTATTGAGTCTGTGACAAAACACAATTACGCAGATGTCAGTTTAGGTGTAGCACCATTTTTTTAGACAGCTTTAAGGTGATTGGGACCAAGTTCGAGAACTGATGCTAAGGCCAACCTAATAATGTCAAACCTCTGACAGCTCTTTGAAATATCTCTTTGAGGAGACCCAAAATCAGGCATTTACAAAACCTGTCCAGAAAAAAAAAAAAAAAATCATCTCTATCTAATTTCATGTTCCTGAGATGCCTCCTGCCAACCACAGCCCCTCCATTATCACCTTATAAAACCATTATGTGTCCTCATGCATATTGTTCAAGAAAAATTCAGCGGCAGTTCAGCGAGATCAGGTTAATACATTCATACACCAAATAATGAATTAGATTTCTACTTTCCTCACAAAGCATGCGCCGAAAGAGAGAAAAGATTAGATCACGGCTGCATTATCCTTCAGTACAAAGTGTGAAATCCACTTTAAGATTCAAAACTCAATTAGAAACTTTTATGATGGATAATTTACAAATTTATAAAACTTTAGTTTTACAAATAGATGAAAAGTTTGCTTTATAATCTATTAGAAACGATACTAAAGTCATGATTTAGAGATATTTCTGAGTAATAACAAAAGTTGGTAGTTTTTTCTCTTTAAGAAGAAAGGAGATTAAACTTCTTTGAGGTTAAGAGATCCTGTTTTATCATAATATGATAAAAGTTAGCAATTAATGTGTTATCTTGTATGCTCTCTATGCAATCAGGAAATTAAAATACTGATTTGCTCTCCTGACACGGCATCGAACAGAATTTTCCGATTAAGTTAGAATTTTTTTATTTTGAATGTTTTTTCATTATCCAAGAGACAGGGTATTCAACAAAAAACATTTTCAAAATTTTTGACTTTTACTTCAGATTCACAAAATTGCCTAATGTTTCCTCATGACAGTAAAGTTTGATTTTTTCAAAAGAAGAAACTCGAAGGAAAAAGATTTTCTCATAAGAATATAAATGTAAGAAAATCAAGTTGTAATGTTGCTTAGCGAGATCAAAGTCACGCTGTTACAAAAACAAAGTCATAGTTAAATCTTGAAAAGTTATGAGAGAAAATAAATGTCTAAAACTAAAATCTTTAAAGTGGCTCTAACACGCCATTCTAGTACGTACATGTAGCTTTCTTTTGGAGTTGTCAAATTGCGATAAAAGAAAGCCATAATGTTATGAAAGCAGACTTTGCTCTGCCTGTTTTTGCTCTCTATAGGGTGCAAATTTCTACATAGGTGTAATAGAAATAAAAGCATTGATACATTATTAAGTCCAAACTTTCACAGTGGAAGAAAAATTATCATAAAAATCTGAGTAACTTCCTTTACTTTTTTATCTTTTGTATTCATCACAGTCTCTGTAATGTCCTGCATTATAGTTTTGCTTTTAGCGCAGGCTGCCTGAAGGTGTTTGCATCTACCTGGAAGCTATTAATCAAAAATTCAGTGTGTTCAAATGGACAAAACACCAAATAGTCATACCCAAGTGTACTGGAAATTTTCCTCCATCCTATTGTGAACAAAATTAGGGGTCTGGGACTGAGAACAATTCAGACTTCACAATATCTAATGGATGTTTTCAAGCAAAGATGAAACACCATTTTCCAGTCTTGTTGAAAATACTCAGGAAATGGCTCCAACTCCTTGTTTGGGCCATTTCGAGCAGCAGCTCTGCCTAAGATGAAATCATCTCGATGTGTTTGAACGCTGGAGACGAGTGTCAACAGATTACCACCAACAGATGGCTGTGAAATCTACTCGAAGCTACGGATGCTTTTCCACCTACAGTCCTGATTACATGTTGTTTCTATTAATAGAAACTCAACACCCACGCAGTAACTCACCTCTATGAGGTACAATGAGCGTTAAAAACTGCTTTCTTGACATATCATGAAAAGTGCCGGAAAAGTGCTCAAGGATTTGTAACACCGCATTATTTATCCGTGTAAATGCTTCCTCATCAGTTCTTTCAAGTTCTTGCTAAGATCTGTGTCACTTTTCTTTCTCGCAGGAAGAGGAGAGGAGGGGGTCGTCAGAGCTTTGACGTTACAGCTGGATCCAGCCGAGGCCAGCAATTACCCGGCAGTCCCTTCCCTCCGCCAGCACGCCTCATCTTCACCAATTAGCGTGCAGCGTGATATTCTACACGCTGTTTAGATCAAACAGTGACATGCCGCAGAGGCAGCGAAAACGCAGCTGAGGAGCCCCTTAATGAAGGAAAATGAGACGTTATCAACGGCTGATAATGTTAATCAGCAAATCGCAGAGCGCTCCCTCACTCAGCGGTGCCACCGGAGTCCCGCAGGGCCGCCTCAGCTGGAGGTGAGAAAACATTTGAGGAGCACTAATGACTGTGGGGCTCGCTTTAGTCTGGCCCTCGCACAATCGCTGAGGCAGCAAGAGAGGGGGAAATGGTGGACACAATCATGACATACAGCATGAAAGCACCTGTTTGATTAGGTTTGTAGGGGCGGTTTAGCTTGACAGAAAGTCCATCATGGAGACAGAGAGGCCTGAATACACAGCTGTAACTGGGAAAGCCAATTATATTCCTCAGATGTGTAACTCAATGGATCGACATAGCCATTTCACATTTCTGTTGATGTGACAATGAAGCATGTGGGTGAGGCTGCAGCTGTCAATAGGCGCTCCCCTTAAGATGTGAAATCCAATTTTTGTGGCTCCATCATCTCTGGTGGAGTTACAAAAGCGGCGCAGGCTCGTCGATGGCTTCATCTCTCGCTGTGCGGTTGCCCTTTACGGGTGGATGCCGGCGCGCTTCCTGGAGCTGAAAGGCAACACTGCTATGGGGGGGGGAGGCAGACGAGGATCAAAGTTCTCCAAAAAAGTCTTAAAGGTTGCAGCTGTTCAATCAGAGAAGAAAACATCACAGGCTGTTTTGAAGAGGGACGTTCAGAGAGACTTTTTTTTCTCTTCCATGCACCTTTTGATGACATTTTCATGAAAAATGTTCACGCCTGGCAACACAAAAGTGCGCTACAAACATCGCAACATATCCGACCTTTCCATCTTTCGTTATTGCCTCCTTTTCTCAAGTCCCAAATGTTCCCCGACCAGTGTTATATTCACTGCAGAATATATGTTTAGTGTTTGACTGACGAAATGCTCATGAATTTTGCAACTCTGTTCGTCATCCACCACTACCATTTTCGTCTAGTCTCGTCAACGTAAACGCACATTCGTCTTGTCACATTTTGGTCGTCTAAGACTTTTGTTTAGCTCATTTACATGAAAAATGATCACGCCTGGCAACACAAAAGTGCGCTACAAACATCGCAACATATCCGACCTTTCCATCTTTCGTTTGCGCCTCCCTTTTCTGGAGTCTCAAATGTTCTCTGACCAGTGTTGTTTTCGTTGACGATGACGTTGATTGTCATCGTAAACTAAAACAACACTGAAGAATGTATGTTTAGCATTTGACTGACGAAATGCTCATGAACTTTGCAACTCTGTTCGTCGTCCACCACTAACGTTTTCGTCTAGTCTCGTCCATTCAAACGCACATTCTTCTTGTCACATTTTAGTCGTCTAAGACTTATGTTAAGCAACACATCGGACCATTCGATCTTTCGTTATTGCTTCCTATTCTCAAGTCCCAAATGTTCCCCGACTAGTGTTGTTTTCGTTGACGTTGACGAAATATTTTTGTCGTCAACGAAAACATCACTGCAAAATATATGTTTAGCGTTTGACTGACGAAATGCTCATGAATTTTGCAACTCTATTCGTCGTCCACCACTAACGTTTTCGTCTAGTCTCGTCTCGTCGATGTAAACGCACATTTGTCTTGTCACATTTGTCTAAGACTTATGTTTAGCTCGTCAACATTATGTCTTCATTGTGAAAAAAAAAGGGGCGTTGGCGAAAACAACACTGTCCCCAACTTTGGTCATTTCTTCCTATGAGTGTTGATGATGGCTCTGCTGGCAAACTGCTGATGTAAACAGACAGACACTTCTCCACAGTACACTAGCTCTCCCTGCTAATCCCTTGGCAAATCCTTGGAGAGCCTACGGGGCCATTTTGGACAGCACTCCATAGGCGTCATTTGCATTCATCAGTTGGGTGCACAGGAGGATGAGGACGGGGATGTTATCAACAGAAATAATGTCACAAAAACATGCAGTAAATAGGGCGAATTAGAAAAGAGGTAAACTTGCAGACGCGTCCCTGAGTGGGGACTGTCGGATCAGCTCAGAGCAGGAGTGATTTCTTGACTGATAAGTGTGACCTGCTACAAGGCTCGGATCTGTGTGCGTGTGTGTAGGTTTGTGTGTGTAGGCAGCCAATGGATCTCCCAAACAGTCGCTGTGCTGTGTGGCTCCCTGACACCAAGCCGCCTCTTTTCTTTGGCACTGCAGCACAAGAGAGGAGATGCATTCACTGTACCCAGAGGTTAGTGTCTCCCCCCTGCTGTAGCCTGGAATAATAATGAGAAAGCATGCAGGAGGAATATTCATAAGCTGTCACATTACTCTGATTCTTGAAGAGGTGAATGCATAGAAAATGAGGTATAGTGCAGGAGGGAGATATGTAAAGAACTCCAGGCAGGCTTCCCGAGGTGTTTGAGCGCTGGTCAGCGGTTATTAATCATCGCGTTCCCCGCCTGGAGTGGAGTTGGAGATGCAAACACTGCAAGACTTGGAACAGTGAACAGACGCCTCACATTCATCTTTAATTTGCTGAGATTTTTAATGCAACAATTGAAGCAAAGGGTACACCTGTTGCGGAGAGCACTCAAGAGAAGCTGGAGTTTGAAGTGCTGAATAAAACAAGACAATACAAAGATGAATTATTAATGAACAAGTCCGTGAAGTATCCCCCTGTCCTACAAAGCAAAAGAAATTAAACTCAACTGTGTAGTGCGACACCAAGTAAACACGCAAAACCGTTAGCAATTTTGCTCATAAACTTTCCCTTTATAACTGAATAAAAGCAAAAACTCACATTTTAAATAGTTTTTCTTACCTTTAGTGTCTCTATGTCGAGAGTAGCCGACTGCTCCATGTTTTAATCTCATTTGTCACAGTTACATATTTCCACAAAGTTCCACATTCAGCCCCTCCGCGCGAGCTAAATCACTCTTCTTCTCCTCCATTCGGGAGTATAAAAATGTATTTAATAATGACGCGAGTTGTAATTGTTCAACTTCATGTAAACAGAGCTCTCGCGATATTTTAAAGCCATAATTAAGGGCCGTTATCACTGTTCAAAAGAGGCTGCCGTCCTTTCTAAAGCACGCGGGTTCAGGTGATCCCAACCGTCGCTCACTTTTCGTACAAGCAGCTGGTGAGCGGAGTCGCGCGCCTGCAAAAGTCTCTAATGACAAGTCACACAAGATGGAATCTACATCCGGTGGTGATTTTCAAAATAAAAGCACAGCACCATGCGAGTCACATTCAAAAATAAGAATGAACTAATTTACTAAACATTTCTCTAAATAAAAGGTCTTGCCCCGTCAGTTCATAAGCATTATTTGATATGAATAAACAAAACAGAATAAAGTGATTAATTTTGACAGTGAGATAATTAGGGAGGTAGGCTACAATAGGACCTGTTTAAGCCTCAACACAAATATGAACTGCAGTTATTTAAGCAAAATAAAAACAACAACAATAATAGTAATAATAATAACAACAACAACAACAATAGTAGTAATAATAATAATAATAATAACAATTAATTGTATTTATAACGAGCTTTTACAGGTGCTCAAAGTCGCCTTACAAAGAAAAAGAAGAAAATAAAATAGAATAAAAAACACAATTTAAAATACAGAAATTGTTGAAAATAAAACCAACTATGTAAAAGGTTAAAAAAGACGCAATTCGAGAAGACAATAAAAGAAGAGGTCACAGGTTAAAAGCCAATTTAAAGGAGCACTGGAGCACTACTGTCTCAGAGTACTATCATGAGTGTAGAGAATGAAATTTAAATGATGAAGTGCTGTTGTAACAAAGTAATATAGGTAAAAGTATTATAACTTGTCTCTTGTAACCAACACATTAATGTTTTATACTTGAAACCCAAAATTTTAAGGCATAGACCTATTTTATTTTGAAAACATAATAGTGTTCAATTTCCTGTTATGGCCTATTTACTACTTCTGACTCGATTGTAATAAAATTCCTTGATATAAGAGTGGATCGGTTGAAGTAATTTGAATTAAAATATATTTATAAATAAAAAGGGCATAAGTAGCAGCAATGGAGGGGAACAATGACCCTCGAGTGCTTGCTTAGCTTTTTGTTTTTAGGTTAATTTGACTCTTAAAAGACGAAAATAAGAAATTTTGAGGAGAAAGTTCTGTCTATTAACAATGTGCTGCTAAGGTTGTATAATTATGCGATATATTGTAATCGTCTGTGCAGGGGTTTCCTCCAAAAGAACCAGTACTTATACACACGGACAACCGTCTCGTCTTACCGCTCCAACAACAACCTTCTGGGTTTTAACGTCACCTGCTGGGGGTATCGTGACACTGCAAATACAACCAGACTGAATGTACATCTATTTTTGTCTTCTCAGACGTCTATGTATTCACAACAACAACAACAACAAAAAGCAGGTGGTAACGCTTTAAAATAACCATAATTTATAAATGGTAAATAGACCATTTATAAATAGTAAGCAGATAGTTTATCAATGTTTAATCATCATTTATAGCATATAGACCATTAATAAATTGTAAATTTTACAATTTTAAAAACCTAACCCTAACCATAACCCTAACCGTAACTTTACAATAACCATTGAAGGAATAAAATTAATTTGAAAGCATTAAACTATATTTCAGACATCTTTCAATGAAGAATGATGGGTATTTTTTTCCTGGACAAAAGCCCGTAAAGAACAAAAATCACATGGATTCATCAAATCGATATTTTATTGCCAACCCCACAGCGCAGTAACTTTGAGTCAGCAGAAGATGGCGGCAGAGTTTCATGCTATTATTTCCAGACGAACACAATCAACTCCTGAGCACAACTACTAGTCTAGGATTACTAGTCAATTATCGACCACTTCATTCATCGTCGCCGGGATGTCAGACGCCAAGCAAATCGCAGCACAAAAAAGGTAAATACACACGTCTGGCCAGCTTTAGCTTTTCATTTCATATTATTTTTAACCGCGTGTAAATATTTGCTCTCTGTATTTTGTTTAATCTAAAAAAAAGCCGGCTAAATGAGCAGTAGCGACAGCCTTTTATTGGATTGACTCATTATTTGTCTGTAATGTAGCTCACATGTAGGTCATATGCATCACTGAATTGAAGGAAATGTAATCTTTGTGTCCTTACAGTGCTAAGATTGCAGCTGGAGCTGTTGTGTGTGTTGAGAGTGAAATAAGAGGAGATGTGACTATTGGTATGAATCAGCTTATCATTATAAACTACATTTTAATGCTACATCTCTTATAATTCAGCTGGTATATGTTTACAAATAAGATGAGATATTTTTATTCTTTTTTTTTCAGGTGCTAGGACAGTTGTCCACCCCAAAGCACGGATTATAGCAGAGGCTGGGCCTATTGTGATTGGAGAGAGTAATCTAATTGAGGAACAGGCTCTTATAATTAACAGGTGCAGACTGTAGTACAGACTATCCAATTAGTTGATCCCTATAGTTGCTCCTTATGTGGTTTAGACTGACTGCATGTCTTTTTTTTTCTGCAGTTATCCAGAAAATATCATGCCAGACACAGAGGGAGTGGAGCCGAAAACAATGACAATTGGGGCAAATAATGTATTTGAAGTGGGATGTGGTATCCTTTACACTGAAGTGACATAACTGAGAAATGAAATATGAATTCAGTTATCAGGAAGTATTTGGATGGGTTAAAGATGTGATCAAGCTAATGCAGCAGCAGTGTTTCTAGTATCCACCAGAGAGCAGTCAAGCTTTTTTTAGCTTTCAAGTGTCCCACTCAGTAAACACAGTATACCTCATCTTTCTTAATGTGCTATCTTTGTTTAGAAATAATCCTTAATGACTCCTCCACAGTCTCCCAGGCTTTGAAAATAGGAGACAACAATGTGATTGAGTCTAAAGGTAATTACTGTAATCACTCTCTGTAATCCCATTAAGAGTCTGCAACATGGAAAAAGTACTTTATTACTGCTGAATTTACCTCAGAGTACTGATATACTCTGCACCAGGGGTGTGTCCGGACTTTTTTTGACTGTGGTGGGCCAACCCGGGGGGCACTGACATATGCTGGGGTGGCATGAAGTGTGTAAGCACAAACACTCAAGGTCCTTCCACACCGGGGCCGACGCGAATATAGAACGCAAAATTATGAAATACCTGGAGGCAAATTTTGACGCACCTGACTATACATATCAAGCCCGATGCGATTTTGCAACTTTCCGGGTGGAAAAAAAAAAACATCCCGGGGAAAGTCCCACCTCCTTCGCCTCTGATTGACTAGAATAGCTGGAAACTTCATCACACGCTCAAGCCAAATGGTCAGCACTTCTAGCCAATCAGAGGCGATAAGATAAGCACATGAAACTATGGTAACAACCGTTAGCTAACGTTAGCACAGATGAAAGTTAAAACAAAGACGTTTAGCAAACTGTTAAAGCCGGTCGGCCATGTTGGATACACCGCTCCCGGTGTGAAAGGACCTTACCTCAGAATTTCCACCACATCCGGAATGGAGGCGATTTTCACCGTCCACCAATTCCTTCCAGATCCATTTGTGAGGCGAATTTTGTGGCGGACAGCGGGAATCGCAACAACTCATTAGAACCTGCAGATTCATGTGCAATCGCGTAATAAGGAGTTGTCTCTGTAAAGACAGTCACATAACTTGAATGGTTTCGATCAGCTGCGATCAGCAGATACTGCATTTTCGTAGCCGTTCCGGATGCGTTGGAAATTGGGGGTTAGGATGTTCTGAAAAGGACTGCTCTGCTGGTTTAACAGAAATTTGAAGTCCTGCCAGCTAACTTGTCTAAAACAAAACAAAAAAAATCACAAAAAAGTTATGGAAAAACTTACTTTTACAGTTTGGATGCTAAAAGAAATTCAGACCAGAACTATTTACTAACCTGAGCTGTAAACACGTATAACTTTGCTGTAAAAAATGTGCATTTTCACATTAGTGTTCATGAAGGTTGCTTGGGTTTTAGCTTCCTGCCTTGAGTGGCCATTTGAGGAACTTGGATATTTATTTAATTTTATGCACCAGAGATTGCCAGCTTAGTGTAAGATTTAAGGGCAGCAGCATGGGTGGCCAATCAGAGGGGAATCCACACCACTCAGCCATCTCTGTAGATCCAGCCCTGAACCTCATTAATGGAATCAAGCAGTCTTGCTTAGTGATTTACAGCATTTTAAAGTATTGTTTTTACTTCTATAACATATCAGAAAATGTGTTTTGTCTGTGTAAAATCCCAGCTGATCTTGGGAGAAACGTGATTCTGACCAGTGGGTGCATCATCGGCGCGTGTTGCCAGGTCAACACGTGTGAGGTCGTGCCAGAGAACACAGTCGTGTACGGTTCGAACTGCATTCGGCGCGTGCAGAGCGAAAAGCCACAGGTCAGTCTCCTACGTTGTTTGTCTACATGCCTGCCGGTCACGAAGTTTTGTTTACCTGTGCACAGATGCGTGTAAACAGAGTAGCTCTTTTCTGTTTTTTTTCAATCTTTCAGCCTCAGACTCTGCAGCTGGACTTCCTTATGAAGATTCTGCCCAACTATCACCACCTGAAGAAGACTGCCAAAGGAGGCACGCCTGTGAGAAACTAAGATGAAGCAATATATGGTGAAGCATCCCAAAGCCATTGCACACATTCTCCTCTCAACTTGCACTTGTCTTACACTTTAATGTCAATTTAAAAACCTCTTTCACTGTTAATCCTTTATATCTTCTTAAATCTGAGGAATTAAGTTATTGTGATTATGCTCTTTTGATTTCAGACCAATATGGAGAGTATTTGTGATTAACTTTTAAAATTTCCTGTGCCATTTTATTGATTATTCCCATATATATTTATAAAGCTGATGAAAAATGATATAATTATCGGAATAAAGATGATATCATCAAGCTTACACTTCTGCAAGTGTTTCTTTAGTATTTGATCACAAGGGGGAGCTATTGAGCAACAGCTTGTGCAGCTTCTGCTTTGAGGGCTTTGTTTCATCAGGTGATGCAAAATAACCAATCCAAGCAGAATTTATTTATAATGCAACCAAAAATATCGATATTATCATGTTCTTTGTCCTAAAAATAGCTATGAAAGGAAGTTTGAAGGCAAAAAAAAAACTGCATGTGCAGTAGGTGGTGTGACTGCTTGGTTTATTGTTCTAAAAGTGGTGTTTTGAAGCAGAGAAGATAAGTTTGGGTGGGGTCGTCCCCATCTTGGTCGCCAGTCCTGCACCCTCCCACCAGGGGCTTGCCAAATTGGTGCCATGGGTACAGTGGGAATTTCACACAATGCCTGGCTTACTGTAATTGACAGGGGTGTGGTTGCAAACTTGCATTTCCGCTGCAGTATGGGTCTGGGTAATCCCTGGTGCCCCCCTACCTTTCATCTTTAAGCCCCTTGGGTGGTGCACCCATCTGTAGCACAGCCTTGCAGATCTGGGCGTGGATGGATTTGTTCATGGTGGTCATTCTTCCTGAAACACCTGACACAAGAAGTTCAGATGACGTCACATATATAGCAGTTGTTTCCTTTAAACTCCCACGGCTGTAAAACAAGCCCAAGGCCGCTGCCCTTCAGGGTTTACAGGGTTTGTTTTTGCGTTCTTCGCAGCAAAGGACAGCAGCTCCCCATAGGAGGCCCACAGCTGGTGTCGCACACTGCCAATACTCATTTAAACATTTCACGGTGGAGTCCCAAGAGGAGTCCACATCAACCGGGGGCTAATTATTTCAGCAGTGGAGTACAGCAGGGGCCACTTCTAGGCTCCTTCACGTTGTCACTTTATTTGTTTTTTTTTTACCCCTTCACTGCGGTAACATCACTTTTATTTTGGGGGTGTTGCCAAAGCGTCAGTTTACTTTAACATGACAGGCGAGGCAGATGCTGGGCACAGTTGCACGGATGTGAGGAGTGACAGGGACCTCATGGGGGCTGAGCGTGGCCTTAATCTGCTGTGGGGTTTTTTCGAGAGGCAAAATGGCTGTGATGATAGCAACTCATGGCAGGAATTTGAAGAGGAAGTTCAAATGTTGTTCTATATTTGGAAGCAGTTATTTATACCTCTCCCTTACTGTACTCTTGTGAAACTGAATTATCCATCTTCCACTTGTTTGTTGAAGCTGTGGTATGCTCTTTCCTTTTTTAGGATTATCTTACATCAATATTTGGCCTTTGATACCGCATGTAGCATTTTTAAAGAGTCAATAGTTTCAAACAAAAAGAAAAAAAATGAGATTTAAGTTCGTCATAGCGCTCTGGATACTTTAAATATGTGACTAAAACCCAAGTAAACTCATATTTCTTAATCATATAGAGACAATGACTGTGTAAAGGTGGAGGAATCAACCTGTCTTTTTTTTTTTCCTCAGCAGCAATAATATCTGTGCTTTCAGCCGCACACGCAGATCAAGTCCTGCTGTTGTCCACCGCACTCAGTCATGGTCAAGCAGGCCACCAGTTGCTTCGGTAGGATAAAGGCTTTCTGACAGGTGACCTTTGCATCCAGGTCCACTCCACCTTTGAAAAGTGAAATGTGACCTATAGGGCGCAGCGATTTCCATTGCAATCCAACTGAAATTATTAATTTAATCACAACAGGGTTTCTGAAACATCGGATGTCGTGCATTTTTAGCCGTTCTATAGCTCTGTGTTCGCCACTTTGGTTCGGACTGAAACATCTTAATTGATAACTAGATAGAAAACTTGATTACCATATACTACAGAGGATGAATAAACATGACTGTGCTGATCCCCTTTTTCCTCTGCACCTCTGTTAACATTTGTCAGCTATTTGACAGATTGCTTTCAAGTTTGGGAAAGAAATTCAAAGCCCTCGTAAAAAAAAAAAAAAAAAAAAAAAAAATCATGTCGTTGGGGAGGTCTGACTGACTTTGTAGTTTATGGATAGGAAAACACTCAGTCAGAATTGACACACATGATTTGGTTTGCCAAATCTAGTTAGCACCCAGATGTCTGTCCTGGTTTTACATTAGTCTACTTTTAATTAATCTGATTTATTACAGATCAACCAATCACATCCTATGTACACCTTTACCTCTACTTTTTAGATCAACTACAGCTAAGCCCCACCACTTTATACAACAACGTCGTTCACCTGTGGCTGTTTACATCTGGTTAGTGGAGCGAAGACATGGTTTCACAGGGATAGAAAAGAAATGGTATGATAATAAACAAAGAAAAAATATATATGTAGCGTTGCTGTGACGGCTACAGTGTAGGGATTTTCTAGCATTGAAAGCTAACTTGGTAGATATAACTTTACTGTAAAAGTCATGTCATAAAACATAAAAGAAAGAGCAAATTAAATGTAAAGCTCGGTGTTGTAAAGCTAAAATGTTGCTGATTTATATCTGATAGCTGGAAAAGATTCGAGTTTGCTCAGTGAAGGTCAACACACATGACTCTGCAGCTTGAATGTAGCTACTGAAGCAAATTAACAGCCTTTTTTTACACACACTCAGATTGTTCAATAAAGATTAAAGGCGGTGGGAAAGACAAGGACCTCTGGGGCTGGGTTTTAGTTTAACCTTTTATAGGTTCCACTGCACAACAAAAGAGGAGATATAACTTTAGGTACTTCCCTTTGACCTGCTTTAAGTAATTTTAGGACCACTCAACTGCAGTCAGAGGGAGCATTATAGTCCATTATGTGGACTTGTGTCAACATTTGGGAATTCAAGCCTAGGAGACATACTTAGCGAGTTCTCTGTTTTCTTCTCAGCCCTCCCTTTGCCAGCTGAACCATGAAAGCTTAAAGTACAGTCTGATGACACAAACTCTGCGACACAAACTCGGTGCCTCTTTCCTGTGTCTCTGTACGTCAACAGGACTTCAGGTCTTTCCAGAAAGACAGACATGGATCCTTTTTCAGTTCTTGTCTGTGTTTGTTGCAAGTTTCATTCCTGTGGCTTGTCAGATTTTACACACGGCTTCACCTGAAGACCCGGGCTGTGACCTCCAGTGTTAAACCCACGCTCTACCTCACTACTCAGTAATTTAAGCTAGTTAATCACAAAGGCTCTCGCATGGTCTTCCTCTGAGCCAGTCTTTCAGAGGAAACATGAAGATGAACAGAAACTCATATTAAAAGATCATATTACTCCACACACACTTGCCTTGTTGACGTGAACCTTTTAGCCCTCTTAATTCAACCTTTTACACTTTTGCACATTGGCAGCTGAAAAGTACCCCTAAACAAAAGGAAACTTAAGTTCGTTAAGCAACGCATTCTTTGGAGATTATTCCTCTTGGCAGACGCTTGCATTTCCTCCTGCAAGTGTTTGGTGATTGACAGTAAGCAGAGCACAACATTTTGTGTGGACCCAATATGAGGACACTGAACTTTGGCATCAAGTCTTTGCGATACCAGAGACAAACTTAAATAACTCAACTGAAGATTTCTGGTGTGTTGCTTGAGCTATTAATTAAGTATGGTTTTATTTGGCTGATGAAGTTTGCTGTTTTTGAATGTCATACTGTTTATCATTCTTTACAATATCTTGGGAAATAATGGATGACTTGCTGTAAACGTTTGTAAAGATATTAATGGTTCCCAAAGGATAAATCTTAGAAAACATGTTGATACAGCTTTTTCTTATACATCACAAGCAGGCCAACATCCGTGTTTTTTCATCTACTTCTTTTTCAATTTTTGACTTTTATTTTCAAGCTCCCATGAGGCTGACATGTGAAAAAAGCTTGAAGAAATAAGATGGATTGCCATGAAATTGGAAACAGACATTCACGTCCTCCTTGAGATAAATTATACTAACTTTGGTGATCCCTTGATTCATCATTATCTGATAAAAATAACCTACTGCTCATGCAAAAGTACAGCTTTAGTCTTGAATCGTAGAGACTCATCAGACCTGCTCTTTCAGAAACAAGAGGGTCAAGATTTTTAAAAATCGCTGTTTCCAAAAAAAAAAAAAAAAAAGAAAAACTGCCAGATAACATGATAAATTATCCGTACAGTAATGGAGATACTAAATTACTTTTAATAAGTCTTTCACAGTGATCAGGATGAAAGAAAAAAGGGTTGGGGTCGGAAAAAATAGAAGCATAGCTTTTTGGAAAGGCAGAACATCCTTCTGGCTAAAGGTACAGTGTGCAACATTTAGGATGACATTATCGGTACCATTGGGAAAAAAATTTCATACTTAAGTTTAAATTACCCCACTGCGCATTGCGACGTCGAAATGACATCGATTTAACATATTTTTTCGACAATGAGGTACAAATGTTGACGTCATTTTTAACGTCTAAAAGAGGTCCAATAATGACGTCTAAATCTTGGATCCATTTTGCACGTTGTGTCGACGTCTAGATTTAGTCTTCAGATGACGTCCAAATTCTAAATGTCAGAGTGACGTCTAAAAAAAGGTCCAATTTGAACGTCGAAATTTCCAACCTATTTCGCATGTCGCACTGACGTCTAGATGTGGTCTATGATGGACCGACCCAATACTGACTTGATCTGCACGTCTCTCTGGCGTCCGATGTTTGGACATGAATATAGAAATTGTTTGGTTAGTATTTTGATATTATGTTGCTGTATCTGTATTTTTTTGGCCATGTAGCATCATTTAGCATGCTAACATGAAACTTAAATGGAAAATGGCGGATTGTGTCCCTGCGAGGCAACTTCATGTTCGTTATGTCACTAGATGAATGGAGAAGGACTCTCAAAAACTTGAAGGAGTGTTGCCATGGTTATGCGGTGTGATTTTTGTGTTGCATAGAAGTTGAGCGGAAAGAGCTTAACTTGCGAAAAAAACACTGATCAAGCTAAAACAATTGGTCTAGCCCCTCATGGCTAATTAGTTTGGGTCAGCGTGACCACAAATTGCTCTTTTGTGATGCTTGTAGGAGATCAGAGGGCAT